TATAATTACTTACTATTAAAAACCTTAATAATTATAAAGAATCTAAGATTATAATGATTTAAATAGATTTTTAATAATTTAATAATTCTTAATATCTATGATTTCCATTCTTTTAATATTTAATAAATGATCATAAATTCTTGGTTATATATTTTATATTTCACTTTTGATCTTTTAAAGATTTTGGAAAAATAAATGATTAAATATTATTTTTTATTATCTTTTAATTGTTTTAATATTACTCCCATTATCCCATTCAAGATATTAATATATAATTATTTTTTTTTATTTAAATTAAATAATTTCATTATTAAATCTCTTATTACAATCTTTTTTATTTTTTAAAATGCCTTTTTTATCTTTTATATCTATTTAAAATCCTTTAGATTTTTAATATATATTATAATCATTATTAATTCTATAATTTTCCCAAAATCTTTAATTAAAGTTCTATTATAATTATAGAAATTATAAAAGGCTTATATTCCTATAATAATTTCTAAAATTAACCATTTCTTAATTATAAATATTTTGGATTTTTAAATCTTAATTTTTCTTAAAGAAATTATATATCCAAAATAGTCAAGTTTTTGGATAAAGAAGTCACTTTTATTTAGATTTATAAGAAATTTAACTTCTTTTAAAGCCTTAAATATCTTGTATATATCTTTCTTATATTATTTTTTAATTTTTAAATAGATTAGAATATTATCTAAATATATAAAAATATTTTTTCTAAGAAATTATTATAAAATATCTTAAATTATTTATTAAAAAGTAATTAATATATTTATAAATCCAAATAATATTATTAAACATTTAAAATAATTATACAATATTCTAATAATTATTTTTTATTTATTTCCTTTAACAATTTATATAAGATTAAAGATGAATTTTAGATCTAATAAAATAAATCATTTATTATTATTTATTTCTTTTTTTAGATTTTTAATATGTAATAAAGGATATTCATTTTTAATCATAATTTTATTCAATTATCAATAATTATAAACATCCTTCTATATTATTTTTCTTTTTTTATTTAATTTAGATATTCTATCTTTATTTTTTTTAAATATTAAAAAGATTAAATATCCTATTAATAATTTTGATTTTTATATAAATTCTTTTATTTTTTTATTTTAAAATATAATATATAAAGTTTTAGATTCATTTTAATTTAATTTATAAACTTAATATAATTTTGGATATTTTCTTTCTTTTAATATTATTTTATGGTTATATTAACTGTATTCTAATATATTTATATTCATATTTAGATTATTTTGGAATAATTTAGGAAATATTTTTATATATTTTTCTTTAATTTTAATTTATTTTTAATTATTTAATTCTTTAATATCTATATGTTATATTATAAAACATAAAGGTATAAAATATTCTTTTATAAGATTACCTATTTATATTTATTATAATTACTATTTTAATTTACTTAAATCAACCTTTTTTCAATGTTTAAAAACTAAATCTTTTTTTGACTTATCTTAATAAAATTAATTTTATATCTAGTTAATTCTTAGGTTATTAATTTTAAATCATATCTTTCCCAAAATTAATTTATAATTTATATTAATAAAATTAAAAGATATTAATTTCTAATATCTTTAGATTAAGATAAAGAAAATTATAATTTTTCTTTTAATTTTTCTTTTATTATAGATAATAAGATTTCTATTAATATTATTAATTTAATAAAGTATCTTTTTTTTTTAATATGATATTTTATATATATTAATTAATTTTGGATGGATTAAATTAATTATATATCTTAAGTTAATTAAGATATTAAATTCATATCTTTTTTATATCATTTTTATATCATTTTTATAATTAAATAAGGTTCTTTGGTTATTTCTATTAAATATATTAATTTAATTTTATTTAATATTATCTATAAAATCTTCAATAATTTTTCTATTATATTCTACTATTTATTAATTATATTAATTATTTCTTATAATAGGTTTATTAATTATTTAATTCTTCCTTAAAAAGTTACAATCTTGTTTTTTAAATATTATATTTTCTTTTAAAACTAATTAATTATTTCTTTATATTATAATAATATTTATTTATAATATCTATTTAAGATAATATTTAAATATTAGATTATTTATTTTAAATATCCATAAATAGATTTAATTAGAATAATTTTACTTTATTTTTCCTTATAAAGTATTATATAGAAGACCCTATATATATTTTTATAATATCATTATATAAATTCCCAGTTCCATTTATTTCTAATTACCCTCTTATAATCCAAATTTTTAAATATATTTAAGGTAAATAATTCTAATATTCCTTATTTTTTAAATATTCTTTTAGCAATATTTTTATAAGTTCTTCTATAATTCTATCTCTTATATTTTTAGATCTATATTTTATTATTTTTAAATATATATCTTAGGTCCATTAGGTTACCAAGATTGTAATAATAATAGTCCATTTATTTAATTAACCATACATAATATACTAATTCCAATTTAAAAGTTTAATTCTATCTTCTTTTATTATTAAAATCCTATTAATCCCATATCACCTACTAATATAATTATATTCCATTAAAATATATCAGAATAACATTTTTATCTAATAATAATATAATAAAGATGTTTTAATTATCAACTTATATTAAAAATATTACTTCTCCTTCTACTTCTCCTTCCATATTCCAATCCATATTCCACAATGGCCTTTATTCATTCAAAAAAGAATTAGATTCTTTCAAAAAAATATTCATTTCTTCCTCTTTAAAATCTTTTATACCTATTATATTAAGATTCCATAATTAATTTATTTAATTTATAAAATTCTTTATTTTTATTTATTAAATGATTTTATTATAATTTAATAATGGATTTTTTTATTTTTTTTCTTCTTTAATAATATTAAATATTTTTAAGGTTAAAAATCTTAATATTATTATTATTATATTAATTAATCTTCTTTCTAGGATTTATAGCTATTTTTTAGGTTTCTTATATTGGTTTTTATAATATTTCATTTCCTAATAATTATAACATTTAATCTTATTCAAATCTTTTTTAGGTTTTTTATTATTATTAATTATATTTAAGTTCTAAGTTTTAACAAATTCCCTTTTTTTTTGATTTTTTATTACTTTAAAATCTTTTTTTTTCTTATTATATCTTTCATATAATCTATTATTATAAAAAATTATCTTGATTATATATTTATTAATAATAATAAATCATTCCTCTTTAAAAAGTTTATTTTTTACCTAAGTAACCACTTCTTTATAAAAGTAATTAAATTATTTAAATTTTGTTACATAAAATATAACTTACTCCTTTTATTTAAGGTAATAAATGGCTTTCCATACTTCCTCTTTTTTAAATAATTTATTAAACATTATTTATATTTTGTTTTCAAAATGTTCATATAATTTGAAAACATATTAAAATTCCTTTAATTCTTTCTCAGTAATATTGAAATGATTTTCCAAAATGAATTAAAACCATATAAAGATAATTTTATTTAAGAATTAAATAATAATAAATATTTATTATTCCTTTTATAATAGGTTTTTCCTATAAAAAAATAAATAAAATTTTATATATATAAATTAATTCTTAACATCTAAAATTTCATCATAGATTAATAAATTTATTAATTTATATCCCTTAATAAGCAAAAAAGAGGTCATTATTTTTTCCTTTCTTGGTTAGAGATCTTTACCTTCCTTTTCTTTCCTATCTTTTTTATTATTATTATTATTATTATTTGGAGGTCCAAGGGGTGCCGGTTACTGAGAGGTTCCCAATGGAGATCCTTTAGAAACCTTTCTTAATCTGGCCTTCTTTAAAGTTAATTCCTTTTTAAGCTTTTTAATCTCCTTAAAGGTAGTTATCGTTTTGGTTTGTCAATCAGGAGCCTTTTCCTCTTCTTGGTCATCCCTTTCTATTCTGATATTAATTTCTTCCTACATTTCCAATTCTAGGATTTACAAATATGTCTTAGAAGGTACCATTTTGTCAATAAGTTGGAATATCTTCCTTATTAATAATAGGTCTTAAATAATATAAACAAATATAAATATTCTAATCAATAATAAATTAGGTTATTATAAATTATTTAAATCCTTACTCTAGAATTCCTTTTTATTTAACTTTTCTTTATTTTTTAGGTCAGGGTCTACTAGTTTATCTTATATTTAATTATAATATCCTTTAAAAGATAATTTTTGGAAAATATAGAGGTTTTCTATCTTATTTTTAAAAATTAATAAAATAAGAAAAAGTTTAATTAATAATGATAAAGGGATGTCCTATAAATGGTTCATACCATTTCTTAACCTAATACTAATATTGATTAAAGAGTTATTAAAATATAACAAACCTATATTTCAAAAAGGTATAATTATTATTAGATTAATTAATCTAAGATTTTCTTAATTTAAAAGTAACAATATTAATAATAAATTAAATAATTAAATATATTTTATTTGTTAGAAAGGTTTAAAATCTTTTTATTATATTTAAAAAAATAGTTTTAAATTAATAATTAAAAAGTTATAAAAAAAATAATTAAATATATAAGAAATATTCATAATTATATAATTATTTCTTTTTTTCCTCTTATCCTAAAATTTATTATAATATATTGCAATATGTTGCGATATATTATAATATGTTGTAATATGTTATAATATGTTACGATATGTTATAATATATTATATATTAACATATCAAACCAGAGTTTAACCATGATAGGTTACCTATGCTCCATCTTCTGTGATCCGATAAGGGTTCCTCATGGGTGGTTTGTAACAAATAGCCCAAAGACATGTCCATACCAAGTTAAATTAATACCCTCTAGGTCTTAATCCCCTGTACCAGCGAATGTTGGACAATATTCACGGTTCGGACGATGTAGACCTCTGCATGAAGATACTATCCGTTGTTTCAATTGTATATAAACCTGTCACGCTAGAAGAACTATCGACCCTTGTTAATATACCTGATGATATCGATGACGACGACTTAGTAGAAATTGTAGAGCTATGCGGCTCTTTCCTTTCTCTCCGTGGGCGGACCATTATTTTTATCCATCAATCCGCGAAGGACTTTTTATTAGAAAATGCGGTTACTGAGTTGTTCCCCTCCGGAACGGAAGATGCTCATTACACGATTTTTTTCGCGATCATTGGAGGCCATGGAAAAGGCCCTACGCGCCGACATCTACCTATTAGGTGCTCCCGGATCCTGCCCTCATCAAGTGGAACAACCCGAGAAAGACCCTCTTATAGCGTTGCGTTATTCCTGTATCTATTGGGTCGAACACCTTTGCAACTCCCAGCTCGACTCGAATACCACGTATAATGATAGTTTACAAGATGGTGGTCTAGTCGAAACTTTCTTGAGGAAGAAATATCTCTATTGGCTTGAAGCTCTTAGCCATTGCAAGACCATACAAGAAGGAATGGGTTCAATCACTAGACTCCTAAATATTGTTAAGGTAAGGTCCAACCACGTCAATTATACGTATCAACTATACTTACCCAGGCGAATTACTAGAGACGGCACAATGCTACGCGGTTAACTTCGCTTGTCCAAGATGCCCGTCAATTCATTAATCACCATCTATTGACAATTCGAGAAGCCCCTCTCCAGTTATACAGTTCAGCCCTTGTGTTCAGCCCAAGAGAGAACCTAATAAGGAATCTATTTAAAGAGGAGATACCAGACTGGATTATGCATGAGCCAAGCCACTGGCATCGCTATCCACAGCCATGCGGGAGTCATCAAAACCGAGTCAACTCAGTAGCTATTTCGCCTGACGGCAGTATCGCGGCGTCGGGATCGGATGATGAGACTGCGATTCTCTGGTCAATCGAAACGGGGGAGTTACTACGGGTGCTCAGCGATCATAGCGACCGTGTCTACTTGGTACTATTTTCACCCAACGGCAACGTCTTAGCTTCAGGTTCTTACGACGACACCGTGCGGCTTTGGGACGTCGAGACAGGATTATGTCTACGCATAGTAGAAGTGGGCAATCCATTTTCGGAGGAGGTGGTGTTTGACCAGGACCAATTCCATTTTACTGAAATCGACGATACTAGTTCTCTTGATTGCTTACGGCGACGGATAGGTACATATAGCCGGTCGTCAGATGATAACGGTCGGAGCTATTGTTTTGATTACGACTTAAATCCGGCATGTGACTGGATAACGTTAAACGGGAATAATATCCTTTGTTTGCCGGTATTTTGCGGGGCGTGGGTTTCAGCCGTGTCTGGCTCGGCTGTGGTAGTTGGTTGTGTGTCGGGGGAGATTTTTATTTTCCGATTTGATGCGAAGAAGCTGTTTAAACTACCAGGGTTTTGTTCGTGATGAATCTAGGACTCCGATATTCGATTCCATGTACAGATACTTTGGTGGTACGCTAGATAACACACGGAAATCGAGAAGTGTTGCATAATTCAAAGAGACATTTGAACACGACATCCTCATTCAAAGAATCTCTTATTCGTTACTTTTCGGTACAGGAGATTGCGCTTCAACCGAAAAGATCACCAGCTCACTTGGTGTACTTAGTGTCCGCAAGCAACACTTTCATGGCATTGCTCATTGGCTTGTATGTGCTCTCTTCTCTAGCTAGCTCCGCATCTCGTACGAGAGCTGGATTAGGATCTGCGCCCTGTTCTAGGCAGACGAGAGCCGCATCGAATTTCGATCTAGTGGCGGCAATCCTGCATGCGTCGGTGGCGTCGCCATCAGCTCCGAGCAACAATTTGAGCGCGTTCAAGTCATCCCTTTCTATGGCAATTAATAACGCAGCAGACGCGTCGGCACCGTGACGGAGGAGCGACTCGACTGCCGGTAGGTTATGATGATAGATAGCCCACCGCAAAGGTGGACCTTCTCGACCGGTGTACGTAAAATCGCTCAATTTCACCAACCCGTCGCAGGTGTCGTCGCCATTAACATCGTACTTATAATTCTGCAGGAGGTGCGCGATATTAAAGTCGACTTGGGCGGGGTTCTGGGGTTTGTAGAAGGCCGTGTAGTGCAGCGCCAAGCATCGCGAAGGGTCTGCCCCTCGGGAGACGAAATAGTCGAACATGTCCATATTCCCCTGCGCTGCCGCTTCGTTAAGAACCGCAAGGGTGTCGTCCCGCTCTCCCTTTTTAAGGTCTGTGCGTAGCTCGCTCTGAGGAAATTCGAGTCGTGCTCCATGGTCAAGTAGCCAACTTACAACCTCTTTGCTTTCGAGGACTCGACTGTAATTCGATTAGCAAATACAGATATAGAAAGACGGCCATAAAACGAACGTGAGTATGAGATGACCCTTCGTCTTAATTGGCCAACCAGCCTGCTCCAATATCTCGAAGATCTCGATGGAGCGACATTTTGCGAGAGGGTTGGTTTGAAATATCATAGGGCGCACACCTTGCCGCAGCAAAAAGGCGACATCCTGCGCATGGCTCTTTGCAATAGCATGGTATAGAAGAGGTATGGCAGACCGAGAGGTCAACTGCTTAGTTTGGAAGGCTTCTGTAACCTGGTCGTAATTACCAATATCGAGAGCATTTTGCAAGTCCGCCAAGATCTCATCGTCCAATCCCATGTCAAAAAATAGTATGACGAGCTCGCTATGACGACAAGTAGCTCGTAGGCCGAGCTGTTGTGTTACAACCGATCGAAGTATTTAGAAAGCCGACGAGATCCGTACCCCTGAATCGGATAAGGCACCTTGGAAAAGGCTTATTCTAGTTTAGCTCCCGTGCCGCAACGTCGATCAGTGGATCTCGTACCACCGCGGTGTGGCCCATATAATTGGATCCAGTTTTAGCCCCTGAGAACGGTACCTGGTATATAGAATTGGCTGAGAATTATTCTCCTATTTCTACTTGTAGATTCTTCAACACACTATCGCCCTAAGTTCCCCAATTAGGTACCGATACTCAAGAATATTTGAGCTACGGCTATATGAAATGCAATAGTCCAATACTGCGGATGTACGTTCTTCTGCTGAGCGAATCGACAATAAAGGGCCTACCAGCCTGCCTCTTCATGGTCTGAACGAGCTGGGGTGCGATTGGTCTACCTAATATGGCGTTCTACAACGTGGGGGTCAAAATAAGTTTGACGGACCTCCGGTGGGGTTATCGGGTCACCAACGTGGCTGCGCGGATCTATGTCACAGCAGATTTCCCGTACTTTTTGTTAAAGTCCCATGAGCATTGGAGGCGGTAGCTAAAATAGGCGGGGGAATTCGCCGTCCTAATCAGCCCCACGATGTTGTGAAGATGTAGTAACCCAAGAAGATGGAAACTTTACTGCTTACCTAGACACCTACCTAGGTAGGTACTCAGGTAGGTAGGTAGGTAGGTAGTATATTCCATTCGGTCGCGCTAATCCCTACGACAATTCCTATCGTATAGCTATCGTGCAGGAAATGTATTCTTCCTCTCGCCAAAGATCTCATCCTCCAAGCCACTAAAAGAACGAGGGTAGTGGTGGGATTTCTTCAGCCGTGACCACCCGAGGCGAAATATCGGACGGCGACATGGTGCAGCTCAATTGAATTCGTAGGTCTCTGTTCTTATAACCCTGGTGGAAATTGCAACCACAACCCGGGATAACCGATTATCAAAAAAGGGGCGCTGAAGACGGTTTCGGCTGGGATTCTGCGAACGGTTGCCGATGCATTCATGCCTGGCGAAATATGGCATCCTCGAAACCTTCGCTCTCAGTAGGATACTGTTTTACACGATGTAAGTTTCTATCTCCATGATTTCCACTTGCTTTCTATCGCCGCCTTACGAATATAACCTTTCCCCCGTCCCTTGAAGCATGTTAAGTTACAAAATCCTGCCATGCAACGCACATAAATCCCAGCAACTAATTTGATGATTGTGTCGGTAACGGAGTGATTCTATTGGCCTCGGAGTTGATATCATGAACTTCGCTTGCTCCTAATCGCGTAAATATCTAAAATGATACCTCTGCCGATGAATTGTCAGTAATATTTGAAAATTGATGCAACGCTAGAAGCAGACCCATTGCCGTTTTATCATCGCAACACATCGTTTCAGTTTTCGCCGTCGCTCGAAACAGGTCTAGTCTGATAGAGAGGATTTATCAAAACGAATGAGCCCAGAGCCATATCTTCATTGTATATATGCTTTGACCGTCCCGTGGTGTTAGGTGCATCCCTCTCCTTTTCGTCCAAACTCTTTCCTAGCCCCCTATGTGGACCACGATGGCCTACCGGTTTTCGTCAAGGACGAAACGTATTCTCTTATGCTTAAAATTCATTGGCCTAGCCAACAGCGCAAGCGCACCTATTTCCGCATCATGGTCAAAACGGACTTTCGGTCCCGATGGGCCGTGGCCGGCGATCGAAATAAATATAGCGGATAACCAAACGATTACGATATATCCAGGCAATCAAAGCCCTTTGGCTTATGTCTTCACGGACGAGTACTGCGATAATAATTTAACTTCGCCTTGCTTTCCAGCACAGGCAGGCCTCTATAATGTTGACGAGTCAGCCTCAGTTTCCCCTGAATCCGACTCCGGATTTTGGCAGAGTTACATGAGCGGTGTAGATGTTGAGAGCATTACCTATCGTTTCCGGGCCGATACGGTGGATTTTCAAAAGGGGATGCCTATTCCTAATGTCATGATGTTACCCATGAATGCTTCCTTTGCGGAATATCCTGATGGAACCTGGTATCCTCTAAGCGTGGGCTGTCTAGGCCTAGGATCAGCGCGACAAGGAGAAGGGGGCGGATTTTTCTCGACTACCAATGCTACCAATACGACTAACGTCAACACTTCTACTATCCCTGGGTATCTATCGGATCATGAATATATTTCGTCAAACTCATTTGGAATGCATTTGGGTTCGTCGTATCCGAAGATGGATGGCTCTCTATACCTTGGAGGATACGACCAAAATCGACTAATCGGAGATGTCATGACCATTGGACACACCAGCTTTCTCGCTCCGCAAGTCGCTCTGGAAGATATATCAATCCAGGTCGTAGAGGGTGCTTCACCATGGGGGTTCACGACCCGAGACGGCCTCTTACGACAAGCAAACGATACTATCTCTCCAGATGGTCTTCTCATGTATGTGGACTCGTGTTCACCATACTTTTCTCTGCCTAAATCCACCTGCGACGCTATCACCTCATACCTACCTGTGACGTATAATGAGAAGTTGGGATTGTATTTCTGGGACACCGACAGCGCAAACTATTCAAAAATCGTTTACTCAGCATCCTCGCTTGTGTTCACCCTCCAGCCATTTAATATCGACAATTCGACCAAATCCGAGAATATCACTATCTCGGTACCTTTCCGCCATTTGAACCTTACCTTGGAACCACCATTAGTCCCAACAACCCAACAATACTTCCCGTGTTACACCGGAACGGAACGATCCGTCTATACATTAGGCCGCGCGTTTCTCCAAGATGCCTTCTTGGGCGCTAACTGGGACTCAGATACGGAGTGGCTAGCCCAAGCCCCTGGTCCTAATGTCAGGGATGCCTCAATCGTCGAGATAGGCGCTGGCGACATATCTATAGGGTCAAGCAGCATGGATTGGAAAGAGTCGTGGTCGGGGCATTGGAAAGCACTTACCCCTGAAGAGGCGGCCGCGACTACAAGTATATCACCACCGATACCTACAAACACAGCTGGATCGGGCATTGACAAGCTTCCGTTGCCGGCCAAAGCGGGAATCGGAATGGGTGTGGGAGTATTTTTGCTACTCCTAGGGTTTTTCACCGCTTGGAAAATAGTTCAGTCTAGGAAACAGAGGAACAAAGTTCCTACGGATATCGCGACAGATTCAGAAGAGACCCCGATCGAAAAGCCACAATTACATCCAGACCGTATCTCTAGTCCCAGTCCTTACCAGATGGAAGACAACCAGCGCCCTATCGAACTTGCGCAATGCGAAATAATAGAGTTGGAGGATACCCAGATTCACGACGACAAGAAAACTAACTCCATAGACAATTTTTCCGTTTCCCCTGAAAAACCTACTTCTATGGTGGATTAAGACCACGACCTCTGATACGAATGATGATGTACTATATTGGATATATATTTTATACCATTTCGACGACTTCTGGTATATAATGATAGGATCTCAATCCATAATATTTAGACATAATTGATTGTCACAGATGGGGTGCCACTCTAACGTCTGAAAAGGGGGAAAATCGCGGTGTTAGTCCCACTATTTCGGGGTCAATATTTCCATAAAGGGAAACTTAAGTGCCGGAGATAAAAGCCGAAGGCCCTAATCGGATATCAGCGGAGATCGGCCATCAGTTTCCGAAGCCACTGACGGCATGAAGTGGAGGCGCGAAGGCGTGATCGCCTCCGATTGGAGAAGTCTCCACCCAATACATAAAGTAAGGAGTAATCGCCTAGGTAAAACCTCAACTTCTCCTGATAAATCTAGTATTCGAAGTATTGTGCAACTTCTTTCAATACCTGGGTGCGTTAGCCATGGCTTTGCCAAGGATTGCCGTATTAGATGATTATCAACACTTATCGGACCCCTCTTTCTCTAAACTGGTGGGCAATGGGTACCATGTGTCTACATACGTGCAAACATCGCTCCCCTATAATCACCCTGATACCCCCCAAGATGCGAAAGATGAACTAGTGAAAAGGCTTGGGCCGTATGAAATCATCTGTAAGCCTTCAGTTGAAAGGAAAGCATAATGTGTAACTGACCAACAGTCCAGCCACGATGAGAGAGCGGACCCCATTCCCCGCCGAGCTCATCGACAGGCTTCCAAACCTGAAATTGCTCCTCACAACGGGAAATAAGAATGCCTCTATCAATGTGAAGGCGTGTATAGCCCGTGGTATCCCTGTGACTGGCACTACCTCCGAAAGAAGAAGTCCGGACAGCACCACACAACACTGTGTGGCCCTAATCCTCGCTCTCGCAAGAAATATCCCTCAGGATGATCATAATATGAAGAACGGGGGATGGCAAACTACTAGCGCGACGGAGCTAGCAGGGAAGGTATTCGGTACTGTCGGTCTGGGTAGGTTGGGTGTATCGGTCTCGAGGATCATGCACATAGCCTTTGGAATGAAAATCGTGGCTTGGAGCACGAACTTGACTCAAGAGGCTGCTGATGAAAAGGCCAAAGCTGCAGGATTGTCTGTCGAGAACGAGAATGGAGAGAAGACCTTTAAGGTAGTCAGCCGAGACGAGCTGTTCTCTTCTGCGGATGTGGTTAACATTCAACTCGTGCTGTCTGAGAGATCGAGGGGCTTAATAACGGCAAATGACTTAGGAAAGATGAAAAAATCAGCGCTATTCGTCAACGCTGCACGAGGACCTATTGTTGTAGACGATGATTTGTTTGATGTGGCTAATAAAGGGGCGATACGTGGCGTAGCATTAGATGTATATGAAATTGAGCCACCAGCAAGAGACAGCAGGTGGAGGAACACAAAATGGGGACAAGAGGGAAAGAGCCATGTGGTTTTGTCCCCACATATGGGCTATGTGGAAGAGGAGGTCATCAAAGGGTGGTATCAGCAGCACGTTGATAACATACTACAGTGGCAAAAGGGGGAGGCTCTTGCCGCTGTCTTTAGTGACAATGGGTACTGACCTACGTCATTCGCGACTACCTAGGGATAAGAATGCATAGGAAGCTTTGAAGAACCATATGGGGGCTCAGGAAAATTGCGAAGGAAAAATTGAAGGTGCGATTTAGATTTAAAGAGGTCGACCGCAGGTTCGATCTTGCATGTATGCCTAGATAGGTAGCTGCCTAGGTATTTTCGAAGGCGCGATCAGTCTAGAAGAGGTTAAAATACAGGCTCGATCTGACGTATGTAGCTGTCTTCGAAGGTTCGACCTGGTATGTGTACCTCTCTTCGAAGGGACGATTCAATCCTAGAATTTTTAACCGCAGGTTCGACTGGAAATCTGCAGCTATCTTCGAAGGTGCGAACCTGCCGGTATACACCTTGCTTACCCATACAGATGAGATTATGACGACGCTACTGCAGCTGTGGGCTCCTTGCGATTACCTCGAGCTCACCCGGCGACTCCCTAAGTTATCCAGATGAGCAGGCATGGGGCATGTTCGACTGCTGCTGATACGGTTCGGTCGTACATCATTATTCCATTCATTAAGTCGAATACGAGTGATTATGCGGCAAACTGCTCTGAGTTCCTTGCCTATAAAAAAGCCGTTTTCCTCCCAGATTTCTGAATTTTCCTTCCCTCCCATCAACATAGACAATCGGCAACAAAACACCCACTTCTCTCCATTCACACCTTTTCACCTCTCATCACTCTCATTAATTATCTATTTCACACATAAATATATATAAATTATCGACGCTTATATATATTTATTCCTTAATCTAATTTTTTCTTTCACGCTCGACTTCCATTGTCTCTCTGGGCGACTGGTATCTTGTTTTACTCCTGACTCTAGAGTTTCTCCTTATCCTCTCTTCCCCCACACTTCTAATCCATGGAACGTGTTGAGCACATCCACATCCCCTACATGTCGAGGGACTGCACCTCGCGTATCCGCTGAGTCATCCACTCTGTTTGCGAGCAACTCTTGCATCAAGCAAGCCACCCCAAACCCCCAATCCCCACTACTACACTTCTCGGACGTGTCAAGACCATCCACCTCATCGTTGATCACATTGGGTCGATTGACTGTGATTCTACTAATTATTGAAAGTGGTGGTAAGTTCGCAACAATTCCATGAAAGAATTCGAAGTCTGCCTTCAGTGCTGACGGGTTTTCTAGGGTCATACCTGAGAGCAGTTTGGCAGAGAAAAGCTGAAAGCAATGTCGAGTACCCCCGGAATTAGTAAGTTGTCTTCCGTTTAAATTTGTTATCAACCCTTCCGCTATTGATTGCTTCTCTCTTTCCTTTTCCTTTCTTGACCTCTCTGTCCCTCTTTCTACAGTCTTGTCGCGCAGTTAGCGCCGCTTGGAGGGTGAGCTCATGCGGCGACGAAAGCGCATTTGCGCCCTCACTGCATTTAATATTGACATCACATGCGACATCTGCCCCTCGTTTACCACCTCCCCGTCTCTTATTGCCATGGAGAGAGTTTAGTAGCATGCGCTAACTACGGACAGTCAGGCACTCCAGGGGAAGGGGGCCCGAGTGCTCTTCAAACCCTTCACTTCCTTCTCATCGACAACGCAGCATTCGAGCGGCGCCTACTCCAAGAATCCTCCAGCACTGATCACGAAACGTCCACCTACTTTCTGTCCGTACTGAGGGAGATACAATCCCTAGTCAAGTTCCTCCCAAGGGAGGTTGCCGCCCAACGATGAAGCACAGGTGGAGTGCTAGTACTCCTTCGCCGGTAAATCCGACGATGGCCTTGATTGACGAGGGTTAGATGGGGGACTCTAGTGAACGTGCGGGTCCTTCTTTCTTTGTTTCGTTCTGTTTCGCCCTGGTTAGGCCACCCAACCACCGTTCAGTCTCGTCGGCTGGTATACCCGCCACTACTCTTTTTCGTCTGGCTGGTTTTCCGCCCATCCACCAATCACTCAACCGAAGGCTACCCCCAAGGAGGGAGAGTAGCCTCTACCGCGTTGTTAGTGGATGACTTAACTTGAAGTCTGCGACAACTGACGTACGACCTCAACTCGATGAATATTTTCTCTTCTGAAACCGAAAAGTTGTATGGTTCCGGATGATCCGGGAGGCATTTCACCTTGGGATCATTTTCCTATTATTCTGTTATTCCTTTCGACCTTGGTATCCGCTCGATAGCTCTACCATTGGTGGCAGTGGCGGTGGTTAGACTGGCGTCACTCTTTGAGATAGGGTAGAGAGAGTAAGGCCTATGAATTCGAGGTCAGGGTTGGGGTGTCGGGCAAGACCAATAGCCCCCATATTCCCGTGCTGCTGTTCCAGATGACTGCCGCGATAAGGTTCTAGCTGGGGAATAGTGACCTCTTCAGTCTTCTACACGTTCGACCTGTGCTCGGCAAGAACATCAAGCGAAGCCGAGCAATATGGAATACGACGCAACTTCACTGGTAGCCTTGCTTGCCGCAGTCTCTCCTACCATTCGTTGGAAGAGTTCCTTCAAACCCTTTTGCGGCCAATCCGGCCGCGCAGCTCACTCACCAGCAGCTGGTCTTGGCGACGTCATTGTTAAAGCCAGGCTGATGAGCAAATCGCAGGTTCCTCATTGCGAATATCATCTAGAAGAATGTATTCGGATGTGGCAGATCAAGCTTGGCAAAGCAAGGCTCTTCAGCATCCTCGGCGTCATTAGCCACCTAATAACCAATCGCGGGGTGAAGATGGTTAATGATATCGAGAATGCTGAAAAAAGAGCCGCATGTCGCTGCAGCTCTGAGATGGCCCTGTTAATGGACTTCGATGGAACGACATGTGGACGGTCGCACTCGCGAATAAGGTCAAGTTGGCAGGGGATTTGCCATGGAAGGGAGTCAATCTAAGGCGGGATAGAGAGATTATTGCTACGTGTTCGTTGGAGCCTTATAGCAGTGCCATCTCGCCGCGCAATGATGTTTGTCTTTTTGCTCCAGTCTTGCGAAATGTCTTTGTTGGTATCTTGTTTAGCAGCGATTGGATTTGGGCGGTTGGTTCTTAAAGTTAGATATGCGTGGAGGCACATAGGTGAGAAGCGTAACGTAAAGAAAGAATATCAATAAAAGAGCCCATGTCATGCGCAAGAGATTTGATGTGATTTCAATGATTAGCGCAACGTTCCCAGTCCTAGATCTTGCTCGGCATTCTTATACCTCCGTCTAATCTGATCACAGTGCCGTTAAGCATTGGGTTCTCAATGACTTGCCGGGCCAATTGCGCAAACTCATAAGGTAACCCTGCTCGACGCGGGAATTCCATGGCTGCCTCTAACCCCTTGAATAACTTTTTAGGCATCACCGACGTCATACGTGATTCGAACACGCCCGGAGCGATAGTCACACAGCGTATACCGTATCGCGCCAGATCCCTCGCCATGGGTAAAGTCATGGAAACCACGGCCCCTTTACTAGCAGCGTATGAAACTTGTCCTTTTTGCCCCTCAAACGCAGCGACCGATGCTACCATGATGACGACGCCTCGTTCTTTATCGGAACCTACTGGCTCGGTTTTGGCGAGATGGACAAGATACTGCCGCACTAAATCGATAGTTCCTCGTAAGTTGATGTTCGTTACAAACTCGAAAGCTTCCAGGCTGAATGCGTTTCCTTCACGGTCTAAAATCTGTGGGGCGATTTAGCGTTAATATAGGGGTAACTTCGAATGGCTAAGTGATTGTTCGTGCCTACCGTTGCTGGGTTGCCCACACCTGCCGCTGGAATGATACCACCTATGGGTTTCCCCGTCTGTTGTATCCATTCTACAGTCCCGTTGACGGCAGCTTCGATGCTTTTCGTATCTGTGACGTCACAGACGAAGAACTTGGCGGTTCCGCCAGGGAGACTCTCCACCACGGCTGCACCGTTCTCTTCATTCAAATCTAGAACGGCGGCGTTACCTCCATTCCGACATATTTCTTCCACGCATGCTTGACCCAAACCGGATGCTCTATTTTATTGAGGGGTTGGTTAGTATATGTTTGAGTTACACACGGAGTTTAGATATTGCGTACCCGCCAGACACCACAAAAGTTCTGCCTTCGACCTTCATATTAATTGAATTGGTACTGAGGTATTGGGAGTGGTTGTATGTTGGTGAGCTTATGTACAAATGTGCGTATGATACAATACAAGATACAATGTATAAGTGACAAAGAAAGAAGTCATGATGCACTATTCTAAATGAAGCTGATGAAAGATAGAACGACCGAGTCACTCGGCCGGAGTTGGGGTCGCGGTTGAAAATGTGCCTCGGCAATTTAACACAAGCAAGTAACTACACGTAAGAAGGCGCCGTTCCTGCTGACTAAGAAACTATTCTACCATTTATGGAAGTACCTGTGTACATTAAGGAGATAAGCCGGCCAATCCCTGTACGACACTCAGACCTTACCACCTGTTTCGTCACCACCTTAAATGCTCGGCTGATCACGATACTGATAAGGACAGCTGAAACTAGCGCATTTCAGGTATGGTATGAACTATTTTAAGCCTCGTTTTAGACCATCCATACAGTAAGGCGGAACTTAATCTAGAACCTTGGTTGAATTTCCCAATTCCGCATCTATTCAACCATAATTCTCAATACCCTAGTACCTTGTCTTGTTTCTTGCTGGCGATTAAGAATATCAATTTCTGGAAACAATCTTCACTTTGCTTACCGGGAATTTCGATAACGAGTCGTCCAAGATGACGCGTCCGCGGCGCTCATCGGCCGCCAGCGAGGAGAGTACCGGGACGGCCGGTGATCAGGTATGCGACATCGAACCTTAGACGATCGGGCCGGTAGAGGACGGAAAAGGGAGATGGTAGCTGATAGAATATTAGGAGCTCGGGAGCATGTACGATTACCTCGCCAAGATTATCTTGTTGGGACCTAGTGGCACAGGAAAGTGAGTGCGACCAATCATCCACAACTCAAATAAAGAAATATCATCTCGAACGAATGTTTCTGGGACCATACGCAGGGTGATGGATAAATATCGAGTTCTGATAAGCTACAAACAATCGGCTAACACAAGCGCTATTCCGATAGGTCGTGTCTCCTTCACCGCTTCGTCAAGAACGAATGGCGAGTCCTCTCTTCACAAACAATCGGCGTCGAGTTCGCGAGTAAAATCATCAAAGTCGGGACGGGTGCACGGCGGAAGCGGATAAAGTTGCAGGTATTCTACCACTTACCTACCTATCAAACGGGATCAAACAAGGACGGCGCGGACTAACCAGACTGTTACTACTAGCTATGGGATACGGCAGGCACCGAACGATTCCGCTCCGTCTCACGATCGTACTACCGAGGCGCCGCCGGCGCTATTCTATGCTACGACCTCACATCGCATAACTCGTTCCGAGCATTACAACCCTTCCTAAACGATGCACGAGCGCTCGCGTCTCCGAATTTGACTATGGTATTAGTGGGAAACAAACTTGACCTAGCAAACGACACTCTCGTCGATACTAGTCTACCGCCACCGACGCCATCGAGTACGAGTTCTTCCCTACCGTATAGCACATCCGCCGGTACAACGAGCGCTAGCACTAGTCTCGGTACACAAATGAAAGCCACCGTCGCACCCGAAGGCCGCGAAGTATCCACAACCGAAGCTTCGCGGTGGGCCAGCAGCATCAATGTACCCGTAACAATGGAGGTCTCCGCCTTTTCCGGTGAAGGCGTAGACGAGATATTCGGCCGCTTGGCCCGCATGATCCTAACTAAAATCGAGCTAGGCGAGATCGACCCGGATGATCCGATGAGCGGAATCCAGTATGGCGACGGTGGTATGTGGAATGCCGGGGCTAGCGACGGGGGTAGTATTAAGAGCTCGATGACGGCGGATGAAGTGGGTCTTGGAGGCATGAGGAGACGGCGCGGGAAGGGCAAGGGTCGGTCACAGAATTGGGGTATGAGGGAGTGGGAAGAAGTGTTTACGTTGAGTCGAGGTAGAGGGAGGGGGAATTGCTGTTAAGACGTGGCTACATAATACATGGAGAAAGAGAAGGGGCCTATGACTAGAGGCTGTAATTACGGCAGGATACGGGCTATATGGGATTGGCCTGGTTATCCGACAACAACACTACGATGATACCTAAGGCTTTTGAAAGCGCGCTCGCTTCATTTCTTGCTCTTTGTCTTTTTTTCAGGAGCTGGAGGCGAAATCCGGATATCAGGATGGCAGAGAAGACCATCAAGACGAGAAGACTCGATAGAATAATATAAGATTTCTTTCTGTGCCGGTTTGTCCGATTTCCATCTACCAACGCACTTACGTGTACATGCGGGAAATTATGGTTGGGCTTATCAACGGGTAACATCAAATTAGTTGGACCGATCAATTTCACGATGCCGAAGCGAGACCGATAAACGGCGTGGGAGATGAGGCTCCGTCCTTTTCGGTAGACAGTCTTCCACCCCCTTGTTCTTCGGCGGGTCGTCTTCCACCCGCTTGCCGCTTTGCTTTTTGTATGAATTTTTCGATGGCTTTTCGTGGCGTTTTTACCCATCTTTCATAGATGTTTTCAAACACTGATCCCGAGCATTAATGGACCCCCACGTTTCTATCCAATTTTCTTTACAAAATATCAAAATACCGCGCGATATACACGTATCACGCTGATATACTTGAGTAGATATGTACGTGCATTGACCGGGTCATCTCCGAAGAGGCTCCCGATCCGTCGCCCATGGCTAACCCGATACGGATGCGGAGTAGTTCCTCCCGCGACATAGAGCCACTTAGCGCGGGCTGAGCTAAAGTGTGGGGGCCATCCACTAATTTCATCCCACTCAAGTTCTTCGTTTGACTTTCTAATCCTTCCAGCCTTCATCTTTTCCTTCGACTAGTCTTCTATACGATCTTCATCATGCATACTTCCCCAACTAATACAGCTATTATAGTACCAGGCATTTCTCATCTCCGATACATGTGTATCATTATGGTAGGTTCCTGCATTTAGTGATGCAGATCCTTCAATACTTGGTACCTAGATGTACCTTTCCAATGGCTATAGCGGCTATCGTTAGCTGCAGGTCACCCGCTCCAATTACCAATGAGAATACACGATGACCGTACCAGTTCTTCCTCTCTCTCTCTAAGCCCTGTGCCGCATCATAACAACCCATGATCGTGATCTAATCTTAGGTACCTTCCTATGCTATCCTCGGCAAGTCTCATCCCGGCTTCTTAGTTATACATTGATTGCAAAAAAACAAGTCAACATCGTCGATAGTACCTGAAGTATCTCATTTAGCTGAGATTCCTATATTGATTTTCCACCCCTCCTATTTAATCGCGTCTTGTTCGATCTTCAATTGTTATGGAACCCGGTCAGGATTCCGAATCGTCGGGCGAAGCTGCTTATAGGGTTTCCGATTTAAGCAAGGCTAATCTCGATATAAACCTCAACATTTCTTCATCTTTTTCGTCTTCTCATGAAACTTCGTGGTCTCTTCCCCTCAATCCTGTACGCCAAAAGATGGAACCCCGCACAGTGATCCCGATCGACAAGAATTGGGAATTCAAACAGGCCGACAAGGAAGACAGCAAATATCTTCCTGTTAGCCAATTCCCTACCAATGTTCACCTAGACTTGCTTTCACATAATCTCATTCCAGATCCGTATATCGGCAAGAATGAACTTGATGTTCAATGGATCGGAGAAGCCGTTTGGGTCTACAGGACCAGCTTCGCATCGCCCACAATAGGGAGCTCTGCGAAAGCGGTCCTAGCCTTTGATGGATTAGATACCTTTGCGACTGTGGTACTTAACGGAAAGACTATTCTTGAGACTGAGAATATGTTCATCCCGGAACGTGTCGACGTCACAGCGTACCTAAAAGCTGGCGGCGAAAATGAATTAGTTATCACTTTTGACAGTGCGTATCTAAGAGGATGGAAATTGGTTGAGAAACATCCAAACCATAAGTGGGGTTGCTGGAACGGCGACAACTCAAGGCTGGCTGTTCGAAAGACACAATATCATTGGGTACGTCTCATGGGTAAACAAAGGGCTAACAGCCGCGTTTAAGCGAAACTAACATACATAGGGCTGGGATTGGGGTCCGACATTGATGACCTGCGGCCCCTGGAGGCCAATCAACCTTGAGGTTTACGAGTCACATATTGCTGATCTCTGGGTTGATGTTAAAGTCGACAAATCTTTAAAAACCGCGACGGTGACTACTCACGCTTCCACAGAAGGCAGTGCATCAATAGTTCGATTCGATATCTCATTAAACGACACACCAATTGCAAGCCAAGTGGTAGATGCTGGATCTGGTGCTACTTTTACTATCTCCGATCCACAGTTATGGTATCCCGTACGATACGGTAAACAACCGCTATATACGGTTACAGCCGCCTTAGACGAAGGTGGCAAGATCATAGACAGCATATCAAAGAAGATTGGCCTACGGAAAGCTGAGCTTGTCCAAAGAGCACTCGAGGGCGAACCCGGTACATCGTTTTTCTTTGAAATTAACAATATTCCCATATTCTGTGGTGGTGGCGACTGGATTCCGGCGGATAACTTCATTCCACGGATTAGTAAGGAGAGATATTACGATTGGGTGAAACTGGTGGCGGATGGCAACCAATTCATGATCCGAGTATGGGGAGGAGGTATCTACGAAGAGCAGGCCTTTTACGACGCTTGTGACGAGCTTGGAATTCTGGTGTGGCAAGATTTCATGTTCGGGTGCGGAAATTATCCCGCTTGGCCAGAGCTCCTGGACTCAATCAAACGTGAGGCGGAGGAGAACGTCAAATTACTAAGACATCACCCAAGTATCGTTATTTTCGCTGGCAATAATGAGGATTACCAATACGCCGAGAGCGTAAATCTCACATGGGAGCAAGAGAACAAGGACACGGAAAGCTGGCTGAAGACCGACTTTCCGGCTCGATATATATACGAGAAGATTCTTGCTGACGCATGCCGGGAACTCTGTCCATCTACTTACTACCACCCTGGAAGCCCTTGGGGAGGGGTCGACACACGGGATCCCACCGTCGGCGATATCCACCAATGGAACGTCTGGCACGGCACGCAGGAGAAGTATCAAAACTTCGACAAGCTAGTCGGGCGTTTCGTATCCGAATTTGGAATGGAAGCCTTCCCTTCCGTCAAGACCATCGACGCCTTCCTCCCCCTCGGCAAAGACGACCCAGACCGGTACCCGCAATCTTCCACCATCGACTTCCACAACAAGGCCGACGGGCATGAACGTCGTATTGCGCTGTACTTAGTAGAAAATATGCGCTATGCGCCGGATCCGCTCGAGCAATTCGTCTACTGCACGCAGCTTATGCAAGCCGAATGTCTGGCCTCAGCATACCGCCTCTGGAAACGTCAGTGGAAGGGACCAGGCCGTGAGTACTGCGCTGGCGCGCTCGTCTGGCAGATCAATGACTGCTGGCCCGTAACCAGTTGGGCTATCTGCGATTACTACTTACGTCCGAAACATGCGTATTTCACGGTAAAACGCGAGATGGCGCCCCTGAGTGTGGGCATTACGAGACGTGAGCATAGGCATCCCCGGGATAAGTATACGCGCGTACATGTAGATGTACAGACGCAGATTGAGATTTGGGGGAGTAATTTGACACTCAAGGACTTGGTGGTGGATTGTGTGGTTAGAGCTTGGGATGTGGAGACGGGGAAGGAGACGTTTAGTGAGAGGGTTAATAAGGAACCGCTGGTGCTGAAGGAGAATCGGTCTACGGAGATTGTGGCGCTGGATGTACCGGAGCCGAAGAAAAGTGAGGGGATTGATGCTGCGCGGACGGTTGTTGCGGCGTATCTTGTTGATCGTGAGAGTGGGGGGCAACTTGCGCGTTATGTTAATTGGCCGGAGCCTTTGAAGTACTTACACCTGGCGAAGCCGAAGAGGCTAACGGCGGTGTTGAGTGAGGATTTGAAGAGTGTGAAGGTCGAGGCTGAAGTTCCGGTTAAGGGCGTTGCGCTGGAGAGTGAGGATGATGATGTGAAGTTTGAGGATAACTTGTTGGATGTCGTGCCTGGGGAGGTTTTGACGGTGGGGGTTACGGGCGCGAGTGAGGCTAGTGTGGTTGGGGTTAGGTATTTAGGTATGGTATAGGAGGTCTGCTAGTATGTTGCTGAGCATAGTCTTGGAGATAAACCTAGATAGTTAAAATCTCGAAAATGAAGAGATATACGTAGAACTAGCCCCTGGTTATTGAATAGGTGATTCGCGTGTCGAAGAGGTGAGTCTTAACTACCTAGGTATATATCTGAATACATGTAGTTTTGAAGAAACGAGACATGATACTTTGGTACGTAGATACCTATAACAGCGTGTCAAGAGTCCTGAACCGTTTTAGGACTGGCGGCTGAATCTAATAAAGAAATTAATGTTTTTATTGGGTGCATCATACGTTAGGCCAAAACTGGTTGATACTACGCATTGACCAGATGTCCCAAATCAGCCAATCAAAGCTACTTACTAAGTAGTTGAATTCAACACGACTCAAAACGAGTCGCTCAGAAGGGCGTCAAAAGACTATGCTGTATGATTTTCGACCAATGAAATAGTCCGTTTAACAAAGACAGAGGCTTAGCCATATTAATACAACGGCGAGCACTTTTTTTTGACACCCTTCTGGCACTGTGGGTTACCCACCTAGGTAATTTGGGTACCGCCATCAGCCCTTTCCAAATAAAATCTCAATAATAGGTTCTAGAATTGATGGTCAGTGTGGATCATCACTATGCTACGGGTGGATTTAAATACCCTACTACATCCACTCCCTTTTTCAGCTGCAAAATACTTTCCCTATTAGGTAACTTCGATGTATTTGAGGGGTGTTCGCAGCTCTTTCGACACGCATGGTCTCTGTACCTATGCACCTCATTACATGTCTGCTCTTTTGATATGATTATTGATTGGTGCTTCGCATTCCATAGAAAATATGTCTTTATATCAAGGAGATCTTACAGTATGGCTGTTTCTAGCGACATAAATATGCCATATAATGCCTTTCAAGCTGTTTTTCTCATTTCATTTCTACTCTCATGTTTATCCCGTGTATATTCTTTAGTTTCTATCTCGCAAATATTTCACCGCTATTTCATCTATTTTTGGTTAATCAAGATGGGTGGCCATTTATCAAAGATGTCACGTGGCGATAAACCGGGGCCATTGATCACTTCTCTCCACGCCGCTGACAAATCCGAAATTAGCCCGCTACAATCCGGCAAGGATGATGATTTCGTCATTGTGGGCCGTGAAAAGACCCGGACTTCGTTAGAAAACACCGTGGTCTTAGTTGACCTCGAGCCGCCTCCGTGTGGACCCGCAGTTCCCGAGGGTTTCTTGCCATATGGGAACCAACTAGAGCTAGTCGCAACGGAAGAGATCCAACCAGGATTGGCTGCTCACGGTGCGTGTGTGGAACGGTGTATTGTCTTACCATTAGTCTAACTATGATAATAGCTGTGGCCTATATTGAGACCTGGAGTGGTCGCGTACGCTGCTCATATGGCACGGGAGCCGTCATTCATGGGAATATTGTTGTTACCGTCGGCCATGTTCTAATGTCTAGCTCTGGTCCTGTTACCGCTGTACGTGTAACCGTCGGAAGAGGCCCTACAAGCGAATCTCGCCATGGAACACGTGTCGCCTTTAACCTCAATTGGTGCACCACGGGGGCAATAGCCAACGACGTCGCCCTCATCGAACTCAATTTACCATTCGACAACGTCCGACCACTCAACTATGGGCAAAGTCCAGTAACGGACGAGAATGGTGTTGATTCCATTGCCTACGGGTTTCCAAACACCGGTACATCCGTACCATGTGGGCAGCTGTACAAAAGCACGGCTCCGCTGAAGTACAACCCCGCCTTAAATATATTTGAACACTGGGGCGATACCGACTCAGGAAGCTCGGGCGGACCGCTTATTGATAACTCAGAGAAAGTCATAGCCCTACACTGGGGATACCACAAGCAAAGATCAGTCAATCTAGCCGTTGCGATTGATTGCAATGGTAACAATTTTGCTGACCTTTTCCGGGCTCTCGACGTGCCTGTTCCAAACTCTGCATCGCACAATTGATAATAGGCCGCGGTGTGGAGTGGAGCGTACTCAGGTATACGGCGTTGATACCACGACCTCTTCTCACCGACATGGTCAGGAGATTAGAAGTTAGTGGATAGTGAAAAGCGCGGCGTTGAATGGTTTTATGATGGGTCAATTTTAAGCTTTATACGGACAGGGAATCATACTATTGGATATACTATGAGATCAATATAAAAATTATAAGAAATTTAGATACCATTCTCTTTTTAAAGCTAGTAATCGGCTTCATTTCTGTCCCCGATATCCTCCGTAATATTGCCCTTAGATTCCCGGCTAATGTGACATTAACGGAGCGCGGTAGGGTCTCCTATTTGATAGGGACGGATCGGATCGGGCGCTTAAGCGAAGACACGGGAGGACAGGGCTAGTTTAGTGGCTAATTTGGGGGGCCCGATGGGATGAGCATGTCGTACGTTACATGTTACATGGGTGTTGTAGATTTAAAGTGTCATGGGGTGAAGTATGGGGTAATGGCGATATTTGGGGTCTGCAATATATATAGTGTGGAGTTCCGTGCCGTTCGAGGTTGTCGCGGTTTCGGAATTCTCGTTCGACCTATGCTTCTAGGGGCTGTGGCACGTGTGGTGTGCTTGAGGGAAGCGGAAGGCCCCTCGGACTAAGAGAATAAATGGGATAAGCTTAGTATCTTCGATTATCTACACGATAAACATCAAAAAACCTCGACTCCTGCCTCGCCCGATAACTACTAGTTAACCTCGTCACAACAAAGACTAGGGAAGTTATCATCATCGCTCGCTCATAACCACCCGACCCGTACATATATAATAAAGTCTCAATACAATCGACAATAGCCGACCCGTGTCAACTAGGCGGTAGCAGCGACGTCATTCTCGTTGGGACCTGCAATGAGAATTTTGATAACCTCGCCCTGCTTGACCTTCTTGAAAGCATTCTCGGCCTCCTTAAACTGTACGATGCCGCTGATCAACTTCTTGACGTCAACTTTGCCAGAGGACACCAGCTCAACAGCAAGTTTATAGTCACCACTGCCATATCGGAAGCTACCTTTGGCTGTCACCTCTTTCAAACACATGGCCATGATGGGAAATGTGATATCAGATTTGCCCATACCGCCCTGAACGTATGTACCACCCATGCGCACGACGTGTAGGCTGGTTTGGATACTCGGTTCAGCGCCGCTGGCATCAATCACTACATCTGCACCCTCCTCGAGTCCCGCCTCTTTCTTGATATTCGCCGCGTTCTGCTCGGCAGAAACTCGTTGGCTAATGTATGTGTGGGTCGAGCAGAAGGACCTGGCAAAGTTAAGCTTGGATTCGACGATGTCAACGGACACGACTTTCGATGCACCGAAGGCTCGTGCTACTGCTGCACAGAGGAGACCGACGGGACCTGCTCCCATGACTACGACCGATTGGCCAGGTGTTACGACGGCTTGTCGGACTATGTGGACAGCGACGGCTAATGGTTCAATCAGGGCTCCTTCTTGCAGCGATACGTTATCGGGTAAGTTGTAGCAAAAGTCGGATGGTGCAGCCCAGAAGCCAGTCAGCGTTCCATCGTAGGGGGGTGTCGCGGCAAATCGCATTTCGGGACAAAGATTGTAGTGGCCACCTAGGCATGGTGTGCATCGTCGGCAAGGGTAACCAGGCTCCAAAGCAACACGATCGCCAATTTTCAGCGTTTTGACTGCATCGCCAACCTCAACCACTGTACCAGAAGATTCATGTCCTAGAACCATAGGGTCCTTGACGACGAAATGGCCGATGGCGCCATGCTCCCAGTAGTGGACGTCCGATCCGCAAATTCCAGTGTAATTCACAGCGACAAGGACATCGTGCGGGCCTTGGCGGGAGGGGACAGGCCTATCCGAGAATTGTACGTCATGTGGCTTGTTGAGGATAAAGGAGAGGTTCTGGGGATCAAGATTAGAGGGCTGTTTAATGGCGGGGGTTGGGGTGGTACACACGCTCGCCGACTTGGAAGCCATGTCTTATTAATATCGGGTCGGCAGATACGAGTAAGAGATAAGTAGAAGAGGAGATAATATATGTATATGGCACAGGAAGACAATTGACTTCAATAAGAGCGAGGTATTATATCTTGAATCGTGACAATGGGACGAACACTGGTTTGGAAACGGGAAATAAAAGTAAACACAACAAGCTTGAGAAAGAAAAAAATCACTCTCCTCTATCTCCCCGTACTCGGAGAGCTAGGTAAGTTCTAGCTAAGGCAAGAGATAGTCTCGTGAGAACTGCCACACCCACAAGCTTGCATGGTTGATAGCGGGGGTAGGGATTTGTAGTATCTCATAGAGCATTGAATGTCGTAATGATACCTACAACCCGCCCACCAGGTAGAGCTGTACTGGGGGGATCATCCCCGGTTCGACCCCGGTATGTGATGGAACTTTGACAGTTGAAGCAGCTAATACTTAGAGCTTCTATCTTCGGGCTAGAATCACGTTTTTATTAACCAGTCTTTTTACCCGGGCCAATCAACTTGATAGCATTGTCCATATTCGTTGAGTTAGTTCAGGTTATAGAGGCGAGCCAGTCGGGGCTCATCTATGCTAGCTAGGATAGTGCTCTAGGGCTGCGTGCGGGAAGCAGAAGGGATCCTGGCATCGTAAGGTACTGGTAGCGACTAAGACCACTACAGGAGATATATGAAATATTCCTTTGGTTCGCGACATGTAATTGACGCTGGTTTCAAATAATGTCACCTTGTCATTTGACGTTGATGTCGTCACTTGGCTTTGGATTGATGAGGGTTATTATGGTTGGTAGGGGGAAAGGAGAAGAATTGGGTCTAATAGTTTGCGGGGCTGCTGCGGGGCGGGAGATTTGTGCTCTGAGTTTCGCCGGCAGAAACCATCTAGGCGGTAAAGTTTTCCCACACCGCCTAAGCCAAATCGCCGGGATACTTGCACTAACAATTTTAATTCTTCAATTGTCACAATTTTTAACAGTTGTCGCAAACGATGGACATCTTAAAGATCTTGTCCCGGGGGACAAAAAAGTCTGCTGGTCAACCCACTACCCCCAAACCTATAGCTAAACCGACAAATCCGCAACTCTATAATGATCCTACTAGAGGTGTGAAGCGCAAGAGAAACGAAGAGTCTGTGTCAAATTTGGACGCCGATGATGATACCGAGATTAATTTCTTCGCACCCCCAAAGGCAAAAAAGCCCAGTCCCGAGCCAGAAACCCGAGAAACCCGAGAAACCCCGAAAGAAAATGCATCAAAGCCCGTGCTCGACGAAGAAGAGGTTCGACAAATCCTTCGGTCGCATCGATTGAAATTCACTCTCTTATCCTCCCATGAGGACAAGAGAACAAAGGTAAAGAAATCGAAGAAGAAAAAGAAGGAGGATAAAGCCAAAGCTAAAGCAAAAGATGCAAAAAAACAACTTTCGCCGCAACCGTTGACCTCGTTCTCCGAGCTTCGATCTACCTACAATATTTCGACTAGGCTAGGAGATAACCTTGTTAAGCAAGGATATCGAATACCTACCGAAGTACAATTGGGAAGTCTACCATTATTGATACAACCGGATAGAGCTATTCCGTCATCTGTTGTTGAGGAGCTGAACTTCAAGACCAACGATGGAATTGACTTCTTGGCGGTCGCTCCCACTGGCAGCGGCAAGACATTGGCTTTTTTGATACCGGCTATCAATACTATCCTTCGAAGGAGAGCCGGAGATGCAGCTCAAAAGGAACATATCTTAGAAGTGGTGGTCGTTGCTCCTACCCGAGAACTTGCACATCAAATTGTCAATGAGGGTAGGAAACTTGCGCAAGGCACAGGTGTAAAGATCGTTGGCATGAAAAAGGGTATGCAAATACCTACGGAAGGCCAGCCAGAAGGTGACTCTAGTGATGAAGAGGGCTCAGAAAGCGAGCAAGAAGCGGAAAGTTCCGACGATAATGCGGAGGACGGCAAGCCACGAAAAGTTGGTCCGACAACAAAAACGGATATTCTAATCACAACGCCGATGCTTTTGCGAAATTACCTAAAATCAAGGACTCTGCCAACGGTCAAATCTTTGATTTTAGACGAAGCCGATGTTCTCCTTGACCCTCTATTTCGGGAACAGACGCTTGGAATTTGGTCCGCTTGTACTAACCAATCTCTACGATTGACATGTTGGTCTGCAACCATGGGATCTAACGTTGAAGGCTTGATATTGGAGCAATTGAAATCCAGAGGACCATCGCAGTCGGCGATACCCCTCGTCCGCCTCGTGGTTGGACTGAAGGATACAGCTGTGCCGAGCATCAATCACAAACTCATTTACACTGCTACTGAGCAAGGTAAACTATTTGCTCTGCGCCAACTCTTACATCCCAAAGCATCGGACGACTCAATGCCGAAAATGCGACTACCATTCCTGGTATTCACACAATCTATCGAGCGTGCCACTGCGCTTCATGATGAATTGAAATTTGACATAGCGGCGGAAGCCGGCGGTTCGTCTCGCATTGCGGCTCTACACTCTTCCCTCTCAGATTCGGCGCGCTCTAACATTGTTGCCCGATTTCGAGCAGGCGAGATATGGGTCTTAATCACAACTGACCTTCTCATGCGAGGTATTGACTTCCGCGGAGTCAACGGAGTGATCAATTACGATATACCCACATCCGCAGCGGCTTACGTTCATCGAGTGGGGCGAACCGGACGGGCCGGCCATGAGGGTGGTGTGGCTGTGACTTTTTACACTACCGAAGATGTCGCTCATCTAAAGAGCATAGCAAATGTTATTGCTCTCAGTGAGAAGCAGGCCGGGAAGAGCAGCGAGGAAGGCGTACCAAAATGGCTAATGGATTCACTACCAAAGGTCGGCAAGGAAGAAAAGAAGAAATTAAAACAGAGGGGTGTGGAATCCCGACGAGGGGACAAGGCCAAGATCACAACGAAGAGCGCATGGGAAAGAAGGAAGGAAAACAATAAGCGTGGTGCTATTGCTGGGAGCAAAAAGAGGAAAATTCAGGAAGCTACTATTGATACCCAGGGAGGTGATGATGGCGAGTGGAGCGGTATTGACGATTAAGCGTGTTCTAACACAGCTTTTATGCTGTGTTGCTTAAAGAGTTATGCTTGAGGTTTGGCGGTTAAAATTGCACCCTAGGATCGCGATTCAACTTAGATCAGCGTATTAATTCTATCTTGGCCCATGTGCGACCGAGAGTCATACCCTCTTATAATACGGCACATTTGATTGGCCAACACTACTTGTAATATTTTCCACAAAGAGTATGTACTAATTGCTGCTTGGATTTTGATTGGTTATTCCCAAACTCTATCATCACCTCGGTACGCAACGACCAGAGAGATTTCACAGCATTGAATGCATTGCAGGACCGGGTCAACTTTAAAGAGATCTTACCTGCCTATATCGAACACATTCCATCAATTATTGGTGGAAACAGCTATCACGCCATCAGATAGGTCGCCCAAGAGTCGGAGAAAGGGCGCTATTACTGTGGGGTTTGCCGACGCCGACTCCGAACTCCACCTTTTCAATCGCAATCGATAACAGCTTTAATTCTTCAGCATACCTACGCGGGACCAGCGAACTAAGCCCACGATCATTCTTTCAACTCCCCTCCCGAGCGCGAACTTCAAAGCTGCCGCCGCCGAAGCTTCAATCCAATCACATATGCGACTTAAGATGACATAGCAACTATTGTAGGCACGAAGCATATAATAGCTCTCCTAATGAATATGTCACGTCTCGCATCCAGATCAACCCACGCCGGGCTTCGGAGTATCTCAGTCTCCCGGCCATGCGTTGCTCACGTGGGGGGCGCACGCTCGTACACCACCGACAAGAAAGGCAAACAGGGCTCTAGTTTCCAAGGGCAGATGCTTGAGAGTATTAGCTCACGTATAGCGCGCGAGAAAGCTGAGCGCGAAAAGTTTGCGAGGCAAAGACAAGAGTCTGCTGGGACGAGACGGTGGGCTACAACATTCGGTAGGAAGTCCCTTTGATCGCGGGGTGTGAAATGGCTGATGCTAATCGTGGTTAATTGATAGTTGTCCTGGCTGCTGCTGGTGCCTCGTATTACTTGGGTCTCCAAGCCCCGCGCGACCCCGACGGATCATCCACACTTCCTCTAGCCCTGACCCGCGATCCGAAATTCAAGAATGATAAGGCGAATCTTGAGGCCGCGTGGTCGGACTTTGCGGCGATCGTTGGTCGGGATAATGTTAGCACGATTGAAACCGACCTAGAGACACATGCCAACTCGGACTGGTCGAGCTACCGTAGCGCTGAGCACGAGAAGCCGTTTATGGTGGTGTATCCGAGTACCACGGAGGAAGTTAGTAAGATTATGAAGATATGTCATTCACGACGGATACCGGTGGTTGGATATAGCGGAGGTACTAGTCTGGAGGGACATTTCACGCCGACGAGGGGTGGGATATGTGTTGATTTCAGAAGGATGGATAAGATTATTGCTCTACACAAAGATGATCTAGATGTCGTCGTACAACCCGCTGTTGGGTGGGAATTACTAAATGAGGAAATCGGCAAGGAGAACCTGTTCTTCCCGCCTGACCCCGGCCCAGGCGCACAGATCGGCGGTATGATTGGCACAGGATGCAGCGGCACAAATTCATACCGCTACGGCACCATGAGAGAATGGGTTATCTCTCTAACTGTTGTCCTCGCGGACGGCACTGTAATCAAAACCCGTCAAAGGCCACGAAAGAGTTCTGCGGGCTACGATCTGACGAAGTTATTCATTGGCAGCGAAGGAACCCTTGGTCTCGTAACAGAAGCCACTCTAAAACTCACCACCAAACCCGCCAGCACAAGCGTAGCGGTCTGCGGCTTCAGTTCGATCCGCCAAGCTGCCGACTGCGTCGCCAAGGTTGTTGGACAAGGCGTACCTGTTGCTGCGGTCGAGATTCTCGACGAGGAGCAGATGAAGTGTATCAACCAAGCAGGCATGACCTCGAAGCATTGGAAAGAAGTACCCACTCTATTTTTCAAATTCTCGGGCACGGAGCGCGGTGTCAAAGAACAAATCCAAATTGTCCAGGAGATGGCGCGACAGACGGGTAGCCGTAGCTTTGAATTCGCGCGCTCAGAGCAGGAGAAGGCGGAGTTGTGGAGCGCAAGAAAAGAAGCCCTTTGGAGTACCATGTCGGTCGCGAAACCCGACGAGAAGGTTTGGACTGGCGATGTGGCGGTTCCGATGAGTAGACTACCGCTATTGATTGAGGAGACGAAGGACGATATGAAGAAGAGTGGCATGTACGGCACGATTGTCGGACATGTTGGAGACGGGAACTTTCATAGTAAGTCGATCGTGGGGTATTAGCGGGGTTCAGATACTGACGGTGTAACAGTCATTTTACTCTCAAATCCAGAGCAGAGACATGCTGCAGAGGAACTAGTGCATCGCATGGTGAAGAGGGCTGTTGAGTTGGAGGGAACCGTTACGGTGAGTTAAATGGCCATTTCGCCTCATTTCAAGATTTCTGAACTAATAAAACGTAGGGCGAACACGGTGTCGGCCTAGTTAAGAGGGATTACCTGCCCCATGAACTTGGCGAGAGTACCGTAGATACCATGAGAAAGGCGAGTTATTCCACATCCATTTCTATCTTTGCAGCATTCTAACCTTTTTATTAGATCAAGCAAGCGCTCGATCCGCTTTGCCTTCTCAACGCCGACAAAGTTGTCCGTGTTCAAAAGCCAAAGCCCGGCGAGATCCCTGAATGGTAATAATACCATTCTCTGTATAGGCATTTGTATAGGTAGGCGACGCGATAATTAGCGATTGCGCGTTTATATCAATCCCCCAGTATATACATCCTATCTATGTTCATGTGTTGATAACGTCAAGAATGTCACATTTGCAGACCTACGTGTATTTTGGCTACCCATTATTGATACCCTCATCTCTACAATGCTTATATGTCGCGAAAATATGCTGCTTATGCATTTCAGGTAACAGGCCTCGGGTATTAACGTTGTGTTATCGATGTTATCAAAAAGCACGAGACTTCAAGTTCGTCAACATGGAGATTAGCACTGCTGCTATCACCAAATCAACGGCCCTATTCCAACTACGGAAACCAGATATCGGATTTCGAATTCCGTCGCGTTCTTGGATGTTAGGAGAACGCTCAATCAGATGGGGGTTCGCTCGAATAGTTTGCGTTGGGGTGACGGCTTGGCGGGCTTCATCCAAAGTAAAGGCGCGGGCGACATCATTGATAGCTCACTCCTACGAAATTCAAGTCAAACCACGACTGCTTTAAATCGGCTTAGAAGGCAGCAAGAAGAATTGACTATTGAGTCGGCTTGAATAGGTCTATGTTTTCGACTCACCTTCGATGTCAAGGCTACAGTGTGCCAAGACGAGCCTGTTGGTGAAAAAACATGTCACAGCCAAGAGCAACTCGGCGAGATTATTTCGGCGAACTAACTTCCAAAAGATTCCTCACCAAGACAACAATCCGCTGACCGTACATGATTTGGAATTACTCAACAAAAAGGGGAAACGCAATATGCACAATAGATCCACATACAAGGGTAAGGGGATATCGTCATACCAAACCTCGTCGAAGTTCACTCTACTTCAATTTCAAATGACAAATAGAAGAGTTATTAGAGGTGCAAACTGAATGCCAATTTAATGGTTAAAGAAAAAGGGAACGGGAGCTTGAACTAACCGGTCGCGATGCGTTACCTGTCTTACCAGCTACCAAGTTCAATCACTCGCTCCAAGCCTGAGATTCACCAAGAATAGTTATAATGACATCCACTACTTTATTTTGACGACACGACGATAAGGCCCTGAACTTACTATTTCTCTTAGAACTCTTGGAAGACGAACTAACATTTCCAGCTCGTAGGTTTGAGTTGAAGACGCCGTCGCAGAATTACCGTGCAGTTTTCTATGATTCGCCACTTCGCAACGGAAACTAAGCCGTCCCTCGGACCTCTAATCCCTTGTTCAATTCTCGCTGACCATCTATTTTATATGGTTTTTACGTACTCGAAGTCTTCCATTGAGCATGCAATCACAAGGGTTTATTGCTAGCTGAGAGAATACCTGATTCTAAATCGGTTAACCGGCATATCCAGCTGGGCATCTCGCCGTACACAATGCAAGTGCCGTGCGAAGCCTTGTACGGAGCATAAGAGGATACTTCAATGTTATCTATAGCGGAACGCGTGTTGCGCTAGTTTTTGTTCTTGGGTCGAATATACCAACCCCCCTCGTCCCAACTTGGTGGATAAATGTGCTAAAAGACCCGTCTTGAGTGCAGTGCCGTGTGGTACCGGCCCGTTCATGACAACGTTGTATCCTTAGACTCAATCCTCATATCGAGATTTGGCCCGGTATTGGTTCACATGCCTACCTCATACAGATTCCAACAAGTCCTAATTCGCGTGGCCCTGCAAGGAAGTAAAAAGTTTTTATTAGCAACAGTATTGTCATCCTCACTTTCACTTTAGGACCCTTTTTCGCGGCAGAAATCAAGTGACCGCTCAATCAAGCGTCTCAACAGGGGATGTGGAGGGAAGACGTGCGCGCCCCCCAATCGCGATCCCCTTTTCTGCCACGCTATTTAGCCCTGCTCTCCCCTACTTCCTACCCATTTCGGGTAACCAACGCATCTCCGGCCGGCACTTTGTCGACAACCCTTTCCCATCGCTAAGGCGATGATCGGCCCCCCCACGACCAATAGCGTACGCCCGAATTTAATATATGCGATGAGAATGACTGAACAAAAGAAATTGCCTCGTCGTATAATATATTGCTTCTCTTAGGTAACGTTTTAACCTTAATTCTTTTTTTCTTTCGTTGCCTCTCTATCATTGCCCGTACACCCCCCTGATAGAGGGAGGAAGAAAAAATAATAATTAGATTGTATTCGCTTCCATGCGGACATGGGTTCCCCACATTTTGCCATTCTGCCATACTCGCAGAAAAGCGAGTCTTGGCAGATAGGGGTTGTACTGAGGCAGGTATACTGGTAGTAAGAAAAAATTGGAAGATATAGTGAGGCGTATCTCTTGTCTTTCCCTCCCCGAAGGGAAGAAAAGTTTGAAGGAGCAGTCGTCGTTGCAACTGTCGCAATGGGCTTTCTCAAAAAGCTTGTACCGTTCGCTCTCTTGGGCGCCTCCCTCCAGGGGGTTGCCCTCGGAGCTGACTATCCTCAGGAGGATGTCGACTCTGGCAAGGTTTTACAGCAATTGGGCAAGACAGCTTTGGATACTGCTCTGGCTCGCCTTGAGGGTTCTACTTCGGGGTGCACGAAGGAGAATGTTAGAGTGCGCAAGGAATGGTATGTCATTAAGAACGTTCTTATCATCGGGATATGATTACTAATGTCGCGAATAGGAGAAACATCCCCGGCCCAGAAAGGACGGCGTATGCTAATGCCGTGCAATGTCTGATGGAGAAGCCAAATGTCTATGAGAATGTGACTGGCCCAAGGTGAGTGGCGGATTCACTACTGGAGTAACAGATACTCCGTGTACCACGTCAATACTAACAAATTTTTTCCAGGACGATGTTTGACAGCTTTGGTGTCTTACATTACAAGCTAACGCCGTATGTTCACAACTCGGCATACTTCCTCCTCTTCCACAGAATCTACGTCTGGACCTTTGAGGAGAAGTTGAGGACACTATGCGGCTACACCGGCCCGATGCCGTACTGGGAGGTAAGCAGAACCCTGACTACCTTGTTGCGACCTTCTCCATTAACGTCCGATATTACAGTGGGGACTTGACGCCGGAAGTGTGGAAAACTCGCCTATCTTCGACGGGTCCGAGACCTCGCTCGGTTCCAACGGAGAGAAGGTGAACGGCTCTAACACGTTCTTCCCGGGCGGAACTGGTGGTGGGTGTGTGACTAAGGGTCCCTTCGTCAACTACACGGTCAACTTCGGCCCCAACACGGCCGCTGATCCGCTAGCTTACAACCCGCGCTGCCTTAAGCGTGATCTTAACACCCCTATCTGCTCCCAATGGGCCTCGCTGCGCAACACCACGGAGACTATCCTTGAATCCCCGGATATCGCGCTCTTCCAGGCTAACCTCCAGGGTGACTTCCGCTGGCCCGAGGCACGCAAGTTTGGTTTCGCCGTGCACGGTGGTGGACACTTCGCCATTGGTAAGCACCCCTATATGCCTATTTATATGTCTATAAGACTATTAGTAAGAGTTATGCTAACATTTATCGTCTTACCTAAGCTGGTGACCCGGGCGGGGACTTCTACTTCTCGCCGCTAGAGCCCGTCTTCTACCTCCACCACGGACAGATCGACAGGATGTACTTCATCTGGCAGAACCTCGACTGGGCAAACCGACAAGTGAGCACCCCCTCCCCCAACATCCAACTATCCATAACTCCGATTGGCTAGATTGCTGACGTAATATGTACATAGACTATGGCCGGAACGATCACCATGATGAACATGCCCGCGAGCCGCAACGGTACTCTAGATGATGCGTTGGATATCAGCCCCGTCGGTGGAAACTACACGTTCCGTCAACTTCTTGATACTGTGGGAGATTCGCCTTTCTGCTTCGTTTACGAGTAGGTATCGACCATGTCGCAAGAATTCGGGGCTGGAGTTGAGATGGAGGAGTGATCGTGAAATTTTCAAATTCCTAGTTGATGGTGCGATTCGACGTTATAAGTAGGTCAAATGTTAAGATGTTGGCGAGGCAACTTGTCCCAGTGGAGAAATATGATATATAGAAGACTTAGCAGTTTAATCTGACAACGTATAAAACCAGTTGATGGGATCGAGTCTGGTTGGGTTCGAAGTTATCTTTATCAGTGTCACTTGGGCTGGGCTGCTTTAGTACCCCTTAATTGGCGAGCTGGGCCTAAGAGTCTACACCGCGGTCATTGATCTGAGAGATAAATGCAAGGGGTTCCATCATGTGAGAGTTAAGTCACCCATTGCCATCCCACCTACGTCCAAGTAACAATCTTTAACAGTGCCGTATCGCCTCGCACATAAAAAGGGGAAGGGATACACATAAATCCAGAGGTGGGTGAGAATATACCAGCAAATCATGGTGATAAAGTGGGAGCTAATCAAGGCAAATAGGCATACACTCGTTTCATTTTTATAATTACGATTGAAAAGTGTAGAATGGAAACAGAAGGTATATGGATTAGCATCAATTGTTTCGCTCCAGGTACCTAAGTACCCAGCAGACAAGTCGCGTCTCCTAAAAATTAGGTTTCGGCACGTCCAGTACTCACCTAGGCAGCGAGGAAGTCGCGACCAAGTCAGGTTCTGCTCTTCCGCGTTGAACTTTTATTATTGACCGCGTACTTACTTGGGTGGGCGACGAGTGCACTTGCCCTGACGCGTGAGTAAACACCAACCCAGCCCCGAGCCTCCGTTATTTCCTCCCATATTCCTATTCTACACGTATCTTGTTTTCTTATTTTTTTTCTCCCGCTTCAACTTCCAGAGGCTGCGGCAGTCCGCCCTTTTCCAACCCGTATTGAATATGTGCGCAACATTATTGTGAGAACGCTGCGCGCCCCTTTTGGTTCGAGTCATTACGAGCATCATCGGTCGCGTTTGACATTTCCATGCTCAATATTACCCTTCTAATACCCATTCACTCGTCTACATTTGTCTATTCAATCCATCAAAATACTTCCCACTCCCCTTATGGAAGTTTTCCAAGGCGGAAAATCTTACGAATTGTAAAAGGCCATAGTAACCAACTACAAAACCCTCTCTAAGCCGCAGAAATGGGATCTACCGGGTCTAACATGACGTCTATGTTTGGTGCTCCTCCTTTTGGGCAAAGTTCCATCAATCCCGCTCCGGGTCAGCCATGTCAATTGATCCCGGGATTCAAAAGGGATAGGCCGCACGAAGTCATGGAATCCGCTTTTGGTAAAAGGCCGCATGTTGATGGCCCCGACCATTTCCCAATGCCGCCAAGCCGTGTAATCATGACCGATGATGATGTCGACTCCTCTATCATCCCTTACAATGATGATATTCCCGACGACGAGCAAAATGTTACCGATGATAATAGTCCAAAAGCGCCGATATGGAACTCTGGAAACTTTTCATCCACATATTCCAGGCCACGCCTCTTGACCTCTTTACTTGGGGGACATATTACCTGACCAATGGGCGTGGCGAGACGTTCAGAGCACTATGCGAGTTACTACCACATCCATTTTGGGATGGGAAATTGTGGCTTTTACGATACATCCTGCAGAAGGCTATCACAATGAAATATGCGGACCACACAGACCCATTGTGCCCATTGAGCCACTCACTTGTCGAAAGTATCCCTACTCTACGAGAGAGCCCCGTGGAAAGCGGGATGTCTCAGTTGGAATTATCTACATTCGCCTTGACGTTGTGGGAAAACACCAAACCGGATTTCGATCACAAGACAAGTTTATTACTCGAAAAACTTCGAGAGCCGTGGGTGGAGCAAAAGCCATACAAAATGCCGGGAACAAATAACTATAAATTCACGCTATGGACCGATGACGTGGTAGCCGTTCGAAAGGCTCTTGATTCCCTCCACCAAGACGGAATCTTCGATCACGACGTGCGCGAGTACTATACTGGATATCTATGCTCGATCAATAAGTGTTGGGATGATATGCCTCCGACTAGTTATGAAATATTGGAGCAATGGGATAAGGCGGCCAAGCTTCGCAGGAACGCAGACGTGGAGCGAAATGAACCGGATTTTCCGTTGTCAGAAAGGGATGAACAGAAGAGACTAGGGTATTGGAAGAGTCCTAAGTGCGACCCTCGATTCAAGAAATTTATTTTCAAGGAGGAGAATGATGAGGATTTAGACCCGGAGAAGGAGGATTGCAAGGCTCAGTAGGAAGGGAAATTTGTGGATTTGTTGTGTTTTAGTGAACCGAGTCATGTTTGAATTTTCGCCTGCAGCCAATTCCTGGGGGTGTACTCTGTGTAGTGTATAATTCAGAGCAAGTTTGTTGAGGAATTCGGAGGAGTAAGTCATTGGCAGTTATGATCCATCTGGGATATCAAGTATGGAGAAGAGCCTACGTCTCCTTCAGTTTGGCTTCTAGTTAGCCAGATAGGAGAGTGAAGTTGGGAACAAAGTCTTGGTGCTGAAAGAAAATTTCTGTTTTATGTGATAACTCGTAATTTCGTCCCTCGTAGTGTAAAAGCTTGTATTTCCCAGAAAATATGAAACGCCCGGCGCAATATCCAAGCTCCCAATCCTATACTCCCAGTTGCCTTCTAGTTCTAAACTCATGATCATTTCACCATTTATAAATAACGCCGTTAATTTCCGTGACCATTCCCATACACTCAACAGTATGGCTTTGGTCTTGGGTATGGGACGTAGAACCCGGGATAGACGACGCCCCAAGAACTTGGCGGAGGGCCGCAAAGTCGTTGCCATTGTGACCAATTGTGACGGCAAGGTTGACTACTTCTCTTGTCTCCTTATCGTTATTCCATCCGTGGTGTATAGCAATAACTTTGTCCAACTTGTCGATCATTGGACCTCCCGAGACTCCTATAGCCATGTTAACAGATCTAGAATAATATCTTTGGACCTTAGGAATTTTCATCACATACCCCCAATAGAGTCTCCTTCATGTTGAATCATCTTGAAGGTCGGGTTATATTTGCATGGGGCCCGGCTCTTGTGTAGCCGTTCATTCTGCAAAAACCGAGACTCGTCCTTGGGGAAACCGTAGACAGTAGCGATACCTCCGGTGTCATTGGCGATGGGGCTCTGAATGTAGGTCAGGGGCTGGACGTTCTTGAATGGTTCATTCAATTCGATCACGCCGACATCATTGGCGATCGCCTGCATGGAATACCATCTACCGTGAATTGCAGCGCATTTACCACGTCGAAGTTCTTTCGTGTCACCTTCCCCAGCGATGACATCCACGGAAACAGCGCGACCAGAGCTAGAAATCAGGACATGACCGGCTGTAACAACGATGTTATTGTCGATGACGGTTCCTGATCCGTAGCGAAATCCCCCGTTATCGAGCGCAACGACGATATAGACTATAGCTACCCAGGTAATTAAAAATTAACAAAAGCATAGACACACATTCTTTCGTACATACCTTGGGGCATTTTCCCGGGCTGTATCTCTTGCACATCGACTAGCATCAGGGGATTCTTACCCAAGTATGCTTCTTCGAAGGTGAAATCAAGTCTAACAGCGGTCTTTTCCCAGTCGTCGTAATTAGCCTTGCCCCAACCACTAAAGGTACCGCCAAGAGCGCGCATGGATAGGGGGTGGCCATGACTAGCATCTATATTGATTATGGAGGCAATTATGTGTAAGAATTCGAATCCAAACTCCTCGGAATTAGCTAGGCGGACAAAGAGTTGGACGAGAGACGGGGCCATAAAACTTAACCAAGAAGGTTAACGCGAAGCAGGAAAAGAAGATAATTAATGGTTGAAGGGGAGGCACGTACGGACCGCTCTCAACAAATTTTGCAATCATTTCATTAACCCACTGCTCTTTGCCGGCCTAAGAACGTCGGATGCTGGACACATCAAAATCATCTGGGTTGTTTTCCGATGACATAAGGCTGTTACCATTACCAGTCCCTGACGTGCGTGTGTTCATATTAATCCTCTAATAATCGGTAAAATAATTATTTTACTAGTAAATTAGACACTATGGGGGGAGATATATAGAGTGAAAGAGTAGAAAGAAGAGATGAAAGTGCCAAAATACTTATAAAGTGAATAATTACAACTAAACTACAACTATAATTTTGTCCATGCACACCAGAATCGATACGTACCTACCTATGTATCAGCGAGCCAAGTACTCGGCGGGTTGGTAGTTGCTCATTGGATAAATTTTTCCGTCCAATGTGCTGTGATGCATAGGTTGAATTGTCACCATAAGATGGGCTTTAGGGTGGCTTTCCTCATAGAGGTTTGATTGATATCAATATCGTAGGATATCCACTTTCCGCCAATTGGTTGGGGTCCTGCTTAGGTATTATGCGTTGTTGCGTGAGAACCCGTTCCAAAAATTCATGATGTCGATCTTTATACCAATTGGGACTAGCCTTAATCATTGGGAGGTGAACGTTAGGTAGCTAGGGAATAGGTAGGGACGTACCGTAGTGCTAAAGAGCTGAGAAAGTCGCCTAGCTAGGCGGATAAAGACTCCGCTCGTTCCAAACTATTCTCCTTAGTAGACGCTAACGTCAGTAACAGAAATCACAAGAGGTATGGTGACATAGTTGCTTAAGGGCTACCAATCTGCTCTTCTTTATTTAACAAACCACTGCCACATTTCAGGAGCCAATGAGATCCTCAGAATCGCTCCGCAGTTCTCGACTTTTTCCTTTCGCATTCTTTCCCACGATGTTTTCTAATGATATAACCGATATCAGAAGGTCATACAAAACGAACTCTATTCAGCTATATTAATTATTAATATTTTTATGTGGTGGTGACGGCAATTAATTGATTCTATAAAGAATTCGTTGGATGTGCGCTGAGGTGTGGCTAGCCAATCAGAGCTCTCAGACCTGTGGCGCATGTATACCTGGATACCTGTATGCCTTCCCTCCCTTCTCCTCCGCCCTTAAAGGGCGGGTCGGGTCAGCTAGTTAGGGAATATAGAAAATGACTTCGAAGGGAGGGCGTGGGGGCATTATCGGAGATATTATGTCCGCTGTATATGATGGGTACAATCAACGAGTAGATGCACTAGGCATAATTGACTTTATTTAAGTTAAGTCAGGTTAAGAAGTTTTATGAAGCACTTAGCCAATCTGACTACAATTCCGGACTAACAAAGATCCGATGACTGCAGAAACTCTTGGCTAGCCAATCTACTCTTCTTTATTTAACAAACCACTGCCACATTTCAGGAGCCAATGAGATCCTCAGAATCGCCCCGCAGTTCTCGACTTTTTCCTTTCGCATTCTTTCCCACGACGTTTTCTAATGATATAATTAATATCAAAAGGTCATGCAAAATGAACTTTATTTAGCTATACCAATTATTAATACCTTTATATTGTATTAACAAAGGTCAATTAATTCCATAAAGACTTCGTCGGACATGCACTGAGGTGTGGCTAGCTAATCAAAAGATAGCTAACTGTGGTGTACCCCTTTTCTCTCTCTCTCTTCTCCACCCTTTAGGCGGATCACGCAGCTAGTGTATTTCTATATATAACTAGACTACTGCTATAAACCGTACTCACTGCCGTAACGATAGGGCCTAGACAGCTGTACCCAGATAATTCTTATTGGAAAGTTCTTTCGGCCTACTTATACTTGTGTTTACCGGAAATAAACCTCGATAAGATTTTCTACTATTACCTCAGATTCGCCTCGTGTGTTTAGGTAGCTGTGCTGTGCTAGAAACGGAGGCGGCTAATTGTGCGCTATCAACGATCGACTGTTGTGGCCCGACCAGACAATATAACGGTGAAACCTGGGAATTCGCAGTTCTCACTGAATGCCAACAAGTGGATCATGTATATTTCACATGTATATGAAAAGGTGATTCAAATGTGAGGGCTAGGCAGGTGGTGATTGTTGCAAGGCTAAATATGATGAGGGCATAGCGACGGCATTTCTGCGCGAAAATTCCATTATATATCCTTACGTCTATATATTGGCATTATCTATCTTTTCACATTACTTTTCTCTATGCGACCATAGGAATTATCTTTTGGGATAGCCTCATCCTCGGGTAGAATATTTAGGCATTGGCACTAGGATTGTCGTGAAGATAATTGTTGGAGATTCTACCGCTTCGTAGGGATAGACGGAGATAAGAGGGAGGTAAAGATGAACTTGTTGTAGATCATGAAGGAAATGAAACATGTGCGCTAATTATTAAACATCGCATAGAAGACAAGTGATGAAGTGATGAAAGGAGAAAAAAGTCAAGATCCTAGGGGAGTTCAACTAGAAAAAGGAGATGTAGACATACCATATAGCGGGCTAATGCGTACGCTCATCATGATCCAGCCCGCAGACATCGAGACGATCGGGAAAATCAGATATACCGTGTAGCGATGACATTTGAACAAGAGTTAAAAATGGAGACGTTGTTCCCTTTGGCTTTTCTAGATACTCTCCTCTTACTCCCATTCATCCCACATTTAATACCATCATATAGCGATGTTAAGCGATACTCTACCTTCTGATTTCGCCGTCTCTCCAAACAAATATGAGACCATCAACGCCTTGGGCTTTTCTAACAAGCCTAATACTGTTACCAGACTGTTGATTGGGCGCGGTGGAGCTTTCAATGGACTGCTCGCCGTTAAGGACTTGGAGCAAGGCCGCAATGTTGTTACCGTCCCGGTCGATCATGACAGCCAGATTCACCATATCTTTCGTCTTATCATGAACACAGCCGCTATGTAAGGCGAAAACTTTCCCCGATGAGTCGATGAGGGGACCACCCGAATTTCCTGGTATAGCATTAGCATGTTTTGGAACCCCGATTAGCAATACGATTGAACGAATACCTTCTTCAGTATCGCCTTCGTGCTCAATCATCTTTGAGGTTGGATTGTAATGGAAGGGGGACTCGCTCATACACAGTTGCCCACACGGTGCAAATACAGACGTATCTTTCGGAAATCCATAGATGGTCGTGTAAGCGTCATTTTCCTTAGTAATAGGACACTGCTGGCATTCAATAGGTTGAACGGTATCGAACGGCTTGTCTAGCTTTACAAAGCCAATGTCGTTGACGTGAGCTCGTATTGCATACTAGTTTCCATGAACGATAGCTACTTTGCAGTATCGAGACTCGATGTTACGCCCTTCCTCAGCAATAACTTGTACTGAAACAGCATGTCCTGAGTCGGAGACTAGAACATGGGCAGCAGTTACGACTGTGTAGTTGTCGATCACGGTTCCCGTGCCGGAGGAACACTCCATGTTGCTAAGCCAGGCAATAATTCTGACCACAGGTGTTGAAAGGGTTAGGACTGACAAGAATATAAGTACGAGATCCACGTACGCACCGTGTGGAGTCTTTCCAGGTTGTATTTCTTCCACATCAACTACCCTCAAAGGGTTCTTTTTCAGGGAGGCTTCGGTAATAGGGATTCCACATAAGGAAGAATCAAGGTCAAATCGAATCGCAGTATTCTTAAAGCCGTCATAACGCTGCGAGTCCCAGACGCCAAAGGGACCACTAATAGAATATATAGAGACGCAATCTAAGAAGTTTTCATGGTCGGAGCGTAGGTTCGTTATAAAGTCGATAACGTGTTGCATAGCATCTTCACTTTTGCTGATGCTAGCGGAGTCGTCGCGAGCTTCAACGGGAGTTGAGAACGGAAGGCTAGAAGACATTAACCCGTATCGATGGGCGGGATATAGGACTAAGGAAATAAATAGAGAAAGACACGTACCATCTGATCAACTGCTCAGCACCCTGAGGATTTTTGGCCATTAGGTAACGTAGTAATGATATAACGCGTCTACCTGAAGCCCCAAGGCTGTTAGTCAGTGACGCAGGATTACCTTTAACATCCAAAGAAGGGTTCATAATGATATACTGAATTAAGAGAGATATGATGAAACAGGCGTTTACAAAATAGAAAGTTCCTAGAAACATCTATAATGTGCAGGAAGAAGTTATAAAATTAGAGTAGTTTAGGGGACTATACCGTGTTGCCGAAGAGGGAATATGCTAGGGGGGGTTTAGGCTGCTGTCGCTGCCATTACTACTAGGAAAATTACAAGTAAACAAACCAGCCCCTTAACAGCTCAAAAACCTCAAACCCCATAACTTTGCCGTACTTTATGATAGAGTCCCCGGGGAAATCTTGGAGGAAATGTTAAATTCGAAAAGTATTTTTGTGTATTTTTTGCACGATCCTTTCTTGTAGTTGCCTTGATGATGAAGTTTCTTGTGTAATTGTCTGTTAGTCAAATTTTCGTTTATTTTGATGTTGTCCTGCCCTGCCCGGCCCATGTATGGATTGGTTTTGAAGCATCCGTCGTGATTCGAGAGCATGCCGGAGTTACGTACCTACGCAGCCAGAGAGTATGGAGGGTGAGTGCTGTAGTACATAATGTTTGGAGAGGATTGACCCACTTCCATCGCGACTGTCGTACACCTCCAGAAAAATAGACAGGATCAAGTACTTTCTTATCTCTCGCAAGGACTCTGGTCATGTAGTTTCGCTCATGCAGTTGGTTGTAAGTTACAATGCGCATGTAATGTAAAGACTAGTGTAAAGATAGCAGGCTACCGAAACTTTGTCATACTTCTTAAGGTGAAGTCGGTCAGGAAAGAGCGGGATAGAGTAGTCGGGAAGCCGATCTACTGTGAGTCACCAATAGGAAAGGGATCCGCTTTTGGAAGCGCTGAATTCCTCATTAGGAAATCCTCCAACGTTCCTTTTTTGTCATTATTTTATGTGGAGCCAGTGCGGCCCGCGACCTGGTGGGGGTAGGTATTTCTACCCGGTTCATTCTATCGCCGTCAGCTCTGTCGGAATTTGATCCGACAGAATGTGTATAGTGTCATACTGTGTGATTCATGAGATTACGCAGTAACATTTCTATTGGCGTCCTTCTATCCGAGTATCTAGCAAGGTCGAATTGAATACAAGCCCCTGAGAACGCTTATGAAATTAGTACTTAGACATCCTTCAGCTTTTACGTTCTTATCTCGAATGAGGAGGCTGACTTCATGATACCTCGTCGCATGTCGTGCCTTGGTTTGAAGGTAAGTGCTTAGCAATCTCAACATTAGAATGAACATTGGTAGAAATATCCCTTTCGCTAATTGGATAAGTTTTTAAGAGCGAGATTTTGGTTATCCAATTCATTGTATTGGAAACCCAAACGACTTAGGTATAACGAAAGGGGCGTTATCTGTTCCCTCTCTACCTAAATACCTAGGTAGCTACTTGAGTATGCATGGAGGCGGTGTCTAGAGGATTAGCTTGTCGTTTGGTCCGATCCCTGAGCACCTAGGCGCGAGGAAGGCTGCCGACAAGGGAGCCCTACGTGGACGTACCATGCGATGGGCTGGCGTATATAGCAATTGCTAACCGGCAGCCAGCCTGACCTGTGGATACCTGCCTAGGCGGGTTGACAGGCATCTTGTTTGAGTCTGTCCATTTCCGCTACCTAGGTACGCTAGCAAGGGCGGATCGATCCGACACCTTACACACACCTGCATCGAGCCGCCTCGTAAATTCCTAGGCAGTTACAAAGCTCGCGTCAAGTTACGCCGTTTGAATGTATATGGTAGTCGAGAATTCGTGGAAGGTGGGGTACGGGTGACACTTGCAAACGGCGTACGGAAGACGGGAAGACGCAGGTGCTAGCGGCCCGAGAAAACTGGGGAGCAAACGGGATGCCAGGTGAGTGAGGCGAGGCCATAATATGTGATATATGACCATAGCACCAATACAGGAGACATAAATGACGAGAGGATTCTTCCTGGCTCTCCTCGAATTTCATTTCCAATCTTCCATTTATCCCATACCCTATATTTCTGTTTCACGATCCTCGTTCAATACACGTCAAGCATGGTCGACTCAGAGGTAGCTCAGGCTGGGAGCTTGGGCAACCCAGTTCTGCTCAATAAGATCGATGAGCTGCGACGTTTGAATATATCTTCCATGGTGCCGCTGCCTCAAGTCAGTTAATCATTCCATCCACTCGCGCTTTCTTGTTCGAGCCCTGTGCGCAACTAACGCTGTATTATGTAGCTCGTGGTGGTCGGCGATCAATCTGCCGGCAAGTCCAGCGTCCTTGAGAGCCTAACTGGCTTTCCTTTCCCTCGTGCTGTCAACCTCTGCACACGCTATGCGACAGAGATCATATGCCGCCGAGAGGAAACGCAGAGCATTACAGCATCGATCAGACCTTCCGCCACCGCTTCGGCAGATGTGGTCGCCAAGCTACAGGGCTTCAGGGTGGAGCTCCCCACCCACGACCGCAATAGCAAGAAGTTCCAGGAAGTTTTCGAACAGGTATTGACGAAGGACCACGTAAACTCTTCTTCGCCGGGGGGATTGCTAATTGTGTGATAGGCTTCTATCACAATGGGCCTTCGCTCAGGAACTGACCCCACAAGCTTCGCTCCGGCATTTAGTAAAGACGTTCTACGAATCGAAATTACCGGTCCTAAGGAGGAACACCTAACGATCATAGATGTACCTGGTTTGTTCTTCCTATCTAGTATTTCGTGTGCTGTGCTTAGATAACAAACAGGTATATTCGAGGTTGCGACACCAGGTAGGTTTCTCCTAGGAGTAGGTTTGTGGTGACTGACCATGATTAGGCCTCACGGATAAAAATGACATCTCACTGGTGAAGTCGATGGTCATGAATTACATCGAAGAATCTCGGACCGTGTAAGTATTCGATGTAGAAACTTGGAATCCATAGATTAATGAATTTTTTTAGCATCCTTGCCGTAGTACCCTGCACCGCTGATATTGCGACGCAGCAAATTTTGAAACGGGCTGAAGAAGTCGATCGCGAGGGGAAGCGTACCATTGGCGTCCTCACCAAGCCGGACCTCTTGACCGAAAAGGCAACAAAGGATTCGATCGCCGAACTAGTGAAGGGAAACAGAAGAGACCTCACGTTGGGATACTTCGTCATCCGGAATCGTGGAGCAGATGACGCTACTTCGAACCTGGATCAACGGAATGAAACCGAGCGTGCGTTCTTCGATGGGTCTCCATGGAACGAGTTGGACAGAGGCCGGCTTGGAATTGATTCGCTCCGTCTTCGACTGCGGGAGTTGCTCATGGAGCGTACTAAACATGATTTCCCTATTGTCAAGAGGGAGATTGAAACTCAACTGAGAGACAAACAGGAACGTTTGGTGCTGATGGGAACAGCTCGAATAAGTCCCGAACAGCAACGTGTATACCTTGTCCATGTTGCCTCTCAATTCTCGGAGATGGGAAGATATGCCCTAGATGCATATTATACAGGACATCCAGTCTTTGACCAACACCATGAGTTACGCTTAATTACCCGCATTCGGGAGATTAGCGAGGAATTCGCCAAAGTGTTATACGAGAAAGGGCATCAACGAGAATTTCAAAAAGACAGTGGCGATGGTATATGGTCGTCGGACGGGTTTGGGAAGGGCGGAGATGTCCCTGCATCCGCGTCCCGACAGGATCTCTACAAGATATCTTTCAATATACCCGACGAGACAGATTTCCCAGAGCTTCAAGAATTGCTCGCCGAGCCGTTTTCGTGTCAACCTCCGGTCAAGGGGAACATCGAGAAGTATATTCGAGAGATATACCTGCACGCTCGAGGCCAGGAACTTGGCACTGTAAGCGCGACATACCTATTTCATGTGTGATTTGGTACTGATGATGTTATAGTTCGGTAATTTCATGTTACCTGCGACATTCAGAGAGCAGTCGCGGAAATGGAAGGGCCTCGCATTGGCGCATGTCTCCAACGCTATATTAATCATCCACCATTTCATCGTTAAGATCATGGAAGCGGCTTGCCCAGATGAACAAGTAAGGTACGGGCTATGGACCGTCCTCACAGATGATCTCCTCGCTTGTTATCGCCGCGCAATCGAACATACTGAGTTCCTTCTCCGGGTTGAGTGTGAAGGAAAGGCTGTTACCTGCAACCCGGAATTCCCAGAACTGCTCGACAAGAATCGGCAGAAGCGCGAGGCGGCAGAGAAAGAAACGAGTTGGCAGCAGCCCAAAGCACGATCAAAGAAGAGTGATGCCGACGCTTCGGTTTCTCAGGGAAATAATGTAATAGATCAGATCTGCGGTGATGTCCATATTGTGCTCAGGACCTATTACGAGATAGCTCGATCGCGCTTCGTTGATGAGATTTACCAGCAGGTTGTAGACCACTTCCTACTGAACGGTAATCAAAGCGCTCTTAGGACCCTAACCCCCGAACGGGTCCTGTCAATGACAATTGAACAGCTGAACAGCATCGCGGCGGAAGACCCCGCAAGTCAGCGGGCTCGGGCGAAATTGGAGCGAGAGATTGCAAGCTTGGAGAAGGCCAAGGTCGTGTTACGTGGTTAGATGTGAGTAGCTAGATAAGCTATCAATATTGATGATTGCACACCTCATATGTATGTAGATGTTATAAATCAATTGAGCTGATTTAGAGAGGGCTATCTCGGATAATTGAGGTTGTCTGTTTTTGGAGAGAGAAAGATGCAAATAAGATCGAGATCGACAAGTGATATCCGAGCACCAGGTTATGACATTTATGTAACGCAGATCCCCACCAAAAGAGGCATGTACAAGAAAGAATAAATTAAAGTTATGACCTCCAACCTCCTTCCCGATTACCTTTAATGACTCCTATTCGCTGATGAGGCGAGCAATCCCCATCCAATCAAGCCTCGATCTATCGATGTATCGCAGACAAACCAGACAAACGTACCTGCCACCTACGCAATCCTTAATATAAAAAAATGTAGCTAACCATTCCGTGCCGCGATCAATCGAATGAAGGCAACCACCCATCCACCCATCCCTCGAGTACATACCGAGTACCTACACCACCTACACAATTCCAATGCGAGTCTGACCGCAAGGCGACGAATAAGCCCGCCTCACCCGCACCAAAAACCAGGTTCCCTCGAGTCTTATTCCCTTCCATTTCCCATCCCATCCATCACATCACCCAACCCAATCCAATCCAATCTCCCCAGCCCAATCCCAAAAAAACCCGCACAAAACGACAGAAAAACAACAACAAGAAACTGTCCGCAATCCCGCAAACTCCCGCACCTGTCAGCACGAGCGGGCTCTGCCGCGACCCAATACACACCAAGGCAAGGTACGCGGGGGACATACGGAGGTAACACACCCACACACCAAAAAGCAAAAGGCAGAAAGGACAAAAAAAAAAGAAACTAGTCCTGCAAGCCACGAAGAGACGCATGTGTGCGCAAGGATATGACATGCGACGTATGTACCCTAACAACGGGTACAACACGGTAAATCGGGACAGGTTCGCTAATCTACAACGAAGCAGAAATGAACCGGCCCCCACACCCTCCCTACCCTACATACATACATAATCCTGACACAGCATGTACCTGTATATAGCACGCTCGTACATGCCGTATGTAACTTCGAGGTCATTCCTCACCTACAGGTGAAGTGGCTCGGTGGCGAAGTCCCAGGGTCCTGTCAAAATTGTATACCTAGCTAGGCGCGCTAGGCCAGACCTTAGGAGATCGGGCATCAAGTAAGGGAGATGCCTACCTGTCAATCGGGCGTTCACGTGGGGGGAAGGGGACGCAAACAACACACAACGCATCAGGGGCCGGAATATTGCGCACCGAGCCTCACATATAATCACAAATCAGATGAGACCGCGTCAAGGTAGGTAATAGACTGCGTACGACTTAAAGCCGATTCGATTAGAAGTCATGCTACCTAGGGGTTGGGTTGAATTGTATATATACTAGATTTCCAAGGATGGTTCGACCAATCAAATAATAGACACACGAAGTATTCATCTTCATTTTATTGTTCATTCATTTTTCATTCCATTCCCTTTCTCTCTCCTCCATCCAAGATGCAATGGCCATTATATATGTGACGTGATGTGACGTGAACGCGTGAAGGGGCATAATGTAAGTAAACTAGAAAGTAATCAAAATAGTAGTATCGAACATCATAGGGGGGGAGGGGTAAAAGGGAAACAAGGGGAGAAATAAGAATATAAAATTTCTCCAAACACCATTTGCCTGCCCCGAATTTCCAATACCGTAAGAAGTTTCATGCGCTATGCTGATCTAGACAGATAAATAATCAACCAATCATCTTGACGTATCACAGAAGAGAAACCCTATAAATTCATCCATCCAACAAGAAATCTAGGTAGGGTATATAACGATACGCCGTCGCCATGCCTGTATGTGACAAAGGAAAAGGGAGGTATGTGAGTAAGTGGTATGTAGGTGATGAGGTAGATAAGGTGAAAGGGGGAAAGGGAGACTAAGGAAAAGAAAAAAAGAAAAATATCTAGCCCTATGCGGGGTAACGTTGGGCTGCTTTCTCGGCGCGCCGAGTACCAAATGATAGGTCACAGCAGAAGGGCCGGGACCTTTCCTACATGCCCCTGTCATGTCATCCCAGTAAATCCCGGTCCAGTAAACGTACAACAGGTCGTAACCTGCATTGGGGACGAAAGACGTAGTCCCCAGGCGCCGGATCGTGCGACCACGAACCGCCGCCGCAACCGTCGAAAATCGGGCCCTTAGGCAATACCGTGGACCTGGTTTCGAAGTTGTTTAGCTCGGCCTCCATATTGTTAAGGTACAGGAGGCCCGGGCCGGCCCAATCGTCGATGAGTCTAGCAATGCGCTGGAATCCATCGGTGTGGCCACCACATTCGCTCGATTGAAATCCGCAGAGAACGAAGAGGTAACTGTGAATGAGCTCGTGAATAAACGTCGATATGAGTAGGCGTCTGTTATATTTTCGGTCTTTGAGGATCCCTTGCGACAAAAAGATCAATGTTTCGTAGCCGGCGGTGAGGGGTGACTTCCTTAACGCCGTAGTGCCGATGAGGCTGCTCGGGAGATCCCCCCAGGCCCAAGCAACACGTCCCTTCAGTCTTCCGCGGAAGAATATCTCGTTGGCAGCGTAAAAAATGCCTTGCAGAGCGACGTCGTCGATGTCGAACTCTGCTTCGGGTGATTTGGGGCGGATGAGGCTTCTTAAGATCCTTTCGTGCTGGGAGAGCCTGCTCCTTCGACGAGAGTCCGCTAGGTCGGCTTCGACAAGTTTGGCCGCTTCATCGTGACCATTTACATACACCGAATAATTCATGCTGCCGGGCGAATCTGATGGTGGCCGCACTCTGAAATTCTCGAAAGGCACGCTAGTCCGCGGTATCGCTTCAGCGTGATAAGGAGTGGCAAATGAATTTTCGACCATGACCTGCTCAAAGCCGGACGAGCTAGGCCTAGAGTTTGCCTCCTTGATGATGAAGAAGGGAGGCCGAGTAACAGTTGGTTCAAAATCCATAGTGTCGAAAGGGTTGGAGTAGTCGACAAAGCGATGGCGCTTGATGGGTTGAAACATCTTGAAGTCGTCTGGTAGAGTAGAGAGTTCAGAGTAGCTAGGGCGTCGTTTCTTGTTATCCATGTATCGACGATGGTGTTGAGATGGGCCGCCAGGAAGAGATGAATCGCTCGAGGAGCGCGACATCTCCGTCCCGCCGACATACCAGGTAGCCATTTGACATTGCTCGAGTAAGTGCTCGTTCAATATTGAGACAAGTCGGAACGTGGTACCACCCCAGAGGTCGTAAGGAGAGGTGAGAGAGATATGACTCGGGCTTTGTTGGCAAAGATTAGAATTTGCGAATCATCACCGGTGTTTTGACGGAATTCTCATCCAAGAACCCATATAGTGAGAAGGAGCTGAACGTTCGACTGTCGACTGCAGGGACGCCACGACAATCAATGGACGTGCAGGATCCCTTCTGGAAATTTCGGCGTTGGATTGGTCTTGATTAACACACGCAGCAAGCAACAGCGGCTAAGCTGGCGTTAGCCTCACTCTCCCAAGGCAGGCTGGGTTGGCTTGTGATGGGCCGGACAGCAGTGATATGTGGAGGTCTTAAAGGTTGCAGCCCTCGGACAAGGCAACGCCAGGAACCCACTTCTTGGTATGGAGGTCTGCAACCAAGGACTTGCTTGCTTGGATAGGATGATGGACCTTGGCTGACGAATTTCCAGTTCTGAAGCGATTCTGTGACCGCTATACGGCACACACAACGACTATATTTCCGTCCTTCCCTTTTTTGTTCTTTTTTAAGTCGTTTTTTTTTTCTGTCTACTTATTCATATGCCCACCTCTCTCCACAGCAACTAAGAGACAGACGTAATAGTGGAGAAGGCAAGGGACGTAATTGCTTATTCGGGCTTCTCGATGGGTAGGTAGTATGGAGCGGGATCAAAAAGTCACCCCAGCGAAAATAGTAGATCATCTAATACATAGATGGATAGTGTAGATAGATAAAATGGCTGGGTACATGAATAGAAGAACCGAAGGGAGTGCCTTAGGGCGTTAGGAGAAAAGTAGTAATAGTAGTAAAGAGATAGCGGTGAAAGGAAAAATACGACGGAGGCCCGGTTAGGTAGAACCCATCCATATGCAGCAATGCACAGCTTACAGTATGTACATGTAGTATGGATGTATGTACATACATGGCATGCCAGCTTTCAAGAGGAGAGCGCAAGAGGGATTGCAGTAGTGCAGTGGCGTAACCGGCCGCTTTTCCTACTTGTCTACCTTTCCCTCTGTACCTATCGTGGGCGTGGGTGCCGAGTGGGAAAAGGGAAAGGTCTGAAGTCTGGTACGCCAATACCTAGACAGGTGGTTGTTTCGATGTGTTGCGGCAAAGTGAGAGACACACGGCCACAGGTAAGCCGTGTCAAGTTTGACAACGCAGCAAGGAAAAATAGAAGGTAAGCAGCAACACGAACCGTGGTTCTCTCGGCATACGTGCCCGTCCGTCTCCTTAGAAATTGTGTTTGGTAGAAAAAAATAGGACAAAATGAAAATAATAACAACTTACATATGAAAAATAGAAAAGAGGAACTCGTCAATAACACTGTATGATAGTCTATAGTCTAGACTTCGAAGAATATGCTGCTAAATCCATTTAATCCATATAATCCATATTTATTCTGCTGCATTGCTGCAGCAGAGGCGGTGGCAATTCTGCGCCAATGTTGAACGGCGCCGACGGCAGCGGGAGATGCGACCTGCTAAGCTAGGACCATGGATGTTGAAAGGAGAAGAAGGGGAAATAAAGGGAAGGCGAAAGTAAAAAAAACATGAATGATTGGATGTAAATTCGTGCTACCGATTGCTGGCATTAATTTTTCTTCGTCTCTTGGGTCTTAACTTTTCGGGATGGGTGGGCCTTTGACCCGAACTGGAAGCATTTAATGGAGGTACCCCTGTCCTTGTAAGCTAGTCAGGGTGGTTTTTCATTGGTCAAAAAAGGTGGAACTTGAGCCCTGATTTGTCGCCTCATGTTTTCAGTTGGCTTGACGCGTCAATCGATAGCTTCTGATGCCTATTTATTTTATTTTTTTCTGTTGAGGCTAGCAATTACACGTTTCCATTTTCGTTCCTTCAAGAGAGACATTTATGCACGAAACGGAAGACATTCATGCAAAAGCTTAAAAGGAGGAAACCAAAAAAGGAAGACGTTGACAAATGCTTACGATGCAATAACAGTAATGAGAATAATAATAAACTTGAAACCAAAAAATCAAATGAAAAAGTAATTATCATCGAATAAGAAAATCGAAAGCAAAAGTCACAAAAATATGAACTCGCTTCATATGTGTATCGTCTACTATGTAAAGTTAAAATATCTAGGAACACCCCTCGCCCCGCCTTATCTTACCTGCTGACACCCATGAATCCCCAAATCCAGCATTATAGGCCCACACCTCGGCATAAGGTTGTGCAAGGACATTGTTATGTCTTTTTTGCCTCTGGACTCAACCAATGATTCTCGAAAATACCCATGATAAGATAACACATCCCGCCTCAACTTCCACTGTTTCATTTCTGTCTAATCTTCCGAGACTGCCGATCCCTTCCCATCTAACACGGGTAGTGAGATCATGACTCAATCTTCCCAGTGTATAGCTGAGGCCGAATAAGGGAGTACGGCAATCAAAGACCATAAAAAAACCTGCCAGTCTGCGTGACGTGGTTAAATCCCCCTTGCTCGAGCAACGGTTGAACGGGTACTGAAGGGACGTGGTCAAAGTGGAACAAATCAGTTACCGTACCAAGGAATTTTTAGATTCCGCCGTGGAGATTTCCAGCCCCAAGGTTCTGTACGAATCGAACATCCCTCGCCTGTCGTTCCAAGGCCAGCCTCATTCTTTCGCCGTACATCTGCTGTTCTTCTTCTGCCGCCATCTCGTCCGCCGTCTTAGTGCTCTCTTCGAAATCTTCCTGGCAGAACCCAGGTTTGGATGAAAAGCTTAATAATCCCAGCTTCTCTCCGGTCCAAAACAGGATATCGTCATCGTTGACTTGAACATTCCCATTTTGTCCCGGTGCCCGTGTAGAGAGTATTTTCCTCGCTATGTCATCTGACCCGGGCATCGATCCGAAAAGTGACCGGTGGACTACTCGTTCGGACTTACCGATCCTATGTTGGCGGACCTCCGTGAAACCGTCCCTCTCCATCCACTTTAGGCAGCCTTGTCCATCGGAGAAAACCAATCGGGTACCATGATTAATCACAGATAGGAGCTTTGACTGCGAAGCGGTCTGTCGATTTTTCATGGTAGAATTCCGAACAACGCGTGACGGCGGTTCGTTGTCTATACTAGAAGACAGGCCATACAACTCCAGTGATCCTTTGGTATTGTATTCGCCACATGCTATTAATGTTCTACCACCAGCTACGTTCTTAGCTTTCTCAACCTGTTCTTCTGACAGTTGAAAGCGTCGGCGCAGATCGCTGTCAATGCTAGAGAAAGGGTAAGGAAGCGACGTCAAGCTACAAAGCTTTGCGCCCGAGTGAATGGATCCTCTAATTGCCGGAAACATCCGCCGATCGTAGTGTAATATGTTCGAAAATCGACCTGCCACGAAGATATCGTCGGATAATTGACTGCTATTCCCAGGACTTTCGAGATGGAGAATACTCTGCGGCCCCGATTGAGCGAGAGAAGCGTAAGGAGCAAGAGGTGTCGGATCTAGGATATGGGAGAAGTCCCGACCTCCTTTCCTACTCAAATTATCTAATCGCAATTGATATTCCTTTCGACGAGTTGATCCGATTCTAAAATCATGCAAATGCAACCCGTGGAGTGTGCCGACCGTCAAAGGGACCGTGTGATCAGCCGCAGAAAGTGTAGTAATCGACCATTCGAAGGGATGATTTCCAATAACTTGCAGTGTCTCGAGATCAACTTCAATGAGGTCTTAATTGGGGTCAGCGAGTTTTATAACAACATGAATCAGTGAGGATGTCAAGGCAAGGAACTTACGACTCTGGACAGCGAAGAAAGCTGTGTGCCTCCGGCTGTCAACACTCACGCATTCGATCACCCCCGTATTGGTCATTTTCGAGCGTTTCGAAAAGTCAGCACCCGGACCGTCGGCGCATAAAAGACCCGGACCGGATTTTGTCAAAATTGAGCCCTGCCTATTTCGAATACCCTTCACATCCCACAAGCAAATTGAGCCATCATCAAGTGGCGACACTGCGAATAATTCTTCACCACTCGAAGATGGTCTATATAAGGCGGCACCACTAACATCTATTTGATCGCTAAGAGAGCCATGTTGAATTTGGGGCTGCTCGAACCAGCTGACAGCAATCGGACCGTACCTCTGAATATACTCGTTATACCAATTCGTGTTTTCGCCTGGAAACGTGGGGTCCCAATTAGCAGCTATTCGAACCTGTTCCCTCTTCCTCCACTTGGATGATAGTTGCGGGAACCTTTCGAGTCGACTCCAGTGTGATTCGTTTTGATCGTCTACTTGATTCCCAGCTCCTAAGCCATTTGCTGCGCCGCCCCAAATGGCGCCATCCTCGTCAACCCAATCCGATCCTAAACGATGAAGACTAATACGTTCGCGAACGGCGGAGCTAGACAAGCATTGATTTCGCCAAAAATTGCCATCTCGACATAACGCTAAGGAATATTTCGAGACACTTTGAAGGACGACAACGTCACGCGTATCCAAAACTGATTATTACAAAGCTCGCATTAGCGACGGTGGTGGATTTCAGGGATATGGCAATAGTAGGAGTGGGTGCTCACAAGATAGGATGTGTAGGAAGATCTCATCTGGAAGATTTTGAAGAGGGCTAGGATCAGCCATGGTTCATTCGTGGGGTATTTCTAAGAAAAATGGCAACAAGCGAATGGCCGCGAGGCTAAGCAAATTTGCTGTAAGCCGCTCATGGGAATAGACGAAAATAATGATAATAGTAAATAAAGAAGAAATAAGAGCTAAGTTCAGTATTCATACGATACTCGGTGATGGACAAATAACAAGTCTGACAAAGATAGGATTGATGCTTTTGTTTGGAATCAGGCAACTTTGCGAGTACATGGAAATGTCTAGAAATCCCCTCAGCTTATCAGGTTCAATGACGAAAGTTGCAATGGACCGGGATAGATCTCTTTAGCTTAGCTTTTTAGCTTCTTAGGTACATACATGTACCCTAGATATGCACCTAATTAGCTCCGCCGTTTTAATGACGGCGCTAGACAGGGCCACCTGGGGGTGCACTAGATAATCACTACCCAACCCATTCACGGGGTTACTCCTCCCTAAATCTTCTAGGATGTGCTTCCTCCCAATGAATTCCAACCCCAACGATGTTACCATACCAAGGCCCGAAGCTTCGGGAAGGTGGTCTGTGCGTATTTGTACCAATCTCCGCAAAACGGCGAATCTGGGTGCGGGGGGAGAATGGGGCTGGGAATAATCGTATCGGAAATTTACGCCACAGGTGTGGCTTACTCATCATTTTTCATTTCCAACGACATTCCACAACACGGCTACTCAAGCGCGTCAATTTTATCAACAATTTTAAACCGCATAGAGATACAGGGGCTCGGTTGGCCAAGATACTCTAATAATATTTATTCTTAAGGAGGACCTTAATTATCTCAGATGTTATAATCGATACCGAACGAATTTATGTATTATCGCTCGACGATGAATATTTCCCTCAAGAACCACTCCCCTAAGGCTCGTCAGATACCTACGTACCGATAGATACATATGTAGTTAGAATATGAACGGAATTACATACTCACATACAAGGATTTTCTTCGGTCTTTGTGTCCTCTTAGCAGTGGGAAGACGCTCTCCGCCCGTCTTCCGTCGACCCCAGCGCGAGCCATATGGGCACCGGATGGGAGGCTACAGAGCAGCTTACGCCGCCATATCCTGTACATGTTAAGCTCGCATCTTTCAGACAATGGACAAGATAAGCACCAAATCGCATTAAGGCCGCACTGTTTTTCATACCATGATGGGGCAGCAAGGTGAAGGTAACGATGAAGCTAATACCACACAGCGTACTTGGAATTCAAATTCGCCCAGAGGTATGTGTGTATTTTGATCACCACTTAACACATACGACACAAAACCTGTCCCTCACGATGATCATATCAATACTTGAATAATTATTCTAATTATTGGATAGGATTAACCCAATTACAACAAACCCATCTATATTTTCTACGCTGGCGCCAGCAACTATGCCAATGATACATACATGCTTTTAGTACTGCGATATACGCGTCGGCATATGAATTAAAATCGCCATTGAGCTACTACCCGGCTTAGGTATGGTGAGGTATTGAAGAGCTTGGAGATGCGCACTTGTCTCTCAATTCTCGTGCGAATGCAAAATGTATACCTCCTAGATTAATGGTACTATTCAGCTTTCAGCAGAGTAAAATGCGCACAGCAGATTTGGTGAGTGGCTATCTCAAGTTGTTCGGTTGGTTCGTGCTAACTTGGGTGATCTAGCTCATCGTTTATTTGCTATTAGAAGTACTTCTGGCCCGTATGAATCTACTGCCAACTGAAAAAGGAGGCATCGTACCTTCGACACGTAGTAACAATTAGTCGTCTGGTATCCCGTTTTATTTTATTTTGTTACCTACTTAAGTAGGTACGTCGTGCTTGCTAGTTATAACGAGACGAAACTAGCATTTCATCAGGCCTTGACCAGTGCACATTTGTGCACCTCTCTTTTCTTGCTCTTCCCAAACCCATCCCTCAACTAACAACCTTTCATCTACGCTCATCCCAGATACCTTTTCACCGCACCCACTTAAAAAAAAGTTCGACGTATTTCAATTCTGAAATTGATTCCTTCAAAACTCCATCAAGGTCAAGTCCGTTCTTTTTCCGAGATACCTAGGTATATTTTTCTCTGGTACTTGTGGCGTCTCGGTTACACACGTGCTGTTTGCGCCTCGAGATATTTCTCAATATCCACCCATTTGGAAGCTACGAGCTACTGGCTCCTTCCTTCTTTTCAACACACAACGTTTACGTTTACCATTCTTTAGGGACCAATAGGAACGTGTCGAAATCGCAATCCGACGTCCGCACCGTACATCCAGGTAAGTGCAACCATATCCCAGCTTCTTCCACTATGCGAGCTTACCCCTACTCAACTTTCTCACCACACTCTATTGCGACGAACACCTCTCTCCTCTTCACAACTTTCCTAAAGTACGCATACTAGTTTCCCTACAATCTATCCTTATTCTCCACAACCTCTTTTCTCTTTCCCTATCGTTATTGTATCTTACTTCATTCCTAACGTTAAACAAATTTCAGCTATCAATTGGGTTTTTCTCAATTCTTCCTCTGACACCTTGCGCCCCCCTTTCTTGGAAGGAAGGACGATTGGCGCTGCCATACTTCGTTCAGCAACGCTTGTCATATAATTCGGATTACCAAGCACTTGTCGAAGTCAGGTATGTGCGATACAATCTGGTTATGTTTGCGCTTTCATCCTCCTCCTTCTAGGCCCTAAGTGTGTCGTTGTTTCATCGCATCGCATTGCATTGTATCTACCTCGCCCTGCCCTCCCCTGCCCTGCCATGCGTCTTATGTTTGCGCTTCCTTTACTTGAATATAATTGTTCCATATTCTGTCTACATCCGTCATTTCGCCTTCTGTTTAAGTAGTTTCCTCCCATGTATCATGTCGTCACTTCTCATTATTTGGCTGACGTCTTATCCTAGAGCTACTTCCTTCAATGATGACTCCAAGCCAGGACGAGGGCCACGAACGACCTGATTCCCCGCAGACAAGCTCTTCTCAAGCGCCTTTAAAGCTTCCTCAAAGCGCGACCCACCGGGCTCCGTTCTTCAGTGATCTCGATGAAGCCTTCAGAAAAATTACATTGAAGAAATCATCGAATGGCAGCAATTCGCAGCAGACGTCTAATAAGGTCGAATCAAGCCGGGATAACTTACATAAGGAATTTGCCAGCTTGACTTCCCGAGGCAAATCGAATGGACCAGCCGCTTCACCACATGATGTCGCGGTTTCAAGTACCAACGGCTCAATTGGAAGGTCATTGACGGACCACCCGCGCACTCTTCCTCCATCTTCACCTACAGCTATGGACATGGCCCTCGCTAAGGAAAATATAGATGAGCTGACGGAAGTCTTGAAACAAAAGGCTACAGAATCTAAGGCCACCGAGCCTCTCGATACTTCTGCAAACACAGTGGAGAAGATTTTTGATGACTACGCGAGCTCTTCCCCTGCTAATAATGTAGACATTCCCACTCGGGATGGAGCTGTTACTCGATGCGGATTCCGTGGCGAAGAGGAGCGAGGTCGTATTGTGAGCCATCGTCGATTTCAAGTCGGCTCTCCGCCCTCTGATCTCCCTGAGAGCCCCACAAGGGACCTGCGCCTTAGCCATCGACGATCAAGATCCTTATTTGACCTTACCCAAGGTAGTTCTCTAGCCGCCACTACTACCATATCCGATTCACAGCATCTACTTAATGTTGATGCACAGGCCAATGAGCTTGAGGTTCGCAAGCCATTCTTCCCTTCACCATTACGCCTCCCGCCGAAGAAATTCAATCCGGAGAACAGTGACGAGTTCTATAGCGACTTTGGATCGTCCCCTGACATTAAGTATGAATCGAGTGATGATCCGTTCAAGTACGACGAGGGAAACTACAGAATTGCCTTACGCAACACAAAGGAAAAGGAGGTTAGTCAGGCTCTAAGACGAGTAAGCAAGCTTGGTGAGGGTAGCGGCGCTACCATTGGAACGCCAGAGGACAGTTTCTATGATCGCGCACAACCAGCACAAGCGCTAGAAAGGAAGCTTCCAATCCCTCCTCAGAACAACCTCGCTGCAGGATTGCAAAGTAAGCGGCGACGGGGGTCGAATTTCCAACGAGCTGCGGCACCATTGGGATATAAAACTAGTGTGCATGATAACCGTCAACCCGATAGTCCGCCCGATAAGTTCCCGCTCAGGGATTCTACCGGCGGTCGAGACTGGATAACGGAGGCAACTAGCGAGGTTGATATCCATGATGATACCAACCCATTTTCACCCGTATTCAAGGTTACGGGAAGCAGCGTTGCCGATTCTTTTAACGCTGACGACGAAGGCAAGTGGCCTGGCAAGTCCAACGGACGAGCGCGGTTTATTCAGCATCCTGTCGGCCAAGGCCAACCAGAGTCATATGAGCTCCAGACCCTAAAGGATACTAACCAAAGGATAATCCTTCCCAAGAACCAGCCCAATCGCGCTGTTGTACATCCGGATAACTCGACACGCTGGTTCTCCGTTAGAACAAAGGAGATTCCTGTCGCCAACCGAGTGCGAAATTCTCTTACACGAGGTTTATCAAACCCATTTGCTCGCGCTGAAAGTTACAAAAAAGCGGATTTAGACGGGAACTTCAAATCGAAGGTTAACGGCACCAGTAAGTCCAAATACGAATTTCGTGATTCCGCTTCCGATTATGGATTTGGCTCAGCAACCCCCGAAGCCCAGGGTTCTCTAGAAGGTGCCGGGCTACAAAGAATAGAAAGTGAAGACCATCGTGACGGGGATAGGCAACTCGGAAAGGTGGGGCTATACTCCCCTAGCAGCCTACAACCACCTAGCTCATCAGAAGATGTTGAATTCGCACCGAGTGACCGACGCGGGAAACGAGCCGAACAAGGCAAACAATATGAGAAGCGACACGTCGACGAAGACTATCCGGTTCGCAACGGTTATTGGTGGCGTGCTGAGAAAGAAGCAGAACTCGCAAGTAGAACTATGTCGTCAATGGATGGGCCTTCCCTTTCCGCGAAGTCTAAATTCGACTTTGAACTTATCCCTCTCGACCAGGCACAGCGTCAGAAAAAGCAGCAGCGAGAGAGCGGCGAAATTGACGAAACTGAACCAGCGGGAGTTCGGTATAAGCGCGCCATGAGTTCTACATCAAACCGAGTTTTCCAAGACTCCAGTCCGATTTCGCCTCCCCTTCCGATTCATGCTAGGCGAGGCCGTGCAGCGCCCGAACCGTCTATAGATTTGAGTCCTGGAAACAGGCGTTCATATTTGGATATCTTTCAAGGTAAGACCTAATATCACGTATCTGCAGTGACTACGGCTAATATAGATTAGAACTATCTTCTCCCTTCTCCGCAACAAGCGGACCGAGCCTCACACCCGCATCGAGTCGTCCGAAGAAGTTCTTAGGCCAGAATAGTTCCCCCACAACACCCGCTTCTAGCAAGACTGGCCTTAGAGTGGCAAAGCGCTCGTGGGTTGAACGATACAAGCCACAATTAATGTCCACAGGAAAGCAGGGCCGTAGAATTGGCACTGACCAAACTGTAGTTCGCCATTTCGCTGAAAGTGAGAGTGGACTGAGCGCTGGGGCACTAGAAGCCTTGGCGGAAGTACACATTTCCGAGAATAGCTGTCGACGTAGGAAGTATTGGTTCATCCTGATGGCTATACTGGGCATTCTTTTCCCATTCATTGCTGTCCTTGTGCTTGCTGGGAAGTTTAACGAGTGTCTCACTTCTTACACTCGTGGCGAGGTACGCCGACTAACAATCAAGCAGAGGAACTTCATTCGAAATGCGTTCCTCTTCCAGTGCTGCCTCTACACCATCATCGTCTCGGCAGTTATTGCTGTTTACACCAAGAAACCTTAGGTTTTTCATGATTCAGGATACTCAGGAGCTAGGGCTCTCTATATGTACTGAAACTTCTCGGAGACGACGAATAACAATCACGACTACCGCCCATGATTTTCAGCTAGCTATAATGTTTTTCACTTCTTCTGCGACAGCTTTTTTTTTTTTTTTCTCTTCGCATTTGCAGCCTTCAGATTTTCGGCTTTTGAGGTTACTGGTTTTTCTAATTCTGCTGCGGCATCAAAAAATTTGAGTAATTAAATACGACGGTCCACAATGCTATTGACAAAATTGCGCGGTACAAAAAAGGAATGATTGAGGGCATGTATATAATTTGCAGACGCAGAAAGGCTGGCGACGCTGGGGGCTTTTGCTGACATTTTGTTATCGGCAATTTCGCGATGCTTTCAAGATCGCGACATTTTTTCACACTTGCGTTCTCATCAATTGACCCCAACGTTGCGGCGGGGCATATGGTTGATGAGACTACCGACGATTTCATCCGACTCTTCGGTGGTACGATATTGGACGTTCTCTCGATGCGCTGAGTTTACACCCGGCCTGGGACGCCTGGGACTTGCACCTTCTTCATCGCGCTTGATTTATACTAGGTGAAGGACAATACGACGTCTGTGCGCTTCACCTATACCTTCGTTGATTTGGGGCATTTGTAGTCCTCGCGCTTTGGTTGCTGGATATGGCGTCATAAGTTAATCCTTGGATGATCTGCCACTGTCTTATGACAATGAATAGGATGAGGGTGGTCAATCGATCGTGAAGGTCGATGTGAAAAGGCGAGATTTTACGTTTTGAGGCCTTGGTTCTTTTTGAGCTTTGGGGCGGAACTCCGGGGGAGGAAGATGTACATAAGGATTGCACGTAAAAGACACCGGATTGTAAAAAGAGAAAGGAAAGAATTGAACGTTGCACAATGGGAAATGAGATGAAATGGGACATGGAAAAATGAAATGAAAAATGAGGGGATCGATTTGCTTTTGGCGGGCAGTTATCGGCGATAGGAGTTCGGAGTTTCTAAAACTCGCATAGGGAAATGGACGGGTGGGCGAGACAATGATACCGTTTGACGATTGATCAATGCCACAAGGCTACGATTCTCTTCGCGACGGCGAGCACCTCTCGAGCCACACCAGTTGCGCCCCAGGGCTTCAGACTGGCTGGCTGCTGACTTGGAATAAAAACCGGCAATTTCAACCCTTATTAGACACTTCCACCCTGAAAATGCAGTAAAATAAAAAACGACACAATAACCTAAGGAAACAAGTACATAACAAATACTTGTACTTCTCTCTACGCTCTCATGAATATTGCAAAGCTCAAAACTTCGGAACTCTGAAACGTAGCGCAGCCTGCATCGCAGAAATTTGGTGTCTTATGGGCTTATGACATAATCATATTTGGACAGTAAATTATCGTATTGATCGCACGGTGAGCTCTGTTACGGGGTAGCACAGCATAAAAAGCAGGAACCGCCCCGATTTTTCATTTTTGGGTTGGTGGGGGAGGTGCATTAGCATTGAAAATAACGGGAATTTCTACTCACTTCGACCAAATATCTAATGGTTTCCAAATCAGAAATACTTCGATATCGAAATATAGCCAATAGCTCCCGGATCTTACCTTGAATTTGTACCTGTAAACCCTGACCTCGTGTCAAATCAGCTTCGACACCAATGGTCCGGCAATTAGCAATGGGTTTTGACCGCCAGAGGGGCTTCGGCGGCTTCTTAAGTGGAAGAGATGACTGAGATTGTAGGTATATAGGACCTACAAGCATCACCCTCAACCCATCTACTCTACTCTGTTTTCCTTGCGAACACTCCCAATGGTCTTTGTTTTGAAGACATTTACACTGCTGGTTTACCCGTTGCAGGGCATTGATATAAGTAGTTGCCTGTTGATTGTATCAACTATGTCCACCGCACTCAACAATCAACCTGGGCCGTCGACCAACGACCTTATGACGTTGGAACCTGCAGCCGTGACGTCCCTTGTTACAACTAAGTTAGCTATGTGGTATGCTTCTTTGCTCTTATTTGATCCTAACTACACGGCCCGCTTGTGTCTAGGAAAGCTAATACTCATCCCTAGGCCTAGCGAGGATGAAGGCGCTGTTAGTCGCCGCCGTATGCACATGCCTGAAATGTTTATTGAACGTCGTCGCCTTCACTTTGAAAACACGGCCTTCGTAGTTCCCCTCAACTTGCCTCCACGCGGGTCCCCAGCCCCTGAAGCTATCTTACAGTATGGAAATAGGCTCCAATCAGTTGCCACGGAAGAAATCCAACCGGGGATGGTCGCCCACGGTATGTATAGAAACTTGCGTCACTCCAACTATCGGCAATCTCTGACAGTGGGTATAGCTGTGGCTTATATTGAGACCTGGAATGGGAGTGAGCGCGGCTACTCTGGTACGGGGGCTGTCATCTACGGTAACATTGTTGTTACTGCCGGCCATGTTTTGCTTTCCGAGTCCGGCCAGTCACATGTTACCGCCGTACGTGTTACCGTCGGGGAAAGTGTTACGAGCGAATCTCGTCACGGCATCTGCATTGCCTTCAATGGTAACTGGTACGCTACAAATTCGGGTGTCAACGATATGGCTTTTATAAAGCTAGACTGTCCATTTCATACTGTCCAACCTCTCGCCTACTGTCAAAGTCCCTTGATAAGTGAAGGCACAATTGATACTCTCGCCTTCGGGTTCCCTGGAAAGACGGACAGATCTGTATCAAGTGGACCATTATACAAGAGCAAAGCCCCCTTAACGTATAATCAAAACTTAAAGATGTTCGAGCATAAAGGCGATACAGAGAAAGGTATGTGAGGACATATTCCCTTACGTCGAAAGCTTCTCTACGTTGAAGGACCCCCAACTCCCCCCTTCCCTACCCCCACTATTTAAAATCGAAGTACTAGATTTGCTCACAACATCATAGGAAGCTCCGGCGGCCCACTCATTGATGCCTCAGGGCAGGTCATCGCTTTACACTGGGGCTATTGCGGGATCAACCTAGCTGTCACGATTGATCGCAACGGTAACGACTTCGTCCCCTTCCTCCGAATCCTCGGTGTGCCTATCCTAGATGCTACACTACCCGAACAACAGCGAAACATCAGCATTGAGCTTATCGGGGCTCAGGGTGCCGACGGCGTTGTATATGCTTGGTATAAACATTAAAAATTGGGAGGTAATTGAGGGCATAGCGTTAGATGGCGTTACGCTGGGTCGGGTTTTGGCATTTCAACTATTCTATATAGACGGGAAACATGGATAAAGGTGGAATCGCTAGGGCTTAGGGGATTTATACACCTAAATACGCTAGGGGCTTAGCTTCTTTAGACTTGGAACATCGCCAAAATAGTGTCTACTTACAGCGCATAAATATTGTGCATCTTACAAGTACATTGTGCCCAAGTCCACTGTGAATATAGGGCCTACGTCCGCTAATAAGCCCTAGAAGCTGAGGCTTAAAACGCCAACTTCATAGTGCATTTACAACACGCCAGGCTCAACCTCCACTGCTGCAAAGGAATATGTATCTTATCGCTTGATTTATATGAAACAATACTTAAAGCTCCCCTCTTCCTTTTACAACAACCTACCTACCCAGAAGGTACTTGAAAATCATTAGAAATATGTATCTTCAGTGAAAATTAGGCAATCAGATACATCTATACTATGGATGGTTTAGACAAGGCCCTGTCTCCAGTATTGCCTTTTAGATCCTGTAGCGAATCTGCTAAACTTTTGGCCGCGACCTTCGTAGTAGGTATACTATTACGCATACCTAGGTACTGGAAATATAATTCTATTGCCTCTGCAAATAAGCACCTTTACGTGGCTAGCTTACTTAGCTCTACTACCATGTCGTCAGGTACCATCTAAATCCCTAACATATCCTGAATTCATATCCTTTCCATTCTATCTCCCCATTTTCATAATTCCTCATGCACAGGCATCCCGATCATTAGGAGACCAAGGTACGTATCCCTCATGTCCCCCAAACCAGGCCATTTTCCTCATATCCTTCTAAAAATTCTCTAACTAACCTATCTCCTAATTCGTAACATTCTCAAACCTCCCCATAAACAATCTGTCTCAAATGTTCCTTCTCGCCACTCTGCTCACACATAGCGCGGAACATACCCAACCCACCTTCTTCCTCGGGACCTTGTATCTCCCATAGCTCACGCGGGGTACCATATTCAGCCACTTTTCCGTCGCTTAGGACTAAGATACGATCGAAGTCGGCGATTGTACTTAGACGGTGCGCGATCACGATAAGTGTACTATCGCCGAATTCCTCGCGGATGCTGCGTTGGATAAGCGCATCGGTTGTCATGTCCACGGCGCTTGTCGCTTCGTCTAGTACCATGACCTTGGGACGCGATACGATGGCGCGCGCTAGGCAGAGTAATTGACGTTGTCCTTGCGATAGGTTTAGGCCTCCTTCCGAGATTGGTGAGAGTAAGTTGCGGAAGATGTTCGTGTTCTTCTTACTGCCGGTACTCGATGTCGGGGTGGATGTTCCGGGCGTGCCTGTTGGTGTGGGGCCATTTCCGGTCTCATTCCCGTCCTCGGAGATTAGATGCACACGTGCTAACGAGTCGAAGAGCTCAGCGTCGGAATGGTTATCGAAGGGGTCGAGATTCGATCTTACGGTGCCGCTGAATAGGACCGGGTCTTGTGGTATGATGGCTAGTCGGCTGCGTAGATCGTGTAGCTTGATTTTGGAAATGTCCACTCCGTCAATGTGGATACTTCCCGACCGTGCCTCAAGGAAACGGAACAGCGCAAGCGTTAGGGATGATTTGCCTGCACCGGTTCGTCCTACCACACCAATACGCTCATTTCGCTTGACACTGAAGTTAAGGCCCTTTAGGATAGGAGGTAAGTCATCTGCGTAGCCAACGACAAGGTCATTCACTTCAACACGTCCTTCTGTAGGCCAAGCCGCGGGTGGACTAGCACCACCTAAGCTTTCCGTTGGCAATTCCGTGTATTCCACAATTCGTTCCGCGGCATTCATCTCGAGTTCCACGTTGGCGTAATGGCGAATGGTCCACATGATGTGGTTCGAGAATTCGAGGGCGAACGCCAATCCAAACCCGGCAAGTGCCGCATCGATCTCAGGTGCCACAAGGATGAGAATAGCAACGAATGAAGCAAAGAAACTTCCAACTACGGCCATGCGCCATCCCATCCAACGGACGAATAGCCAAAGATGCCAAGTAGCTACGGTCCAGTCGTCTAACTTCGTATACATGCGCTCGATATAAGTTTGGCTCTTGTCGAATGATCTAATCGTCTGGACACCGGTCAAGGCCGATCCGAATTGCTCAAATACGGGAGACTTGGTAATCGACTCGAGTCGCTTGACCGGTCTAGCTCCGTGGAGATAGCGGATTGCATAAAATGCAGAAATTAAGAGCAGGATGAACGCTAGAACTATGATTATCGGAGAGACGAATAGACCAGCGACGATGACTCCCACGAGGTTTAGGAGTGCACTTGCGGCAAACGCCATCGAGTACGCCATGTGAGTATCCACCGAGTGGAAATCAGCCGTAAATCGGTTCAGGATCCTACCAAGAGGGACCGTGTCTAACCATCGGAGCGGCGCTCGGAGCACCGTAAAGTTGAGCTTGGAAAAAAGTTGTCTGGAAGCGCGTATTGAGCCACGGAATACGTAGTAGTACCGGAAAGTTGAGACAAGGGAAGTAAAGGTCGAGATGAAGACATAGATGCCTAAGTAGAAGGTTAGGCTGTTAGTGTCGGGTTTAACCATTGGTCGGACCATCGTATCCATTGTAAACTGTTGTAAGGCGTACTGATATGGATACGCCTGGGCCTCCATCTGTATTTGAGTAGTCTCCCGGTGCTCGTTATACGATCCCGTCCATATCCGTAGCCACCATGAACGACCTAGAGTTAAGGCTTGTACGAATAGAAAGAGGAAAACAACTGCGCCCCAGAACCACCATGACCCACTATACGTTAGGTATGCTGCATAGACTTTGCCCTTGACGGCTCCTTTTTCTCGAGCTTCTTCTTCGACAAATTTGCGTGCTTGCGCTTTCGAGGGGACCTTAGCTAAAGGCTCTCCATTCGGTTCTCCATTCGGTTCACCATCGGCTTGCGACGTCTCTTCGGAGTTAATAGCGGTCGACCCCTCATCATCCCGAATTTCCTGGTCCGTCTGCTCATGACTCTTAATCTGATCCAGAGTTCCAGTTTGTTCTAATTCCGAGATAAATCCCGCATTCAACACACGACCATCTCCCAATTCGACAAGGAACTTGGTTTTTGGTTCACATAGGGCAACATGGTGCGTAACTAGAATTCTCGTTCGACCAACACCGAGCTCGCCGTTTAGACACTTCTCGAAGATATGACGACCGACATGAGCATCGACTGCGCTGAAGATATCGTCTAGGACAAGTATTCCTGCGCGAGAGTAAATCGCACGGGCTAGCCTATATAGCGTTATTTAGTAGTTGATCACAGAAGAGTTGGAGTCTAATCCAATTGCATCAATGCGAAGGATAATTGACTTACGTGATTCGCCATTTCTGTCCACCACTTAGGTTGATGCCATTTGCGCCGATCTCCGTGTTCTCTCCATCGCTGAACATTTCCATATCCTTTGTCAAAGCGCAAACCTCAATAGTCTTGTTGTATCGATACGCATCATAAGGTAAACCGAATAAAATATTCTCTTTGACGGTCGCATTCTCGATCCATGGTATTTGCGCGACGAACGCAATCGCACCAGGGATAATCCAGTTGTCTCTGTTAGCTTTTTGGTCGTGTCCTTGAGAGGGCGCTCGTGGTACGCTAATAGACCCGTTGAGAATGTCAATCTCGCCTAAGATAGCAGCCAACAACAAACTCTTCCCGCTTCCAGTCTTCCCTGATATGATCGATAGTTCGCCCTTGGGGAATATGATGTTAATATCGCGTAAAACGAATCGGTCGGGATCCTCCTCTTGGCTATCCGAGGGCCAAGCGATGGATGCTTCGTCAAAGGTAACCTCGTCAGCCTCTTTAGTTATCTTAGAAATCTCCGCGCCCCTTAAGTACGTATCCATTCGCTTCACCGAAACCCAAGCATCGACAAGATCGGTCGTTAGTTCGGGAATAACAGATAAGGTAACTTCGAGTGCCTTGAAAACGCCAAGACTGACGAATGCGACCGAGGGTGTAAGAGTACCATATAAGGCTGCGTAGACGGCAAGAGCCACGGCTGCAAGCATAATCGGACTCGTAATCCAGCATCCGATTAGCATAACATCGTTCATAAAGGCGCTCCAAACACATGACAATTCTCGTTCTCTGACATCGCCGATTTTCTTTTCCCATTGCGGCTCAAGGGCGGAGAATTTGATTTGACGAATCCCCTGAAGAGCCTCCGAAACGACCTCCATTTTCTCATCTCGGACTTTCATTAAACGATCTTGAGCATCCGAATACTTCTTCGAGAAATATATGTTAATAGGAGTAACGGCAAGCATTGTCGAAAAGCCCGCGAGAAGGGCTTTCCAACCAAGGAGATCCAAGAGGAAGAGCAGCGATACGATCAACTTGAAGAGACTACCAGGGAAGATGTTATTGAATGCAGCAAAATCAGATACCCGCTTGGCATCTACACCTATTAGATTAACGGTACTCTGCTTGCTTTTCCTGATCTGCTCGTCCGAGTCTTCTTCGAATTCATCGATATCTGGTCTGTCAGTACCGGATGCCTCTCCCATTTGCCCGGCGATATTCGGCTCGGTTGATTCTGATGCAGCAGCTTTCTGCTTTTTAGTGGCTTCCTTGACATCTTTACGTCTCATAGATTTTCGGAAAATCAATGCCGACAATTGCGCTCGAATAGGAATGCAAAGTTGGGCCCATGAAAGCCAATAGACGTATGCCTCGACCCATGATTGAATAAGGATAGCTACGGCGATTAAGATAACCCAGACCCAGGCTTCATAACTAACGCGCTCGTGGCTTTCGCGTCGCTCTAGTAGGTTCAGCAGTTGTAGGACAACCCACTGGGGTGCCAAATTTAGAAAGGCAGTGACTATGGTCAAAATCCATTGGATTGCGAAATTCCATTTATGGGCGAGGACAATAGAGATCCATAGTGGACCTGTGAATCCACGGCTTTCCCAATCGGCAGTCGTCTCTTTAGACCTTGTGTAATGATCCGGCCTAGGAAGATCCTCTAGGTCGAGGTTATTCTTCTTTGTAGCCTTGCGAAGTAAATAGACAGGCCAGCTCCAGTTGAATCGACTCCATGCTGATTCCGTGTACAGCCTATCGACGGGGTGGCCATCGAGGAACACATCGGGTCGCCGAGGAAGTGATAAGCTAGCAACAGCCAAGGAGATAGCCGCAACTAGTTCAGCCAAACGTATAGTAAAAATCCCATCGACATGTTGCCTTAGGAGTGTAGCTGCTACGCCATTATCATGAATAGCGAGAACGGCAATTAGAATGATGCACGAAAGAAAAGACCATGCGCCTAAGTCGTAAGCAGCGACCGAATCTCGGCTGGATACGATACTGACCGCTTGTAGGGTCAGAAGAGCCTGCATACACGTGTAACAGCTTGTGTCAGTCCATAATCTGACGGTTTCAGGGTTTTGTTGTGTAACAGTGAGCTTACCGAGATTATAACGCCCAACCAATTCCCGAGGAATAAGCCACCTTCTATGCTTTGTCTGTCCAACGTCGAGTTGACAGCGAGCGCGATCGACAGGCCGAGACCGATCAGTGAGAGGATTAGTATGGCGGCTTTGGGGATCTTGGCGCTGAAGGCCTTGACGGCCTCTGGCGTGCTTTTACCATCCTTATCTTCATAGATGCCGGTCGCATATTTCGATCCTCGACTACGCAGTCTACCTAGATTTAGGGCGGCGGGAACAGTTAAAATCGCGACAGCACCCAAGCCAACAGCTGAAGTCACGATCACTGTTGTCTTGTCAGACATGGTGTTGGTGATATTCAATGTATTCGGAGTTAAGCCCGGGGTTCTAGAGCTAGGATTTCCTCCCTGACTAGACGCGGCGAATAGCGCGCCAGAGAGAAGCGCGACGAGACGAAACAGGACCAATGCGGCTTCAAATGTTTTTCTCGAATTAATCTGCAGACCATTTGGGGTAGAAAAAGAGATAAACCCTAGGGCGCATTAGTTAAGACCGAAAAATTTCGAATCCAGGTCTCTGTTTAGTACAAAGAACATTCGAAATTGAACCCAAGTATGAATCACTCATCATTGATCATGCAATGATGGGGAATGAGGTACAGTACCTCGTCAGTACTTCTTTGCACGGTTCGCTGGTACAAAAAAGGAACCTTGCCGGTTGACTCATAGGGTGAGTGGCTGTTTTTTTCTTCTCCTTCATAACGGAGAGTGACCCGGGGGGAGGGGATTTCATAATGGAGACCGCCCTACCTACCGGGGTCACTAACGCGCGGGTTTGGGCGAACAAGTCCTAGAAAGAATGCCCTTGCTACATAGCGGTGGATTTCTTGTCACAGGCGGCTCCCGATTCGCCCGGACGTATGTACATCTGGGTGCCATAATTGCCCCACCTCTTTTGAAGAGATGAAGCTTGCTGCATCGTATCCTATTTAGGATAACTGGTTCATAACTATCGGTGTGAGTGGCACGGTCCGAAAAGCGTAGGGAGAATATGTCCGTGTGAGAGAGGTGTGTGTTTGTTACTAGTGACTAGTGATTAGGTGTAAATATCTATGTGGATATTCCTCGTCTGACGAGGTTTAACAAATGCGGCTAAGGAGAAGGATTAGAATTTGTCACAATCAGGGTCTAGCTAGATCTAGAATTAGAAGGTGAGTTTTGAATGGGGGGGGGTAAGGAGTAGCGGTAATACCATGTAGTCACTGGTTGAAAAATTAGCAAATGTATAGTGAAGTATAGGGAGGGATAATGAGGTGGTTGGTGATCAAGGTTAGGTAACGGACCGTGATGATGGATGGTGACAACGAAAATACAACAAGCGTTTAAGTCGTCATCATAGACTATTTTAATTGAATAACCAACCCGGGCCACTTACACGTAATATTCTGCTGCGTTAGGGCATCCATATGGTTATCGTAGTCATTACAGTAAGGTGGATGTCGTTATTTTCTGAGCCATACATATATCTAGGGTATAGTGCAGTGCCCCTTTTCCAAGTAACGAACGTACCGAAGGAATTCAGAACTTGCTTTTCAGCTTATAAAGAACTTAAAGATACAGCAGATGATCAAATGAGTGCATAGAGATAGGCCACGCTTTGTCGATAGATTTGCGTCAGCTTACATTCAATGTTGCGAAAATGGGACAAGACTTAGATGGGGGGAACTGGAGACTGGAAGGATGCAGTTGAGAATCATCGAACCGGAGAAATTAGAGTCATCGATGTACCTACCTATGGTACCTTCGATATGTACCTTTGGAACAGGGTAGCGACGTGGGGTAGCCATGCGTGCCGTAGTTGAGATGGACATGGTACCTGCCTTATAAGTAACCTCGATGTCCCCGAACCCGGAGACATTAGGTATCCTACATGTACTTAAAAGTCGAAGAAAGAACGCTTCGTATTGCATCGTATACATATGTAGTGATATAATTCGAGGCAATTGCGGTTGTATAATCCTTCAATTATTCATATATATTATCATATATTATCATAATAATATATGACTGGATCAGATAACCAAACCTAGAAGCATCACGTCAGCTAATCCTTACCTACTAAAATACCTAACCTTACCCACCTCAGACTTAGCACGGAATTACAGTCATTCGGCATCTGCTTCTTGAGCGTTCAGTACAACACCAATATATATCCGCCCGATAGGGTGTGTCAATGTCACCCGTTCCCCGGATTCAACAATTGGTTTTCCTTACCTCATCACCATGCATTGATAAATTATAAAGCCTGGTATCACAAACGTGCCTCGACCAAAAGAATTGCCCCAGATTGGCGAGTGTGTAGCATAGCCAGCGGAAGGTTTCCGGTCAAGGGAAGGTGAGCAACCAATGATGGCTACCTACTACAGTGGACGTCGCGGCATTTCATTTCAATGGAACGCCCGAAGATTCATCACACCGCTTTTGCGGTTAGATAGCGGCCCGCTTGCTCGCATCTTTTCCTTTCCGCAAGTCGATCCTGCGGGCTCCCTAGGCAATAAGCGTCCAGTGAGAATTGCTTTCCAAATCGGACGACTTGCGAATTAGTGCTGACGGGTAGTCCCATTTGGCTTCTTTGCTACCAAGATCACCATTCGCAAAATCGCAGATTTCCTTGGATGCAGAGCCGCGATCGGATGATTTCGAAAATTTTAAAAACACGAGGCTGGTCATTCCAAGCCATCAATTTCGCCATAAGAGCTGAAGATTTCCAACGTCAGCCGGCCTTTGAGAGGAAACATTATATCAAGAGAAATGAATATCTCCAGTAGAGATATGGCGGTGATGATGAGTGAGCCGCAAATTACACACCTTGGTATCGCCCTACAGATAACCAAACAAAACGAAGTGGCGCCGTACAGACCGGGCCCATATCTTAGCAGGTAAATGAGTTGCATCGCGAGTATCAATGGTATACCATGTTTCACCGATATTGACCTCGTATCGCCCTGGTTAAGGAAGACATGATCTAATAAACACCTACCTATGAAGGCAACGTATAGTCGTTCGTTTGATTTTGAGGAAGCATGAATTATCCGTGAGATCGAGGGAGCGGTTGAACCTACCAATCTAGGAGTAGAATGGTGGTGGTACGATGGCTTCCAGCCATCATAAGTGGCGTTGAGCTAATCGTCACGAGAGCCAGCTCCCACAATAATCAAATACCCATCTAGGTAGGTATAATCGGGAGTATGTCGAGAATTATCATCATTTGTGTCAAAGTAATATCAACTTACCTAAATGCCTAAGTCTATACTATGAGTTGTCAAGTAGTAAGCGCCCGCTTGATACCCAAACGATAATGACGGTGACGCCCTGTCGCCGACTCATTGCTTTCTGGCGCTCGGGTTTGGCCAGTCACACACCACATCACCCGCCAGCCACAATGAGCAAAACTACCTGTATTTGGAACACAAAGGCATCGGCCGCTGCCGTGGCCCACCCTCTCTCGGCCATCCTGCGTCGATAGTTTGACATCCGTCTTTCATGCCCCATAGAACATGTCTAGGAAACGTCCCATTTAAAACCCTTCACCTTACCTAGATTTCATAGATATGTCTCTACTTCTCGGAGTTCTATCCGGTCGTCTTATCCTACCATCGCTAATATCCTGTCTGCACAGTCTGAGTATTCAGATATGGCCGATACCAGCCCTGACTCCATTGAAGAGTTGAAAAAGACTATACCAAACAAGCCTTCGTTCAACCCGAGATTTCTGCATGCTCATCTATCAACATCGCATAGCCAGGCACTTGTTGATTATCTGTTTTGATCGGCTCAAAAATTGGTAGAAAGCTGTATGTATTGCGTCCTTCCGATGGGGGGGTGTGCGATTATTCCGGCCACAATTTCGTTTTAGCGCCAGGTACATACACTTGAGCTTTGCTCCCGAAAGACAACCATCCTTTTTAGCAGTATACTTAAACGCCTATTAACAATCATTAATTCCTTGACTTTACACGACAAGAGGTCATGCAAATAGGATAACTCTAGCATGGGTGCCCAACTTACCAAAGTCTGTTATAAAAATTAATACGATATTTGTATTTTTCGTCTACTCGTAAGTATTTAAAGAACCAAAAAGAGAAGATCAAGACAGTATCAAAATACGGCAGTTGATACACTGTATTCAAGCCGGAATCGAGCAGCTGGCATTACTCCTTATCCTGATTTGTTTTTGATCTGCGTGGCGTCGCCAATCATGATTCATTCATCCCTACTTCATGAACAAGGGCGACGAACATGCTGTAAGTAAGTACTTCATGCAGGTAAAGCACTAAAAGCACCATGGCATTTCTATGTGTATGAAACGATGTAGCCCTATAACTTAATCGTGATTGGTTCATATGAACAAACGCGTCTAGGCGCGTTTGCGGGTAGTGGTTGCTTGTAACGTGTAAATTACCAAGGTACATGTAACGCATAGGTCAACTAGAAACACCTTATCTGGACTAGTCATGCAAGTATCCCATCCTACCTGCCCACGTTCCATTGGAAAATAGCGTTATTACCATGCTACTGAAACCTGTCGATAAGTATCTCAAAAATTTAAGTAGAAAGAGAGGCAGGAATGATACGTGTAGGTATCAACTCACACATGTCACGGGCAAACTTAATATGGCATCCAATTGGAAAGCACGTTACCTAAACCATATTTCACACAGCAAGATGCCCTGGTTTTAAATTATAACCGAAAGTAGCCAAGTTAATTGATCCGTTTTGAGTTCTTTAGGTAACTATCTCCCCTAACGGGCAGCTGTAGTTAGTGTATCAGTGCCCCCAACCAGCCCAACCAGGGAAAAGAAGGCCCTAAAAAAGCCCTCCAAACGGGTCGCGACCAAGCGATCAAAGACTCGGGGATCCCTGTTAGAACCACCTATTATCCACTGAACTGTAACTCTAGGTAACTTCGATCAACCTCATCTTTAGCCAATGCTCGAGCCTTCGCACTTTCAACAACTTCCAATCATCCACAATTCTAAACTTCTTACATACTTTTATTCTTCACAAATTGGACGAGTATTCCCTGCCTCATCCAAATCCCAACGCAGGCACTGTTTCTAGACGACCAAATTCATCCACCTGTGTAATTGACCCGACCAATATTAATTACGATTTCCCCTCGCCTTACAATCTCGAGATCCAGCCTCGTCCTCCCCACTCCTGAATTCTATTCCGCGAAGGTTTACAAACTTCTCGCATCTCTCCCGACGATACCTTAGAATCTCATGTCTCGCGCCGAGCCGTTACCATGAGGTCAACACCTTTGATCATCAATTGGCACGATAAGAATGCCCCCATCTACTCCGCCCATTTCGAGCCTCACCATGGCAAGGGAAGATTAGCTACAGGAGGAGGGGACAACAACGTGCGTGTTTGGAAGGTTGAAGGAGAAGGAGAAGAACGCAAAGTCGAGTATTTGTCTACTCTCGCCAAACATACACAGGCCGTTAATGTAGTTCGATGGGCCCCCAAAGGCGAGACCCTCGCTTCTGCTGGAGATGACGGCAATGTAATCCTATGGGTTCCTAGCGAAAATCACAACCCATCTACATTTGGGAACGAGGGACTTGAAGACAAGGAAACATGGCGCGCGAAGCATATGTTCCGACCTACGGGATCAGAAATATATGATCTAGCATGGTCTCCAGATGCGACTTACTTCATCATCGGAAGTATGGACAATATCGCTCGAATATACAACGCTGGTACAGGTTAGTAGCTAGATGCCTTCTCCAATACTCATTTCACGATTGACTCACATCTTCTACAGGTGTCCTGATACGACAAATTGCCGAACATAGTCACTACGTGCAAGGCGTCGCATGGGATCCCCTAAACGAATACATCGCAACCCAGTCGTCAGATAGATCTGTCCACATATATTCACTTAAAACCAAAGATGGACAATATGCTCTCACTAGTCATGATGAGAAGACTACCAAGGTGGCTAGTCACGCTAAGGCAGACCTACCCCCCAGACGTATCTCGTCTAACAGCCCAGCACCGCCGGACATGGGCTACCGATCACAGCTTGCAATCGCCATTGACACACCGAGTGCTTCTATTGGATCGCCGGTATTGTCCGCGCCTGGAACGCCACAATCGGTTCCTCTCCCTATGAACCCACCCAGTGTAGTCAGTCATAGTAGGCGTTCTTCTTTCTCATCTCGGCGATCTGCGTCTCCGGCGCCTTCGTTACCTCTACCTGCGGTAATGCCGATTGAGCCCTCCCCCAAACTCAACCATAGTCTTGGAATAGGGATGAAGAATGCCAGTCTCTACGCCAACGAAACATTCACGTCTTTCTTCAGGCGTCTAACATTCACCCCCGACGGAAGTTTACTCCTGACGCCAGCTGGTCAGTACCAAATACAGCATCAGGCAGAAGGTCTCAGACCTTCATACGAAGTCATCAACACCGTCTATATCTACACACGAGGTGGTATCAACAAGCCACCTATTGCTCACCTTCCGGGCCACAAGAAGCCGTCGGTTGCCGTAAAATGTTCGCCCATAACGTACACGTTAAGACAATCCCCACCTGTGACAAAGCATATTACCATCGATACGTCTTCGGCAGAGGATCCTATTCCAGCTCTCCCGGAACCTATTTCGAAACCCACATCGGCGGTAATGGACCCTCCACCGCCACCAACTGCTTCGGCGCCAGATCCCGAATTGAAGTCATCTACGCCATCCAAGCATCTAAATGTGGAGACCGGCTCATCTACACCGGGCCCTAAACCGACATTCGCGCTGCCATATCGTATGGTGTACGCTGTAGCAACCCAAGACTCCGTTCTCCTTTATGACACCCAGCAAACCACGCCCATTTGTGTAGTTAGTAATCTACATCTGGCCACGTTCACTGACCTAACTTGGTATGCTTCTTACTCCCTCCATAAAAACTCTGCAATGTCTAACCAGCGTCTAGGTCGAGCGATGGGTTGACACTCCTTATTTCTTCTTCGGATGGTTTCTGCTCTACACTGTCATTCACGCCAGGAGAGTTAGGCCAGGAGTATAAGGGCGAGCTTGTTGGACCGAAATTCGCATCTGCCACCACAGCCCCTTCCTCAAACCAGGCCACTCCCATACCGACACCGACGTCTGCTTTTGCACCTCCGTCCCCCTTCCCTGGTCATCAGCACCGCAACTCAGTCACTTCTTTCGCCGCCCCATCACCTCCAGCTACGGCATCCTTCGTAAGCGCGCGACCATCTTCTCCTGCTCGATCGAATTCGACATCATCAGTTGCGACGCAGGTTTCAGTCATGAACAACCCACCTTTAATAAGTGGAAGCTTACCCAGCATTACCGCTACCAATTCCGGTAAGGTGACGGGTGTACCTATGACGACACCCCCAGAGACACCCGGAAACACAACCAGCACAGTCGCCGGCGTCAAGCGAGAGGCTAGTGAGACTGAAAAAGATGACTCGTCAACAGGGAGTCAACCGAAGAAGCGAAGAGTCGCGCCGACCCCAGTCACGGACCCGAAAGCCTAAAGCCGCAAAACCTAGGGGCCGGGGTAGTATCTGTACCATCAATGACTACCCATCATTTAGGTAGTCTTTCGTCGGAGTTACGGTTTTTACTGGCAGTGGCCACGCCATAGCGGTTGTTCGGTTTGCTTGAGAAATACGATTGATCGATAGGTGGAATATTGGGTTTTATTTTTCTAATTTTTCGCTGGCTGGCTAGGAAAGGAAATGCGAGTTGGTCGTCGTCTTCGTTGTTACCCAAGCGTCTCTTCTTGCGCTGCTAAAAAAGAAAAGTTAGGTAGCTTTTTATGTTTTTGTTACTGCCGCTCTGTTTTTACTGTTTCTGCTGTGACTCCTGCGGATCGGGGGGTTTGATCATGGCGTGGCATGGCATGGCCTTCGGAGTTGGGATGAGATGAGCTGAACTGAACTGAATTGAGTCGAGAATACCTACGGAATGCTGGATTGTGGATGTTTTGAGTGTTGATGTGACAGTGAAAGATAATGCTGGTGCTGTGTCAGCTTGTGCTTGGTGTCTTGTGAATTGTGTGATGTATTGTGATATGGTGCCGGTATGGCTTGTGAATTCCCAGGCACTACAAGTCTGAGCTATTCTTGTTTATAGCAATTAGATATGAGAATAATCCACCGCATTTACAGCACCCTTATAATGGAAATTAGAGGAGAAACTACGATACTCTACGTCGGTATTTAAACCCCAGCCGACTTTGTTCATATAGGCTTCACCGCTCATTACTTACCTACCTAAGTACCTAAGACACGTATCATCATTACGCCATATGGTACCCTCTACTACGATAGGAGACGACGAATCATGAGCTGACACGGTGTTCTATGAGATAGATCAGAGAGATCCTAGCAGGGGGTTGTTTGTCGCTGTAGTTATGACTGTCTGGGTGATTGTTTTAGTAGTATTTTGGGTATGGAAAACTAGATGAGAGAGATGGGTTCTAGATGCTGGGGGACTATGCTATGGTAGGAAACGATAAGTCGTTTTAAGAGACGACATGATAAATACCTGACTAGAGTGTTGTTACTTATCTGTTTTAATATTGAGCAAGAGTAGAATGAATACGGTGCCGAACGAGACTATTCCCAGACTAGTCCGCTTAACTTATTATCGTTGCACAACATCTCGTCGGGGAATTAAATACAAAAACTAGCTCATTCGATGCAAACACCAATCTATCCAATTCATTAAAGGCTTGAAGACATTTTCTTACGGAATGTTGTAGTCAAGTTTGCCGATTATCCGCCCGTGCCGTGCCGTCTGCTGACGGAAGGACGGGTGGACGGATTGTCGGCGTTTCAGGAACATTATGCGTAAGCTGAGATATGATAGATTGCATGTGATCGGATATAAATGTATAGAACCTGAGAAATATTGATCGGGGTTTGATTCGTAGGATTTGTGCTATTGCGGCTCGGGCGTTGTTGGTGCTTGTGTAAGAGGGTGGGCATAACGCAATACCTACATCGCGGCGAGGGTAGCGGTAAGAAGTGCTGACCAATATGTCTCATTGCGATTGCTTTTCAGGACTTCTTCCAGGCGAGCACGGCAATTTTCGTATCGAGTGGGAGTTGTCGACTTCTTTGATACGCCGTATAGGTGTGATCTCGGTCAATTGGGAGTTAGGGTCTCATCAGACATGATACTAATTATACTAGGGTATATAAAGCTAATATATCACTAAGTGGATTTCAGAAATTAGGTGTAGAGGCCTCCCTGAGTGCAACTACTACACACATCATTGAAATCGAGGCCAATCGGATGGCGACTTATACGTATTCCATCTCCGTAAAGCGGCCAGAACGTAAGCAGCGACAAGAGCTGAACGTTTCGAGTAGAGAAACTTACAACATGCATTGAGCAGAGATCATTTCAAACCGTATTCCCGTCGTAAATACCTACCTAGGACTCGCCTTTCCTAGATAGGTAAGCTCCGAAGAGGCTCATTGGACAGGCTTGAGCTCTGGGTAGTCTGGTAATTTCCAACCGCCTTTCTCCTCCTTCGAGAACCTCGCGACGAGCTCGGGTATCCGAAGGAAAGTGAGTAATCCAGCTAAGAAATGAATGAGCCAGATAGCCCATGACGAGTCGGGCATCATTATCCTGAAAAGGAATGGCTTCACACTCTGGATCTCATCCACGAATGGCCGGAACTTCTTATCGTAATTTGCGAGGGCTTGGGGGAGATTGTCGGCATGGCGGCTGATTTCGCCAGCTAGGACATAAGCTCCGATGAGAGCGCCCGTCGTCCCCATACCGGAGAAAGGGGACGGACAATGCGCTGCATCGCCTAGAAGTGCTACGCGACCCTTGTACCATGTATCTGTGCAGACTTGGACAACTTCCTGGCAATACCAGTTCGATGTCGCCTTCATACCTTCAATAAACCGGTCTGTCTGCCATCCGGCGTCGCGAAACCTCTGGCTCCAGAATTCCTTCTGTTGTTCCTCTGATGCTCCCGGAATGCTCGATAACTCCGGTGAGCTATCCCTAAGGAAGAAATAAACTTGTGTCTCGGTCGGGTTATGACTTCGTCGGAATATCATACGCCCATTGGGAGCAAGATAAGTTCTTCGAATATTACTATCGTCCTCCGTCCTCGGGATAAACCAATACGCAATGTGGACGCCCAACTTGCGATACGGATCCGGCGCCCCCGGTGGTAAAATCGCTCTTCGCGCCCGCGATCCCTGACCATCAGCGCCGACCAGCACATCATACGTATGACTGGAGCCATCCGAGAAATGGGCTAGCACTCCATTTTCATCTTGCTCAAAGCTCTCTACCATCTTCCCAAAAACATACTCCACATCATCCTTCGTCGCATCATAAAGCAGCCTAACCAAATCCCCTCTCATGATCTCATATTCCGACGTTAGACTCTGCGCACCTTTTCCCGATTTATTCGCCATCACCGTGCCCTTAACCTTCCCCTTAGAATCCACAAACGAAACACCCACCTCGTCTACAAGACGCGCGCGTATCTCATCTATAAGACCCATGCGTTTTACGACTTCGATACCTTGAGCCCGAAGATCGATTTGTGCACCTTTGTCCCGGAGAGAGGGGAATCGCTCGACGATGGTGATGCGGTGTCCGGCGCCGCTGCGGGTGAGCCAGAAGGCCAAGGCCGGCCCCGCTATGCCGCCGCCGCATATAAGGATTTTCAGGGGCGCCATTTGGTTGGACCCTGTGTTGGGTTCCCTTGGGTTTACAAATAATGGTAATTGGGGCGATACTGAGTAGCCCCTTGTAAGTTTTAACGGTCTGGAACTTTCGACTCGTGAATTATGATTTTATACTGGGGAGGAAAGCATAGTGATTCTGCAAGATTCGCCAGACAAGCTGACGAGACCTTGATGCATTTTAATAGTTTTCCTGCTTGAACTAACATATTTACTACGCGTTAACTAGATTGTATACGTTAATGTTGATTCGTGGCCTGTTGACTCACGACTCGGTGTATAGAGGTGAAGATTGAAAATTTCAAGATGAGACCGACTTGAGCGACCGAGTCCGATATGAACGGCCGAGTCGAGTCTCAGGTGGTCTGTGCACAATTCTCTAAAAAGTAAACCAACATCTCCGTGTTATCTCCCCTATCTAATTCTTATTCTTATCTTACGATTGATATTGTCCACGTGCTTCTAGATAAAGACCCGGATATGTGGGGAGGTACATTTATATGTTGGTAGTGGTTTGAAAAGAATGGTGGCAGGGGAGGTGAGACTTATGCCATTTTGTTGTTGCACCTTCAACCAATAGCTGCTATTAGGTGCACCTAACTTGCTGGTATATACGGTATATACGCGTATAATAGTGAAAATTTAAGCATGTACTCTCCCCGGATAGTTCGGCCGATTATCATTAATTCAATCGTCATAACCCGGCCACCCGGCACAGGATCATCCGCCCTAGACGTCACTAGCCGTGGTACTTATGCAAGGCACCACAGTACATATACGGCAATAGCCTAGTTAGCGGGGATCCTAGGAGAGCTGAAATTATGTAGGTACCTGCAGTTTTGGTAAATGTAGTCAATCAGCCCATTTCAAAACTTTATTACCTGGCAGGACAAGAAAGCGCGCACAATAGATATCAAACATGCAGGTAGGCTATCCAATATCTGGGAATTGTACAGGTACGGCGTATTTGATCAACCGTACTAGTGAAATTCGTGCAGGTGCGGGTGAAGGAAACCTTGGAAGCAAACAACCCAAACAACCACCCCTTCCTCCCCCCAATACACCCCCAAACCCAGCCATTGTTCCGAATTTATGAGATTAAAGATTGTTAATTCTATACGAAAATTCCAACCTACCATCCGATTTGCCCAATCACCTCAATAAACTCCATCTAGCTATTTTAATATCTCCCCATCACTGAGGCCACCCATCCTACCAATTCCCAGCCCATCCCGGCAATGGATATTAAAGCAATACTAAAATTGACCCTAGCACGGGCGCCAAGTAACGGGCTCCTCGGCTTGCGGCTGACCATGGCTTGCCCTTTTCCGTTTACAGTAGGAGACCACAGAAGCTAAGATGCCTTTTTTTGCGTTGCTCCCTTGGGTACATGATCTCTTTATTCATGGCTCTGGAGGGCTGACGCAAGCTTCCCGGGGGGATTTGACCTGTTTTATTCTGGAGATGACTTACATTACTCGTAGTACTCGTGGTACTCGCGGTACTAGGTAGGATAGATCCATAGTCCTACTCCCTAAGTATTACTTGTATAACTAGAACACAACATGCCAGCGCATCTCTCCACCATTAAACCATTTTTTCTTACTTGAGCTTTTTCCTTTATTTTTTCTTTTTTCTCTTTCGTCAGTTCCTGTCCACCCACCTTCCCTTTCCATTGCGCCTCTCGACACACTTAGACGAGACGCTCTACGGAGGAGAGACCGAAAGATGCGTTTACCACTCCCTCTACCCCTGCTCTCGCTTATCTCGACCGCCATCGGATCGCCGGCTAGTGACATCAGCCATGGCTACGCCCCGGTCGACTCTCGCGATGTCATGATAGGCCGCGCTGCTCCGGAAGATCCCTCCGGTAACTATGCGCCGGCTACTGTCGACTGCCCCCAGCAACGGCCGACAATTCGAGGCGCCGGATCCTTATCACAGTCGGAACGGGATTGGTTGAAGAACCGTAGGAATAAGACGATCGACCCCCTGGTCCAATTTCTTAAGAATGCGAACTTAACCGATTTCGACGCTGCCGGTTACGTTACTTCTCACTCGTCCAACTTCTCCGTTGTGCCCAACATTGGTATTGCTGTTTCAGGCGGTGGTTACCGCGCTTTGATGAATGGTGCTGGTTTCCTTGCTGCGGCTGACAGTCGCGTACCAGGTGCGACCGACACTGGAGGAATTGGTGGTCTTTTGCAGAGCAGCACATACCTAGCCGGTCTTTCCGGTGGTGGCTGGCTGGTCGGTTCCATTTTCGCCAACAACTTCTCCAGTGTCGTACAGCTTCGCGATGGCTACGAAGGATCCTCTTTGTGGCAATTTTCCAATTCCATTTTCAAAGGTCCAAAGAGTCGGGGAATATCGATTGTTAACACCGTTGAGTATTGGGACGACATCAAGAATCAAGTCGACGACAAGCGAGACGCCGGATATGATGCTTCTATCACGGATTACTGGGGCCGAGCGCTATCAGTTCAGCTGATCAATGCGGCGGACGGCGGTCCGGCTTACACATTCTCGTCTATCGCCGATGCGCCTAACTTCTCTGGAGCTGATACACCTATGCCAATTCTAGTGTCCGACGAACGCAGGCCGAACACCGAAGTCGTTTCCTTAAACTCGACCGTTATTGAGTTTAACCCCTGGGAAATTGGATCCTTCGATCCGACTGTTTTTGGTTTTGCGCCCATCCGATATGCGGGTTCTAACTTCAGCGGTGGTAGCGTACCTAACGACGGCCATTGCGTCGAGGGATTCGATTCGTTCAGCTTCGTAATGGGAACTAGCAGCACGCTTTTTAACCAATTTCTCCTACAAAATCTTTCGGACACAAGTATCCCGTCAATAGTAGTTGACGCGCTCAGGGCGATCTTGACTGATATTGGTGACAACAATGATGACATTGCCGCCTGGACACCAAACCCTTTCTATGGCTATAACAACAACACCAATGCGAACCACGAGGATGAGCAGCTGACTCTTGTCGATGGTGGTGAGGATTTGCAGAACATCCCGCTGCACCCTCTGATCCAGCCGATTCGCGAGCTTGACGTCATCTTTGCTGTTGACTCATCTGCGGACACTGAAACCAACTTCCCTAATGGAACTGCGCTGCGTGCTACGTATGATCGTAGCAAGACGGATATCGCCAACGGCACCGCGTTCCCTGCGGTACCAGATGCTGAGACCTTCGTTAACCTTGGTTTGAACAAGAAGCCAACATTTTTTGGATGCAACACATCCGACTTCTCCAACGCCAGTCACATCCCACCTCTGATCGTGTACGTGCCAAATGCGCCGTACACTGCACAGAGCAACGTATCCACCTTTGACCCATCGTACCCGGATGAGCAGCGCAACTCCATCATCAAGAACGGCTACAACGTCGCTACAATGGGCAATGGTACACTCGATAAAGAGTGGCCTGCCTGTGTCGCCTGTGCTATCCTGAGCCGTAGTCTCGAGCGCACCAACACTCAATTAAGCGCTACATGTCAAGGTTGCTTCAGCCGGTACTGCTGGAACGGTACGACGGATAGCACACCTGTCAGCAGCTACGACCCTACACCTATCTTACAACTCGATGCGCAGAGTGCGGGTTTGAGCGTGAGGAGTGACACAGCGAGAGGCGTGACTTATGGTGTTGCCGGTGTTATTGCTTTGGTTTTGGCATTATAAAGGAGTTAAGTGTTATAGTATAAATTTGTTTCTAGATACAGGGTCGTCACTTAATTATTTCACAAGTGAAGGATAAGGCCATTGACGTTAAGCTTTGAGTTTTAATGATCTACTTTACAATAAGAAGGGGTTCGGACAAGATTGTACAGGGCATTCTTGCGTTAGCAATGTCTCTGGAGTAGTGAGGATGGACAGACGGATAGACATATAGGTCTAGATAGACCCTTGCGGTCATTTGATAGGGACTCGGGTCCAGAAACTCAGAATTTGATGAAATTCGCATACGTTGATTACCTCGGTAGTGATTTGATTACAGTTAAGGGGTGCTCGCCCTGTTGCGATACCCCTTTACCATCACCAGTTATCCATGCGAGTACAGATGTTACTAGCAGACGAATCATAAACAACACGGAGATTCTCAACGGAGCAAGTCCGTGTCTCTCATTGAGTGGAGCTCCAATTGCCAATAGACGTTGTTTTCATGAAGTACTACTATTCTATAGGCGGATATGGGCGGCCTGCCTCCATACCTATAAACCTAACCCATGTGGTGGGCATCCGACATAGCACAACTAGCTGGATAAGCATTTGCCAATAGATATATATTAATTAGTATGTTCCATTGGTAGTTGAAGACCATCGGAAAGCCGTGTCCTGACCTTAGCTGGCCACGAGAATGGCATTAAAATTTTATTGATAATGCCGAGGTCGTTTGGGCACCGATATTTGTCCACCTCAACAATGCCAACTCGACCTACGCTCAACAGATGTTTCGGAAAGGGAGCATTCGCATAACCCCATAATGAACCTTTCGGTATCCTTACGATGTGGATTAGGTATTGACTCTTGGTTGGCAGGTGTCCTCGGCCCCCTTTTAAAAAATCTTAGCGTTGTGCCCGAGGCTCTGCTGCTGGGCAGAATCGTCAGAACGAAGACATCCCGCGTAGTCGGTAAGGAGATATCGACCAACAAAAGCGACCCATTTCTTCGAACGGAGTATCGATTATGAAAATTTATTACAAGTTGCTTTCTTACCTCCCACGCCCTGCCCACGAAACGACGATGGGTCCGGTCTTAAAATCGTATAACTATCCTGCAAGGGGTTTGGTTGGGCGAGACGATTATATGTCGAGAGGTAAGAGGCTCCCCATCGCCATACCGAGAACAACGAAGCCCCCCGGCGGCCGAAACAACAATAACAACGGGCAGCTACAGCCGCAACTCCTAGTATCCAAACAGCCTAGTTCGGAACCAGGTGCTCTAGACCAACGGTAGCGATAGCTAAGAACGGCATATGTGTGTACATATACGCAATGTACCGTGAATCCAGGGGACCCTACCTACAAGACCTACCTAGGACAGCGGTTAGCACGGCCAATAAACATCTGACACCCAGACCCAGACCTCGGATGATTTTTTTTTTTTTTTCGTTTCTTCCCCTACATACGGGGTATATATGTATAAGCCACCGATTCAGGTTAAGTGAGATATGTCGGACGGGCTATGGTAAGCCTACCACGTAACGCGTGTGTGGAGAACGACAGAGCCGCTATACGCCTCTGCTTCGTTCTTTATCCGAACTTATTCTACTCCTCACCCTGCCCTTGTCCAGGGTCGGTCGGTCGGTCGGTCGGTTAGCTAGCTACATGATGCTGCTGCCGCTGACTGACGACGGTAACGATAACCTTACTTACTTACTTACTTACATGCCTATGGCTCATCATGATACCCATCGTGCCATCGCGCCCGTATGGGGGTTAGGGTAAGGCAGCAATACAACTAGCCTTAGCCTTGGCCTTGGGAATGTACGTATGTGACAAGGCAAGTAAGCACGTAAGGCCCAAACGAAAAAAGCAAGGCGAGTCGAGGCGAAGTGCCGCGGCAGTGTCCTTGCTGACTTACCATCTGACGGATAGAGTTGGTCTGGCACGGGGGCGCGGCTCTCAAGATACACAAATTGGTACATTCATACATAGTATCCCCACGACATACGCTTTAACAATTCCCCGGTCAGAGTACCAATACATATACCTGCCTCTCCATCCATAGCTACCATCCTTCTATACGCACGTAAAAATACGTACCCACTCGTCCAAGATCAGCGCGCACATTTCGTTCCATTCCATAAAAACAACTAACTCTCCTAATACAAATACAATTGGCCCAACCCACCTAGGTACGCCCCATCCCAATCCATCCCAACTAATCCTTCCCTCAACTGCAAGCGTCTATATCTGTAAGTTGCGTCTCCTATTTAGCGGGGCCAGTTTCTTGTGTTACGATAGGATGTCTAAGGTTCAGTGAGGGGTGCTAAGAATCCCGCGAGAGTGGACGGCCGTCAAGCCAACGAATGTGGTACTCGTGGGGTAAAAAAGGGGGGGAGAAAGAAAAATGAAAAAATTGAGAGGGCAGAGATAGAGGATGGGACAAGAACAAGTTTGGAGCCTGAGCCTCCTCCCTTGATCGGCGTGACGTGAGAAATTGAACCTAGCCGCCTTCGGTGGGTTCTCATAGGTTACATAGAGGAGTGTAAGGACATTGGTGAGCATGTATGTAGGAAGACAGGTCAACACCGAACGTCTCGTTGAGAGTGCAATTACGGTATGACATGCCATGTTAGGAGATATGTATGTACGGATGTAGTATGTATGTTACACCAAGTTAGGAAGATGAAGACAACATAAGAGATCCCCCGGCGTCTCTTCATGGAGAATCCCGGTAACGACGTGGCCGTGGCGGCTACTTGTCAAGCCTCAGGCAAACAATAAGCCGTTGGGTAGGACTGAAAAAAAATGCTGGAGTTAAGAACATCGGCTCGACGGCTTATTAGGCCGCTGGCGCAATGTTCCTGGCACCGGATGAGAAGAAAAAATCATCATAATAAAACTTGTCATGGACAGCTATCCCAATCTTCCCGACTTGGTTGAGATATAGGCGCATAGAGGCCCACGCAATATATACTAACCAGCGCATCTCCTCGATATATTTATCAACAAGAGTCTTCAATGGTTGCTTACATGGTGCTGACAAAAGTGCGACCTTCACCAGGACGGAAAGCGACCCAAACACTTGTAGGGTTCGCTGTGGAGAGGCGAAGTGAGAACCACTTTCGTCCATCAGATTCGCGAGAAAAAAAATCAGGGAGTGATCTTAAGACGCTAATGATATACACATATTTATACGGCGGGAAAAAGCCCTCGCTTCTCAGCGTAGCAAAAGAGGATGCGGTAGAACCCGGGAAGGGCAAGCTGAGGATCAGATCGTTCGGGCTTTTCACCACTTCCGTTCGCTGTCCTCGTCGCACCTGTTATTGGCGCGGTACGTTGATTACCTATCAGCACGCGCGAGACCATTTACTAGCCAATGGCGTGGTGACAGATGATTCGAGCACCCAACATTTACGGATAAGTAGCTGAATCGCTGGTCTTCCTACTCTAAGAGGAGCTGCATCTCAATTATTGACTCTAGGTCCCAATATCGTGACATATCAGGAGCGAGTTGCGATATGTTGAGGAGAAAAAAAATTTGAAGAAAAATGAGCTTACCGGTCTTAACATACCTAGTCAGTCGGATTCAGTTCCGATAGACCGGATTACCCAAAACTATTCAACGGTCTAACGTTGTATATAAAGTGGCTTGAGGCTAAGCCCGTTCGCTAGGAACCTTGGAAACTTTCAGCGAAGTTCGTCATCCTAGACCGGACACCGGACATTGAGGCAATTCTATCGGAAGGCTTCCATTGCGGGGGAACCTTGAACAAATCTGTATGGGCGTAGGCAAGCTTAAGAGCATCCATTAATCCTCTCGAGCTTAGCCCCCAATTGCCTGATATCGAAATCCTACTGGACGTATCGACAGGGGGATTGTAATGAATACGTAGTGTGGGCTGCCAGCCACGGGCAGAGACAAGCTCCTAAAGCGGGTTTCGCTTCCATATGCAGAGTGCTTGATTGGTATTATCACCGGGCAGTAGTAATAATGATGGCTTTTTTTTTTTTCTTTTTTTTCTTCGCGGGTCCCCCTGGTACTGGTGCGGAGGTAAGTGGCCTGCCAAGAGGTACCAACATACCTAGCTCATAGTCCCCACGAAGAACATGTTTGCGATCGTTTTTACCCTATCAGATGGCGCCTAGACCAGCTCGGGGGTTCGGTGAGGGAATGCCGAGGGACCCTCCGTCCAGTCACCTTCTACCGACCTTCCAGAAGCGGCACAAGAGACTGTATAAATGTGGTAATGTACCAAAAAGACGACGTAGTCTTGCAGAAAATTGTGACCGAGGGACAAAGACGGGCCAGGGCTGAAAGAGATAGGGGGATGAGCTTCTGCACGTTTCGAGTTGTGCAGATCGAAGCCGCGCCCGAAGGCACAATACGTACTTATATACCTTCGGCAAATTCATTGACGCCATTCCCCGGTCTGGAGGGATTGTTCGAACCAGATGGTAATGGAGGGGGGCAGAGGAGGACGCTACCTAAGCGGAAAAAGGGGGTTGGACCGTGTCTGACCGAAGAGCAGCACCCCAACCCAGTCCAGCCACCGAGAAGAGCGCGGGAAAGGTGAAGAAGAAGGGGGAGGGAGAACACTACACCCCCCTTAACGCGGCGGATCGGTATGAGGGTAACACAAAATCTTTGTCCAGCCGTAACCCGGAGGGTATTTTTGGGACAAACATGGTGCCTAGGTAGGTACCTATAGCAGTGTGAGAAAATCGAGAGCAGGACCGAGATAGGTCACGGGGATCCACGCCCATCGTAGATCGGAAATCGACGTCAGATGACAAACAATTGCATAAAAGCTCATATCGGCTGAACAAATCAGTCAACCCGGGGGGGCAGAATGCATGGGCTGATCCATGGCATCGCGTCGTAGACCGAGTGAAGGATGCATATTCGCCTGTGACAGATTTGCATTTCGCAGCATCGGATGAGGGCGGCAGACGGGCCACAAACAAGAAGAAAAAAAAAAAGACAAGACGACAGGACAGAAAATTAGGAAGCGTAGGAAATTGGGGGGACAAGGGATAAAACCCGCGTGCGCGCGCAAAAGGGATTGGGACTGTATGTGGACGTGGTGGTATCTTAGGAGTAGTAGTAACAGCAGCAGCGGCGGCGGCAGCAAGTAGGTAGGTGATGTGCCTTGACCGGGGCAAAAAGGCTGGTAAATAGGTTAGGTACGTAGTAGTAATAGGTTATGTAGACAAGGTATCCTTTTTTTCTCTCCCGTTTTATTTTCTTTTTTATTTTCTTTCCTTTTTTTAAATTATTGTTATTAGGTATGTATTCCTTCTCATGCATCATTGGCAATGTCGGTAGGTGGTAGGCAGTGGTGTGGCCTCACAGCGTAGACGTGTCTGATCTTGTGTCGCCTCGCATCGCCTCGCCTCTTGACCGAAGAGCCCACGGTCGACGGGGCCCTGGGGTGTGTGAGTGGGCACTCGGAGTGTCACGTCTCTGGGCTGTATGTCTGCGACGTCTGCGCTGGCGCTTGCAGTGATTGGTGGAGGGTAGGATTCGTGGGCGGGAGAGAGAAAAAATGGATAGGGAATTGACTACCACGTGTTTACCTGAGATCCGCCGTAGCCACGGACAAAATCAGACTGAAACGATACATGAGAGGTAGAGATGAAGGAGAAGGAAATGTGTGCGCCTCTCGCCTATCTCTGAGTTGCAGTTGGGCGCCTCCCCATGTATCCTTTTTTTTTTTTCCTTTTCCTTTTCCCTTCCCGTTTAGTTTCCTTCCTGTTGCTGTTTATTATTATCGACTGATTTATATTATTATCGGTTGGTAATCTGCGGTCCAGAGTGTACATAATAACATTATTTTGGTAGGCTGCAATTTCGGGGAATGGAACAATGGCGGCCCTTTTTGTGACGAAGCGAGAAACCGAAGAAAAAAAAATGTTGTTCACGGTCTAAAGCGAGATGGATTTTAAGCTAAGAAGTTAAGTGGTCTTAGACTACGTAGAAGCTACATAATCTAGTGGGATTAAACTAAAAGGCAGCAAACAAAAGAAAAAAGGAAGTAGACGATGAGAAATGTAATAGTAGAAGTAGTCCTGGAGGTAGGTACAATGGTGATGTAGATGTTACTTACTCGGCCCCTGCCCCGCCTTGTACCTACCCACCTACCTAGGTACCTTCCTTTCTACATAACACTAGAAATAAAAAAGAAATAACCTACATGTATATGCGAACTTAAGGTGGAGGGATACTACAGATAAAGTTTGATAAGGTATCTCTTTGACTATTTAGAGTGTAGGGGTACTTTCATGGGTTTAAAATGTTCTAGGTGAAAAGAGATGGGAAAAAAGAAGGTCGGCCCCGCACTATTCGAAAACTTTACATAGTACAAGTACCTAACAGTAACAGAAAGAACGAATCTGATTGGATCCTTGTATTACAGCGCTTCGGAAGCCACACACGATCCTCGTTCGTTCTATACCCAAGACCCTTAGACTCTCAACGGGAACTATCTCTCTCTTCTTTTTTCTCTTTCCCTTCTTAAAGTATCCAATGTAATTGTACTTCTTATTCATCTCATTCGCATAGCCAATGCCTACCCCCGTTCTCCCATTCAAAGGTCGCCATACCTAATTACATTCCATACATTTTCATTCTATTACACACCTTACTTACATCTTAGTGGATCTGCCTAACGCCCGTTTGCGTTACCTACCACTTGTTTCCAAGGTAGAGATACATAGCTACCTCTATACATATACCTTACATTAGATTCACCACTGCCTATTCCCTCTTATTACTTTACTATTCACCATTGCTATTCGCTGCATTGGTATTTATACAGATACATACACCCATACACCTACATGAGTTAGATCTACGGTACCAGCTGTACTTGGCTCGTTCTACTAACTACATACATACACACCTACATACACATACACATACCTGCAATACCGAAATACCTACAATACCTGCGTATCCTGCGTAGCTACATACATATCCATACATATTCCATACATAGACACTATCCATACATATCCTTTACATATTTCTTTCCTCACTTCGCGGCAATTTTTACTATCACCCTCGTTTAGTTCTCCACCTTGGGAGCGATATCGTCGAGATCCTTCGTCTTTGTCTTGTCTTGTGGTATTAGCGCTCGTCAACGGGCCATCTCCGTCGTCTTTCATTATGAGGTAGCCCTGCTATTGTCGTGCGAGCGTCCATAACGACATGCATCCTGCACCCAGTCTGTCGGAGTCCTTTCCAAAAGACAGCAAGACTGAGGATAGAGGTCAGCACATTTCTCATCAACACGATCAGCAGCAGCAGCAGCAGCAGCAGCAACAACAATCTTCGTCTGGTGGTGGGCATCACCGTCAACATTCACAGCAGCTCCAACAAGCCCACCAAGGAGCACACCCCGAGCACGTGCAGCATGGAAGTTTACCGGCGTCGCCAAGTCAGTCGGCGACGCCCATAAGGAAAGACACGGGATCTTCTACTTCGACAAACGCTACCGACGGGACGGCTGTCTCTAATGCTTCGACTGACACCAACTCGACAGCCTACAGTGTAGAGTCTTCTCAGTCCATCTTTTCCGTCAAGGATGGATCCGAGATCTCTCACAACCGTCGCGCTAGTCGCCGACGAACTGGGCCTCTATCCGCTCAGCAGAGGGAAAAGGCTGCATTGATCCGGAAGCTGGGCGCGTGCTCAGATTGCAGGAGGCGGCGGGTTGCTGTAAGTCACACATTACGATCTACCTAATCCTTTGTTTTTATGCTACCAACAAAATGCTCACATGATCCTGACCCCTTCAAAAAGTGTCACCCCAACCATCATAATATGACGTGGGAAGACGCTATGCGCAAGTATCGCTCTTCTAGTCCCTTACAGGATCTTGCGCCCCTGGCTGGTCGTCCGATCAGCCCCGCGTCCAACCATGTTAGACATCATTTCACCCAAGATCCCCAGGAGATGGAGATTGACTCCACCCCCGCTACTCCTAATAATGCCCAGAGCACACCAGGTCGTCCACCGCTCAGCGACGCGAGAATCCGGACACCGCTACCTTCGGGCCCACGGCTAGAGAAACCCGTCTCTACTTCCCCTCTGGCCGCAGTTGCTCCAGCGTCAAGCCACTATACACCTTTACCAAGCATCAATTCCGTCAAGACAGAGCTAGAGAATAGTGCCTTGAAGATTCTCTCGTCGCCGTACCGCAGCCGCTACAGTAGCGTGTGCGCGCTCCTAATTTATTGGCAAGACGACGAAAATCCTGGAGTGGCGAGCGCAGTGGAAGAATTGGCCATTGTTCTCGACAAGTGTTATCACTACACTCCCGAAATCCTCAAGATTCCGTCATCTGCGTCAGACGGTTGTACTAATTCGTGGAGATGGCTCTCGAGGATCATCAACGACTTTACGGACAAGGGCGACACCAGGGACGTTCTGAAAATTGTATATTATAATGGCTATAGTTTCCTGGATGAGCATAGGGAGATGGTTCTAGCGAGGCAAGTTATCCGGACGTCGCGTTAATTCGGTAGGCTCTAATCCAAAATAGTTCTCGAGACCGCGCGAAAGCTTCGACTATTCGATGGAGCGGTATTCAACAAATATTAGAGGAAGCTCGTTCGGATACGCTCATTGTGATGGATTCTGCGTATTTTCCGTCTTCTAAGATGGTTCGGCAGAAGGGAATGCTGGAACTCATTGCAGCCTCGTCTTCGGAAGATTACTTCGATGTTTTGGACCGAAATAGCTTCACCAGGACACTATCCGATCAACTTCGAACACGGGCCGCCCAACGCTTTCCGAATGCCCTGTCAGCCGCCGAATTGCACTCGAAACTCCTATCTATCTATCCTAAAATCATCCAAGACAAACATCCGGAAAAGGGACTAACCATAGGTTTCCCTTCGCCGCTACACATCCAGATTTCTGGTAACTCGAGGTTACCTTCGATTACGTTATCTCCGCCGCAACCACCACCACGGACGATTTATAGTCCAGAGAATCACCACGGCCCTCAATTGACACTGTCAATGCGGTTAACTGAAGAAAATCTCAATATTGAGAGCTGGGCCGAATGGCTTCGTATGATGCCGGAAGGGATCAAAGACGTCAAAGTCGAAGGTCCATACACTGCTACGTTTAGGTGACGATGTATCACCCAACCAATACGTTTTTTTATGTAATCTTTTTAAATGCGCCAATCTGCCACGAGACCACGATAAGCGACACGCTTGGGAGGAAAGGAGTAAGCAAGAAGCTTGCTCGTCACGTTTTTGGATGACTACCTAGTATTTGTCATCTATTATTATGTTTGATCTACGGAGCGTATCCCTTACGAAAGAGTATTGGAGGTTAAAGATGAAGGCGACGAAATTTTCCTACATACAGTATATCATACCCACTCAACTCGACGTCTCCTATTATTATCATGTTTTTTATTATTATTATGGCGTATCGGGGAAGAAGACGCAGCTATGAAGTACGCCTTACGTTCCGCATAGAATTATTGATTCCTAGCATGCTACGGCACGACGAAATACACGGCTAGCATTGGTGGATGTATTACAGATTATGTAGCCAAAGGGCCATTAAACATATTATCAATAAAACAACTCTTCGAATGAAACGCACCTGGGTCGAATCGGGAACGAAGTGTATGGTCCGTGGTCAGAGGGACCAACCAAAATGAAGCTGCCCGATTAATAGGGACAAAATAAGGCTGAAATATTGTCTAGAACGTCAAAGCCTATACTACGGTCTTTTGGGGCGAGTTGGCGGAAAATCTACACCTAGTATGTGGAGTTCAAAGCTCACCTATTCAAACCAATGGTGCTCGTATTGACCATAAGCTAAACGTGTTAAACAGCGAGAGGTTCGGTTTGATTCTAGGTAGGTGATATGTAACGTAACGAGGGCGAAGACCTCGATGAAATCCAAAGAGGTAGAGGTGACCAACATGAGGCCAATGTAGAGCGATGATTTTCAGCCAAGCTAATGACAGTAGTGGCAAAACACAGATCTTAATTATAGGACGAGATGAGAGTATAGTTGTAACGTACATGCATATGCCTCTTTCGTGGCCACTCTCAAGTGACAAAATTCATCCTCATCCCCATTCAACCTTCTTTTAATGCGAGAAACAGCGAAACGATGATATTTAGACGCCTTTATACACCCAATCCTATAGCAATGAGTCGACAGCACACTCCCCTGAACACTACCGCCATCGCCGCTATTAATAATACCGCGAAGTTACGGTCCAGATAGCCTGAAACCCTATCATTTCACCTCCGTCCCCTCTATTCCCACACATGCACCGTGGCCGAGCAATCTCAACGAACCAAATTATTCGGACCGAGGCCAAAATACGCCACTTACACGACGACATTATCCCCGGCGAAGTAAACAGACACATACATCTCTCCACTCCCTTTACTCCGAACTCCGAACCACCTACCCTCATCTACTCAGGAACAACAACCTCAACACCCAACCCCTCAGCAACATACCGCGCACCCGCAATAATCAACTCCCTCCAAACCCCCGCCTCCTCGCCGTTCCGCGGCGCATACACCAAAACATAACCCCAAGGCACCATCGCCCTCGCCCCACCAACACCGCTCAACCGATGCCGTTCCACCCATCCAGCCTCAATAGCAGTCGCCGCGTCCGCGGGGCTGAGTATGAGATGCGAACTCGCCTCGCCGTGCACATGTGCGAATTCCCCGCCCGAGCCCCAGCCCAGACGGACTTTTCTCTCGTCTTGGTTGGGGGGGGAGGGGGTTAGCCATATTGCTTGATGTAATGGACCTTCCAACCGACTCGTTTTGATCTCGAAGATATGAGGATTTAGTTTAGCGAGTTCTTCTAGGAAATTCTGCAGTTTGGATACTGTTGCATCCGGGGGTTTTGGTGTGTCGCTAGTCTGGCGTTGGGGCGCGACGAAGGATGGGACGGTGGGGCGTGGGCCTTTTCTTTTTTCTAAACCAGCGGTTGGGAGATAGGATTTGCCTCCTGCGTTGCCGTAGATGGCACCGATATCAGAGATACTGGTGTAGGATTTGGGTATAGGTTCTCGCACGTCGGAACGCGCGAATAGGTGGAAGCTTGTTTGTACGAGCCACCCTGCGAAATTGTAGGGGACGCCGCCGCGTCCTAGGGCCCGCCATTGTTGGTAGCAGGACCAGGAGTAGGCTAGGAAGGGGGTGGTGAGGATTGTTACGCCGGTGGCTAGGAGGATGGGTTGTTGATGTTTGTGAAGCGTGACATTGAGGTTGGAGGGGGTGAGGTGGGTGAGGAGGGATGTGTATTTCTGTTGTAGGAGGCTCATTGTGTCTAGTGAGGTAGGTATGCGTGTAGGCGATGAGAATATGATATAATAATAAGTGTATTTTTATTGAAGAGTATGGTATATACTTCTAACCTAGCTCAGGTGTGAAGAGGTATATAAAATATATTGGATATACACCTAGGGCGCATATACGCGGAGGGTAGGATCGTTCCGGCGGCGCGGATGTAAGCCGGGTGCATATATGACCCAGCTGTATTTGTATAAATGGGAGCAAATGATCCCTCTGGTCCCGAAAATATCGGCTATATACCGAAGTCAGTAGGTAAGCCAACAAATTTAGGAAATAAACCGTTAGCGTTAACGACCTTTATTAAGGATATATATTCCTCCCTCAGGTGTTTCTGCGCTGCCTAGATAGAACTAGCAACCAACATACAGAAAGACGAACGACTGGGTGGTGTGACATCAGACGAGAGAGAATAGACCCAGTTAAGGAACTTTTCGTAACAATTGACCAATAGCGTAGCAAACAGCCTAACTATGAAGGTCAGGGGTACGGTGACAGCACGGACAGCGAACCCCGCGGAGTCGATCTTAGATTCATATAGCTTCGGTAGAGGATGAGTGACCGAAGTGCCGAAACCGATATAAATCCCTTTTGCTTATACATTTACGGGACGTTTAAATGCGCTCGTCCGTGGTCAGTAATAGGCGAGTCCGAATAGCAAGCTTGATTATTAAATACAGCCCTACCGACATTCAAATCAGTAACATCTCGACCCTTAATTCTAATAATAGCACGCGCTACTATTATAGCTTCAATTCGCAAAACAAATTCATATACAAGACCTCTAACTTCTACTTCTCAAAGGCAGGTCTAAATCCCAAATCAAATCATGCAATAAACAAAATTCCCAACCATCTCATACCCCGAGTATCTTCATAGGGGTTTATTAGCAAATCCCAATTGCTGGTTCCCACCATGGAATACTACAAACTGCGCCTTTAAAAAGATATCTCCATAGATCGCCAGTCCAAAGTTCTGCGGCGACGCTTGGATTCCCCCGAAGCATGTAGTCGCATCTTCAAACGTGTCTCCATCTACAGGAGCGAATTTAATGAAATCACCCGGGATCACACCCTGGTGGTCTCCAATGATAGCCGTGTAATCGGGTAACGTCGCGCTGCAAGGGAAGATATATCCACCCGCATTTCGCACATCGTTGACGGCGCCTTGGACTTGCGCATAGTACGCATCGGCGATAGCTTGCGGGACGAGCATGAGGGTGGTGCCGGTGTCTGCGATCGCTTGGTGAGGCGCGGAGACGGCGGCTCCGCCGGCAATGGAGTACCCTTGCGAGGTGAATTGCCAGAATCCGTTTGTAGAGTTGATGGGCACGAAGGTGATGTCGCCGGTGTACTCGGTCTGGTCGATGAAGCCGAAGTTGTAATTGCCCGCTAAGATTCTCGTTAGCATCCACATGCTACTCATGTGCACAACTACCTAGGTAGACACGCCATCCGATATAAGTGAAGTGAGTTGACTTACGTTCCTCTTTCTTCAGGTTAGCTGTAAACAGGGGTGTAGCGAGATCCGGTATGGCGTTTTCGAAGAACGTCTTCTGCTGCGTCGGGCGGACCGTGTTAATAGACCCGAAAGCCAATCCTAGCAGTCCATCTGTGTCTGGTCGTTGCGTAAACGAAACCGAGACGTTTTTGGCAGACTCGACTGCCTGTTGTTCTACTGTGACTCCGCCGACTGATACCGTGTCCAAGTATACATTACCACTAGAACTACTGCCGTCGCCGTAACTGATAGACCATAATTCTCCTGTTTGTAGCTGAGCTGTTGAGCTCTGTCCAATGTCAAACTGGAGATTCAAAGTTAGTAACTATCATGAGTAAACCCCATTCCGGGGTTGATCTGTCCTAGGTAAAGAGAAAACATACAGCATCCTGACCCATAACCTGGTTCGCCGGAGTCTCAGAACTGAAAACCCATAGGTCAGATGAACCAGTATCGAAATCCAAGTTCAACGTCTGCGGCGGGGTACCAATTTGAACTGGGCAGAGGTATTCCGAATCGAACATCTGCGGGTTCGCCGCCACCTCGCCTACACCAAAATCAGTCACTCAAAACGCCAAACCCAAGTATTCTCAACCATAGATAACCATACCTTGGGGATCATTAGTCGTACTATTCCCAGCGCCATTATTCCCCAACAGACCCAATTCCTTCAAAATCTCCTCTATTTGCGCAAGCAAATCATCCGACACCGTAGCGCCAAACTTCGAGTACGCTCTCGCGATAGCCATTGAACCTCTACCTTTCCGCTGGCCGTAGTATTTTTTATTCGGGACTTGATGAATCTTAAACGTCATACCGCCAAGCGTCGTGATCTGGAAAAGCTCGTCTAGCGCTCCGCGCTTCTGTGGTCGTTGCACGGGTCCAGCCGATGCCAAGTCTTGGCAGCAGAGGATGTACGCCGCCATGGTGGCGGCGGTGTTCGTGACCTTCATGATGAATGGATGGATGTGGTATCGGATATTCGAACTAACCGGCCGGAAAAGAACGATGTGAAGAGAATGAACACACTTAAGCTTCTTTAAGAAACGAAAAATAAAAATAGAAAAGACTACTCAACTGGAGTATGTCAAAATCTAACAGTAACAGACTGCAGGAACCCCGAACCAGCAAGCCGAAAAGAATGAAGAAAAAAAGTGAGCGCAGACACTATCAAAGGAGCGACGACATAAGACGGACAAAAAGAATAGTAGGGGTAAAAACAAGAAGCATCAAAACCAAGACCAAGCAATTCAAAAGAGAAGAGACGAGACGAGACGAGGTAGACCTCGCCGCCAGTTATTAGACCCAACCCAACAGCCCTCACGAGAGCAGTTTCGCACCCATCGGAACACCCATCCGAGCTCATTTCGCAATTCCCTTATTCTGCAATATACACACAGAAAAGCCATACCCCCGTGACCGAATCCGATTGATATGCCCAAGGGCCAGCTTGTTACTTGTTACAGACGCCCAGCTCCGCCGCCTGGCGAGTAATGGTCGAGGGAGATCATTCATGCCCTTACCTAGTTTGCTGTTACAGATCATTACAAAGTACCCGCCAGCCGCGGGAAATCAAACTCCATAGTGCATGATATCTCCCGAGTCAGCAACCGCTTCTCGTCGCGCTTGTGTATAAGAGTCCAGCGGTAAGAACCTACCTATAGCTTCATATTCCATTCACGAAGATGTAATTGAGGCTTGTTGAATTGACATCAATTGAAAACTAGTTAAAAGGAAAAAGATCAGACAAAATGCACCAATGGAGCGACATGAAACCCTCTACCCTCGCTACAAGGTAACTCCGTTGGCGTCCGTGCACCCCTTGCTTATGCTTAAATCCTCTGTAATATGTCCGCTGTAGGGGGATGAGGCGATACGGTTTCAGGAGCCCACGTGAAATACGACGTTGAAGAATAACTGCATATCCAAGTATATTCGAAGGTTTTGAGTATATTCGTTGATTATTGGCAATTTGAATATACCGGTGGGTTAAGTTGATAGATCATATCACGACCTGGGTACTTACTATTCGTTCATATCTTGTGTAAGTAACACGACATAATCACCACGACAAAGGCACAATATGATAGATCAATGGGTAGACGGGTAGATGTATTGCATTCCTCACATCCACCAGTCCTATCTCTTCCCTCGCCCAACCCGGCAACAGATACCCGATTGGTAGCACACGATCCCTTCACTATGATTGTACAACAAGCCACAAAACCAGGCTGAACCCTCACCCTCAATTTTGCCGTAACGCCGAGCCCTGTAGTCGCACCAAGTCCGAGGTAACTAATTAAAAAGTCCGGTCCACACCGTTACCCGAACACAAGACAAAAGAAAAAACCGCATCTCAACTCGCTCCAATGATGAGATTAGCGAGTGAAGTCCTGTATGACAGCATATGTAGCCTGAAGAAGCTGACCCCCACGAAGGCGCCGATGATGAGTACTATCTACTTTGTAGTACCCAATCCAAAAAGTGCTTCAGGCATGCATGTGGCTGTTCCTTTTTCGTCTATTTTTTCTTTTATTCTTGTCCCGCTCCGCCGTATCTATAACCAGTTTAGTGGCTATGTCCATGTCCATGGTTGTGGTTATGGCCATGGTCACTTCCGCTCGCGCCGTTATGGCTATCCGCTGAGTGGCTAGACCTTCGACTAGACCCAGCCTTTGATGCGGCCTGCGGAATAGAGCAGCACCCTTGTCCGACACAGTTATCTACACACTCTAGTAGACATACATCGTCTCCATATTTGGGCGATACCTGTCCATCAAGCGTCATCGAGCTATCATCAGGATTATTGCATTCTTGATCAAGGCAAAATTCGGGCTGAATAGTAGCGCTGTGGATGCCGTATGCGTGGAGGCATTTACGCGCTTGCTTAGCCAGCTTCATATACTTCTCGCCTCCCTCGTCCGTGATGGGGAACTCGACTTGTACGTGCAGCGAAGCAACGACCTTGGTATCCGACAGTTGCCAGATATGGACGTGGTGGCAGCTCTTGACACCTGGGAGATTCTGAATATCCTCCTTGATATCTTGGAGGTTAATATGGTCGGGGGTAGCCTGTAGAAGAACTTGGGCCGTCGCCTTAGTAAGGGGAAGGGCCGATTTCAGGATGATCAGAGTAATAAATAATGACACAGCAGGGTCGGCGTAGTATTTGCCAGACCAGTCGGTAAGCCAGATAATTAAAGCCGTAACTATGACACCCACGTTTCCCAGAGCGTCGCCCAAGACATGTAGGATCATAGCGTTCATGCCCATATCAGCGTGGTTGTGGCCGTGGCTATGACCCTTGCGAGACTTAGACTTTGGTCTGTTGTGGTGATGCTCTCTGTGCGTTCCGGAATCACGTCTAGCGCGGTGGTGGTGCGAACTCCTCGATCGACTCGCGTGCTTGCCCTCAACCATGGTTCCCTTACCCGTCACACGGTCGCTTCCAATCAATGGTGTATTCTCGTCCACAGCCGACTCGTCCCGAGTATTGTAATCGATAGAGGCGTCGTCGATGGAGCTCTCATCCGTGTCGTTTTCGTTCTGGGCCGATCTACTATGCTCGATGATATCCTGACGAAAACTGGACGGGTGAATGCTGAAGTCGTCAATGCTAGTGAGGCGGTTGTGCTTAACACTGCCTGCGCGCAGACGCTCCCTTCCCCTAGGTATAGATCCCCGGCTACCACCCCGTTCGTGAAGGTTGGGCTTCTTTGCGCTCTCGGATTGATCGAATTGGATGTGGCGAACGGTCTCGGGTGAAGCGGTTGCGGCTCGTGCTCTAGCGATCGCAGTCTCCGGCAGGACCTCCAATATAGGGCCATTATCGTCTATCAACGGATCCGTTGCGGTAGCTCTACCTTCCTCGGCTGCGATAACATCGTCGTGTTTATGGACGTGGTCGTGGTCATGTTCATGCTCCTCATCGTGGGAGTGGTCCCCATGGTCGTGACCGTGTCCTCCCAAGACAACGAATCCGGCAAGATTTGATGCCAATCCAAAGCAGCCGACGATGAGAATCAGTTTCGGGTTCGCGACTTCCTGAGGCTCGATTAACCGAGTAACTGCTTCGAGGATGATCGAGACACATAGGGCGATTAGGAACACAGCGTTAAAGGCAGCGCCGAGTATTTCAGCGCGAACCCATCCGTAGGAGAATTTGTTGGTCGTTTCTCGCTTGGAAATAGTCACAGCCCATAATCCGATAGCCAGCGAGATGATGTCGTTTAGCATGTGGAACGCGTCGGCCATCAAAGCAAGGGAGTGGACGAGAAAGCCTGATATTAATTCGACCAGGAAGAAGACGATATCGATGGCCAGCATAACGCTGATCCTGGTAGTTTTGGACCAAGCCATCGCGGCGGTATTTGCGCTTAGCTGGTCGTGAATGGGTGTACTTGAAGAAGTCGGATGAAGTTGGAGAGGCCAAGCTCCCTCAGGGATGGATGGGAATTGAAAGAAAAAAAAAAGTAAAAATGAAGAGAGAAAAAAATTAAATTAGTGGCGTTGGCCTGGAGCTGCAAATTCAGCCCAAGGCCCTTGAACCGTTAAGATTAGAAGCGGACCGGCGTTGCTAGGTAGGTGCGAAAGAAACAAAAGAAAAAGAAAACCGATGAAGCGGCGAAATTATCGAACGGTTTATAATTAGTCGCCGAGTGGGCCGTTATTCTCTTGTAATCGCAGCCATGTAATTTTCGCGAACGTCCGTACTCGTTATTTATTGTCTTTGGGTCCTAGCTGAAACATCCAGAATGAGGTCGTATTGAAGACGCAAAATTGTTTTTTGAGACGTAGCAACTGGGTCGATGGAAGGGTTTGGCGTTTCAATTGATGTTTCTTCAGCTTGGTTCGGTAAGGCAGGGGAATGTTTGGTGGATCCGATTGAGATGAGATAAGAAAAAAAGAGAAAAATAAGCTGGTCACTGCGGTCGACTACTCGGTTCGGAGTACAGTTCGGAGGACCAAAAATTGCGGGGAATAAATTGTTATCAGATCAATTGGAAGGATCGGAGATCTTTGCATGTACTATAGTGTAGCTTTTGTTCCGCGTGATGAGCTTAAGATTGATAGCGCCGGCGTTGCGAGAGAGTAAGAAACGATGACGTTATTATATTCGCCGCTTTGCTCTTTCCAGGTAGGTTTGGACTTTTCATTGGGTCGCCGCCCGTCAAGGTAGTACAATAAAAACCAATGAGAAGGATTCCTGTTAATGTATGCAGAAGGTGCAAATGCAGTACAAGAGATAGTACCGAAATAAAATAGAATTGACGTATACCCGAGTGGAGTTTCTATCACCGACGGATTAGCCGGTACATAATTATAGGTAAGAAAGTTATGCAGGTGTTATTTATATGACATGTATCTCCAATTTTGGATGACATCTTCTTACATATATATTCAAGCCATCTAAGGCATCGTTAGATCATCTTCTTTATCCCTCACATAATGGAATGCATCCCTCAAGGTTGGTGTTGAAATCCTGATTTTAAGGTCGAAATTATTTTCCAATGCCAACCAACATTCCAGGTACTATGTACTATTGTCGTCTCCTGATATTGAATGTCTTGCCATCGAGGTTGTCTTACTAAACTCAGGTAACACAAATTACCCTATAAAGGGAAGTTAACCCCTGAAGCGATTTCGGTCTTTTATATTCAGGGGTCGTAGGGCTGAACATCTCATTTGGTATCCAATAGCTCAACCCAAATATTTCATTCGACATTCTCCCTTGGATATATAATTGATTAATATGCTCATCAGGGTCCTCGTTTCCATTTTCAGTTCATGTAATCAATTGCACGCTTGCAGCTGTAAACCTGTCAGTTACATAAGCCGATCGTCCCTAACAATTAAATGGCCTATAGGGGCGGGCATACCCACTATGACTTCTCATCAGCCTACATACATAGTTTCTCTACAAAATACGGCGCCTTTTTTTCCTTTTTTTTTAAAAAAAAAGGAGGGGGGGCGCAAAGTTATTGCCATGGATGAATTAATAAAATACGAAGCTGGTGAGATTTTTAAGTCCTGAGAGTAGACCAGTATGTTCATCCTAAGCCATTTGGGTCAACCGCCTCAAGTTACACAAAAAGACCTTTTTCGCTACAACCAAAGTTGGGCAATTCTTGCATTTCTCTAAGGTAAGAAATATGATTTACGAGATGTTTTAGATAATAGCCTAGGTAGGTTTAAAGGAACTCTTACACTGGACTAACTTTTACTAAGTTACTGTCATAGGTTATCCCATACAACTCGACTTGGGGTAGAGTAGCGACCAAACGCCAAAGACCATCTGAGTATGGCAGGGAGAAGAGTATAACGAGTGGATTTCAGGATTGCAGCATATTTCTGTGTGAAACTACTAGCTAGTGATGTATGATAAGTAGGTAGGTATGTATAGTAGTTCGGGGAGGCGGGTGGCGCTCAATTGTCTGTAGGGAGTCTCATGACAAGCGCAACACGCAAAGTCACAGCAAGGCAGATAACCTGTTTGCTGTATCAACCTCATTCTTCCTAATCCGGATCGATTGCCGCAAGGTTTGTCCCATATTAGGATCTTCCGTTGAAGAAAGCGGTAACCCCTTTTCAAACCTGGGCCGTCCATATTGACATGCAACCTAAGGGTGCGGGAAGCGCTGTCTATCATCTATTATTAAGATCTCGATAATCTAACGAAAATGTTATTGATACCGCGCAATGTAATTCTTAAAGCGCTGCTAGCGCACTTATAGACGAATCGGTCTGGTTGTTGCCCTCTTTGGAAGGTCGGATGTCGGTGTACGTGTGTGTGTAAAGACGTGATTCGACGGTGTGAGACTTGATAGGTATAATAGATGTCTATATTCGTCAGGCTCGAACTCTGGTTCAGGCTCCAGCAGGATTTGTTGGAGAGATGTTACTATATTATACTCTATAATGCCAACTTTAAGTCTATAGCGGTCAGCTAAGACTCAGGGGTTATAGGGGCGAGGCTGTCGGTCTGTAGCATTGACGGTAGTTTGCTCGTCATAGCGTACCTCTCCATCGCTATTTGAGGACGCGGGGAAACTAGACGTATGCACCCTCGTCCATTTTCACACAGGTAGGTGGAGGATAAACTTGCATCACAGTAGCGGTCACCCCGTAGGGTATCACCTGAGCTCCTGACCGGGGGAAGTACGGGAAGTAACAACGTCCTTGGCCTTTCAGGACGCTGCCTTCTGCCAAGCATTCGATGCATGTCGGTACTGTACGACCATTGTTGCAATGCTGCCCCCCGCGAGAATCATCGCAGGTGTGAATGATCTAAGGGTGTATTGAAACTCATAAGCGAGGGTCGATCCGCAAGCTCCCGTGGGATATACGCGACGGGGGCAGGTGGCGAGAGTTAGGGAGGAGGGGAAGCATAGTATATCTTCCTCGATAGGTTTGTACGTGCGTCTATGGGCTTCAACGATGGTAAACCGAAGATAAATGAGCCTTGGATTGCTATTATACGGTCGAGGCACGGATAAGTTACGCATGCGGGGCGAGTATTTACCAACTTCCGGCTATTGTGAAGTACGTGCTGCGCATCTAAGCGAGAGCAGACGCAGTCGTGATTGATAGTGAAAGAGGGGTTATTCATCCCAGCGGAAGGGTACTGCTAAGCTGGCCAGGGGATGGCGTTAGTAGAGTTCGTGACCTATGTTGGGCTTCATCCCTGGATTCTCGAAGGTCGCTTGACAAGGTTTATGTACACAAAGATGTACATCAGATAGATCGTCGGCGCATCATGTCTATTCAAAATTCGCCATCAACGCGTTCTCGATCTGGGTGTATTTCGTTAAGAGTTTGTTCATATGAAGGGGAAGGCCGGCTGGTTCAAGGGACGCTCATCCAGAGTGGTGGAAGGCATTGGCGACCGTCGGCCAGACGTGCCTGATTGCGAAACTGGCTCACCGCATGACGAACTTCCTAGCTCGGGAGTTGTTGAAGGTGTTACTTTCATAATGCTAGTATGCGTACCGCGCGAAGATCTACGACTTGGCCTTTCCAAGTAGTGTAACCTCCCTAGTCTTCCCGAGTTGCCGTGGGGGTTTAGATTAGTAGCTGGTCGTTACTTAGGTGGTACGAGATGAGCTCCATGGTGTGTTAATAGCAATGGCGAGGCCAAATAATAGGGCCAAGAGCTGCAATTGGGAAGCATCAGCCGCCGGCATGCGTAAGAAAGTATACCGACTACTTAGGTAGCTTCGCGTACAGCAAGAAGTAACAAAGTAATTATGGCCAATTTAAACCCACCCGAAAATACGTAGCCTCGAGCCAATGCCTGTAAGTATCGGACTTAACTGGCTCCGGACGAGATCGTCCAAATTGCAGGCAGATGGCTAGTGGTCTTCCGACAAGCCAAGACTCAAATCCTGAATCTTTTCGTTGTAAAATGGCGAACCGCGCAACGAAAACTCCCGCGAGAGCCAGGACTGAAGACTCCCTGATATAATCTAGGGAATGTCCGCTCGAGGGCTATTTGATGGTACCAAAGGGGTTAGCCGGCGCACGCCAAGGCAATAACGATATGCTACATCCGAAGCACATATAAGGCTATCAAAGCCGTTCCCGCATGTACTTGCCCCTTTTTGGGCGAAGACTTTTCATCGGAACGTCGAACGATTCTTCTAGATCGAACTCGCATCGATAAGTCCTAAATATCTGTATTAAGAGCCATAGGACGTTGGGATAAGATTGATAAGCACCACGTGCGTTGCGAAGCTCGAAGTGCAACTGGTACCATACTCTCCAAAGCCCGAGGTACGGACGGCACAATGCTGCATGAGAACCGAGTTGCATTAATCGGTCAACCAACAAAATGTGACCCCCAAGCATAAACAGTACCAAGCGAGTCCGGATGCGGTAGTAATATTTGGACGCCCTCTTCAGCCACAATATGCACCTTGCAGGCAAAATAGATTGACGGACAGGCCACGGATAAAACTTCCGAACCAATCCAGTCCCGATTTGATAACGATTCGCATAGAGTCGATGATGTGTGTCTTATGTAATAGGTCATCGAGTGGAAATGAGAAATACGAGATATGAATAGGAAGTCGGCCAAACGTACCGAAATGATTACAACTAATTTTGCAATCCACATGATAAGAGGAATGGACTTCTCTCGTACTTTTGCTACAATGTTCCGCCCGCAAGACGTTGATTTTCGCAGAGCTCGGTTATCTCGTTCACAAGCCTGAGAGGACGGAACAGCGGTACAGGGTGGTAGGTCGATCAGCTCCACCCCTTGCTCACCTGCATATCGAGGTGAGCTGCGCCTGGTTCATGGTCGTGCCGGCCCACTATACGATCGAGAATCGCAACAGCTAAACTTGTTTCTGGAACGCATCTGTGCGTCTACTGCCCTTGTTTCATTTACAGTAAATGCCGGAGCCAAGTCGATCAAAGCAACGGTACTAATGCGTTGGGAGCGACACATATAAAACCGAACGACCTGCTAACTCTATACCTAGAACGTAAAGAGCCTCATCAGGGGCTGTCCGTCTCTGCCCAGATATGCATTGCGTGAGGGCGATCATGTCAAATTTTAAGCTGGGATAATACCCGAAATGACACCTATGGTTCGTGAGACTCCTTACTTAACTAGGTAGGTCAAAAGTCTATAGCAATGTTCAACCGGGCTAATCGGTGTTACTTGCGACGGAGGGTAACTAGACGATCTGAACTCTTCATAGCTAGTAACACTTGTCACTAGAGTATCAGCAAAGGAGACAAGTCTAGCACTCGGGAATATGGCATAGTATGAGGATCTCACCACTACCACTTTCTCAATGCGTAAAGGGAACGAGGCTGGCCAGGGTATAATTCTGACGTACCAATCCAAACTAGATATGGTCAAGTCAAATGAATAACTGCTGACAAAGTGCTGAAAGGTTGAAACTAGAGATGCATCTCAAGATATCAATCTCAATAGATCCATTGTCCAGAGCAGCTAAAGCTAGGTGGTGTGGGTCAGACGGCCCGCCGAGGAAAGTCGGCTTTCGATCTCGAAACTCCAAGGCGGAGTTCGGCGCGGGTTGCGTCATTGCATCGTATGAAGACAAGGGACCCTTCGAAAGAAAAAAAAAGGAGAAAAAAAAAAGAAGATTGCGACTTGCTTTCCGACGTTCTAGTCGGGTGTATGCTTATGAGTAAGCAATGAAGAATACCATCATCAAAGATAGGCGAGAATTTGTTCCAGTAGTATGGGAGAGCCCGGGGATTCGGGTAAAGATATGTGACCCCAAGAGCTCCAAGACTCGTTTATTCTAGCGACGGAGAGTTTTTGATTGTGCATGTCGGAGTTATGAGGGCGGGCTAGACTGGAACTCTTTGATCGGACTACCCAATCAAGACTTGATCAGCCTCATCTTGATCTTTCTGACACACCTAGGTAAGGCTGTATCAGATTAATTTATTGTTCTTAAAAAGAAGGTATATATCAGGTAGATAACGACTAGTGAACGGTACACATATCAGTCGCTAATTTTGTCAATTTTGGGCCAGGGGCCTTGTATCGACGGTAAGGAAGACCGCTTTGAATTGCATTAGTATCTTGTCGTGATGAGGGCCCGAGGAAACCGAAATGGTTTGGTTGATGGAAATAGTTCTACCGTAAGCGCCTCTAAAATAGCTGAGGTATACCGAGACCGAACCAAGGTAAGAAATTCAATGGAAAAGACCCTGTTCGTAGGCTGACGATATCTGTACGTAGGTAAGTAAATACCTGTGTATGTACGTTTGGATGACGCCGTTCTCATGCATATGCTCTACTGAGCCTTGGGACGGGGACCCTAAAGGCGGTCTAGATTAGGATAATGAAATAATGAAATTTGTAAGTTCAACATCCCTTCCAGGAAATTTAGAAGGCGATTTTTGTGGTAATGGCTCAAATAAGGTTAGAGCTTTATGATTGGTCAACCGGCGCTTCTATCCTAACTTTTCCCGATTGGTGTTCTTCCGGCCCGTGGTGCCGATGCGTTAATCGAGTCCCATAATTATGGGTCTCTTTACTTAGTGGAAACTTTGATTGGTGAAAAACCACCTCAAATTCTTCCCAACCAAGAATTTCATCCTTCAAATGCTACAAATGCTACAAATGCATGAACACCGTATATACACATGCAGCCCAGTATAGCTACAGGATCTTCGACGCACTATGCGATGATTGATGCTGGGTCTTCCCGATTTCTGGTTCATGTACTCAGAAAACTGCCTGTCGTCTTCGTCAGCTCAGGATGCTGAACAATATTCCGATCCGTGCTGTTTTGAGATCAATCTCCTTGTGCTACAGAGGAGCCAGCCACCCTTCTCAGGTCCACTTTAGCAGACAGCCAAAATTATACAAATCCGGATCAAAGGAAGAAAATGTAGGTGTATGTACTTTGTACCAATACTCCTGAAGCCAGATTATTCGGTATACTAGAGAAGCTCCCGGACAGCTCTTGACATATCTACAAATGGATCATTCTCATCCGTTAGCTGAACCGGACATGGATAAAGCGGCGACTACGTAGACGCCAATGCTCCATCTAAGAAGCACACAATTGTCTACATTAGCGTCTCAGAAGATCAGGGCTCCCCGATTCGCTCCCGACCCCTTCTTCTAGACGGCCAAATTCCTTCGAAATATGGGCCAGAGTCGAAGGTAACATCTTGACCACCACCCAATTCGCCCCAGACCTGTTACGGGGTACAGGGCCCCTATCTATATATCATGTAATAGAGGAGGGTCAAGGTTGATAAGTTTGGCTGTCGTCGTGGATCTTCCAATATACAACCACTCTACCATGATATATAACTAACTAATCAGAATCGCAGTCACGCTTCCGTGTCGAAGAAAAGGGCAGTATGTAACCAGGAACCATTTTCACCTGCGGCTACTCCACACTTTTTTTCCTCAGTTCATCATATGCTAGGATCTTGGCTCGCTAGACCGCCTTGTCCGCCAGTTCAAACCCTTGCCCCCGTATTCCCCGTCCGAATGGATAAGACGTCCCGTAGCGGCCCCCCACTCACCTCGTGCGAAACCAACGTGGGCGTGCCTCTTTCTGTTTCGTCCTCCCTCAAATACCCTGAAACAACGCTCTTCCGGTCCGTTGCTGCCGATGTGGGCATTTCCTAGTTGGGACCAGCAATATAGCGCCCTCTCAGACGGACTTGTCAAGTGACAATGGTTGCACTAGAAGTTACCCAGCGCTCACTTCGAACTCCGGGACCTATAATCCATCTCCACTCCTCATTCCTCGGCGGCTTTGCGGCATCTGCCTCTGATCGAGACTTAATGAACCATTGATAACATGTCGATCCTTCAACCCTCTCCTCGACGTATAAGCAGCGGTCTTCTTGGGATATCCATTATGGGAAGTACCGTTGCCTCCTCTTGGTCAATTTCGTCCTGCATAGTGCCATCCGACTTCCGTTACCCTGCCCCTAGCATATGTACCGAAGTCTTCTTGCAGTATACTTCGAGATAACTAAAAGCATCTCGGCTGTGACGTCGTATTTCCCTCGTCGTCGTTGATACATAAGTAAGGCCTCTTCGACCTTGGCGCCCGATTTTGAAGTTGTACTTGACTCATATAAACTTCAAGATCACCCTTATCTTTCTGGGGTAAAAGGGTTACCTTGGGACTGGGTTCATCAAGAGACTTCGCTTCGCCTTATGGGGCTTTCTTTGAACGGTCAAATATTCCCTCAAGTGCCATCAAGTTGTCACGTCCGACAGTCCCCAGCCTCTTATTAGTATTATTAAGCTTGATAATCACCAAAGACACAGGGGCTCGCTATTGATCACGTGTAGTTGTTTTCTTCAGAAGAACTGATTAAAATAGCCATAATGAGCCAATATTCGACTATGGAGCACATCGAAGATTCGCAGTACGACGGGATCGACCCCAATGCTTCTCCTTTCGAGAGTGTTGCCAGCAACACGACGCCAGATACCGAGTTCTCTCCTCCCGGAAGCCCATTTCCGAAAACAGCTCTTCCTAAAGACTGTCGATCACTAGCAAGGCAGAAATTAGCCCAATTGACCCTTGAGGAAAAGGTATGTGGTCTAAAGAACTAAGTACAGCCGTATTACTAACTCGTGAAGGTGTCGCTACTTACTGCAGCAGATTTCTGGAGAACAAAATCCATACCTTCGAAAGGTATTCCAGCCATCAAAACAAGCGATGGCCCCAATGGCGCTCGCGGCGGCATCTTCGTTGGGGGTACCAAGGTTAGTTGCAGTTACCTAAGGTTGAGAATTTTGCCATTGACCACCTCAACGTAGGCAGCGTTATTCCCATGCGGTATATCGCTGGCAGCTACGTGGAACAAAGATCTGCTATATACAGTTGGTCAACACTTAGCCGAGGAGACGAAGGCTAGATCAGCCAACGTCCTTCTCGCGCCGACAGTCTGCATGCACCGGCATCCTCTTGGTGGCCGGAATTTCGAGTCCTTTTCGGAGGATCCGCTCCTTACTGGAAAGCTCGCCTCGAAGTATATCCAAGGGCTCCAGTCAAAAGGAGTTGCTGCGACTATCAAGCGTTCGCACCACCCGTTTGCCAGCATTCGAAACATCAGCTGATAATTAGATAGACTTCGTAGCAAATGAGCAGGAAACCCATCGGCTCACTATCGACTCGGTCACGATGGAGCGACCCCTGAGAGAGCTATACCTCCGACCATTCGAGATAGCTATACGAGAAGCAAACCCTTGGGCTGTTATGTCATCGTACAATTTAGTCAACGGAACTCACGCTGATATGAACACCCATACTCTCAAAGATATCCTTCGAGGAGAATGGGGCTATGACGGGTAAGCACTTAACCCTTATTAACAATATGTGATAGTCGACTGATGACTTTGTATCAGCACCGTCATGTCAGACTGGGGCGGTGTCAATTCGACCGTCGAGTCAATAAAGGCTGGGTGCGACATAGAGTTCCCCTTCTCGACTAAATGGCGCTTTGAGAAGGTTCTGGAAGCTATCGGCGAAGGCCGACTCACCACGGACGATATCGATATCGCAGCAGAGAATGTCTTAACCCTGGTAGAACGTACCAAGGGAGACGATATGTCTGTCGAGGAAGCCGAACGCGAAGACAATCGGGAGGAGACTAGAACACTGATTCGCGAGCTGGGAGCCGAAGGGTTGACTTTGTTAAAAAACGAAGGACAAATCCTACCGCTCAATCCTAGAACTACCAAAGTCGCCGTCATCGGTCCAAACGCCAATCGGGCCATCGCCGGTGGAGGTGGTAGCGCTAGTCTTAACCCATACTACAATACGCTCCCTCTCGATAGCATTAAAGCGACTTCGCAACAAGAAGTTATATATGCTGAAGGATGTCATATCCACAAATGGCTACCGGTCGCATCGCCATTTTGCACCGCCAAATCAGGCGAGCCTGGCGTTACCCTCGAATGGTTCAGTGGCGATAAATTTCAGGGCGATGTCATCGTCACACAACGAAGGACGAACACCGATCTCTTCTTATGGGACTCTGCGCCGCTCGCCCAACTCGGCCCCGAATGGTCGGCGATCGCAACAACCTATATTACACCGACGGCTACCGGAAAGCACATAATCAGCTTTATGAGCGTCGGTCCGGGGAGGTTGTTTGTAGATGGGAATCTAGCTCTCGACCTTTGGGATTGGACTGAGGAGGGCGAGGCAATGTTCGACGGCTCGATTGACTACATGGTCGACATCGAAATGCAAGCCGGTAGACCGGTGGAATTACGAATAGAGATGACCAATGAGCTCCGACCTATTGCTAAGCAGAAGGTCTTTAACATGACACACAAATACGGTGGCTGCCGTATTGGCTTCAAGGAGGAAGACCAAGTTGACTATCTCCAACAAGCCGTGGACGCGGCGAAAAGGGCTGACGTGGCCGTTGTCATTGTTGGTCTCGACGCCGAGTGGGAGTCCGAGGGGTACGATAGGAAAACAATGGATCTTCCTTCTGATGGAAGTCAAGATCGATTGATCGAAGCCGTCGTAAAGGCCAATCCGCGAACGGTTGTAGTCAATCAATCCGGCTCGCCGGTAGCTATGCCTTGGGCGGATGAAGTGCCGACCATCATTCAAGCCTGGTATCAAGGTCAGGAAGCCGGCAACGCCTTGGCTGACGTTTTATTTGGTCTCCGAAATCCCAGTGGCAAACTTCCAGTAAGTCATGTAACTCACGAATGTCTAAATGTTAACACCTACTAATAAAAAGTAGACTACTTTCCCTCGGAGGTTAGAGGATACCCCCGCATATCACAACTGGCCCGGCGAGAACCTCCGTGTTCTGTACGGCGAAGGTCTATATATCGGATATAGACACTATGATCGCTCGAATATCGCACCTTTGTTCTCGTTCGGTCATGGTCTCTCGTATACTACATTTGAGTATGGGCGACCGTCACTTAGTCGGAAGACGCTGACGGACTCAACGCCAATTCACCTAATTATGGCAGTCACTAACACTGGTGGCGTCGCCGGCTCGGAGACAGTGCAGATATACGTCAGAGATGACAAATCAAACCTGCCTCGTCCCGAGAAAGAATTGGTAGCATTCGAGAAGGTATCGTTAGAACCAGGAGAGACCAAACATATCATCGTGCCGCTAGACAAGTACGCGGTAGGATACTACGATCCATCACTCCCAGCATGGACGGCAGAAGAGGGCACATTTAAAGTATTGATAGGGGCGTCGGCGACTGATATTAGGTGAGCAATAATAACCTGGAACCCCCCACACCTCGCTTAACTGCCCTGCCCCCGTACGACCTACCTATCTTGTTGATCCCGACTGACAACCCCTCAGGCATTCGGTTCCGTTTGACGTCAAAGAGTCATTCACTTGGACTTTTTAATTCCACACATATTCCCGGCACATCGGGACATTTTTAATCACATCTATCCATTTGAGTCGATAGGACATATCCATCGTATTGGGTCCACGTCCACTCCTTATTTATATAGGTACATATATACCTACCTGCCTACTTACCAAGGTACATAACATATGCACACTGCCAGCAGGGGCAATAATAATACTATCAGCCTGCATAGGGTACATGCCGGGGATCTCTTTGCCGGGTTTTCATTTTGATATCACGCTATTTGGCTAGCGATTGGCGGGGAGGGGCGTGTAGGCATTAATGGTATTGAAATATTCCCCTGGGCTAGTGTGCGTATGAAGATTCCCCGGGACATTATTTCGCCTTTCGTTCTTAAAAAATACGATGAAGAACAAACGAAAGCTTAGGTTCCGGGCTAAGCGTTGAGAGTTGGAAGAGATATATCGGATCAAACTGGTACACTCTTTAATAAGGGGCTATATTAGAGCCCTTCTACTAGCTAGTCTGAACGAAGTCTTCGCTCGATGAAATACAACAGGTACTTACCTCAACTCAGAGGAAGTTAATCTTGCTTTTCTTCCCTTTTTGCTTTTTCTTCTTCCCCGCTTTGCTTGCTGTGGAAATTTTGTGATAGAGATGGGTGTGGTGGTGGCGTAGACTAGTGATCGGATACCTGCAGCTATGTGTGAGTATAAGACTATTAGGTACTTGAGAATTAGGACTTTATAAGGCTATTAGGATTGGTAAGAGTCCGACCGTATTGCTTCAAATATATGGAGTTTAAGTATCTGAGATATAACTCTCCAAGGTTATATGATATGGAAGTTGCCTGCTGTATTCTTCGGAGGGTAGTAGATTGGAGAGCTAAATCCTAAGTCTATCCTCTGCGTGAATTAGACTTAGCGGTACCTCGGCCCCTTTTCCGATATAGACTAGCAGATGGTTACTCTAACTCAATACGTAGAATCCCTTACCTTTTCAAAAGTATTAATACAATAAACAATTCGATTCTTAATTGTAAAGAATTTATATACACAATAAGTATTTACCTGTCAGGATATCCGTGGCTAATAAATAGTGATGAGTTATTCATTACGATTGCGGGTAGAAGTACAAAGACGTGTACAAGAGCGGAGCTACACTTAAAAGTGTCCGGCGCTAAAATCTGGGGCCGTGCTTAGGAACGAAAAATAAAATCAAATAAAAAAGGAGAACGCGTGTACCCAGCTGCCAGCCCGCAGCCCAAGTTCCGACAGCAGAAATAAAGTTATAGCGTACCATTTTATAAGGTAACACCGCATCTAGTAGGGGTCTCGGTGCCAGTTGCCAGCACCAACGCCAGCGGGTTCTCTCCTCTTGCCTTGCCGATTTCCATGGCGATCTTTCCTTCTTCACTATTTTAATACCTAATTCAAAACCATCGCCAATTTATTGTTTTCCAAGTGCACGTACCTATTTAATTAATTGCATTTGAAGAACCTGATGATATGATAGTGCTGAAGAGATACTCTTACGAGCCGAACCTATAGTACATACCTTACCTCCTATGGCTGCTATTGCTGCCACTCACGAACGCCATGGCGCCGCCTTATAGCAACGGCTACGGTTATCCGTCGTCCGGCCTGCCCCCCTCGTCCTCTCCCTCCTACGATTACGGGTACAGAAGTAATAATCATAATACCAACAATGCCGAGCTCTCATCTATCTGCGACGACATACTCTCCGGCGTTAGGGTTATGCTGGAACAATTATGGGGGTACATCAACGGGCCGGGTCGACAGATGGCGTGGAGTCTAGCTATGAAGGGTGCATATCAGCTAAAGAGGAATTTGACGAGACGGCGACTTCTGAGCTTCCCGCATTTGTTGGTGGTCTTGTGGATGCTGGTTATGCTATGGGGCGAGCGCTGGGTGTTCGCGAGTCGAGTGCGGAGTTGTGACTGGGACCATTGGGAAGATTGGGTAAGTTTATCGAGCTCGGGCGAGCTCTAGAAGCTCCTCGACCTGATTTTGAAAATGCTGACATAGTGTTACTATGCTATAGCCCGTAGGAGCCACGCCGCATCGATTAATATTCGTCGCCGACCCCCAGATTATCGATCCTCACTCCTACCCCGGCCGACCCTGGCCTCTTAACCCGTTAACCGTTCTCATAACCGATAATTACATGCGACGATCCTACAGACAACTACAGCAAGTATTACATCCAGATACCGTTTTCTTTTTAGGCGATCTTTTCGATGGTGGAAGAGAGTGGAAGACAGCAACAGGAGATTTCAACGACCCCAAGTGGGCAAAAGGACACCGACCGGCCGAAGAACAAAAGCATTTAAAAGAGTGGCATAGAAAATATGGCGACGACTTCTGGCTTAGGGAGTATGGGAGGTTCGGCAAGATATTTTACGATCCTTGGAATATAGGAGGCGTTTTCCCAAGCGCGGGACAGAGAGGAAGAAAACTTATCTCGAGTCTTCCTGGGAACCACGATTTGGGATTCGGGGCCGAGGTTAAGGTCCCTGCGAGACATCGATTCAGCGCGTATTTCGGCGAGACGAATAGAGTCGACGTCATAGGAAATCACACTTTCGTGTCGGTGGACACGGTATCGCTGAGCGCGGATACGTCGAGTGTGAAGGATCAGGTCGATCTACAGCCTATTTACGGTCCAGCTCAGGAGTTCTTAAAAGGAGTTAAGGCTACGAAAAGAAGAGCAGTTCAAAAGGAGGTGCGATTTTGGCGGGGAGATGTGGAGGATTTGACTTTTGAGCAGAAAGTTGAGGATATCGAAAATGCTGATTTCAGCAATCTACCGACGTTGGATCCGGGAGAGAATGCGCCCGATTTCCCAACGATTCTTTTAACACATGTACCGCTACATCGTGATCCAGGTACACCTTGCGGCCCATTGCGAGAGCATTGGCCTCCAGCGAAACCACCTAAGGGACAAGCGGGTCCCGTGATTCCAGACCATAGAAATGCTATTAGTGTTTCAGGCGGATATCAGTACCAAAATGTGCTGAATTTGGATGATTCCATTAAGCTGATCAAGAGCATCGGCAATGTCATCCACGCATTTTCCGGGGATGACCACGACTATTGTGAGGTGGTGCATACCCCAGAACAGGAAAACGTTCGTGAAATCACAGTTAAGAGCCTGAGTATGGCCATGGGAGTCCCAACACCAGGATTCCAGATGGTTTCCCTATACAACCCGATCGATGCACAGGGAAATCCGCTCCCAGGCACCCCGAAAACTACGCTACAAACTCACCTCTGCCTCCTCTCCCAACAACTCTCCACATTCATGACTTACGCCGTGCTCGGCGTTCTAAGTGTCCTCATCCTCATAGTGCGAGCTTTCCTCGTCCCGATCCTCAATCTCCAACCTTTCGCTCTAGACCCCATACACCACTCCCCATCAGCTGTTCTCCCTATCTTCAAGGCGAAAACCGAGGCCGACGAAAACGGCAGCGCGAGAGATATCAAGCCGACATCATCCGGCACCTCGTCATCTAAATTCCCCAGCGCGCGCGTGTCATCCGCGAGAACGCGCGGGCAGAGTATATCGAATAGACCCGTATCCCCGAATTCGAATGCCAAAGGCGGGAAATGGGGCTGGGGCCAGAATAGTTCCGGCAACGGAAGGGGTCCTAGGATTGAGATTAGACGGGATGCGTATTATGACGAGTGGAAACCGGTGACTAGGGGCCCCGGGAGGAGAAGGAATGGGAATATGCTGGAGATTGTGGGGAGAGAGGCTTGGACTACGTGTTGGAGGGTCGTGTGGATGGTGCTTGGGTTCTTTGCGTGGTTGGCTTATAAGGGGTAGGTGTGTTTAATTACATACGGCGTGCTTATGTGCATTCGAGTGGGCGTAGGAGTAATGGATGGATGGATGGATGGGCTGGGTTGGGTTGTGATTATATGGAAATATGGTAGGGTAGGTAGGGTAATATTAAGAAAAGAAAGGTGTACATTGCTCCATGGCGTTATGTCAAAGTCAGTTGATTGTTCGTGTGCGATGCCCTTCGTGACTTTAGGAGGAGAGTAGGGGGGAGGGAATAAATATATAATACAGGGACAGTAGGAATTGATTACCTACGTGGATTATAGGAATTAGATGCTCATTCTATCAACAGAGCACAGGAACGGGGCGAGAATAGGGACAGGCATTAGTACAGCCATTCCTGCTATCCATTATCTTCGGGTACATGGAGGTATGATCTGTACGACTAGCAACTGATTATTCGAACTACAAAGAGTTTACCATCTAAAGAGGTCAGCTAGATAATGCATTGGTGCCTACAGCTTATCTCCCCTCTTCGTCTTGCATTAGAACCAAGAAATGATAGAGTAGAATTCAAGTAGCAGCATATAACGGCACGGATTCATGTTAGATACGGAGCCAACTACCAATTAGATATTAAATAAATGAATGAACGTAGCGAACTTGGAATTGACATGCCCGGGTTGAATCTGTATGCTTAATACATATGTATAGGGGTGTCTGAACATAACGTAGTACTTACAAAAGATATCTACAATATGCGTACTAATTTCAAGCCTCCTATCTCATTCCTATCTCACTATACATATTTCTCCTTTTATTTTCTTCTTTTCTTCTGCTTCATCCCTTGCGCTCCCTCGAAGCCATTCCTGTCATCCCCGTCCTCATCCCCACAATCCTACATATCCTTCCCCGAGAAGCCCTTGCCGCTTATCCGTTGCCAAGGCTCACTTCGAACAAAGAGCGAAGATCTCGACTTACGTGGACATGTTTGCTTACTCTAGAACTGGTCCTTCTGCGACTCGATTTGCTGGCCCTTCTAAAGTGTTACTTGGCTAGCTGGTGAGAGGATTACGAAACTAACCTATCAGATGCCTGGTAGGGATGGTTAGCATCCACAAATATCACATCACAAAATACACGCGATATGAAGACAGAATTTTGAACATTTAAACTTTTTTTGAAATTCGCTAATAGGCAGCATCAGCAGCGACAGCAACAATAGACCGATTCGTCCGCCCGCCTATCTATTCGCGCCATGATACAACAACACAAGAAGAACTGGGTCTCCGTCGAGGTTAGTAGGTATGGGGTATGTGTAGATGTAGGTATAGTAGTAAGTATAGGAGATGGTAGTGATGGTGGTAGTATATCGCATAACATGATACGACAGAGTAGTAGAGTAGTGAAGTGATGTGGTGTAGTGTAGCACGGATAGACGGCCTCCTATACAAGAAAAAGGGTGTAGTAAGTAAAAAGTGTAGTCTTCGGGGGCAACCTCATAAAGCGGCCCAGGATCTCGCGCGTGCCTCATATACCCTCTTATAAGGGTTCGTGCGTGGATAATTCCGCCTTTCCTATCTCTCCTGTGTGTGCCTTTCCAATATTTGATGAACCGGTAATTGTCCCCAAGTGATATATCACACACGCACACACCAGCATCGAGATAAAATGCCGCCTCCTTTGGTTTGCCTTTAGTACCGCCGCCAAAATAATAATAAAAAAATTCCTTTGATATAAAAGTTCTCAAAACCCATCCCAGATAAAGATTTCCAATCAAATATGGTGTCGATGTCCCCCCCTAAATAGCCAAACCCACACTCCTTAGATGGTTCCCAAAAAGCTTTGCCGTTAACTCCGTCGCGTTGAACTCCTACGCTGATATATATATCCAAACATTTGACTCCGTTAAGAACAGAAAATCCCCTTCATGCCTTCGTTTTCGGGCGGAGGCGGAGAGGGAACGCACAATGATATAGTAAAGACATGGCGGTCGTTGCTGCGATAAGCGGGAAGAGATAGAAAAAAACAAAAAACACAAATCGGATCCGGGCTTAGTAGCTGAAGTCGACGTTACCCATACCCATTTGATTTATTATTTTATCCTCTTCTGATTGACTGTCGTTGGGATTGGAGTCCGTATGTATCGTTTGGACGCTTTCGCTCGTAGTCGTTGTCGTTCGGGAGGCTTGTAGTTCGTGTTCGGGAGGTGGTATACCGCTGTCTGCAAAGCCGTCGTCGCGTAATTGTTGGAAGCTCCAACTCGGTTCGAAGTTTTTGCTCTTCCATGCGAAGGCGACGCGTTCGTACATTTCGTCGATCTGTTCCAAACTAATTTTACTGGTCTCGTAGATCATGCCGTATACGAATATGGCGGCAAGTATACAGAAGGCACCCCAGACGTAGAATACTTTAGCACCCAATGCGGCATACCCATTCCCTTCCTCGACCATGAATGGTGTGCCGTAAGCGATACCAAAGTTTAATAACCAGTTCGAAGCCGTGGAGACCGACATAGATTTCGCGCGGATCTTGAGAGGATATATTTCTGACGTAACGACCCATGTGACAGGGCCCCACGAAGCGGCGTAGAAGAAAACGAATAAGGAGACGAAGACGATGAGGAGTTTGGCTACTAGTGAGCTCTGAGAGTCGTTTGCAAGAGTAGAAAATATCGCGATGACAAGTTGACAGCACGCCATGCCGAGCGCGCCGACGATGAGTAACTTCCGACGACCCCATGATTCTACAACAAATAATCCAGGAACCGTAGAGATGACGTTAATAACATTCATAACAAGGGATATCAAGAAAGGATCGGAGACACCGGCGCTGGTGAAAAAGGTCGTTCCGTAATACATAATGAAGTTGATGCCGGTAAGTTGTTGTAACATTTGAAGACCGCAACCAGTTAACGTTCGTCGGCCGAGATGGGGGGTTCCGACGAAGAGGTCACGATAGGACGCGGGGCCTAAGGAAAGTTCGTATTCGTGGTTCGCTTCGATCTCCGCGAGTTCTTCGACGAGGGCAGGATGTGTTATATCGAGACGGCGAAGTCGACTAAGGGCAAGGCCAGCCGCGTGTTTGTTGCCTTGCTTGATGAGGAATCGAGGAGTTTCGGGTAAGATTAGAAGACCAAGACATAGTACACAGGCCCATGTGAGTTGTAGGCCCATCGGAATTCGATACGCGGGTGGACCGTCCATTTTTTGTGTTAAGAGGTTGACGATGGACGCCGCCAACAATCCGAATGTGATCGAGAGTTGATATGCGCAAACTAACGTACCACGAATCCATTTCGGGGCCATCTCTGATTGATATAAAGGAACGAGGACGGACACGGATCCAACACCAACACCAGCGAAGAACCTGTATGATATCATTAACATCTACAATCCGACACGTTATGTCGGAGTATCAAATTGGTGGACCTACCTGCCCGCTAATAACATGGGAATAGCATCGGCGCAGACCTGAAATATGACACCGAAACAAAATACACAAATCGAAGCGATAATCGATATTCGACGACCTAGCCAATCACCTAAAGGGGCGGCGAAGAACGAACCAGCGACGGTACCGGCACTTAATATGGCGACGATGATGGAAATTTGCGATGGCGCGAGGTCTACGGAACCGTCGTGATCTCTGTACCCGGTGTTGAATTGAGCCTTGAATGAATTCATAGCAAGAATACCATTTATGGTCCTATTAAAAAAAGGAAAAAAATCAATGAGTTAGCATATCGCGTTGCATTTCTAAATATCCTCCAATGAATTTTGACTCGAATAGATGGGATTGAAAAGTGTCACGTCGTCGTTGTCGCTTACCCAGTATCGTATCCAAACAGGAGTCCACCGGTTGCTACGAAAAGGCCGACCATGATGGCCGGGGCTGAAGAGCCGGCGACATTATCGGGTTTGTGCCAGCCCATGGCTACTGCCATGGTATTAATTTTTCGACGTCAAACCAGCGCTGTCGACGAGTAATGCGTCGCTCGAGTATTCGATTGAAGGGGATGAGGTTGAAGTTTACCGTATCCCATTGATTGAGAGATACACCTGGATGGGAGGGATAGGACAGACACACACACAGACAGGCACACACTGTGGGTGGGAATCGATAGGATAGTGGGTAATAATAGAGTGCGTGAGTTGCAGGGTGGAGAATAAAAAAGGGCAGCGCGAGGAAAAGGCGGGAGAGGAAGAACCAGAGGGTCAGCGATCAGGATCAGCACGACTACTGGGTAGACTGAGAAGGGACTGGGGGGGATGCTGGGACGCCGGGGAGGACGAGAACCAGGGTGCGAGGGTGCGAGGGGCCAAGATAATGACTCTTCTTATTGGTCAAAAGCCAGAGTGGGTGTACTTAAGCGAGTCCAGTCAATGGGGTTGCGATTCGACGGCCCCGGGGGAGGGTTGCTGAACATTGAATTTGGATTTCTATCCTGGTTCATCCAGAGAAGAACAAGTCCTGCAGTTTGCTGCAGGACTAAGTATACATCTGTAGGTATGTACCAAGGTAGGCAAAGTACCAAGCCTGCCAATTCTACCAGTCAAGACCCGTGCAGGAAGAGCACCGTCGTTGTATACCACACACCACACATACATAACATATATGTACCCATTCACAGATAGGGTAGGTATACCATAGTACATACACATTCGTAATGTACCTAGATATCTGTCCCCCAGCCCTTTTTCAGGCTAGTATTTATTCTGGGCGCTCACTGCGACTCGCTGAAAAGTTCCCGTCTCTGGGCTGAATCAGTTTGCTAAGGGATACTAGCCTCATTATACAATAGAATCGATTTTGGATCGTATGAGAATCCCGCCAGCGTTGTTAGTGTATTAATACACTAACCAAAGCAAGGACCACGGTGGTTTGATAGTTCGATTTCGAAAAATTAGTCCCCTTTCTTAGCTATGTACCTATTCTCGTTCGTGTTGCAACCTTTAGTTTGTGACACATAGTAATTTGGATTGGTGGACAGAGAGATCAGAGCGAGATGCGACTTAGGAGTGTTGTGTTCCAGTCGCTGACCCCCCTTCAACATCAAAGAGGAATCTATGTACGTCAATCATCAACGTCCAGATCATTCTCTCACATGGTTGTTAACCCACAGAGCGATTAGGAGCGACATAGAGAAGCAGAACATACCACATGTAGTAGGTAAGTGGTTCCGACCTTACTTGTGTTCGTCTAGGTTATTCCAGGTTCTCAACGTGGGAAACTAAAAGCCCTGCCTGCATACCCAGAAGCCATGTAAGGTCTGACAGACCTACTGCAAGTAATGAAAGTACTTACACATGTAGTAAGTCTTTTGCACTTGCAGAAGGCTATCCATGTAGTAACAGGTGATCTAGGCGACTAAATTTTGAAGCAACAGGAGGACAAGACTATCCTCAATGTGATGAAGCCTCTGTAGGCTCCCTAAACCAGGAAGAGTTGGAACCCGCAGTAGTAGGGAATTGCTAAACGCCATAATCCTCGCCAAGTCAGACTATTCCAGGTAAGGCTGGATAAGATTTTTTAGAAAGGATTTATGTTCCGTATGGCTGAGTATGTGATGATACCTCGTCGTAGACTAATCGGCGATCCTCCTGTTTGGTCTTTTTTACCTCAAGATATTATAGAACGAATGCGATTATCGTAACATCGTACATGATTCCCATTACACCTGAGAAACCCGAGGAACAGGGCGACCAGGTAAGCCAATGAATAAAACCCTTCAGCCCGGAAACTCTCGACCCATATTCTGGGCTGCAGAAGATGTCTTAGGTTGGGTGTAACACAGCATAAAAGGGGATGAACTAGACGACATCGATATGTCAGTGGTTAGAAAATGACCTGACTGACCTAATACCTAATAATAAGCGAGCGTAAACCTGCAATTCTCTAGCGCCATGGCGCCCATGGGGTAAGCCAAAGAAGAGAATTCAGAAATGGCGGTGATTCTCATGAATACCTCCATTAGGACTAGGTGAAAAGCAGCTGTTGATGAGAAGGGGATTTGATGGTTCGACAAAATGTGAAGATGTGTCTAGTCAGTTCAGGGGTACATTACGTGTACGTATGTGTGTGTGTACGTGTATGTACGGTACCATATACGGTACCTAGGTATCTTGCACGGTGAAGTTTTTTGCTGTTGTATCGAAGTCCGTCGCCGACTTACTATGCAGTTGCAATGATGCTCCGACTCAAACAATAAGAGCCTAAGCCTAGCTAGCCTCCTCTTGAAATCCCAGAATCCCAGCATCCTAGCAACGGAAGAGCACTAAAAAGTAAATAAGTTCGATGTTCCCAGCCCAGCAGCAGGTTAGCCGGGGATCACAAAAGGCCTATTTGCGGGGAAGGGCTCAGATGATTGCTTGAACCCTCCCCCTGCTAAGACTGCTAGACCTAACTATGCCTGCTAGGGGATATCAGTCTAGCCTCCACGATGCGTTGATGCGACGATGCCCCATGATTTCTATGAAGGAGCAATAGCGTGACAGCAACGCAGTGGAGACTCCACGCGAGTCCGTTGCCAAGCAATTTCCATTTTAGGAAAATTCCATGTCATTTTAGTTTGATTTTTTGAATGATGATTTTTTTTTATTTCTCCGTTTGGAGGTTTTCAATTTGGCCGTTCCTTCAGTTGTGCGTTGTGCGTTGTGTGAAAATGTTTAAAATCGGAAAAGGAAAAGGAAAAGGGAATTGAAGGATTTCAAAAAGATTCGCAATCGCCTAATACATTAAGGTATACACGTGTACCTAGGTACATGCACGTAATACTCGGGGTACCTCGCTACCTTGTATTTTATGATGCGGGTGTTGTTGAAGTAGAAGGTGCATCCTTAGGAAACGGTACTTCAACACAAGTACTTACTTCCCTGCAGCCGTCGAGATTTGGAATAATCGACACTTTCACTCTTTGGATGTAGTGGGTCTTAGCGACAGGGAAAGTACAAAGGTACTTCATTTATATCCCCCGTTTTTTACTCCCTCATCAACTTGAAATCTCCATCAATCATTACCAATTACCAAATACCAAGATACCAAGATGGTTGGCCTTGAACCTTTTTACTACCTATATTATCTTTAAACGGGAGAACGTCCTTTACTTATCCCGGTCTGGATGTAAGGAATCGATAGATCTGAAAAAATACAATATACGGATTGAAATGGTTTCGTCAGCAATTTCCGTCCCCCGTCGCTGTCTGTGAGCAAGCCTACGTACGACTTGATACAGTACTCCGATTCAGCCCCTTAATGAACGGTTAGGTGGTTAGATCAAATTCAGGCGCTTAATATTAACAATACATCTCGATACTTCATTAACTAAGCAATACGTTAGTGCCGTTATTAGGAATCAACTGTTTGCTAACGATGTGATATCCGTAGATTCTCGTCGCTAGTCCCCGAATGTACCCTTCACATTCGGCCTCGGCTAGGGACTACCACCGCCGTTACACATGCAGGATCAAGCCTGCAGCATCATGAAGGGGTCTCCTATACGGATTACGCACGTAGGCAATATGCTCTGACCACTTTCCCACGTCATGGCATGGAGCTGAATCACGAAGTTGGAGTTGAGCAACACCAAATAAGTTCCTTAACCTGGGGGTATGGAGTGTTCGAAAGACAATCATCTGTCTATATACCGGTATGTACAAATCCTGATCCCGAGGGCATAGGTAGCCAATCCTCCCTCAATGTGGGAATGCCCGTCGCTACGCATCCAATGGCGGCACCCCATTTACCCTCCTCGCCGCATAGGCACAGGGCAATTAATACTCAATTGTGCGTTAAAGTCTGCGGGTTAAAGATAACCACCCACTGCCAACTTTTTTATTCCCTTACTGCGAGATTATCACCTGAGGAGGCCTTTTGGATCAGCAGTACTCAATACGATTCAAGAGCGTACTTATTACAGCAGGCTTTACCTGCCCTTTAAATGAGTTTGCGATGATGTAGTCTACTTGTTTGCCCAGGTAACTCAAGCAAACGTCCATGCCAGGCGTGGGTTACTCGCAGAAAGGAACCTATTGTAGGCTATCAGAAAAACGTGCTGAAATATTAAGGAGGGTTCGCCTCGGCCGTGATTCGCTCTTTAGGGCGACACCGAATTGTATCACGACATGATGACGGGAGGGTGTCAATGAACGGCTACTCGCAGAGACACATATTCCTGTTTTATTCCTACAATATATGCTTACGGCCGTAGAGTCGGATAGGGCTGAACTCATGGAGTTATCCAAAGGCCGTGGAATACGACCATCGGGTCGAATTTCATGGCAGTAAATTTGGTCGCCGTAAAGTGACGACGACGCTCCCCTATTTGCCTAACATCGGCTCAAACGTCGATGCAAGGGAACCAAAACGTTATACATGACCCGTGTCGCATTCCCGACAAGGGTTTCCTCGATGGCGATAATATCTTTACCGTTAGATTTAACTCATCCTCGGATAGGTAGGTGTAGCAACCGCCACATTCCTAGTGCTGCTTAACATCAAGGTTGCAACAATCTCGTCAACACCATTAACTGAGGCTATTATCACACAGGTTATAGAAACTTTAATTCGACTTCGCAACCCTCCAAGAACAGGATATCTAGAGTATTCAGTAATTGGTGTCTTACTTTTCGAAGGATTCTTCACTGGGATAAATTTGTGATAGGTGCGGGTAGGATCCTCTTGTTGGGTCTTCCTTTCCATTCTATTCCGTACCAACGTGGTTCCAGACCAAGGGAATCCTTGGTTTCATCATATGGAGATAATGATTACCTATGGGGAGACGACTGGGGATGCGAAAGGATCATCCATCGGCCTTTACCAGGTGTCTCAAGCAAACCCCGGGAACGTGGTAAATCAGCTCATTCAGAGCGCCACCGCAACCTCGGTCCTAGAAGGAAGCACGAAGGCTTACTACGCCTGTGCCCGATGGTGGTCTGTGACATTGGAACTTCTACCCGCGGGTCAATATCTTGTCCCGGGGTATGTACCGGAAAACGTTTTTGACACTATGCCTTTTTTAATAGAGCGAGGCTTAAAGTACCGGATAACGACGCCGTCTATTGTAGTTTTCCGGTATGCCCCTATTCGAGGAGAATCTATACACTTCCCTTTGACAAGATGCGCGCGCATCACTTACGCATTCCAAATCCCTAGGTTAAGCGCCAGCACCACATGTATTTATTGCTATCTAGAAGGAAAAGGTACGCGATCGACAGCTAAAGAACAAGTGTCTATTACCCCATTACCGCCCTTACGCCGAACCCGTAAAGAACGAAAGAATATGTAGGGTCCGAGCATACCAATATCCCAAGTTTGTCCCTTGCTAACGTAGCCGTGATCATCCACTGTCAACTAAATCTAGGATGATCCTCGCCGGCGTCTCTGAGTTAAGTTTCCATCTATCGGAAGACGAACCTGCCAGCCTGCCAGTTCGAAAGAAATAATCGCTTTGGTACCAACAGCTATCCCACCTAGTCACCGACTCGGCGGCGATTAATCAATCTCCGTAGGCTTTCCCGCTGCCTAGGATACATCGGCCTCCTCGCCCATCTACTCAATCTCCAGAGACCCTTCGACCTACCTAAGGCAGTCCAACGGTACGACAGGACCGTTGAGACGTGGCTTGCATCGGGCATGCGAGGGCTGCCTAGTAGTAAGAAGGAAGGCGATACGCGGGTTGGTCTTCCCATGGTAGTCAAGGGGAACGTTCCATGCAGGTGACTTCGGGTGAGCTCGAGTCAAATAGAGGTTGGTTAGAATTGGGAATGGGATTTATAATCAAGATAGCGGTTTACCACTCTACATGCTCCGCATGTGAAGGTACCGTGTTAGTTTGGTCGTTTGGATATAGTATTTGTTATTCGTGATTCCACATACATATGTCTCGTAGTGTCGGGACATGAAGGACGATTTCTACCCAGGTACATAGGTAGGCAAGACTACAATATCTGTAGGCTCTCGAATACCTACCTAGGTAGGTACTCTGGAGAACATTGCTAGGACTCTAGCTATGACTTATCGCATTGCTACAACGTTGGGTAGGTAGGAATACTAAAAAAGCTTCACTAAACGCTTCTCAAATTTTGACCAGGGCAAAGGGCGATATTTGATAGCTTGTAGTCCTCATCGTCACCCTCGCTCTCCTAGGACTCTAAAGTGGCATTTGTATTCGTACTAGAAGCTGGGAACAGTGATGTTACCCTATTATCGTAAATGTCTTTAATTTTGTTAGCTCACTTGTTTCTTTGGGGGGGCTCAGGAATAAACCTTGAGCACAGTTAACTGACAAACTAATGCACTGACAGAACTTTCAATTGAGAGTTCCAACGCTGTTTGATGCGCTATTCAAGCACTTTCTTTAGTGACATTTAGTGAATTTTCCCACGGGCTAAAAGTAGAGGCCGCATTTCCCCACTTGGTGGCGTTCTACTTACACACCAATTCGGCATCTCTTCGGGCACCCTTTGACAAACTTCTCATAGTACCACTTAACTTATTTTATGTTCAGCGATTTATTGGTGGAATGGCCGAGCGGTTATGGCGCTGCGTTCAGGTGTATCTGAATAATTCTATGATCAATGGAATTCTCGCAGTGGAGCAATCCGCGTGGGTTCGAATCCCACTTCCATCATCGTTTGTGTTTTGCTTTTTGTTGAAATGGTGATTATTTTTGGTGGAGCGGGGTATTTTTATAGGCTAATTACGTCACTGTTTTTGCTTTATGTTCTCATGTAAAAGCAAACCTACAAAAGGCACTTTATCTTGTAATTCCTACCGTCCTTTGTTAGACTCTGTTCATATTCAATTCTGATAGACACCTGGGTAAGGATCAAGCAAACTCACATTACGACTCAGATCAATGAAGTATCTAAACAGCTTGTCTATCAACCATCATGATTTCATTAATTGAATCACTTGATTGGTCTATTAGGATGCATTATCGAGCTAGAATTACATCGCGATTCCTCTGCTTAATACAGGGACAATAGAGGTTTCTAATCTTTAAGATCTACACATAAACCCACATTTTAGCACTTTTAATCCATAAGTATTCTTTGGCTACTCCTTTACTCCTTAGATAGCATGGCAATGAAACGATATCGAAGCCCCGAACTAGTCCAAAATCCATTCATAAAAAAGAGGAATCTAGAATGGAGTATAGATACTTCGGGATCACCACACGATACTGAAGAGGGTACCGAATCTGATGAGCCGCAAGATGAAGGTCCTGCTTCGAAAGATGATCCAAGGGCACCAGCGATAGAGGCGGGTGAAATCAAGATCAATGACCATCTAAACTACTTTAGCGACCGCCTATCGAAAGCAGTACTTTCACCTTTCCCACAAGACATGCCTAGGCTTCTCATAGGAGATTACCGCAAGCTCTACGAGACAAACTATGGTAATCCAAGGGGCTCACATTTCATCATCCATCAGCACGATCATCCCATAGCAGGCACACATTACGACCTTAGACTCCAGATCAATGAAACAAGTAGCGCATCATGGGCCATCATGTACGGACTCCCAGGTGATCCCAACAGTCAGCGTCTAAACCGAAATGCAACAGAAACACGAATTCACTGTTTATGGGTAAGTCTTTACTTTGTAAAAAACCAAAATCATCTATTATACCTACCAAACCAAAAAAACTATTCTATTTTATTTGACTAATGTAATCCTCCATATAGAACCACCTAATAGAAACCGCCTCAAACTCAACCGGGTCCCTACTTATATGGGACACCGGGACATACTCGATTCTTCCAAATCGAGAAAACAGAAAGGCTGGAGCTGATTTGAACTCACAGTCGGAGGAGGAAGAAGAAGAACCGGAACTTACGGAACAGGAAAAACTCCATAACGCCTTCCAGAGGCGTAAAATACGCATCCGGTTGGACGGAACACGGTTACCAGATAACTATGTGTTAAACCTACGTCTAACGAAAGACGAAGATGCCGCGGGACGAGCTAAAAGCGGGCGCGTGCCTGTGCGACGGCGGAAGAGAGGCAACAATTCTGCCCCCAAACCTAAACGTGGGGAAAACGTCGAGCCTGTAGTGAGCTCAACCTCCGACGAGGATTCAGAGACTGTAAACGTGCCAGCGGAAACAATAGAACAGTCCAAGATCTCAGCCATGGAACGCGAGATCCGGGAACTGGAAGACGAACAAGTGCGCCACACAAACGCATACGTAGGCGCGAGCAACACAATTGGAAGTGTGCACAAGCGACGGTGGTATTTGTCGCTTGACAGGGAGGCATGTGGGTTTGCTAAATCGCGGGTTGGTGGGAGGAGTATGTGGGAGCGGGTTAAACGTGCCTTTGACGAGGCAAAAGATGAGATTGAGGATGAGGTGGCGAGTGGGAAAAATAGACTTACGTTCCCGTTCTACGTCCGTGGGGTGGATGTCGAGAGGAGTGTTGTTACCGGGAGGACCGGCGCCGAGGTTTTGAGCGATGAAGGGGTTGTGGGATATGTTGGCCGGAAGGGGTGGAGGCCTGTTTTGAAGTGAATATTAAGTGATTGATATAAAAGAGATACGACAACGGTATAACAGGTTAACTATTGTTGTATTGGAGTTTATTTCTTAGAATTCCGAGAACTTCTGGATGAAGAGACTCTGGATGAATAAACGGATGGCGAGTATACTGGTTTAACCGGGGAGTATTCCGTGTATTCCGGACGACCTTCCATCTGCGGTGAATACGATTGTTGGTAGGGGTTTCTCGAGTATCTTTGTCCTCTTGGGGAAGATGGATATTCTGGATATCCCATATTCGCAGAAATAGGATGAGGTGCTTCGGGCCGGGGATACGCAAGTGATGAATGCGAGGCACTACTACTACTGCTGCTACTGCTACTATTACTCGGGGATGGTACGTATGGTCCTCTTGCCGAATCGGCGTAATAGTCGTAATTGGGTTGTTGCTCGTTATCCTCAAATACTTGGTAGGTTTCGTAGTTACCATCATTTTCGTAATTATAATCATTCGCATAATTAGGATTATTTGCGTACTCGGGATTATTCCCATAAAAATCATGTTCATATACGGCCTCGCCGACTGAACTGGGGAATTTCGTGCCCCGGCCGTGATACATGTGGCCGCTCCGAGTCACCTTAATCTTTGAGTCGCAAGTCCCGCCAGCCATGTAGTTCATGACGGCGAATTTCCTTTCGTTTGAGTGACCCATTTTCCCGGGTTTCTTAAATTTGGTTTTAAGTTTACTGTATAAAGAGGTAGACTTATCTGTGGTCGAGGTTACTCGCTTGTTGCTAGTTGGCTGTGGTGGGCTGTTTGGAATGCCGTGATAATACTTGCTGTTTGGATATTCTCTGGTAGAGCTTGATCGAGACATGTTTACGGGGATGGGCGAATGAAATACTATATCCTAATGACCAAATCGGTAAACTAATAATTGCTACAACATACAAGCCCCTTTCATGACAATGGATTGGTTTGTAAAATCTATCTACGTGTCAAAACAATAAACAAAAACTTCTTTGCTAAACAACATGAGCATTGTAAGGCACTTAACTTCTTGACGCATTACCAAATTACCTCGCTTCTTGTGGTAGGACTATTGAGCTTTTATTCATAGCACTCGAGCTTCCGTTATATTAGCACATAGACTTCGGAACCAAGACCGTACGACGGCGAGTCACTCTCGATCGTGGAACATCCTACCGATTACACCTGAGGGTTAGCTTGGTACCTACCACCTGGAGAAAGAGAAGTTTATGTACGTAAAGCTTCTATAAATAGCCTTCTCTTCCCGAATCGAGGAACTGAACAGGGCTGGGTATCTATACATACAAATTCAACCCGATATTTGTTCTGCTCTTGGGTCTCAGACAAAGCCCTTGAAGTATTACATCTATGGTATTGTTATGGGGATGAAAGGGTATTATTCAATGGACATTCTTTGATGCTAAGTATTATTGGTTTAGTACTCTCTGCCCAGGGACGTTGGTGTGCCCGTTCTTAACTTACATGCTTGAACTCGACTTTTCCGTAGTGTGGAGCCCTAGACGGGAGCGAATCCAATTACCTAGGGTACCATAAGTATCCTGTTAAGTTCACTAATGGTAATCAAAATTGATGTGGTCGTGTGTGAAGTGTTTGATTGAATAGGTTCCCCAGCAAATCTGTCGTGGGATACCTGGGCTAGTATATCATAAATACTAGCTCCAAAACTCGAAAATCAAGTCGTAATCGTTTCATCTCAAATACACGCCTTACGCGGGATATCGTAACAGTTTGCGAAATCCGTCAAACTCCAAATTTGATGCGACGCGAAATTTATGCAACATCTAGTATCCTTTTTCTCTCTCATGCTCTTCTCTTCCTCATTATCATCATTCCGCCTGCCCCTTATTTCCTCAAATCATATGTTCGTTCGGTTGTCGCGGGCTTCAACCATATCTCATAGGCGCCTGGCCTTGGGGAGGAGCTTGACCGTAACCTTGAGGCGGGCCTTGCCCCCAACCCTGTGGTGGTCCTTGGGGTGGGCCTTGTTGCGGCGGCGGTTGACCTTGCATTGTTATATTATTCCCTTCTCCATCTCGTCTCATGCCTTGGACATCGGGTCGGTGTTCTAGGGGTTGCGCGAAATGGCAGATGTTGCAGCTAACATCTTGGTAGCCGTGGACGGAAAGAGGAACAACGGGCTATACGTCGCATTAGTATCATTTATGATTTCGCAGCAGTGGGAAAAAGGTAGAACTTACGACAAAGCAAAAGGTAAACCATGGATTGCTCTTAATAACATGTCCAGCCCAGTTACCGCAGTTGTGACATTGACATGTGATGCCTTCGTAGCCTTCTACTTCCTTCCGGAAGGTGTGCTCACCACAAGTGAATACTATACACATTGCGGCTATTTAATTCATGCGACGACGTTGCTTAATTCGGTAGATCGTAACGTGCGCAAATAGATTCAGTCGAGTAAGTGTAGCTTGTGTCGCGTGTTTTGGTAGTCGGTGTTAACGGAACAGACGGTGTCAACTCTTAAATTATTGAAGGAGTGCGAATATTATTATATTATGGGTATAGAGATAGAATAAATAATTGTAAAATGTATCAACGCTTTGTCCATATTGTTGGTAGAAGAAAAAGATAGTTGTCTTGGTGTGAGGTGGGCGCGTCACCTTTAGGGGCTGTGCTGCGACGGCCAAGACAATTATCTCTAACTGAACTAACTGAAGAAGCCTCGGCGGTCACTAACCAACCAATGACGTACGCTAAAAATTACCGTCGCAACTGCCCAGGTGCTGTAAGCTATTATCGATAGCGGCTCTTAAATCCACTGTCCCCGCTAATTTAGGGACCTTCCAAGGTTACTTTAGGTACCTGCATTTAGCTACCAATGACATAAAAATTTCCATCTTAAACAATATAACCTACCCAGCTCAATACCTCGACACTAGAAGATCATGAACAACAGCTAGGGAAGAAGAGAAAGAAAAGCAGGAATCAAGCTCGCGATGAGCACCACCCCCACACCAAACCCGACAAAATGCTCTACGACCTAAACATTCCGTGGTCCCCCACAACCACCCCCTCGGACCTCGAGCGCACACTACGCTTCAGCGCACAACTGGGCTACAACGTCGTCGCATTAAACCACACCCTCGACGCGCCCTTACCAGGGAACATCCAAAACCCTCTTCCGAAATTCCCTCCTCCCTCCACCGCCAACAACCCACAACCTTCATCTTCATCTCAACAACGACAGACCTCTTCAACGCAACGCACACCAACAATCCTCCACCGCCTAACCCTCTCCTTCACCGACCCCTCACAAAACCAACAACTCCCACGCGCAGCGCAATCCTACGACCTAATCGCCGTGCGCCCGACAACCGAAAAAGCATTCCAAGCCGCGTGCTTAACGGTCAGCGCAACCGATGTATCCCTCATATCCCTGGATCTAAGCACGCGGTTACCGTTTTACCTCCGGCCAAAGCCGTGTATGGCGGCCATAGCCCGGGGTTTGCGGTTTGAAATCTGCTACGGCTCTGTTCTAGGAGGGGGGGACGCTCGCGCTCGCGCGAATCTAGCGGGGAATGTGGCGCAGCTTGTGCGCGCTACGCGTGGACGGGGGTTGGTGGTTAGTAGTGAAGCGGCGGGAGCGCTTGCGTTGAGGGCGCCGGCGGATGTGGTTAATCTTCTGGCGGTTTGGGGGTTGGCTACGGAACGGGGGATGGAGGCGCTTGGGACGAATCCAAGGGGGGTGGTTGTTAATGAGGGGATTAAGAGGAGTGGGTTTAGGGGTGTTGTGGATATTGTTGGGGTTGCGGAAAGGTCGGAGGGAGAGAAGGGGGAGGGGAAGGATAGTAAGAAGAGGAAGAATGATTCGGGTACCGTGGAAGGAGGAGGTGGTAACGGCGGTGGTGATGGTAATAAAGGAGAGGAAGCCCCGATTAGTAAGAGACAGGCGAAGAAGCTTAAGGCTGCGTTGAGGAAAAAGGAGGTCGGGGAGAAAGTGAATAAGGCCTAGGGATAGGCGTGAAGCAAAAGTTATTAGCGTCGTTAAGACTTGCATATAATGATGGCGTTCGGGATAATAGGCTGGGTTGGTCATCTGAAGATACCCTGATAATAGAAATGTTCTCTATCACATACAATTTCGCTGTCCTTCCTTGCATTGAAGATCTATGTTCACGCAAATACAATTTAATCAAGGCCAGCTCGATTCAATTAATTTTTATACTTCATTTATTCCAACAAGAAACAGAAGGCTATATACAAAATATACTATTTGATATTTGCTCCTGGCAGTAAGTAATAAGTTCCGTGTTAACAAGCGCAGACCTCATCTCTTCTATCTCCCCAACTCACCCCAAGAACGAGGCTACCAAAAATCACGTTTACATCCATGTGTATATAGATATGTATAAAAAGAAAAAGAAAAACAAGGAAAATAGATGAGGCAGGTGATAGGTAGGAAAGGAATACTACAAATTTGCCTGCGACGGTAGGTGGTGTTGGCGGAGGCGATAATAGGAACCAAAACCGTTATTATACATCCGTTCTACGGGGGTATTTCCTTTCCTTTCCCTTTTTCCTTCTTCTGCCTATCTACCGACCGTATTCCTACCCCATCATTAATCCAACTCATTACACCCGACCTAGCGCACCCAACGAAAGTACACTCGTCAACGAAATCCCGCTAAGATCAATCGAGGGCCCAGTATTCGCCGGTGCGGTAACAGCGGGAGCTGGGGCTCCGCCTGCGTTGTTGGCGGCGGGGGGCGCAGTCTGTGATTCAACGGGTAACGCGAGGGAGGATTGGGCGGCTGGGGGAGCGGCGGCTGTTGCTGTGGCGGTTGCGGATGAGGGCGCGGCTTCGGGGACTTGGATCGATGATGCAGCGGCGGCGGAGGAAGAGGAAGAGGCGGCTGCTGTGGCTGTATCTGCTGCCGCCGCGGAAGAGGTGGATGAGGAAACTGCAGCAGCGGAGCTGGAGGCAGCGGCAGGTGTTGAAACTGAAGACGAAGCTACAGCAGCAGCACTGGAACTCGACACCACAGCCGCCGCACTAGTCGCCGCAGCCGGAGGCGTCGAGACCACGGCCGCAGCACTCGAACTAGCAACCGCAGCCGCCGACGAAGCAGCAGCCAAAGCCGAGGATTGCGCCGCGGCTTCCGAGGACGCGGCTTGAGCGGCAGATGATGCAACGGCGGAGGCTTGGTCCGCGGGGACTGGGGTACCGGTTGACACACCGCAGGCGATCATTTGCATCATGGTTACGGTTGATACTTGCATTACGGTCGTTGCTTGCATGACGGTGGAGAGTTGCGTTACGGTTGAGGCGAGCGCTGTCTCGGTTACGGTTGCTGCGGCGCCGGTGCCGAAGACGGTTGTTGTTACGAAGGATAGTTGGGCGGCGCCGTTACTGTTGGGGTTTGTTAGTACCTATCTGGTGGTTTCCTGTTGTGTAGTACGTACGCTTGTCCCTTTCCGCCCTTGTCACCGTCGGCAGCAGCACCCTGGGTTTCGGTCACGGTGATTGTCTTCGTCTGCGCTGCTGCCGTGCCGTTTAATCCACCGATTGCGGCGGCGCCGACTGTGATTGTCTGTTTAACTGTCTCGGTGACGGTGACGGCGCCATTTTGTCCTTGACCCTTCTTTTGGCCATCCCCTTCACCCTTGTTGCCGCCACCTAGGCTGCCGAGTAGCTGGTCCAACAGTCCTCTCTTTACAGGTTCGTCATAGTAGTGATATGTGCCGGCCTATGAGTATGTGAATATAGTTCCTTACTCCCACGACGGTATAGTCTGGTATGATATTATGGGGTAGTACACACCTGTACGAGCGACAGGGAGCTCAGCACGGATAATAAGAACGCTGGGTACGCCGCCCTCATCCTTAGGATGTGAGAAACTACGAGCGATCACTCACTCACTTAGTCCCTCGGTCGAAGCCGTGGTTTCGCGACGTACTCGTCGTAGACGGACTCAAGTTATATACTTGGTGGACGAATAAATGAACGAAGTGAACAGACCAGCCGTTTCTAATTACACGGGATCAACCCGAGATAGAGTAGGTAGAGAATGAAAGCGTTGCTTTGCTTGAGACCTTTTTTTCGATTGAGTTGGCTGCTGACGATATTATGAAAGGAGAGATAGATAGATGGAACTCGAATTATACCGGATTGCTCCGAAGAAACATCAGATATTAGGCGCGTATGCACTCTAGATAGAACGAAAGGAAGGACCGACAGCAAAGTCTCGAAACAAGCAAACAAGCATCACGGGGAAGCAAGGTGGCGCTTAGGAGTTGAAGCCATCAAGAAGGGGAAAAAAACAACATCAGATTAGAAGAAAAAGATTCACGAATATTGGATAGCCAGGGGGGGTGGTGGGAGAGAAGACACGATAAGTGGTAGAACTGCAGTACCTGGATACCTACCTCTTACACCAAACATGGAGCCACAACCACGCGGCCCAGATCGCAAGAAACCCATCAATTCACTGTTAAGAGAGGAATTTTTCAACAGTTCTAAGGCTGTTTCGACCGGGGTTGCGACTTAGTTCAGTCCTTCTTGGATGCGGTTTATGTCACGGCAAATTTTATGCAGGATGAAGCTCGAGGGTCTTGGTCTAGGTCCCGCCCATTTAGAAGTTCGCGATGGTACAGGGATGATCGGAACCAGCCTAGTTTTAGGAGCTTTTGGTAGCTTTAGGTGAGGCTCAAACGTCCATTTGGGGAAAGATGGCCGGGGTTTGAGTCCGATGCCAACAGGGGTTGAGACAACGCCCTGACAAAGGAGGTGTTTGAAGCTACGTCCTCAAAATTCTCCCTGACAAGTTGGCGACTCGGTAATTCGTGATTCTCGACAGAGACATAGTTTAATACAGTATTAAATCCTCCTTTCCGTTAGTTTTGCGATGAAGACGTTACAATTAGTGGTGTATTAGTTTAGTAAAATCAGTTAAATAAGAGAGCCGAGTTTCAAAAGGTATATTACTTGTTAGTGCGTCGAAATTTGACAACAATGTTGATGATAGAAACAGAAACCTATTTCAAGTCGATTACTCGGAGTTTTAGTTTAAAAGTGTTAGCGTCGCGTTGTACAGAGAAAGAGGGGAAAGGTAAGCCACCTTGTCACTATTGCGGGTTACGTGGACGCCTCCTCGATAATATAGTCTTGGCATAGGTTTCATAAGGTAAGATCGTGTGGGAACCAACCCGTCTGCCTTAATTAAATGGTTTAGCTCACGTATCGTCAACCGCTGCAGGGCCGGTAGATGACAGTGACGATGAGACAGACTATGTACGATTAACTGAAGGGATTGAACGTCATAGGCCACTTGTCGAATTTGGTACTCTTGAGCTACCAAGATCTCGATAAACTAATTAGTGAAGATTCGGGAAGCTGACGATCATGGTAACCGGCAATTGATGCATGTTTAGAAGATTGATTGTGGTCTAGAATAGCCGAATTGTTTCTCGTACTTTGATGAGAATATATTTAAATAATGCTAGTTGTAGCTAACATTAGTCGGGTGTGTTGATTACTGCAAACTTGTTTGAATTTTGGTTATTTTAACTGTGTAAATGAAATTGATCGCTCAGTCCCGACGTCTAAGGGATAAATGAAAGCTTAGGCAATCCACATCCGAGATAATTCATCTTCGCGATAAGCCTCACCTTGCATTATTCCTCTTAAGTAGCAGTCGCCCTGTAACGTCCACTGCGAATCCTTCGCTCTCAATACAAGAGGTACCTTCGCACCCTGTACGACAGCAATATCGTCGCCAGCTTCCGCCAAAGCAGGTCCCAGGCCGATATATCCTTTGCTTGTCCTAAAAACCCGGCGATCCGCCAGCGACGACATGGGGATTCTATAGTTCAGAGTCATCTGATCAGATCGTTTATAAAAGATTATCGCATGAGCAACGTGGACAGCTTTATCCACAAGCCATTCTGGAAAAAATCTAGGCAAAAAGCTAATCCATTTGGTTATGGTGGCGTCTCTCTCCAAAATGTCCAATTGGCGACGGATTGTTTCGATAGGTTCGTGACTCGACTCGCACACCAGTGTTTGAACGAATGCGTCCCGAATTGATTCACCAGTAATATAAGGCCCCGGTTTTGATATTTTCGCGATTTGGAACCAGTTATTTAAAACGAAGGTACATTTCGGAATTCGAACGCCGTGATAATTTGATCGTGGAAGCTGATCCACTCGCAGGACTGTACCAACAGCGGCGATACGATCTATACAATGACCGTATATTCCAAGGAAATTCGAGTCGGCACCAGCAAACTGCACTTGTGGCATCGACGAACAGCTAGCAGAAAAATCCAGTTCATTAATATCCGAATAGTTTGCTAGCCCTAAAGGCGCAGTGATGCGAGTGATGGACCAATCAGGTACCCAAGAAGGCAAATTCTCTGGTCCAGTGCCAGAAATACGGCGAGGAACGGACAACAGATTGAGATCCGATGTTTGCTTAAGCACCTCCTTTGCCACAGCTGTATACAACTCGGTGGTATCGACATTGTAATTGGGCTGTAAGGCTTGGACTCTGGAGAGTTCACTTTTGGTTAAGGCGTTTAAACCGAAAATTTTGTCTCTCGGGTCAGTAGCGTCGAGTATTCGGTGACGGAATAGGGCACTAAGAAGATTATGTCGGACCCCAGCACACCATTCACGACGGGCCCTTTCCAGAATGAAGACATAGGCGTTACGCTCATGGTCAGATAACCATAGGTTAAGATGGTCTTGAGCGGTGATAGCAGCCATGAGGTCGGCCCAACTGATGGATGAGTTTCCACAAAAGACTGTCGCCTGTGTCGCCAATGCAAGCTCCTGGACAACCCAGACTCTAGTAAACCATAATCTTTGGATTATTTTGGCGAATGCTGCTAGTCGTGGGAATTCAGATCGGTTTCTGAATCTGCCAAAGAGTTTTCGCGCAAATTCACCGTTGAATGATACCGTCTTGAGCGAGCCGCCAGCTGATGTGTACTGGTGACAGGCCTGAGCAATATCCGAGGCTACTGCAATTCCCTGGTCACTATTCTCTCTTTCTTCACCAAGCCATATGAGAACACGACTAGCTCTTGAGTAGATATCGTTCATACGACGGACCTGTCTTCCTCGTTCATCATCGTCACTCTGGTTGATGCAGACAGCGTCCGCCCATAAACTTCTCTTCTCGGATGGTAGGCGGAAGTGACGCAAAACTTCTTCGAGGGCAGTAGTGACGGCTAAGGTCTTTCCGTTGCAGATAATTTCGACTTTGTCTCGAGAATTACCCCATACGTACGAGATGGCTTCGTATGGGGGAGACTTGCCTATGTCTCCGTGTTCGAGAATGCATTCCACTTGTTGATCTTTTGAGCCGGGGAACAGGGTAAGAATTCGCAACTGATTGCATTCAGGTTCAGTGCCAAAAGGCACGTAGCAATATGAATCCATTGCCGATATAATGAAGGAATCTCGCCACTATGATAGGGATTCGATTTTTACCGTGATAATGACTTATTGAACAGCAGCAAAGAAAACTAGGGGATCTCTATAAATACTTACTTAAGTACCTAGCTAGGCACCATATGAGCTGTGGAGGTAGCGTACTCGGTAGCATTTTCATGGATGTTTGCTACCTTTCGTCTGGTTAGATATGTTTATATGCCTTACGCAAGGGAAGTGGTCAACAGCGAAAATCCAAACCCGCCAGCCACAAAAGAAGTTACACTGCATCTATGTTAGTCAAATGAGGAAGGATATGATGGCCTTGGTAATTCCGATAAAGGTAACGCCTATGATGAGTGTGAGTAACCGATAGATCTGTGAAAGGTGTAAATGGGATTGTCTGGCGAGATAATGTATTTGCATGCTGGACAATAGTTCGGAATAGTTCCGGATTCACTTCAGTAACTCGAATACAAAACATTTTTATTAAGTTTGGGAATTTAGACTTTGAGAACTGTTCGGACGATTAATTCCGCTGTAAATACTCAGGTGACAAGATGGATATCTATTGTTTGTTCGAATTGATAAATTCAAAATGGATTAATGACGATTTGGTGGGGTGGAAGGTTTTGGTTAAAGAAAAAAGGTACGTACCTAGGTGTCGGATGGTCGGTGGGCCAACCGGTGGGGCCATTACTAGCCACAGAGTGAAAGAGAGAGCTATGACCAGATAAATATCAACAAGGAAAAATAAAGTAAAAGTGAAGTTACCGCGCAGACCTTGACTTGATCTTAACCCGCCTATTAAGTCGTCACGTCACGTCAACTTGAACAACTTCAACATCAATTTGACCAACCTTGGTCTTTGAAGTCTTGTTCACTTATTCAAGTAGGTCATTTGCTTCTTAATTAACTATTTATTCTTTTTTAATTCACTTCTCTTCTTCAATTTGCTGCCCACAATGGAAGAAGTCGCGAGTCCTCCAAAACGGATGACGCGTGCTCGAGCAGCCGCGAAGGATGCCGCCGCCAATGTCAACCCCAAAGAGAGTGCGGCCATGGCCGTGACCAAGACTGCGACCACATCCAAACCCACCAAAGCAGCATCCACCGCAACCACAACAAGAACCGCCACAACATCGCGTGCTGCGAAACGAAAGACACGATCCGACGAGAATGAAGACGAAGATGACCTCCAATCGGAAGTCGAACAACCACGTGCTATGAATAAACCACCTAAAACCCGAGGCCGACCGAAGAAGGTTGCTGGATCTGAGCCGGAACCCGAATCCAAACCCGAATCAGACGACACCCCAGCACCTAGTAGTGCTAAACCTACGCGTCCTAGAGCAAAGAGAGCTGCCACCGCCGCAACAGCTGCTTCTGCTTCTAAAGCTGAACCACCTAAGACACGTACGAGTACGCGAACGCGAAAAACAACTACCGATGATGGCAATGCAGACGCACCATCCGAGCCGGTCAAGAAGACCACGCGCTCGCGTGCTACGTCCACCGCCAAAGCTTCTACCGGTATCGTCACTACCAGCATATCCACAGAGCCTACCCCAGGATTAAAATCTGCCGTCTCAAGGCCTGCGTCTAGGATAGGAGGTGTCGTTAAGAAGACAGTTACCTTCCAAGAGCCGGAGAAAGAAAACTTGGTGCCCACTGCTGCCACTAAGGGCAAGACCAACACCAAGACCACAGAGCCTGCTACTGGCATGCGAGCAAAACCTGTTCGCAAGGCAGCCGCCAGTGCAAGAGCTACCAGAGCCAGTACAAGATCTACATCAACTAGTGAGAAGAGAGACAAGTCGCCCTTAAGCCCTAAGAAGGACGCTCAGAACCGGTCATTATCCAGAGATGTCGATTCTGATGACGAACTTGCGACATTGGAAAAGACTCCACTTAAGCCCTTGATGAAGAGTCCTGTCAAGCCGCCTGCGAAGAAATCTGATCTCCTACCACCCACCACTAAGGAAGGCGATGATCACACCCAAGAGACTTCAGAGCCGACTGTTGCACCGGCATTGGGTAGTCCGGCTCGCCGACCACCCTCCTCTCCTTTCAAGGATGTCATGAAGTCTCCCGCAAAGAAGGTAGATGCGGTTCCGCCTTTAGTTCTACCCTCAAAGGATGATCAACAGCCTTCACAATCACCGTCTAAGGTTTCGATGCTTCAATCACCTGCTAAGCGACCTCAACTCCCTATCAAATCACTCCAACCTCCTTCGCAAGAATCTAGCGAAAATTCTCGCTCACCAGTCAAAATGTCGCTTTTCCAATCACCGGCCAAGCGACCCACGTCGCCCTTTAAGCTACAAGGACCCTCTGCGCAGTCTTTCGAAGACAATGCTAAGAGATTGTTTGCACGAAAGACTTCCCCCGTAGAGATGGTATCAGATGAAGAAGTGCAAGAAAAGTTGGCTGAACAAATTGTTGAGCAAATTACTGAGCAACCTGAGACGACCAAGACAGGGGATGAGAAGCCTGAAGAAAATGAGGTTGATTTGGAATCACCGTCCCTACTCGCTTTCCCAGGACGTCTTTCCGCCGTGCTTCCTCGTCATGCAGACCCAGCTCTCCGAGAAAACCCTCTTCCTATGAAGGAAGTGCCTTTGGAACAACCTGAGCCTACCTTGGCCAAACCGGCTGAGGTACAGGAAGAGGTAACCGTCCAGGCCGATATCAATGAGCCAGTCGTTGACGCTATGGATGTTGACGAAATCGAAGCTGAAGTCAAGGACGAGAATGAGAATGTTGCTAGTCCTGCTCCGACCACACCTCCTCAATCACCACCTAAGTCAGCGATCAACTCGGCATTTGGCCTGCGAGCTAAGGATCTAAGCGATTATGCCGATGAATCCGAAGATGAGCTTGCAGCTAGCGCGAAGACGCTCTCCAGACTTCAAGATGATACAACTGTTACATTCAGTCAAGTCCCATCGACGCCAACTCCTAGCACTCTTAAGACACCTCGTGGTCTGCCATCTAGTGCAGTTAAGGCTGCAAACCGTGCTATCCGATCGGTCTCTAAGGGCTCTCGATTTGGCTTTACTCCCTTGGCCAACCAACTTAATGAGTGGAAGGCCTCTAGCCCGTCGAAGCTTAGCAATAGTGTGCAAATATCTTCGCCCGAGTTCAAGGATGAAGGATTTTCCTTACTCAAGGAGAATGATACGGCGCCTGCGGAGTCTACCCCTTCCAAGAGCTTCTTCGACGAAGAGATGAAGATTCGTTGCGAGATGGAGAACCAAGCTGCTATGGAAGCAGCTCTCGAGGCTGACATTGAGGCCGCATATGGAGAGCCTGAATTTGATGATATCCCCATTACCAATGAGGATGTCGAATTGGCTGCTGAGGCGGATGAGATGTCGCTCATGGAAGGCGTCCAACATGAGGAAACGAAGGAGTTCAACATTCACGATGACTCTATCTCAGAAGCTAGCCAGGAGTATGGCGACGAGAATGCCGTACCTATTGACCCGGCTCTCATGGCTTCGAATGCTCATCGTCTCGATCCAGTAACTCCGATGCGATCATCCGCACCCAAGGCTCTCCACACAGTTTCTAAGGTACCGCTGAAGCCGGCAGATGACTCTACCCCAGGGATTTTCAAGAAGCGTAGCGCTAGTGCCTCTAAGCTTCCTCCTAATCGTCCAAATGGTCTCTTCAGGAATGCGACAGTTATCTCGTATTCTCCCACCAAGGAATCAAATAAGATGGATATTGATGGAGAGGATGAGCTTCAACAAAACCCCGTCACCCCTTCGAAGACAGATATATGGTCTTCAATGGGTACTCCGGCTCGTACCCCTCGTCGGGATTTGGATAATGGCTTGCTCCGAGGCGCTGTTGTCTTCGTCGATGTGCACACAAGTGATGGCGCGGACGCAAGTACTGTTTTTGTGGAGCTTCTCACTCAGATGGGTGCTCGTTGTGTTAAGAGTTGGCCTTGGAACCCGACAAGTCCTTCGAACAGCGACGGATCCTCATCCAAGATAGGCATTACACACGTCGTATACAAGGATGGAGGCAAGCGAACTTTGGAGAAGGTCAGGGAGACCGGTGGTGTCGTGCAATGTGTCGGTGTTGGTTGGGTCTTGGAGTAAGTTAATTGTTATTGATGGCCTATGATTACAATACTAACATCATCTTTAGTTGCGAGCGCGAGAACGAGTGGCTTGATGAGGCACCTTACTATATTGATACCTCTCTTGTACCCCGTGGTGGACGTAACCGCCGCAAGAGTATGGAGCCTAAGGCACTTGCAAACTTCAACGGCACTCTAGTCACCCCGATGAAGAGCAACGCAATGCCTAACCGAGAATGCGCTACTGTCCCGAACAACCACGTCAGCCGAAGGGATAGCACTGTTTGGATGCGCACTCCCTCCGATCACGACGAGGATGAAGACGCGCCCGGCGAACATGACTGGGATATGCTTACGCCGGTTCCCAAGACCCCAGCTCCCCAGGATGTTGCGAGATATGCGATGGACGTTACTCCGGACACACCTAGCACGGTGAACTACGGAGAGGGTTTCTCGCCTGAGAGGGAGGAACTCCTAACGCGCACATGTCCCGCGAAGAGAAGCTTCTCGGACCTTGGCGGTGGTCTGCTTAAGCAGGAGAAGGACCAGGGTATTCTGATGCGTCTCATGGCTGCGAAACGCAAGAGCATGCAATTCGCGCCCAAGGTCGCGAGTCCGCTTTCTAAGGCGTGGAACTAGATTCCATGTCTTAGTTTATTTATTGCTTTTTTACTTTTGATTCAGTTCTATCGTTGAACTCATAGGGTGGCGTTCAGGCGAGGCGGTACGATATGATTAAGATAGGGTTAATCACACAAACAGACTCCTCACGGACGGTTACTGAGAGCTGCTGCATTATGCGGAGTGGAGGTTCGTCGTTCGTTCGTTTTACGGGGATTAGGTACGAGGGGGGAAGTCTTGCATCGGCATCGATGGCGTTGATTGATTGCTTGCGTTCGGTTGAGGATAGCTAGTTAGTTGAGCTGAGACGAGATGACGCGTTTGTATTTAGGTAGTCAAGCTGAATCTCTGGTCGGGGTGCTAAGCGCGATGGCTTCACCGGATCGGACCTGGATCGCTGCTACTGTCTTAGCTATTCTACTCAGCTAAGCACCTAAGATATGAAAAATGGTTTCTGCAAGTATGCTTCTTTGAGTGTTTGTGATTGCTGCCTAGTTGTATTGCCTGACTATCTAGGTATCCAGGGATAGAATCATGTAAGTTCCCGTCGTGGCGTTCGACCTATCAGTTTAGAGATTGGTACAGATCCGAGAATGATTTCTCACATCCACCTAACCAAATCAAATCCCGGCGGGAAACAGCGGCGGCGGCTAGCAATGCAGCTTTCCAGCAACTAGTCTCAAGCCACATTCATCAGCTTTATATGTTGTGATACTTGAACACGGCGATATCCACACAAGTACCTAAGAGCCAAGATTTGGTACGGGGAATTAGTTTTTTTTTTTTTTTTTTTCATCCCACTTTGTTTCTCCGAGCCTTGTTGTTTGATGGTGATATCAGCCCATCTAGCCAACTTACCAACGCGGGAGGTTTGGTCTAACACAAATTCGACACCGAGACAAGTACCCCCCATCTTATAATGCACGTAGCCGAACCGTACATAATGTACCGTATCCGAAGGCTTCGGAGTCGGGCTCGGGGAGGTACCTACTTGATATGCATACTGTACGTAATATCACATCCAGCCTTTCCCCTAATTTTTACATTTACTTTTTTTTTTTCTTCTGCAAGTTTTTATTGCCTCGGTATAATACACTACACTGCCTGTCTACCCACCTACCGTAACACAACTAAGTAACGGCTCAAACCCGACTAACTGATACGAGCGAAGAGGCGAATCATTTCGGCCAATGGTGAGGTGCAATGATGCTTATATTATATTAAAAGGGTAGTCGGGAGTCATGGGTGGTAAGGGGGCGGCCAATCGCATCTCAGCCCGGAGGGTGGATGGATTATGCAGAGGTTGGTTGTTGATGATTTGATGGCGGATGTGACATGTTACATGTTACACTGCATTTCCAAGGCAGTATAACCTCAATACATGTATGTGGGAAGAGTTGGGTTGGTGCAGTAGGTAACGGATGGGAGTAATGAGTTAGGTAGATTGTAGCCGCATTGTTGATAGCCTACAGTACTCCAATGTTACGTGCCATGTCTCGATCTATATCATGTCCCCCGGCATCTTTCTTGAAATATCGGAATAACCTAGGTTCCTACTTAGGGTGGCAGCGGCGACAACGTCGGTATTGAAATGGGAAACGTCGCAAAGTGTCGGCTCGGCTCGGTTCGGCTCGGTTCATACAGTCGCCTAACGGTGGACAATAGTAACACTTTTGAAAGCACCAGCAACAAGCAATATATTGATATCCAGGGGATAGAGGATAGGAAGGTTGATAACGATAGATAGAGAAGATGGGTTGCATATATTAGTTAAATATAGAAAACTTAACACCTTCCAGAAGACATCAGGGTGTATAGGGTTGCGTGTCGACGTAGTATAAACCAGACCGGCAAGTCATATCTGGGTAGAGATCGATAGATAGGTAGATGTACGTCACATTTACGATATAGTTATATAACTACATATCTAGCTCTAGAAAATCAACTACTACCTAACCTATTCGTCAAGTTTCGAATAAACGACTTTACTACTATAACACGTAACTCTGCCTACTTACATCCCACACTTACAAAGATATATCCATAAAGGTACACTACCTATTCACATCACTTACACCAACCCATTTCAATTAAGCACCTCATCAATATTACCAGGCATCTCACTCACCTGCCCAAGACAGCCAGGCCACGATATACCCCGGACCGACACATCGCCCGAGTCCGGTGAGCAACCCCCAACTGCCTCCCTCACTCCTTCACTCCCCTCTATCACCCCCCTAAATACCGATCTTACACGAACATTATACTCTTACGTATTACTACAACCAACCCTCGATCCCCCTCCCCACGAGCATCCCACATACTAACCCGGTACTAGCAAAACAAAGCTAACCAAGATGAGAAGTCCCTACATGCATGACCCGAACATATGAGAGCCGTCAGCTTATAACGAATAACGGAATAATCCGGCGAGAACTAGACAAGCTAGGCAAATAGAAAGACCGAGTGACGTCCGTTCGGTCGACTTACTAGTAATTCGTTTGGGGGGTCTACGAGGCTCTTGAAAAGGGGAACTTAGGTTAGGTACTTGGGTAGATAATAGGATGTAGCTGGACCCCGGATCTTGTAAAATACCTACCGATGGGGATTCCCGTCGAGTCCATATCTCCCGACATCACTACTAACCATGTACTCACTCATGAACCTACGTCAATCCTCTGCCAAAAACCCAGACTACTCACGAACTTCTTCCTAAAAACAAGCATAACAGATCTGTAATTCCTCACATTCGAATCCCTATCTATTGCATACCTGCATACCCGATATCTGCACACCCCTCCCCAAAACACAACACAAGAATCCCGTGGTATCACGTATATATACTAGGCAGGCAGTCCAACATCAATATCAATATCGATATCAAATACCCCCAATATCCCCCTTCCTAAAATGAAAACCACAAAAACGCAAAAGCTTGAACCCATCCCATTTCACCATATCGCCATGCAGTTCATATATGGTACAAAAGGGGCAAGTCCCCTCCCCTCTTCATTTCCCCAATTCGCCCTTCCAACCCCTTCTCTCTCCCGTTTTCCCTTTTCTTCCCTTTTACCCCCCAGAAAGAGAAGAAAAGAAACTCCTTCCCGTAAGACCCAAATAGCAATAACGGTAACGGTAACGATAATAATCCTTATATTTGCCTCGTGCTCGTAGATCGCGTCGTTCGGTCCCACTAAATGCCCCTCGAAAAAAACGCCTTGCCAAGCTTTCAAAACTACCCTTTTCTTTTCGAATTTTCTCTTGTTTTTTCCCCTTCCTAACACCACCCGACGGAAACTAGGTGAATTGATAAGTAAACGTTGAGTTGCCATACGCGTATACTCGGCAAACTACTCCCGTCCTACCGCATCCAGACCTTCCTAATCGTGCTTGTGTGCGTACGTAGACGTTTTATATAATCCGTTCATCAGTTCCCTTCATACGTCATGGTTGGATACCTAAATAAGTAGATAGATAGATTTCCTTTCCTAGCCAAAAAGAACAAAAAACGATCGTTTGCCTTTTTTTCTCTAAAGTTGCTGTTCCTTCTGATTTCCGTTATAAATATCTGAACCTGCCCAATTCAGCTGCAAAACGCCTGTTGTACATACGATGAGATAAAAATAGATGAAATCTATATATGATGGTATATAAGTAGTAAAAAGCACGGAGGGTATAGATGACGTGGTTTAGCCCATAAGGTATCGATGGCTTAGGCTCATATGGTCGTCTGTAATTCCGAGAAGGCGGTATCTAAGTGCGAAACTCATCAGCATAGCGTAGCGAACTCAGCGGCGTTTCACTGGTTCAGAGATTGAGGTGCCGTTGTCGTAATCCCAATGTCGCTTGAGACCACCTTCGTAAACGCTGGCTACGGATTCTTGCCACATAGCCGGCGTTACGAAAGCTTGCACAGGCGGTGCTGAATATTGAGGCATAGGCTGCGTTACTGCCGGTAGAGACCCGCTTCCGAGTTGAATGTCGTGGGAAGTCGGGACTTCGGGGGCACCTGAAGATGAGGCAACACTTAGAGAACTGGACTGTGGAGCCACTGAAGTAGGCTGGGGTTGGATTTGTTGCGTACCGAAAGTCGAGCTCCATTGACTGGTGGTTGTGTAGTTAGTAAAGGGAGCCCGTTTCGTCAAAAATGAGGGCTCGAAAAGGAAAAATACTCACTCAAATAAACGCGAGGGATTCCATGTGGGATGCTCCCCTAATGGTATCCCACCCGAGAGTGCCGAGGCATGGGCACTCTGGCCGGGATTCATTAGGGAGAGCGACTGCGCAGGAGAGTCACTCTTGGTGTCCACGGAACCAGCAGAGATAGGTGTGATAGGATGGTTGGCATAACTAACTTGCGAATGCTGGCCGGTATGTGAATCCATGCTTGGATCCAACGAACTGGTCTGGAGCATTGGAGGCTTGAACGTATTCGCAGTAGGCGGGCTCGAATGACTACTAGGGTGTGGACTTCCGTAAGGAAAGCTTGGTTTTAAGACGAATGGTTTTCGGATATCGGCCGAGAAAGCTTCTCGTACGGCGTCGATCTGTTTCAGCATCTCCGGCAGTGGCCAAGATTGCATCGTTTTTTCTAATACCCTCATATGCCGAGTGAAATAATCTCGGGCATCGGTATTGAGTTCTGGATCAGGAGAAGTCAACGCAACCTACACAACTTTTTGTTAGTCCTCGATTTATCCTTCATTCCTCATTTAACGTTTAAAAAACCATAGCAACGCACAAGATGGAGAACAATGCAAGACAGGATGGCGTAGATGGTGAAACTGATGCCTCTTTGCATGCATTGAAGTCCGCTTAAGCCGAAGGACTGCAGCATCGACTCTTGAAGACGACATAACGCCTTTGCTGACGAGTAACAGAGGAACATGTGCGATTTCCACTGTCCGTCGGCACCCAGCGGTTCCAAGAAACTCAGTTGCGGTCGGTGGAGAATGATAACACTCAAATAGTAATAAGAATGCATATTCCCAATAAAATGTGATGGAAGCCATGGTGGTGACCCGTTCGTTGGGAACGATATCTGTAAATCATTTGGAAGGTCGGTAAGCCAACCCGTTATAGTCGGATTGAGGTTCACTAATTCAGGGTCGAGACCCCACTCCTTCTTCTTCTTAATCTTAGCATAAACGGCGTTCACCCGGTTGAGATTTCGAGCTACGCGTGCTAGAAACGCGAAATTTCGACTAGCATGAAATTCAGTTTCGTCACAACCAGCCATAGGCCTTGGAATGCTGAAGTCAACACTATCAGAATCTACAGATAGATCTTGCCGCCCTATATCACGTTTAGAATCACATAAAGAGGCAATCAGTTAGAAAGCTGGGAAATCTTACCTTGAGGTGCGGCTATCATAGTCTCGCATACGAAAATCGTTTGCCATATCCGGCTTTTCGTTAAACATTCAGCATGGGGAGAACCACAGGTTTTACCAGCCCTATGGGTATCTAAATGCTCGTCGAGTCCGAGATCTTTAGCCATAGCGACACAATGTACGATTGACATCCAGGATCGGTAGTAATAGCCACGTTTCGGCGAGGCCTCCCTAGCTTTTAGGATAATGAGGAGAGCCTGGAGAGTACTTAAACGTGGTACGTCCATAAAAGAATCGGCGTGTTCTATATGTTATGTTAGTTCGGAGCATGGTGTCAAAAGTATTCCGGAGTTCCTACTCGAAGCGAGAGCAATCCATTGCTGTCCTTGTGCCGGTTCATCAGCGAGACGACCGGCGACTGCAAATATTGCTTCGAGCAATAATGGTGATATAGACTCTCGATTCGTATGCCACTGTTGGTATAATTGGGTTTTGTTTAACACTGGCACGTAGGGGTGTACATTGGTGAAATAAAGATCAAAGTAATGTAAGATGGTTCCATCGTCCGGCATTAATTCTGGTGGTATTCGTATCTTTAACCCAGGCCCTGAAGGCATAGGTGGTAATACGTCTTTATATTCATCGGCATCTTCGACAACAGGTTCATCTTCGTTTCCGCTACGGGCCAACTTATTATTTAAATACGGGGCTTGAGGCTGTCAGCATTGATGAATTCAAGGTCCAAGAATAAAACCAACCTGTGCCCGCTTCATTAACCTTAAGCGCTCCTAAAATATCAGCAAGATCTTGTTGGCCGTACTGATCTTGTTGGTAAGATTCAGGGGAAGATTCCGAGTGCGCAGAATGCTGGTGCATTGGCGGAGTCGGAAATACGCTGGATGCAGCATACGACTGGTCCATAACACCCACTTGGGAAGGAATAGTCGTATATTGAAGTTGATGCGGTGGTGGTGGCGGATCCCCGTATGGCATGGGAGGATATACGCCTTGATGCTCAGAATAAGGCCCAGGTGTCGGATACATAGTAGGTTTCGGTTGTCCACCCATCATAGATTGCGACGGTTGTTGCTGTAAAGGCATTTGCCTAAAGCTATCTGAACTGGACGCGATGTTGTATTCTGACGGTCCAGCCTCGTAAGACTGCGTATCCGTCGGTGATCCTTCATATTGGCCATTTGGTCGCACGCAATGAAGCTTCAGCCGTATGCAGGCCGAACAAGGCCATGTATTTGTTGTGGCGGCATCACATTTGATTTTTCTCCTCCTACAGCCTTCGCATGCTCTCATCACTAACAAGGGGTAGTCTTGTTAGCCGCGATCCTTTGGCGATTAGATTCAACGCTACAATTACGATAAATGCATACCCTTCAACCGCTTGTGTCGGTTATGTTCGTCCACGAAGACATAATCTACAGATTAAAGATTATAAGTTAGAATTAGAACAATGGTTTGAATAATTCAGATATGGAGCATAATCATGGATCGCGCACTCTTCTGGGTCTCCCTTGGAGGTTGGTAAGTTTGCGGCGCAAATTGAAACGAGTTCAAAGAGGAATTTGAGCTCTGCGGCAGAAGCCTCCTCACGGATTGATCGTTGTTCGACATGGCCGACTGGCTGGTTCGTCTTTATGCGGGTTCAGGACCCTCGATGGTCGGGTCCAACGATAATCCTCCCGATTTATTAATAATTGACCATCGAGTTCGTTCTTTTATTTATTTTTTTCGCACAACGGAATTGTATAAAATGGGAATGGAGTACTAGTTTCGTTCCAGCCGCCTTGTCGATCGTCAAAATACCGCGCAGTTAGAGGTTAGCCGTGTATATATATGTATAGATATATTTATGGAAATATATGCGATCAATAAGCAAAAAGATAAATAAAAGTTAAAGGTAAAAGGAATAATTGAAGGGAGCAAGAGTAGAAGTTCGCGGTAGAGTTATTCCGGCTGTATGTATGTTAAAAAAGGTAGATTAAGGTTCCAGTGGTTAAGGTTAAGGAACCTGCCGTGTTTCGCTGTGGTGCGGTACTGTATGTACTTGCAGCACCCCAAGCACCAAGCAGTGGGAGGGAGGCGGGACGGACGTCAAGCAATAGCTTTTTTGCTGGGTGCGGTGCACCTGCTGCTGGGGACTTGTCGCTGGAACTGGGTCTGGGAAGCGGAAAGCGGGCTAGGAATGGGCCTTTTTCGCTCCTTCTAGGGAGACCCGGTATTCAGGTAGGTGAGGGGGATAACCATGCTCTTGCCATGAGTTCCTCTAGCACGCCAATAAAAAGAATGGGGGATTTGGGGGGGAAGAGGGCAGGAGGGGAGACGTATATCCCTTGTACCTTCCCTTGTACCTAGCGTTTATTGCATTGTATGCTAATTGTCGCCCTGTGGAGTCGAGAGGGGCCGATTGGGGGCTTTAGGAAACACCCCCTGCTCTTCTTTGCCTTCCTTGCCTTCGCGTGGTTCCTCCTGCTGCTGGGTCCAAATTAGTCTACAGATTACGTATATTCACGTATTTGATTGATTGTATCTGATGTATCATGTATTCATGTACATTTCTAAACTCTAAAGGTACATGTAACTTGCAGAAACGGTACTAGTTACTTACCTGTAATTCAGCCTTTTAATAATTTGTGTAACAGTAATAAAGAGTGACAACGTAAGAAATACAATCCATACATGTGATAATACTAAATGGAGTAATGTAGGTAATGCCCCCTATTTTTTTTATTAGTAATCTAATAGATGACACTGACAATATATTTATTTGTACAGGGCGGGATTACATTGATCTTATGATAGGAAACGCTCTGGAAGTTCGCTTGTAGTATCGAGGGTCATGTGTACGACAAGAATTGACTTACACGTATATGTCTATGTTTCAATGGGTGAATGAAATGAATGAATAAATGGGGAAACCTTTTTACAAAGTTCCAATATCTAGTCTGCCGTCTGCTACATAACCTACTATGTATGTAACAGATGTAACAGAGTGGGAATTAAAATGGCCGCTTGGATAGGGTAATGGTGGTTATCCAATCTACTTGAAGATCGATCGCTGGCGTGGTTCGTAGGATTCAGATTCGTGTGGTGCGGGTTAATACCGCGCTTTAATACATGTACCGTATCATCCATTGCTCGGTTCCGTTTTCGTACATGCCTAGTTCACCTTAGTGTAGCAGTCTAAGAATCTAGAAAGACGAGTCCACATTCGGCAGGGCCTCGTATGTTATTTAGCTGGGCATAATAGACTGCCCAGGTGGTAGAGTGAAGTTTAGAGGGAGGATTGGAGGATAGGAGGATAGGATGAAGAGGGAGGGGCTTATAAATTTCGTAATCGGGCTACAAAGGGAGGTACTTTTTCTTAAAATTTGCGTATGCGCGTACGGATCCAATGATATACCGAATCCCCTATATAATCCTAAGAAAATCTTGTAAGTCGTACGTGATGAGCGACTTTCTTCCACCTGTCACCGTCTCACTCTAGGCGCTGCTGAAGAATTGGCAAATGCTGTGACCGTCAGAAAAAAACGCCACTCCAGCGGAGGTAGAAGTGTACAGGGTACTTCCCGTACTGTTGTACTTGGTAACATACAAATGTACGCAGTCTGAAGATCACGGCAGCTAGGTTAACATTCAGCGATATTAATTGATCTCCAATATAGGATGAAACGTCTTAGGGAGGACCAAGCGCGTTCAAGACTATCCCCGATTCCAGATTCTAGCTTTCTAATACGCCGAACACCTATACAGTTGCTGAGAAGAGGAAGCAGAAAAAAATTGTCGTGGCAAGTCAATAGCCGCCGACCACTGGTAATCATGATCATGGCAATAGTAAGTGACAGACATATAGTAACAATGCATATGCGTCCCTGGGGGGGGAAATAGGGCTGCAAGGTGCGCAGCTTTTCTTACCTTGTACGCACATATACATATTACATATGTATGTACTCGGCGTGATGGTGGCTATCATTGTTCATGTTCCATGTCATACAGTACATGTAATAACTCCAAGTGGGATAGGCAGGTAAGCCTACCTATCATCAAGCTCAGGGGCTTCACATCCATACATAAACGTGCATACGACGGATAGCCAACCGGCAAACATCTCGGGAGTCGGGATCTTTTCTAGCGCCTTCAGCCATACTGAACCCGATGGTTCAAACGCCGGGTACCTTGCCTTACCTTTTTTTTTTTTTTTTTTTTTTTTTTACCTTACCTAACCTACTTGATTTGCCAACTTCCATCTCTGCCTATTGTCTTCTTGTTTTCCCTTATTAGCACTTGACATAATTAGCCCCTGCATGTTGCCTGGCCCTGTTCGCATGTTGATAGTCCTGGAATTATTAGCTAAAAAAGACTAGAAGACTAGCGGTCAGGTCTGCACGCGCCAATATCAGCTAGATTAAGTTAGGGGATCTATCGCGTGTTTCCTAATTCTTGCGAATTAGTTATGTAGGTTGGCTGAGACGAGTTGCAAAGAGTGGAAGCGACATGACTTGGGTGAGCGAGCACCTGCATCCGCGTTGCAGGAAAGTAATAGGAATGGGTATAAGATAGGAATGCCAGCGTGACGGACCGGTATCCTTGAAGATGATAATTGGTCGCTGTCGGGAGCCCTCGCTTATCCGCTTTCCTTTCTCGTTACCACACAAGGCTCTCGCCGATCGGAGATCCGAGGCCTCTTTTTTTGCCCTTTTTTTTATTCGGGTTATTGATGTTATATGTTATGTGTTATGTATGTACAACACATACGTACATACAGTTTTATGTATGAATTGAGCGGCAGGCAAGCAGATTTGGTAGGCCAATGCTGGGCCATGGCGGGAGTGATAATGATCTACTTATGAAATGGGTAGGGATTCATCCACCCGAAGTCCCGAGGCATCCTACCCAGCCATGACTAGGTTGTCCCCCACGGAGATTTACCAATCAGTGAAGGAATTTTGTAGCTCCAGCTTGCCGAAGGAGGACTACGCTCGTCGAATTAGTTTGATTTGTGAGAAAATTGTCATCAATAATCGCCGGGCTCGCTAAAGCATGTTCCTAGAGTTGAAAGGGGCAAAGAGCGCCCCCATCGTACTATTGTGCTGGGTGTACTGAGTGGGCTGGTAGGTGATCGCGAATTCGAAAAGGTACTTCTAGCGCGCTGCAGGCTGAGTCGCTTCCTTGCGCACGCTGTAGGAGTGAGTGGGATTTGCATATACCTAGTTGGTTGGCAGGTTCGTACATATGTTGCCTTGTGTTCGGGTTGGTAATAGACAATTGATCCTTCTGAGCTTTGACTGATTGCCACATGGAATAGCAATCATAAGTGTAATGCGATGCGATACAAAGATATGGTGCGCAGAACTAATCAAATGAAATCTTGGGGTAGACGTAATGCGTACCAGCGTACGTGCGGACAAACTGACAGGGCTGAACAACTATTCTTAGCTGTCCTGTCCGTTCTCTTACCAACATTAACTGGCACGTGGCATACGAGAATGCTTGGGACGGCTGGTTCCGCATCTTCTAATTTTTAAAAACTGACTTTCCTGATCAAGCGTGTAAGTGCCGTTATTTTTCATATTTTTGACCTTTTCCGGCAAACTGGACCGGAGCATGCGACATATTCGGATTGTGTAGATCGTAAGGCGTTTGTTTGGTCCGGACCTGAAAGCGGGAACGGGCGAACAAGCCCAGATCGAGAAACTCCCGCGGTGTATGCAAGCCTATCTTGCCTACCTATCTAGCTAATTGCTAGGGTAAAATAAATGAATTGTAATGTAATGTATAGTATAGTATAGTACTATAGTCTGTCAGCCAATTCAATAGTAACAAATTATTTTCTTACCGTCATTGAATTAGTGTATCTTAGACAACACCTACAATCCACCACCACTACCATGGATCTATCACCACAAAAATGGGACCCTGCGAAAAAAAGAGTAAGGAAATGGATGTATAACAATGTGCGATGATATCACCCGGTGCAAATATCGATATCAATTTCGACATCCTGCGACAAGAAGGTCTGGGGAAAGGTCAGTACTGTAGCACTGTAGCACTGTAGCACTCCAAAAAATTACTACGCATGAAATTTCGAAATCTGTGAAACAGCCGCAAGTTCGCTGTAACGGTTGTATCACATAGCCGGTCCTGTACCCGCTCAACACCTTGCGCACCTCGCCCCTGCATCTGGCCCTGGAGCCCTGAGAAAATCTCTATCGGGTTGCATCTGCTCGCGTTAAGTTATCGAAGATGGCATAGGTTTGCTGTCAGGTTGTCAGACCTCAAATTCAGGGGCAAATGATCGGCCGAATATCTGGAGAAAATCAACGGTGGATCTGTTACATAGCCACACGCAAATCCTCCAGGGCTAGTATCCTTGATGTATCCTAGTGTGGAGAAGAAAATGAGAACCAAAAAATGAAGACGCGACGAAGCACACCAACGCGCCATTAAAATATGTAACAAATATATTAATATGTACGTATATGTAGGTGTATATACGAGGATAGTATCATGGAATGATGGAAATAAAGGTTTAGGATGCATTGGTAGGAGCCTCACTCGTAAAGTAACCAATGGTCGCAACTCTAATTGAAATTACTACTTCCCTGTTCCAAGGTTTATGTATTGCAGGCGGTAATGACAATGGACGCCAAACCTTGAATTGGGTAGAATTGATAAGATCGATAAGATAAAAATGTCGGGTAAACAACATCCCGATTTTGCCCCTCCATTTCCTTAGGTATTTACTTGCTTAATTGTGAATCCTTGTTCGCCGTAACTTCTCATAAATCACAATATCTTGTACTTCCTTACATACCCCCAGGTACCTCAAGGATTTCAGCTCGGCGACTTCGCAACAACAATACATATCCTATTACGATTTGTAACCGCCAAAATGGAGAAGGATAATGCGAACCCTACTATCCTAAACACCTCACAGCTTCCAACAAGACAGCGCAAGAGGGGACGTAGAGTCCAAAAAAACACCGAGTCCATGATCGGTGACATCATGCGCAAGCCACAATATTTGTCTGACCCTTTCTACGATATTTCGTGGTCTGACGATACCGAGAGTGACGACGAGTTTACTGCTGAACCTATTGATGAACAGGAGGTATACGGTAAGACCATCTTTAATTCATAAACCATAGTTCATAATCCATACAAGTAATTTCCGTACGATTCGGAGAGAATCCCACGAGTCAAGGATCGCATGGCAACGCGGACTTTTCGGGTTTATCGCCCTCGTGGTTAATTAGGCACTTCCAAGATATCCTTGCATTCGCATCATTTTCTAATCCCAACACCCAAATGTCAAGGATGTCTGGTCCTGAATTCCATGCCACGGCATGGCATGGCATGGCCATGGCGCTGCTACAATTAATCCGCTCAAAAGTACAACAAGAAAAAAAAAAAATACAGCCGAGCCCAATCTTGCCCTAGATTCGGAAAGCTGATACTTGACAGATTTGATATCGACCATTTCTGACCCGGAACATCCGTTGTCACTTGGTCAGTTGGCCGTTGTCAACCTGCCCGACATCCACATAACACCATCTCCCTTGGTGGCTGCGGATCCTAACACCCTAACCCAAGTACTCGTCAAGATTACTCCTACCATTACGCATTGCTCGCTTGCGACTGTTATCGGCCTCGGTGTACGAGTACGTCTAGAGCAAGCCCTCCCCCCGAACTACCGGGTGGATGTTATGATCAAAGAAGGATCCCACAGCCAAGACGATCAGGTCAACAAACAGCTAGCCGATAAAGAACGAGTTGCTGCAGCCTTAGAGAACGATACGCTTAAAGGCGTCCTAGATAAGATGTTGGAAACCTGTGTATGATACCTTCCAGTGGCGATCTAAACTCAAAACGACCAATGGATAGGGAGATACCTAAGTGGTTCAAGCATCACTAAAACATGTTGCCACAGAGCCAATAACTGCCTACCGCTGCCTACCTCGGCTGATATTTGGAATCGTCACCCGACCTTCTCGAGGAGGACAGACGACGCATGAACGCCAACCTATCAGCTAGCTACAGGTTCACGAAACAGACGCCTCCCGCCTTGATAGGCCTAGAAGTGGTAGCTACAACAGAAAGATCTACACCGGTTGAAAATGGGTTGAATCGCCAAGCAATCGCCGGTCACACATCGGATGCGACTCAATAGTTACATAGAAGGTTCCGAAGGCACATGGCAAATATAGTTCATGAAGCTTGGAAACTGCTTAGTGGTCCACTACTCAACCATTATATACCTTATTTAGCTAAAAATAGGATCAAGGGTTTGTTGAGTATCAAATCATCTGCCCAATTCCAAATCGGAGACTTATACTTTGGGATATTTTTTATCCTCAGTCAATTCGATCGAGTTTTCTCAAGACAACTACCCTATCTATACAGCTTCATTGCAACACCGGCTGTAAAAGTAGAAAAATTACTCGTGTGACGTCTATTTGTATTTTGTAACTTGTAAGTGAAGTCAAGCCTGTCCCATTTCGACTAGCACGGTTGTGGTCACGATTGGGACGTAAGTATTGGTCTTATTAATGCGGTTCAGTAAGCCCAATTCTAAAACAGATTAACATACCCCTTGTCACATTCAGAGCACAACCAAACCATTAAGTAAATCGTGTTATGATCGGCGTTTCTTCACTTACCTTGGTTTTGGAACTGTAGTACTTCGTATTCAATGTGGATCCCACTGCCCGGCACGGCGGATACGAAGTTCAAAGCTGGGTCAAACTGGCTGCCGTCATGGTCGGAGCAAGGGAGTGGTTAGGCCGAAAATACCTAGGTGAAAGCACGCGATATCAGACCCCGTATAATCGTCTAATATTGCCTAGAACTAGATATTCGTAGTATCTATATTCCGAGGAGATGGATATCGCCGTCTATCTCGTTTACCTAATTCCGAATTCAACTGTGTGACAACAACAAACCCGTTGGTTATATTGGCTTGGTTTAGCTGATTCTAGGGTTCAGACAGGTTTCTACCTCTAGCGTTAGGTAACGTAAGAAGTTCGCTTCAATGTTGTTGGTTAGTACAGTACCCTCGATCCCCTCTAGTTCGTTGCCCCCTTTTACTCCCACTTCCAACTACCATCTCGACTATACTTGCTTCTATCATCATCCTGAACATTCCCACTTTGATATTGACACACCTAGCTCTATATCTGCATAATCTAACTATACGGAGAAGGAGCATGGGATGCTGTCATCCCGACCTACTTTATTTACGGGCTACTATCGACTCAGATGGGGGTCCAGTGTGCTGATTTCCTCGGCACTTAAGCAACTCAGCTTTTCTCTGACAGTAAGCTTTGCACAAAGTCCTGTAAAAGTTCCACCGAAGGGGAATGGAAGTAGTAAACCGTCGGGAACTGGAACCATATCTCAAGCATCAATATCGACAGTACCCATCGCAATCAGTATCCATATTCGTCCTACTGACGACGGCAGTAGGGCAGAGAAGGTCAACCGAATCGTCTCTACATGCATTTAATCTATTTGGCACATATCTTCTCACCTTCCATACCGCTCTCTAGAAACCCCCGATTGGCAACTTGTAGCTTCAGCGTGATACCACTTAGCAAGATTAACCTAACGACCCGGTTATCCCCTATCCGAAGACTCCGTACTTCCCCTCTCCTTCTAAAATAAGGAGGAAAGGGGCAATATTACAGAGATCCGTCACTAGGTCGCCTGAAACAAACGCCGAATACCTTTTTGTCATATTTTCTTGCCGCTCTATTACTATTCTGCGTTAGATATCTGCAAAAATTTTGTCAATAGACTATCCGATATGTCCTGATCCGCAGTCTCCCCATATTCATGGACATCTCCAACTTCCACCCGGCGAAATAAGTAATCACGTATATGGCCCTCCTGCCTTCAAACACCGAAACCAGGAACTAGACACCCCGTTGATCGACATAAGTTTACGAATTCCAGGAATGTACTCTACGAGTACCTATCCAGTTACCCAGGTGTATCCAGCAGGCTTTCCACTGTCCGAACAGGAGATCGTGATAACCCCTATTAACCAGCGAATAGTCACATTCGTCACCACCCAGTAGTTTAGCAAGAGTATAGAATCCACGTAAGCCTATAATCTTCGCCGGCCCGTTACACCAGCGCAAGGAAGGATGGTTCCGCACCAGTTACGAGCACATATGGCTCGCAGCGGCTCGCTCCGGTCCCCTCACCTAGGAAACATCCTACGTATATGGTGTAGGGGAAGAAATAGTAACGTAGATCTCTACATACATGACAATCACATCTTGTCTCAACTTAAGGGTTGCTTCACATCCCCCAACACCTCAACTCCTACACCCTCTTTACCCCCCTCAGTTTTAGTTAATGCGGTATAACATTCCCACGGCACCAACCACGCCGAAACTCACAGGTATCTACCTACTCATATGCCAGTCCACCTACCTTACTCTCTACTCCTCCACCCACATACATACTCACTCATACATATCCGGTTCATCCCGACACGCCTTCCCTCCCCAGACTCAACCCACGCCAGCAGCGTGGGGGGGTTACCCTATCTGTCCATAGCTCGCTCGCTATACCATGCCCTTCCCACCACCACCAAAGTCCCAAAACACCGAAAATAATCTACCTACATACCCGCGGTTCACATCAGCCTTGGCAGTGTTACCGTTACCGCAACCGTTACTAGCCGGCGGCAACACACATACACACCCACTCATATGCACACTTACACCTCGTATAACCAATAACCCACATCCCAAAAGATCCTACTGTATCTAGCTACGGAATACCTAGAAGGTATATAGATGGCAGAAAAGTACCTAGACAAGGGACCTAAGCATCCGACTAAGTGTGGTGGATAACCAATCACTACCACCAAAGCAGCGAGGCTCTCATTCCATGATTTCCAAACCTTCGAAAGGAATCAACCAACTGTAAATATAACCTGTTCTAATATGTACTTAGGTAATTACGGACAAATCCTTTGTCTATTGAACTCTACTACGTAGCCTACTTAGCAGATAGGCAGCTCATCTTCCTGAATTTTTAGACTAAAGTCTTTTAACGTCTAAATAATGTACAAAACCTTGTCTTTACCTCAGGGAAGGAATACTCAAATAATGGTTTCTCGGGGCCTTGGAAACCCCCTTGTGAAGAAATAGTTTAGGATAACGACCTTTTCATTTCCCATCTACGGTCTATCTCCCCTTTTCTCACGGACTCCCCAATGTCCCACTCTCCATAAGACTCTGATAAAACTCTGGCTCGAGAAACTTAGCCACACTAACATCCTCACTCAAGCCCTTCCTCCGTCTAGTCTTAAGGACGAAATCCCTCGCCGTAGCCTGCGCATCCGCCGGCTGCAACGGGCGCAGGATAACCTCCTTATCCAGCGGATCACCGGGTACTTTCTGCCATTTATCGAAGACTAGACTAACCATAGCCTGGCCCTGCGTCTGAATCCTAACATCCGTTTCGAACCCGAACGAGTCGACAACAGGAATCAATCCATTGACGCGGTATAACGGGGTCCCGGCGATAGGACCGTCTGCTAAGACGTGTCCGCGTCGTCGGGCGAGCACATTGTATAATACCGGCACAGCGTCCTGAGGTCCCGTCATAGAACACGCGTAGAGCGGTTCCATGAGTCGCGGCGACGCCATCAAGAACGAACTATAACATGTGCGACGCGCGGTTGGAATAATCTGACCGCCTCCCCTGAAGATCGCTTCTTGTGCTAGTGAGACGTCCATGATGCGAAACTTGGTGTTGCGAATAGCTGCGCGTCGGGTCACAAGTTAGTAATGCCACAACGTCATTCATTTGCATGTGCTTAGTGCTGCGGGATATCTAAATTGGGATGGATGGTGCACATAAATGTATCAGTGGCGATCATCTGGATGGAACCCTAGTAAAAGAGAAACCAGTAAGGCATTGGAAAGTTGTGAATAGGCAATTGAAATGGCCCTGCAATATCAGTTGCCGCGTACCCCTTGGTACAATATTACGAACAAGTGTGGGCTAGAACGTGTAGATCCCGCCTTATGGGTTCGATAGACGAAGTCTGATCAAATATGCACAAATGCATAGACAAGTGCATAGAGCAGGGTCCCTAGTCTCGTAGCTTAAATCTTGGCAAGGTACTGAACAAGGATCGTAGCCATGCTTGAAGCTTGTCAAGCTGCACATGGTGACAATAGTATATCCCCACGTTTCGCCGTAACGCCCTTCTTGCAAGGTCCTTTGGCGCCTAGCACCCTGGCTGTCTCGAATAAGCGGCAAGATAGTAGCTTTACTAGTACCTAGAACCATTCATAGTACTTGGCTAAAGATGGATCCAAAATGGGGACTTGACGGCAAATGCCGTTGGGGGAATCATGGGAATAATGACTTGTAAAAAAAAGGAGCTTACAGCCAAGCAATTTCTGGATTGGACGCAGCAGAAACCGAGGGGGTGACACACGGTTGGGTATGAATGACAGCATGAAAATGCAACGAGATGTAGGTACTCACGTTCTTCGCAGAGAGGCCCTTCACGGGTTGCCCAACTAAACCCTTGTCGAATCGTCTCTCGCACGCTTCTCAGAAGCGATTTATCCACCTGCCGAAAAGATTAGGTGTGATCCAACAAGTTAAGAACAATTAGGTAGAACAAGATTCTAGAATCCTGAGGCTGAAACTGCGAAGGTATTGCCGCATGCGGATCATCAAGGTAACACTCCACGCGACAGGATTCGCTTGTGTAGTAAGACGCCGAGCCCTCGAGGTCACAGCGGGTGGGGGAAAACGACGAAATGGTCGACATACCTCAAGTGTGTCGTCCTGCAAGATGTTAGGGCCTTTCTCATCCGGGCCGAATGCCCAAATACTCCTCGCCGCCAGTAGATCCCATCCGTACTTGTCCTGGAAGAACTTGCCCACTTTTCGGGCACCGTCTTGCATTTTGACGCGGCCGCTCTCGATGTCCTCCGCGATTCCGTCGTCGAGCGGCTCGGCGACCATAGTAATCTTATTCTTTTTGTTCGGTGTTATTGCGTAGCATTTGGTCGCGGACATTTCGTCTACTGTCTCACAGAAGCGCGTGACGGGATCCGATACCTTGATCTCCATATCTGCATATAGTCGTCGCAAGTCGTGGAGAACGCAATCCATGTACAGCTCACCCGTTCCAAGGACGATATGTTCACCTGACTCTTCTACTTTCGTAGTGATTAGAGGGTAACTTTTGTTGATCTTCCTTAAACCGTCAAGCATTTTAGGTAGTTCCGATGGGTTGATGGGTTCGACAGCAACCTTGAGGACTGACTCGGTGAAATGTGTGACTGGTCTGAAGATGTATGCTTCCTCATCATCTTCGAATTTCGGTGGTACTATTGTTGCCGATTTTACGATCGAATTATCAACACCACTTAGGAGCACCCAGTTCCCAGCAGGGACTCCGTCAGTCTCAACATTATACCGTGTTTCGGCAATGTAGACACTCGAAATGGTCGCTGCGGCCATATCTTCTTCATCATCGATAGAATAACCCTCTCCAAGAACACGAACTTGCATCCCAGGCCGTGCGATACCGCTCATAACTCGGCCGAAAGAATAGAAACTTTTCGCATCGGCCGAGTTGAATAATTTTGTGACGTGCACCACCAAGGGACCATCCTGATCGCACTTCTTCATAGATTCCGCCACTTTGGTATCTAAGGGACCGGTATAGTACTGTCCCAACTTATGCTCAGCTGCCTCCAACGGAGATGGGACATGGCTGACAATCATATCCACGAACCCAGTCGAGGGGCCAAAGAACTGCTCGCAGGCCAACTTAAGAAGAACCTTCGCATCCGTCTTGTATTGCGACGGTTTGAGGGTTATACCTAATGTTGCTAGAACACTTTTGAGCTCTTCGGGACTTTGACTGATGGTGTGAGAGAAAATTTTGTAGATGGGCTCGAGTACGAAGTGGATGAATGATCTCCTTGCGCGATCTTCCCCTGGCAAAGCCTTCCTGCTGAATGTCCTTTTCTTCGGGTTGTAGTAGATATCACCCCAAAGTCGTTTCGCGAATTCTTCCGTATTCACGCCTGGGAAACTGTCTGCATACATTTTGGCGAATGACTGTAGCGTGAAGCACCAGCCCATTTCACTGCATGCGAATAACACATTTCCTTTCTCGGGGCTTAATCGTCTCGTCTCTCCTGATCCTGGCCGGGTATTCTCGATGATAGTATTCACTTCCTCGACAACGTGTTTTAATTTGAAGTAGGCATCGCTCGGCGGTAGTCGTAACTCCAGTATTAACCGGTCCACCTTGTTAATTATGAGTGTCATAGGGATATCTTCGAGAACGACGTGCTTAATGATTTGCTCCGTGTTAACTTGAACACCCTCAACAACGTCCACAACCAGCGCAACACCATCCGCTAACCGTACAGCCGCCGCTACCTCATCGACGAAGTTGACATGTCCCGGGGTATCTATTATATTGAACAAATGGGACTTGCCCTTGGTACTTTGGAGTACCAAGCTCATCGGCGCTGCTTTGATCGACACGCCTCGTTCTCGCTCCACGACATGGGTATCGGTATATCGCAGTTGTTCGTCCCGCTTCTTCCCTTGTCGCTTTTCTAATCTTTCCGCAATATCATGGGTCTCGAGGACCAACATGTCCATAAATGCGGTCTTGCCATGGTGGAGGTCACCAGCTAATGCTATATTCCTTATTTGATCGGGAAAGTTCATTAGATCTGTCATGAAACTTCGGTCGAAGTGAACGGGAGGGAGGTCGGCCTCCTCGATGGAGAATTTTCGTACATCGACGGGAGCGATGATGGGTTGTGTGAGTGGTTGTGCATCTTCCTCTTGTACCAATGTCTCGACATCCGCTCCGTAAACTTGTTGCGCCGTTGGGTAATATTGTTTATCTTCGTGTAATATCACTGCGTTTGATGGTCCTTCTGTGTCCACTTCCATTAATTCCTGCCCTGTACCTTCGGGTACCTCCTCGGGGTAATCATCATCGAGATACGCGCCCGCGTCAACGCCATGCTGGGATTCTTCCTCTGATGCTTCGGCATCTTCCCCGATAAAATTTCCGAATCTGATTAGAAGAGTTAGTATATATGTGGTTACTACAATTGTTAGTATACATACTCATCGTAGAGGTCATCCATGGCGTCAAACAAATCGGGTCGTATGTCAATGGGATTTTATTAGTTGATGCGACGGAAGTGAATGTTAAGCTTGAAAAAGTTACAAAAAGTTACAGAGACGCGATGCAAGGCTGGATCCACTCGAGCTAAGCTTGTGCTACCTAGGTACTTTAATGTGGCGGCTCACAAATTTCTATTGTGGCTCAACATGAGGCTAGAGCTTTGCGCAATCGGGACCTGCTTTAGTGGACACTGGCCGATAAGACATGTGGTTTGCACCATTATCGGCATTTTCACCCCGCCAACAACCTTGGAACTAACCACGGCCCGCTCACTTTTATTTCCATTGTAACCAAGACCAACAGTTCCAAGGTTAACTGGTTATATCACTTTCAAAACAGCTATAAGACTTATCTTCCCCAACATGATTATATATCTTCAACCACATGTTAAATGAATACTAATCCCCTCAAGAACTGTTGATAAAAATCGAATGATCGGTTCCTTTACGTAAGAAAATTAGCCGATATTGATTATATCAACCGTACTAATCTTAGAAGAGCATCGGGTGCCCCACTACCGAATTCGGCAAGACCGCAAAAGACCCTTGATTAGAACCTTAGAAACCTTGTGCAACCTTCGGGTGGATTTATGTTTATTGGTGGTAGAAAATAAAAAAAAACCCAATAAAGTAAACAGTTGGAGGAAAGAGGGGCGGTGAAACTCAACACTTCTAAATAACTTTCTAATACCAATTAACCTTAATAGCTTTAAAAGCATTCTTACTTTTACCCCCCTTTTCTTCAAAGCTCTAAGGCCGTTTTTAATTCCTCCTTAATCTAGTCAATCTAATCTACTTCATTCAAAATGTCTGGACTTCCTCCCGTATACATTGTCTCGGCCGCCCGAACCCCCGTCGGTTCCTTTCTAGGGTATGCTTTTGCTTTTTTTGCCCCTCATCGTGAACATCTTGCCCCTCCCCCTTTTCCACCCAAACCAAAACTATAGAACTAACTCTTGAACTCCTAGATCGTTGTCAAGCCTAACCGCTACTCAATTGGGTTCTCATGCTATTAAGGGTATGTTCAATTCCTTCAATTCTTCTAACCTACTATATTGACAGAACTGCTTTCCCACTAACACGATCTGTCCCTCCACAGCTGCCCTCGAGCGAGTTCCCCAGGTCAAGCCTGAAGATGTTGAGGAAGTCTTCTTCGGCAATGTCCTGTCAGCAAAGTGCGTCTTTTCCATCAACTTCCATCATCCCATCCCCGAGCAATCCGTGAAGGAGGTGTAAGCGATGTAAGCAATAGATAACGGGAACTAACAAGACCTACGTACATAGCCTAGGACAAGCACCCGCACGACAATGCGCTCTCGGCGCCGGTATCCCTGACTCTGTCGTCTGCACGGGCGTCAACAAGGTGTGCGCCTCGGGTCTAAAGGCTATCATCCTCGGCGCCCAGACTATCATCACCGGCAATGCCTCCATTGTCGTTGCTGGTGGTACCGAATCCATGTCCAACACTCCTCACTACCTTCCCACACTCCGAAATGGTGCCAAATTCGGCGACCAATCCCTCGTCGACGGTATGCTTAAGGATGGTTTAACCGACGCTTACGCCAAGGAGCACATGGGTTTATCTGCTGAGTTGTGCGCCGACGATCATAGCATCTCCCGTGAGGCCCAAGACGAATACGCTATCGAGACCTACACCCGTGCCCAGAAGGCCACCGCCGACGGCATCTTCACCAAGGAGATTGTTCCCGTCGAGGTTAGCGGCGGCCGCGGCAAGCCTGCCATCAAGATCACTGCCGACGAGGAGGCTAAGAACCTGAACGCCGACAAGCTCAAGACCGTTCGCCCCGTCTTCAAGCCCAAGGACGGTACCGTTACGGCTGCGAACGCTGCCCCGCTCAACGACGGTGCTGCTGCCCTTGTGCTCATGTCTGAGGCTAAGGTTAAGGAGCTAGGCGTAACACCCATTGCCAAGATTCTTGGTTGGGGTGACGCCGCGCGTGAGCCTCAACGATTCACCACTGCTCCTGCCTTGGCTATCCCCAAGGCTATCAAGCACGCTGGTATTACTGCTTCCGACGTCGACTTCTACGAGATCAACGAGGCCTTCTCAGTCGTTGCCCTCGCCAACATGAAGCTCCTAGGCCTTACCTCCGACAAGGTCAACGTATTCGGTGGTTCCGTCGCCATCGGCCACCCGCTCGGCTGCTCCGGCGCACGTATCGTGACCACCCTAACAACCGTCCTACGCGAGAAGAAGGCCAAGGTCGGTGTTGCAGGTATCTGCAACGGTGGCGGTGGTGCTAGCGCCATCGTCATCGAGAGTCTTCAACAGTGACTAGATGAAACCGACACCAACACCGCTACTACCGCTCATCGAAGAAGAGATTCTCGAATATGACGATATTAACGTTGATGAATGACGACGACCGGGCCGCAACAATACACCGAACGCATTGAACCATGTTTCAACACATCGAGGGGAAGCGAAGGATTTACCACCTACCTACTTAACCTGCCTTACCTACCTAGATCTACCCCGACCAATAACCAAGCGAGCGAGCGAGTTATGACGCTGGAATGAAGAAAAAACAAATAGAAAGGTTCCAAAACTTGCGTTTTATATGCGGGTGGGGAAAGGGGGAAAAAGATAAATGCTAGACGTAAAATGTTGTACTTGAGCAATCTGCCCTGCCTAGACAGATGTAGGAAGGTATCTAGACGAGAACTCGAATTTCCCCATGATTAATTAATTACTTTGGTATAGTGGATTGATGTGATGTATGCTTTGTTGAAGGGTTGAATTTAATCCTTTAATTTTACGATCTATAAATGCTTACGTCGCTTTTACCGGATAACAAACAAATCACTTGCGGTCTATAAACACCTGCGCTAAGTAAAGTTAGAAATAAGACATTCCATATTTGTCTTAAATAAAGCCTCGAAGACGCCTAGCTATAATACAAGCAAGCAAGCCAACCCTCCACTCCCTCCTTTCTGTAGGTAGAAAAGGCAAAAACAAACGACTTTCGAGGAACTTAATCCTCTGGTCTTGATTGGCTGCGCTGCTCTAGGCGTGCATGCATAACATTAAAAGAAACAACACATCGCGATAGACCGATTATGATTCGGCCAGGTAAAACAAAGGAAAAAAGCAAAAGCCGGATTGATGATACATCCCCTAAACGCCTGTTTATGCCTTTTTGACCAAGCTTATGCACCGATGCGTCGTCACCTGTCAACTCAACTCGGGAAAACACAATCACTCGTATGAAGCTGGTCGGTTCCTGATACGAGTGGAACGACGAACCCAGTTCTGAGACGCGGGGTTGGAAGAATTGTCTTCCTATTCCACTCCCTCCATGTCAGCGTCCTCCTGGCTGGTAGCACCTGGTAAAACCCCATCCTTCAGCCATTTCTGGAATCCCTCGTTAACCTTCTGCACCTTATCTTGGCTCATACCGCGCATCCAGGCGTTGTTCATCACCATCTTCTCGCGGAATCGTTGTTCGCGGTGATCGGTAATAACGCGATGCTGCTCCTCAACAGCAGCCTTCTCGTTTCCATCCTCTGGTTCGGTGTTGTAGACAAAGAACTCGGAAGTGCCCTTTTCCCAGACGATTTTATTCGAGTTCAGGCAAATGCGAAGCACTAAACCCTCATCGTATGCGAGCGGCTTCGGCACATCTCCATCATCGGAATCTACTTCGCTAGACGGTAGATTGCGGGCAAGGACTGTCTTTTGAAGGCGAGATCGAGGGACTCCTTCCGTAGGTTCTACACGCATGTACGAAGAAATGTAGTATTGCCATCTCTCGCGTAATTCCATCTCGTCCATGTAGAATGTTGTCTCATCGCGCTGAAGCCAGCGAACCGTAGCTTCGTGCTTTTGCGGGAACTGGAAGAAATCGTTAGTGATTAGACATGTAAAAATTAGGAAGTGAAATGAAACTTACCCAGCAAATGACAAACATGTCGCCATCTTTGATACATTTCTCGGCGTATTTACGCGCACTAATTTCGGTTTGATAACTTGTCTCCTCCTCCTTGCGACTGTTGAGGAAGTGACTGATTAAATCTGGAGTCTTTTCTTTTGAATCGGAACTGGTGCATGTTAGGGAGAGACGACAAAGTGTCTTCAGTAGATCTTGAATCGTATATAAGGTCCAGCCCTTCTTAAGATAATAATGGCGGAGCACTTCTTGGTAACGATTCTCATCAATCTCTCCCGTAATGTAGTCCTCGATGAGTTCTACCGTCTTCGGCCAGAAGGAAGCAGGATCGTTCTCGTCAAAGTAATTCAACTCGTTGACAGCGATTCCAAGCTCCCTAGCTGGCTTCTTGCTCTTCATACGGGCGATTTCTTCGGAGACGCTTTCCTTGCTCTCCTTCACATCCTTAAGACGCTTGTAGAGTGTCTGGAACACGGTAAAGAAGACGTAGATTGTTTGGTTGCAGAAAAAGTTGTACCAAGGGCGAGGGAAAAAGCCGTCGGCTTTCAATTCGCCATCCGCATCTAGTAATGGATTGTCGCCCTTCACAACCGTCGCTCGTGGAATTATGGGCAACCAACGCTCGTTCGATTGCTCGGCAGGAATAGATTCCTCTGGAGCATCGGCCATCTCTTCTTCATTAGCAGATCCAGCGTCCGGCGTTGTCTCCTTGCTACCAGAGGCAGCGCTGTCCTCCTTCTGCGTTCGAGTCTTGGCACCATTACGGCCGGGGTCCAATACACCACGAAGTAAGTCTGACTTCTTGCCGTTTCGCCGGGAACGCCCGTTTGTTAATTCTGCTGGGAGCTGTTCCTCGGCATCCTCCTCGCCTGACTCGCGATCAATGTCATGGAGTCTGTCTTGGACCTTCTCCTCAGACAAATCGAAGAAGCGCGGGATGAAGAGTTCGAAGAAGTCGACGATTCGTTCCTTCTCTGTTGCGCTGTGGTGACCGTTGTTCGTTCCGTAGAGGACCATGAAGCGTAGTAGATCTAATATGACCTCCTGGTCGCCGAGCTCGTAGGTAAACTGGTTTCGCGGTACCGAGTTCTTTGAGCTGCGTAGGCGTCGCTGCTCCTCATGCTTCGTCTTGATGACATCTACGAGATGCTTTGCAGAAAGGTTACGCTTGTCGTTCTGTCTTACTTGGATACCCATATGGTCAAGACTCTTGAGATGCATGATCTCGGTTTGTTGCTGCCACACTTTCTCCCACTCTCGTTGCGTAAATCGCCATTCCTCATCTTTCTGCTTCAGGCGGGCCAGGACAATGGGAACCACGGACCAGGGCTCTGTTAGCATTTCGTTTACAACGTCGAGACCTTTTTCGCTCCCATAAATCTTTTTTAGTACTCGTTTAAAGATCGAAGTGCTGGAGCCCCCAAGTCCTATGGGCATCTGGAATGTGTCGCGTTCATGGGGTGCTAAGTTGAGCATCTGCTGGGCGATTGGCTCCAACAACTGGATGCATTTAACATTAGCCTCGATGTTGAAGTCATAGTCGTGCCTCTCCTCTTCTATGCGGTGGAGGCCCTCTTCAAATGCATTCTTGCGGTGAGCGACGAATCCGGAGTCTTCGGAGGCCCAGGTCGGGTGGGATGCCCACTCATCGTTGAGAACAGCGTTGCACATTTCGTCTCGACCGCCGCAAGGCTTCAACTTCTCCTATAATTAAAAAATTAGTTGTATTCATTAGCAAGGAAGGAACGCGTTACTTACCCTACGAGGCAGTAGCCGGTAGCTAGGACCAATAGCTCGGCAGTTACTCAATGAAACTTTCTCAGTCGGTGGTCGTGGTCTATTCTCAATAACCTCATCGAGACCTTCATAGTTGACGAAGGCTTTGAACCATCCTATGAGTTCCGCATTTCCACCAATGAACTGGCTCGCCTTATGAACAAGGTCGTTGGTATCAATAAGACTCTGCGAGTACATGTTGCAGAGCTTCAGGAATTCGTTCATAGTAGAACGATTCCCAATATATTTCTTGACTTTCTCGAAGAAGCCAAGTTCATCAGCTGTCGCATTTGCTGAGGACGTGGGTGGTAAAGGTTCGGGTAAGATTGGGGTAAGGGTGGGCTCGATGGATGGCGTATCCGCAGTAAGTGGTTTGTGGTTGAGCTTGGGACGCTTGCTCGCAGGGCCTACTCCGGGAATTGCGCGTGAACCAGAAGCCGGACTATCCGCCATGGCAGGCGCAGGAGGGGGTGCCTGCTTCTCATTGCGCGGTCGCTTCCTATTATCTTTGCTCGCGCTGGCAGGAGGCGCGAAATTCCCAACTGGAGGCATTTTCTGGCCGTCTCTTACGCTGTGGCTAGGCTGTGGCGTGGTTTGGGCAGTGAGGCCGGACATAGCGAGAACGTCCTCGGCCTTTGCGCCGTTAGCCTTGTTAGACGCGGCAGATTCCGGTAGGAACTGTTTAAAATCTTCGAGAAGGTCAGGAGCAGTGTTGAATAAAGTGGTAACTTGTGCATAAACGTCCTGAATGGGTTTCTGTTCCCGTTGGTACGTCTGCAAGATCTCAAGAAATTGTTTGTAGATTTCAGGCTTATCCTGAAATCGATTCTAAGTGCACAGGTCAGCAAACGATCTAACAATAATTTTTTTTCAACTATTCTCTCCATCCGATTATTGTGGGGACATCACCGTGCGGGTGGGTTAATTGTGTATGTATTTCAGATGCTTCTCACCTTTATCTTATTCACGTAGCTAATTGCATGGTTGAATTCGACTGGTCCTCGCTTTTCCATGTTTGCTTGTTGATTACCACTGTTAGGGCCACCCTGAGAACCGCTTGGGGTAGGTGTGAGAGCATTGCGAGTGGTAGGTGCGTTAGGAGTAGTTGAGTTATTTTGCACTTGTGGTGTACTACGGTGCTGCTGCTGAGTGTTGGCAGCTGGGCCGTCGAAATTCGAAGTCTGCGGTTGAGCAGTACCAAATAAACCAGGGCCGCTCGTCACGGGCGCACTGAAAGAAGCTTCGGGACTCTCAATACTGTGCTGCGGTTGCGGGTGTTGCTGCCAGTTGCTACCGCGGTGGTTAAAGAAGGGGCCGTTGGTACCGGGTTGACCATGCGCGTTGTCGCCTTGGTTGGCTCTACCAGTTATCGATTGAACCGTCGTTCCCATAGGCGTTGTGACGCGGATGGTATTCGGGTCGTTACCAGCACCGCACTCGATTCTGTAACCGGGAGGAAGGAATGTGTTGAAGCCTTGAATGAGGTTGGGATGCCCTGCAAACAGCTCTGATACACGGTTGATAACTCCTGGAGTGTCAATACTAGATTTCGAAGTTAACTGATAGGTTATTACACGATTACTCTATGATTGAACTCACGTCTGACTCTTGAAGTCTTTCATAATATCAAGGAATTTGTTGTAAACATCTGGCTGATCGGCGAATTGGACCTTAACCTGGTCTAGATAACTCAAGGCATCCTGAGGAGACTATATATTAGTAAATAATAAATAGAAATAAAAATAAAAAATAAACAAGATCAACGTCAAAGTGTTCGCACGTGGAAACTAGTGAATCCAATATGTAGTCTATCAAAGTATTTCAATGGGTCTGAGAGCTGAGATAAAATGCTCTATAGCTCCTTGCGGTAAACTGGATGTTTTGCTGAAAGAAAATCAAATGTAGAATACTACCCGCCAGTTGCATATGGGGTGCGAAAAAGGCCACGTGAAAATCCAAATATTATTTCTTTCATATGAATGATTCAGACAAGTTTCGGGGGTGCTTAGAGGGGATAGAGTGAACGGTAGGGTTATGGTAAAGAAAATGTGCTTAGCGACGGCAGCTACCCGTCTGCGTAGGGAAAGGTACGGCGGCCAGGGGAAAAGAAACCAAAAGGCAAAGGAGTGTCTTCAACCAAGCATATACATATAACTCACATTAAGAATAGGTTGTTGCCCTTGTGGCATGCTGCTAGCATTACCACTGGGCATAGGATGGACTCCTGGTATCCCACCACCACCACCACCGAAGGGGAGATTCTGTGAACCTCGATTGCCCTCCTGTTGTTGTTGTTGTTGCTGTAGTGGCCCACCAAATAGGTGGCCCGCAGGTCCTGAAGAGCCCGAAGGAGCTTGGTTGTGCCCACCTATAGCTCCAAACATTTGGTTCGATGCGTTCTGAGCATTGTGTGGAAGTGGGCGATTCGAATCGCCTTGTAGGGGACCGCCGAATGAATTTACGGGGCCCGAAGGGGCGCCGAGAGGAATGGGAGGACCCGAACCTCCATGGGTAGCAAGGAGGCCCCCGGGGCTGTGAATGGCGCCGGGGAGACGGGAAGCAACAGGTTGATGGATTTGAAGAGAGGCAGTGTTGCTCTGTCGAGGGGTTCCAGCTGGAAACTGGTCTCTTTGGTGTCGCTCGGCCGACTCGCGGTCGCGGTGCGACATGTCCTCGGGATGGGAATTCATAATTCTTCAAATGCGCAGATCTAATAATTAAAGAGTCTGTTAGAATGATATTGGATTGAAATGCGCGCGACAACACGAGCGAAACCCAATGAATTACCCAAGTACATAAGGTCAGGAGATTGTCGGCTGAGTGCTGAATCAAAGACCATCTAGCTAACGAGACAAAAAGGGAATTTAGAGGTCCGAGAAATCTGATAAACTTACTTTCTACATGGATACAGTTTCGTGGAGGATGATAGAGACTCAATACAGAAATAGAAAGGCTATGTGTCGCCGAATTTGTGGTGGGAGGATGAAAAAGCTTGGATGAGATCAAGCTGTCGCGGCTTGGGGGAGATTCTGCCGTGCGATCGGCGACGCGATAACAGTCGGAAAAGCGACCGGCCCGCTTTATTTTATTAGTTCTGTCAGCTCACGTGAAGATAAGGGAGCGAACACTCAATGGGGACTCTTCTTCGGCACAAAAGAGGATTAGCGTGGTAAATACTTTGGTATTTTACCCCTTTTAGTCTGCAATATATGGGCCTTTCCCTCTTCCGCGTAGTTTGTGCATTTTATGCGTCATTGAAGCAAAAATGCGGCTCAATATCGATAGCTTCAAAGTACAAGAACTTTAATATCGATAATGTGTGCTAAATCAGCCTAGGGCTAGGGAATCAACAGTCTGTACTAACTATAGCTTTATCTCGATAACCCTAGAAACCGATATTTGCTTTTTTCCATTGTGGTCGAAAATATTCCTCTTGTACATAGGATTGTGCCATCCAGAGTCTTAGAGTTAGTGATTGGCCTAAGGAATTTCATGAGACAATCTTTGACATCGCATTAAAAGTAGAAGAGTAAAGACGGTATTTTGTCCAACAACTAATATCTCACTCAAATATCTCATAATTAGACTTAGACGCTTATTCTTCTAGGCCACCCTAACCCTAACATGCTCAGAGATGACTATCCATCGAGATATCACTCTCTAGTTATGTCAGTCAGGAGACTACATCTACCGCGTAGCAATGCCGCCTAGATGATCAACATTCTTATCAAAAAGAGAAAATACCGGTGCGTCCCATATACCGACCCGGATCCCATAAACTTTGAGTTATTGACCCGGAACCAACACTAATATCATAAAAATACAGGCCTTACACCTCGAAACGCCTAACTAACAATCATAATATATCATGCATTAGGCATAGTTTCGAACACCTCTTATAATCCATAGTTCACCATTGCCAACTCTGCTGGCGATACTGTCAATCTCGATCCCATCGGGTTGGATCTAAGGACATCATTAGCAGCCGCTCCTCATCCTGAAAGGTAGGAATACATACTGTTTTGACACCATCTTTCGTCTCCCACCATATCTCCCTATCCCCATCTAGTAATGTCTTTACCTTCTCATTCTCAGGCCACGGGCTAAAAGGAACCACGTGCGCCTCAACAAACCTCCTCAGATTCCTATGTGCCCTATCTTGACCATCACCACCCTCGTATGCATTAGCACCAAGTGCCTCGTAGTCTTTAGGATCTTCCCAAGGTTTGCGCGGTAGTTGATCGACGGCAGAGTTACGCGGGGCGAGCACAGTGCTATTCTTCGACGAGTCGTCGAGACGCGAGGATATCGATTCGATATCGCGGGTAAATCCGGCGAATATGTTGATACTCCGATCACGACCCATTACATCTGAAATCAGCACTCCTCCTTGGGAGGGAGGTGGTTGCGGTTTAGAGCCCGCGGGTTGCTTGGAAGGTGGTACGACGGGACCGACGGGATCCATGAGGGGCTGTTGATTGCTGGGTTGCGGGCGGAGCTTGAAGGGTAAGGCGACGAGTTGGGCAGATGCTGTCGCTGCTAGCAGTTGGATACAATATAAAGACGAGAGCCTCATCTTTAAAAGGTTGAATGAGGTAGAGACTAAGTTAATCAAGTTTAGGGATCTTGATACAGTTGAAGGCTAATGGCTCCAGTTGTCTGGGTCGCATGTCGGAAGGTGCACCGCTGGTGGGCTAACTTTTAGTGGGACATATCATGACATCACCAGCTGGATGTGCCAAACATTTCAGGGCTTCGATTTAAACTCAACAATTTCAACATTCTTTTTTCATCACTTAGCATAGTTCTATTCATATGAATACCATATTCATTTTCAAGTCAGCACCGTATATACTTCCTAGCTACTAGTCGACATTTGGATATTACCAATAGTATGGATCGAGCCTTAATCAAACCAGATGTCTACCTCAATTAGGTACCTACGTGAGTATCCGAAAGTAATCCGACAGGCTGGTCGTACTACTGCGACGTGAGAACTACTTGAACAGAAATAATAGTAAAAGAGCTTAAAACAGCAGCCAAGACTAAATTTAACATCATTTTATCATTCACTCTAGAGCTATACGAATATCATTAAGAAGACCGTATATCAAGGCCTGTTTATTGGCCAGTGCTTGTTAGGTACTGACGTGGTAATAGCTAGTCGGGATGCGAAGCTGAAAATGGACGAACGTCGGCCTAACCCGCCCGGCCGCTCTCTGTGGTCTGGCAGCCTCACTTCAAATTTTCAACGTAGAGGTTCACGAAAACAACCGTCGTACTAAATTCGAATCGTTTTATATTGTCTTGTTTGTATGCAGACATATCTAGTCCACGTCTCTCGGCCCTCTCCATAAAAAGTACTAAGAAAAAGGATGTGGCTTATCAACACCAAGACCCTAAAACTTGAATATTTTATGAACCCAGAAAGCGTCTCTTACGCTATATTATCACACACCTGGGACGTTGGTGAAGTATCCTTCCAAGGGTTTTCACATCCTATATTGGCCCGACGCGAAAAGGGGTATACGAAAATTAAAAAGACTTGCCAATTGGCTAGGGACAAACATGGATTGGAATACGCGTGGGTAGATACTTGTTGTATCGACAAGACCAGCAGTGCTGAGTTGTCGGAAGCCATAAACTCGATGTACAGGTGGTACCAAGGGGCTGCTGTGTGCTTTGTTTATCTTTCCGATATGTCCCTCAGACTTGTACAGCCCAAGAGTGGGACCAGTATGAATGGCGTTGAGGAAGTGCTGAGAGGGTGCAAGTGGTTCACAAGGGGTTGGACGTTACAAGAGTTGCTCGCGCCTAGGGATATCGAATTCTACAACAGAGATTGGTTTTTCATCGATACAAAGATATCGTGGCTCCTAGACCCACTCTCTAGGATTACTGGAATCGAGCCTATGTTTCTGGGTTCCGCTGCCATGGTACGGACGGCATCGGTCGGGACCCGTATGTGGTGGGCTTCGAAGAGGCAGACTACACGACCGGAAGATACCGCCTATTGTCTGCTTGGAATTTTTGACATCAATATGCCAATGTTGTATGGCGAGGGCAGTGGGGCGTTCCTTCGGCTCCAGGAAGAAATATGCAAGCAAACTAACGACTTATCTCTATTCGCATGGACAGCACAGCCTGGCCACATGAATTCCTCGTCTGAAAAGTATCGAGGTATTTTCGCCATGCACCCATGTGAGTTCGCTGGATTTCGGAGGTTAGAATATCAAAGTAGCGGTCGCTTTCGGGGCGAGCTGGCTATTACGAATAAGGGTCTTCGACTCGATGATATTCAGCTGCATAAAACACCCAAGCGCCGTCTATTCTTGCCGCTTGATTGCTACATTCGGGGCTCGCGACAAGTCTCGTACGGTATCTTACTCGCGCTAACTTTAGATGGTTATATACGAAGAGAGCCCAAAGTACTCGCCAAATTACCAGTCGAACATACTTCGGATATACCAACACATAGAATTTACATTCAGAAACGGCTACCTCCGCAATGGCTAGGGAGAAAACGATTATGGAGTCAATATAATAACGCAATCTGGTTTAGATTTCATCAGCCTTCAAAGATTACAATCATGCACGTGGTACCACAAGAGTCGTTTGACTATACCAACATGGCATTTCTAACCGGCGGTAAGAAATTCTTCGGATACCTGCGTGTACGAGTAAGCGACATTGAGCTTGTAATCATATGCTGGTTTGGATCACTAGATAGAGAGGGTATATCTATTCTTACACCGTCTTATACTTACGCACTTGAAGGAGATGGTGGATGGGACATATTCAAAATAAGGCGCCTCGAGGCCGAAATTACCAACCACGCAGTCCAGGATGAGACAATTCCGTCGTTATTACCGACACCTAAATTAAACTCTTCCCATCGTCGGGCTATTGTCCATTCCTCGGGCATGTATATGCTCATAGAAAGTCTCGAGACGCTCGGCCGATATAACATACTTGTCGCGTTTGGAGAAGAACTTATTGACCGGATGACAAGTCGAACCAGGAGCGAAGAGAAAGGGCTAAACAGACTCATATATGACAACATAGACGGAAGTACAGATGAATACACCGAGTACACCGATGATTCTGCTGACGAATCCGCAAATGAGTCCACAGATAAGCCTAGAAGGGAGCCTAAAAATGAACCTACGGACCCAAAAAGCAACGACGGAAATTTCGCATCCAACGGTGTGTCCTTCCATTTGCCTTTCATTTCTACGACAGACCCATCAACAGGTAGACGTAGCGCCTTTTCCGCCTGAGGATGGGTCACACCGCCAATTTTTTTTCTGCAATTTTATTCTCCGAAAGGGTCAGCAGCCGGGTGAGGGATCCGATTATACAAAGTGATAGGTGACAGCCACCACTTAGCTTCAGTGAGCTGAAATCGCGCACGGAGACAATGGCGTCCTTTTTCTTTTGGATCGTGCCCAAAGCGTGGGTATGTGGCGATTACTTATTCGTCATCTCCGAAATTACCTGCGCATTGTTCTGCGGTTTCTTCGTATATCAGGGCTCTCCCCCGTTCTAAGTCCGAAGAGATCACTCTTGGTTTTGGGCACCTTTAACTACTCCAACGTTGTGGCTATTTTTTTTTTTTTGGGTCTATTTCACACATCGATCATCATGTCTACCTCCGCACAAGAGCTCGTTGCGACCATTAGGAGTTGGTTGAAGTGTGTTAATGAGAAGAGATGGGATGACCTACCAAAATACATGCAGCCTTCATACAGTCAAAACGGCATCGACTACACACCAGAATCATGGGCAACACACATGAGCGAACATGTAGCCCCTCAACTTGGAGGAGATGTTCGCATCAACGAAGACAGCATTATGGTCGACGAAGACGCACAGTGTGTCGCATTTTCCGTGTGGCTCAAATTCAAACCCGAGATCCCGCTCTTCGGGTACCAACCTAAAGGCCGCGACGTCCTATTGGTGGAGCACGGCTTTATCTGGTTCACCCACGGAAAACTATCAAAAGCTTTATTCCTGATCAACAACGACGATATGCGCAAACAACTAGCAAGTCCGAACTCCGAATATGTACCTAGCCTTATCAGCGAATATTTGGCTCCGCGAACAGATGCTCCACTTCCCCGTGAGAAGCTGGAGGAGCTTTATCGGGGTTATGTTGATACTGTTAATTTTCGTCGGACGGCGACGGATTACGCCAAGTATGTCGACCAGCCGGAGATGTTGCTTAACAATGGGGCACCGGCGCGGAATATTGTGGAGGATACGCTAGCGGCGATTCCCGACTTGCACGTGGAAATCGAGACCCTCATCGCCGACGAGGAGTCGCAGCGGGTAGCTGTATGGTTGAAATTTACTGGAACGCCGATTAAGGAGTACGGTGGATTGGTGGCGAACGGTCGCTCTGTCGGATTCACCGAACACGCTACGTATCAGTTCGTCAACGGCAAGATCCAACGGATATGGGGTGTCATGGACCTGGACGAGGCAAGACAGCAGCAAACGCAGAATCCGATTAAACAACACTATGTATCAGTGTTGTGAGCGAAGTTTAATACCAAATTGATAAGGAGATGGGAGATGAGGGATTTAATGATTAATCGATAATCGTTATTGCGATCTATTTTGTGCGGTAGCTATCTAAGCTACGAAGTTATGGTTGATGAGTCTGTACCTATCTGTGAATTTATATATACTATCTCAAGAATATTGTTATTAGCTTGTACGTTATGTAGTTGTCAGCCTCATATATTAGATGTATTATACCTTAGTCTTTGTCATGAACTACAAGGTATCTAGGTAATGTAGCTTGTAACACAGGTTACTTTGTTACCCTGCTACATATTTCGTTACTCACCTAAGGTCAGGTACATCATCCCACATTCAATTTCACATGCTAATCCAGCATCACCATTACTAGCACCACCTTACTTTACGGCTTACCAGTGTCACGGCTCTTAACTTCAGGAGTAAACTGTCAGCGGCTTCTAGTTTTAGATCAGGTGGCATGCGACTATGCCTAGCTACGGTAATTGCGTAGTTAGAGGCAATCATCTGACACGCGAGACTCGCATGTTGTGGGGGAAAAATGCCGGTTTCGTCTTGCCGGTCTGGGGGCGCAGTAGGGTATTTTTTTCTTTTGCTTGGGTGCTGAATCACATGCATCCGTGGTATCTGGTTGTATGTATGCCTTCATTCAATATCTATAGACAGGTACATCAGGTTAGTTCCTGACAATCTGGTCTAATCCCGTTCTTAACCTTGACCTTGAACCTTACCCCATGGGATTCCCGCTGCAAGATTTAGAAAATTTAAATAGCCATCTAGCTCGTGACTGTGGGGAATAAGGTTCAACACCGTCGACTTTGCCCCTTCTTGTAAGTCGTCCCATTTTGATCCTAGTGTGGAGTGCGGAGGAAGTAGAGGAGTAAGAGCAACTGAAAAAAGGGCGAGGGCGAGCCTCGGCATTCCGCATTAAAGTGATCAGGTACCTGTACTAAATTCGGAGTACTTGGGTACAATAAAAACGGGGCTGGCTAAGTGACATCATGTTCCTCGGCCAAACATTGTGCGAGGGAAATGTATTAGACGATTTGTAGACAACTTTTTGTTTCCGTCAATGAATTGGGGATGCGAGTAACTAAACTTCTATTGCGATAGCTACTGTAAATTATTGAATTATAATGTCCTGAATCATTAGCTCGATTTATTAAATTCTTTTGGTATTTTAAGAGGCGAATAGCAACAGTATTGTGGAATTACGTACTAGACTTGTACTTTCGTATCTCGTACGACAATACAAAGTACCAAGATACATTGAAGACAACCCCGGCCCGCTAAGCGTCGACCTCGGCTCACCTGTGCACGAATCAGAGCGTTAGCATTTTCAAAGTCCAGGACCTCGACTCGGCCTAGGAAGTAGCAAGGTCAGCTAGGATAATCTCGTCGCAACGAAATATCAATCCCCGACATTCCTCTTTACTTTTAATTCTTTCCGTCTTAAGAACTTACGAACTTCTTCTCTTTTACATCCTCATCTCCTTTTTTTCCTCCTGCCTCTACTACCATATCCCCATTTTCTACGCAAGTAGCTCGGCAGTGTACTGTATATATACATCTCATATAACCAATCAAAATGGCGCCGAGAGTAATTGTTGTCGGTGGTGGCTGTAAGCTTCAATTCCCCCATCCCCGCTCCCATTGTCAGCGTCATGACAATCCGCGACAAAAAAACTAATAACCACATCCAGTGTCCGGCTTGAGTGCTGCGCACACGATTTACCTAGCAGGTGGAAATGTAGTAGTCCTTGACAAGCAAGGTAAGAATTGAGCTTCCCCAATATGGAATCCACCAAATTAGGAACTAACACGAATGACTTCCTAGGCTTCTTCGGAGGAAACTCGACAAAGGCTACATCCGGTATCAACGGTGCTTTAACGCGGACACAGGTCGACCACAAAATCCAAGACAGCGTAAAGCAATTCTACGATGATACCCTCAAATCCGCACGAGACAAGGCGAGACCCGACCTCATTAAGGTCCTCACTTACAAATCTGCCGCTGCCGTTGAATGGTTACAAGATGTATTCAACTTAGATTTAACATTAGTTTCGCGACTTGGGTGAGTGCAGAAAACTCCATCCATTCATCTTCAAATTGTGCTAATTCCCTTAATAGTGGACACTCCCAGCCCAGGACGCATAGAGGGCACGATGCCAAGTTCCCCGGTATGGCTATCACATACGCTCTAATGCAAAGATTAGAGGAGCTAGCCGAGACCGAACCCGAGCGAGTGCAAATAATCAAGAAGGCTCGTGTCACAAGTTTAAAGAAGGAGGGTAACAAGATCACCGGTGTTGAGTACGAGTCAGGTGGCGAGAACAGCGTTGTTGAGGGACCCGTTGTTCTAGCTACGGGTGGTTATGCTGCGGATTTCGGCGACAACTCGCTATTGAAGCAGCACCGACCCGATACTTTCGGCCTCTCCACCACTAACGGTTCGCACGCGACCGGTGACGGACAGAAGATGGTCATGGCCATCGGAGGAAACGGAATTGATATGGACAAGGTTCAGGTCCACCCCACGGGTCTCGTTGACCCCAAGGACCCCGGCTCAAAGTGGAAGTTCTTGGCCGCTGAGGCTCTACGTGGTGAGGGTGGTCTCCTACTTAACGCCGATGGTGACCGATTCTGTGACGAGTTAGGCCACAGAGATTACGTCTCTGGCATGATGTGGAAGGAGAAGGACAAGGGCAAGTTTCCCATCCGATTAATCCTTAACTCCAAGGCCTCCAACACCCTGGACTTCCACACCCGCCATTACTCTGGCCGTGGATTGATGAAGAAGATGACCGGCAAGGAGCTCGCTAAGGAAATTGGCTGCTCTCCCGAGCACCTCCAAAAGACCTTCACCACATACAACGCTATCGCCGATGGCAAGCAAAAGGACCCTTGGGGCAAGAAGTTCTTCCACAACATGCCCCTGGATATCAACGACGACTTCCACGTCTCATTGATGGAGCCCGTCCTACATTTCACTATGGGTGGTATTGAGATCAACGACAAGGCGCAAGTCCTGAACAAGGAACAGAAGCCCTTCGAGGGTCTCTTCGCCTGTGGTGAATTGGCCGGTGGTGTTCACGGTGCCAACCGTCTTGGTGGATCCTCGCTACTTGGTTGCGTTGTCTACGGTCGTGTTGCCGGTGACTCCGCCAGCAACTACCTCTTCCAACAAGCACTCACGGGTGCCGGCGGCGCCGCGCAACGTCTCGGCCAGATCTCGTTACACATCGACCCCTCGCAGCCGGGAAAGGTATCCGTCGAATGGGGTAACGGCGCGGTCGGCTCGTCCGGCTCTTCATTGCCCGCGACGGGTCAACAGACGAGCGCGGCTGGGCCTACGCCCACCGCCGACGGCGGTAAGTCTTCCCAACCGGCTGCGAAGCCCCAAAGCGCTAAGAAGTTCGAGGTGCCTGAGAAGGAGTTCTCAATGGAAGAGGTAGCCAAGCACAACAAGAAGGAAGATTTATGGGTTGTCGTTAAGGGTGTCGTTTTAGATGTTACGAATTGGTTGGATGAGCATCCTGGTGGACCCCAGGCTATTATGAATTTCATGGGTAGAGATGCGACGGAGGAGTTTGAGATGTTGCATGATGATGAGGTCATCCCGAAGTATGCGCCCCAGCAGGTTATTGGACGGGTTAAGGGGCAGGAGGTTACACTGGAGATCTAGAAATCTCCTGGGTACCTGTTTTTGTCTCATTACCCTGTCTAACTACCTCCTGGACAAAAAGCTTGGGCGGCGCTGAGGGATCATTGTGTTTTATATCGATTTGGCAAGTGTTGATTTTGTTTACTTATCTACCCTCGTGCGAAATATGGCGAGGCTGCCTTCGAGCCGATTATGGGCTAGGCTGTATTGATATGAGATATTTATCTGTCTATCTAGCATTGTTTTGGATGCGCTGTGGTATTTATCAAGGAATATATTATTTCGATCCCAGTACACAATTCTTTTTAGCTTGAAGCTATCTTACGTTGACAAATGGTGATACAGTAGCCGAAGTCGTCATCTCGCACGGCCCTCTCCAAGAAGCCTAATGCTGCCTTTCACAAAGCACAAGCTTTCACTTTACTTCTACTTCCACTTCACCTTTATTTTCACTTCTACTTTACGCATATAAGGACTTTTAATGAGTTGAGATGTTCTATTATGCTAGATAAAGAACTTCTATGCGCACTGTATCTGTGATTACGGTGCACTTGGTAAAATCAATCGCTATGTGTATCATCCGTCCATTTCCTCCCTCCGCTCCCCTATCCTTCACTCCCCCCTTCCTTTATCCCCCATCCTCCTAAAACCACCTAATGCCGGGGTCTAAGAGCAACAACTCGACCACCCTGAGCATCGACCTGTTCACCGGTGACCGTGAATGGGTGAGCGGGGTAGCCGGAGGGACGGTAGGGGTTCGCGGTTACAGCTCGCGCGGCGCGTCCCTCGTAGAAAGGGAAGGGCTGAGGTGGGGGGATGAAACCGGGACAGATGGTTTGCATGAAGCGTAGGCCTTCGGCGGAGTATGGGCCTTGGCCCTCCGGGCCGAAGTGGCAGGCTAGTGGGTAGGCTGGGTGGATTTGTGTCTTTTGGGGTTTCTGGTGGGGGTTAGTAATGTGGTGGGTTTGGGGAGTTTGGGGGGCTTACCTTGCGCTCAGTCTGGGGCCGGACTTGGAGCTGTTGGCCGTGGTGTTGCTGTTGTTGGTTCATCTTGGTAGATTTCAAGGTGGAATTGAAGTTGAAGTTGAAGTGGTTTAGACGATGAGTGCAAAGTTGTGGTGGCTTGGTAAGCTCTGTAGATTTAGTTGTCTTGATGGCTTTGAATGTTTGGAAGTGTTCTTGTAGGTTTATGTTCGTGATGGGGAAGAAAAAGAAGGATTGGTCTGGAAGAAGACAGGCAGGTTTATATATGAAATCCCATAGCGCCAGTCTACCTGTACACCGAAATGAGTCATGGCTATAAGGCGGCCGAAGTGGTGATAATTTTTGGGGAGTCCATACGCGGTCTCTACTGAGCGGGTTAACATTGGTCGTTAAGAACTACATAGGCGAAGACTCGCCCTATGTTAAATTATTATACGCGTCTTTGTAGTCTATGGTATGGTCGCGCTCTGTGTTAAGGGGCCGTCGTATCGCGGTCACTGACCGCATGAGATGACCCGTAGGAGAGACGATGGCCCAAAACACCTATTTGGCCAGCTCAAATGGTTAAATGTGGACATCCCGGCAAGAGCTATAGAGCCACCCGAAATAGGACTTAACTCAATTTTCATTTTTTCCTACATTCGAGACGAGATGTCGAGCATCGAGGTCCGTTTTGCCGAGAATTATGATTGTTGGTTAGTTCCATCACAGATCTGCTCTTGAGTCGATCTGTTACTTACATAGTCTATGTACCTACCTAGGTAGGTATGCATTAAGGACGAAAGCGATATATGAGCAGACCTAAGCTAACCACCTAGGTATGTAAAATCACAATTCATGAAGTGTGAATTCCTAAAGAGTGACGTATCGATAAGGGCCCCCTGATATCGAAAATCCAGAAATACCTAGATCCTAACTCCCAAGCAGAACAATCCTATGGCAATTATATTATAACTGGTCGACTAATCTAACCCCAAGGAATACGATTCTTGAGCAAAGCCCTATATCTAGATGTTCGGGTGGTTACAATGGTGTCCGTCCCGCCCTGTTGGTCAAGAAGTGCTTCCAAAACTGGAGCCCTGTACTACGGGGTGCTTCTTTAGCTACTTCCCCTTCAACTGTTTCCCAAAGATCATCATACACCACTTTAAGTATCTCCCTCACATGGCCTGGCGTCAATGCTTCGTTACGACTTTTCGCTAGAATACTAGAAAGCTTCACGGCATTTCTAATATCTCTTCCATTTATATCCCTTTGGGTGAAGGTATCGAGGTCGGCTTCGGTGAAAGCTGCATTTTCTGGAAAGCGTTTGATAAAGTTACGCCAAATGCCCTTCTGCAAGGCCTGTGTGAGGGGTGGGTAGTTAACCTTCAGGTCAATTCGTGACCCGAAAGCCGCATCAACGGTTATAGCTTGGTTTGTCGTCATAAATAGTATACCTTTATAATACTCAAGAGTACGCAGGAATACTATCATAAAGAAAACGATGTTAGCTTTACATTCCGTGGCATAATTTATGCTTGCAAGCCCATTAATTCAAATTAATGTATAGGAATGAATAGGCGACTTACCTGCGACCGACCTATTTCTTTCGGTTTCATGGATTTTGCGTTGTCCAAGAAATCCATCGGCTTCATCTAAAAGCAGCACGGCTTTCCACCGCGCAGCAAGGTTCAGCGCCTCAGTAAGAGATGTCTCCAGTGAATAGACGCCAGAACCAAGTTCCGTGGCAGTCACGGAATATAGGGGTGCATGCACCTCTTCGGCGACTGTTGGTGCCAATTAGTATTGTGCATTCATTAAACTCGAGCTTTATGATAGGTACCTGACTCTGCTGTGAAAGTTTTCCCAAGGCCTGGCGAACCGGCAAGAAGCATTATGACGCCTTGGCCTGTTTCTTCGTTAGCAGTCGAATACAACTACCTAGGTAGATAAAGACGGAAAAATTAGTGACCTTTCCCTTTGACAAAGTCATCGAAGCCATCTAGTTGCGCGAGCCTTGTCTTAACAAATGCGAGAATCAACTCTTTATACTGTTTTGGCAACAATAGATTGGCGAAGGCGTCTGGGTTCCAATCAATATCCGTAACCTCACTAACGTCTAGCTGCACTAAGCTATGTTAGGATTTATGGACAAATATAGGCGAGATTGAACTGACCCCATTTTTTACGAGTGAGAGAGTATCCATTTACAGTCGGACTGCATATGAGTAATTGTTCCTCTGTCAGGCCTAGCATTATTAAAGGAAGTAAGAACGATGTTCTATTATCAGTCATGCCTTTATTAAAGGGAATAAAAACTTACCATTTTTAGAGGTGGTTTCGACATCTGAACCCTGAGAATCATCCTGAGGGAGGGAGGTCAAACGAATACTAGCGGAGGTATATTGATAGTATCCTTTAGCATCGACGACAACTCGACCATCAACCTACAATCAAGTCAGTATGGTTTTGCGTGGGACTTGCGATCGAATATGGCTGTGGGTTCGTACGTCTTCGGAGACTGTTCCTTGATATAACATGTAGTGTATGCCTCCTAGCGAATAGAATTTCCTGCCGCGGGCAGAAATCTGATCACGGATGTGGCTACGGTTTTCCATGAAACGTTCAGGATATACGTGCAAGTCTGTGATCTTTTTTATCCCTTTGAAGTCGTCAATGGTGACTTTGATGGTCTGGAAACCAAATTTCTCGCCGTCCGTATCGATGCCCAGATATTTCAGCTTAAACTCTCTTAACACTTTTCCCATTATAAGAGGCATGGTTTTATGTTTAGTCTTTAGGAGCCGATACATGCGAGGCCTTGAATCTCCTGGTTCGAATAGAATATCGCCTGGTTTGAACAATGTCCACAAGTAATCGAATGTTATTAGCGATTTTGAGGTTAGGTCCTTATAATGATCGTATGCCTTGTTAATCGTTTTGTTTAATAGGTCGAATAGTAGTTGGATATGGCGGATTGATTCCTCGTCGTGATATTCAGAAGCAGCTTCCTTGAGCTCTGTCCAATGATGGAAGATATCCTTGAATGGTTCTTCTAAGACTGCGCTTTTCAGGCTCAAACTAGGGTCGTCCTTGATTACGGCCTGGAGAAAGCTCTTGAGTAGAGGACTTTGCACAGTGATCTCGTGGATTCTTAACGGATCATCTTCCTCATTGCTGTTTTTATACTTAACAACCAAGGCGTATCTTTCTCTGTCCTCTATGTTGACCTTCTTGACGTTCTCGGGATATACTTCAACCCAGGTTATATCCCCCCACTTCGTCATAGGTCCCTCGTAGAGATCCTTCACTTTGCATTTCATTCCCACATTATCGACCGAATGTTCGTGATCTGGTTCACCTGAGATTTCGTCAAGAGCTGCAATTTCCTCAGGGGTAGGAAGGGTTAAAGTGTCGTCGTCAGCCATCTTGTGGTGTGATAATCGATCCTTATATAGATAAATAAATGGGAGAAAATGGTTGGTTCGCCTATTACTGAGTTACTCAAGGGTCTCAATGTACATGCATAAGTATCTAGAGACGTACGGTAACCGGCTGTGACAAGGATAATAAGTCACTGGGGTTTCCTGATATTCCAAGGGGAGAAAATGAACGAGGAATTTGCCTGATATTAATATTAGAACCAAGCGGCCAATATCCCAGATCCTCATGGAAAGTTTTTTATTTCGGATCGGCGCGACGAGCCTGCATAGATGCCTGACACACGTAAGTGACGGTCATATAAGGATATTCGTTGGTTTAACCCCGCTGCTCTTTCTAGAGCCTGCCTATGTTCGTTTCACATAGAACACTGTGTGTATCTCTAGCCAATGGGTGTATTACTAGCGGACGTAAATAAATTGCTTATCTCACCGCTTGGGCGGATATAATTGAATGAGGCTCGCCGCGGCCATTCTAGGGATTTCCACGTCATTACCTCTATAACTCAGAATATAAGCTACCAGAAAGACAACTAATGCAATGAGTACGATGAATACACCCGTCGCCTCACTAACTCTAGATTTTGAATCCTATTTCCTAGCGCACCTACTAAGAAATTGTATCATCGAAGCTGTCCGCGAATGGCGCGAGAAAAGAGAAGAGGAACCTCCGTGGGATCATGAATTCGAAAGACTTGAATCGGCGTGGCTTGCTTGTCTTGACTTTTTCATCAAGAGGCTACCCGACACAACGCAGCACGTAATCCGGGAACATAAAGAAACCCGCGACACGATTCTATCAATGACCAAATCATGTATTCCGGACACATGTCCGTGGGAAAAGATTCTTGTTCTGGCCCTGCGTCCGTCCCAAAATCCAAGTACAATGATCAGCTGTATAATTTGCGAGGATACCCTAGAGAACCCTCGCTCAAAGTATGATATCTTGACATATGCGCGAGGAGACCCATGTGACACCACACGCATCAAAGTGGACGGAAAGATCATTCAGGTCACAGAGACCCTCGAATCTGCCCTCCGACATTTGCGGCAACCAAGCAAAACTCGTTTTCTCTGGGTCGACCCCTTCTGCATCAGAGGACACGATGAGGAAGGATGGCAAAAAGATATTGCTACGATTAATTCTATATTTTCGAATGCCAACGAAGTTCAAGTTTGGTTGGGCAAGGAGTCGAGCACATCTACCGAGGCCATATCATTTCTAGAGGACTTGGCTATCAAAACAGCCAGAAAAGTAACCAGAGAGGAAGTCGGAGTTCTGTTCACCCCGGATGAAGGACTGGTCATATCTGCTCACCTACAAGCTGTATCAGCATTGATGTCTGTGTCATGGTGGGATCGTGCCGGATTACTGAAGCAACTTATGTCTGGTTGTAAGATCAGAGTGCGGTGTGGAAATAAGTCGGTTGATTGGAACATACTTGCTATCGCTCTGGTAGCTTTAGGTCCGAAAAGCTTTGAGTCTCTCGGTTAAAGCAATCCAGCCTCAGAATATCTCATTCATTTGGTTCCACGTTTAAGCATCTTTGGGTTCCGTGGACACTTCTCTCGAGCTATGACCCGCGACGACAAAACTATTGGGACACTTTCTTTGGCCTTCGAGAGGATATTTGCTGGCCCAAGAATAGCTATTAACTGGACGACAGCCTTAGCTCTCATGGGGAAGGTCTTTGGTTTGTTTCTAACGCATCTATCCTTTACCGTATCGTGTTATAATACACGGCCTCGACCAGGCGTTGAGATCCTGGCGTATTTCGTTGACCCAGAGCTTCCATCTAAGGTTTTGTCTGGGGATAGTGCATTTGAACATGACCGCTTTTATGACCGCGACATGAAGATGGCTGTACAGGGCCGGTTCGACGAACCCAATACGATGGTATTCTTGAGAGAGCGCTTGGAATTTTTCAGAAAATTTGTTACTACGGCCCTAACAACTCCCAAAAGTGACTCGGCTTTTTTAATTGATGCCTGGGAATGTTGGTTCAATATATTTGATCGATTCAGTCGAGATTGGCCAACCGTGTCAATAAGAGATCCCACCCGAATTGAAAAAGACCCCATAACCGATCCTGAGAGCAAATTACATCAACCACTTAGTAGTGGGAAGGAGACTATCAGGCTGCCAGTGCTTCATCCCAGCATGGGTGTGAGTTCCGATATAAGCTGCGAATTAATCCTGACGGATCTATCCGTCCTATCGGCGCTTGGTGTGGAGACAGTGCCTTATTACATTCTCCCTTACGTCTGGACAATTGATACGGGACCTCGGGAAAAGATCTATCTAGATGGGCAACAGCATCATATACATCCTCTTCTCTGCGAAGCTTTCCGAAACTTTCGGGAATCCGAGGTACCTGTCCTACTATGGATCGATTCAGTATGCAGCAACACAGAAAGCGCCGAAGAAGAAGCGCACCATTTTGAAATCGCAAACTCTATTATTGACCGCGCAGCGGCTGTCATCTACCATGACAAATTACCCACAGATCTATCAACCAATCCTAGGCCAATAGAAGATGATCTAGTATCAAGGGAGTTAAAATATCTTGGTGTTTCGTTAGAAGAGCCTGCAGTGAGATTTCCTGTCATATTCCCCCCAAAATTACCTTCTGGGGAAGCTGAGAACTTTTTTCCTTATGAGGACTATGGTCTACCGACCACTACGTCTATTCGGCTCCTCATTATACTTCCAATCGATAATATCGATGATGAAGGGCGAGAGCATTTTCCAATCAAGTGTTCCATGCACACCGTGGATCTCAAAGAGTCTCCCGAATATAATGCTCTTTCCTACACTTGGGGTTGCCCACTTGGATTGCAGGAGAATGCTGAGGACGAGCGGGACCATAAGGCATGGTCAAGGAAGGATTATAAAATTGAGTGTGACGGACAGACAGTGTCTATAAGTGCCAATCTTTTTACGCTACTTTTGGCTCTTCGTCTGAAGTTGAATTCGGAAGACCAAGAACACTTTAAAAATGGGCCACAGACTCGATCTATCTGGATTGATGCGTTATGTATTAATCAAGATGATACGGAGGAAAAGAGCAAACAAGTTGCTATGATGAGCAACATATATCGCCAAGCTACGTCGACAATAGCGTGGCTAGGGGGCGAAGACGAGCTAACGAGAGATGCCCTAGAGTTTATACGTCTCCTCGGTCGTAAATATAGGGGAATGTATTATGCCCAGGAGAGGACTTTTGCCCGGGTATTTTTCAACTTCGAAACGTTAATGGATGTGGATTTGTTTGCATCTCACATGCTTGGTCTCCCACTCCTTACACCAAGGCGGTGGGCTGCATTACGCGCGTTCTTTTCCCGCTCGTGGTTTGAACGAACTTGGATTGTCCAAGAAGTTTGTCTTGCGCAGGATGTTATCGTAATGTGTGGCCTGGAATTACTTTCCTACCATTCGCTTCTACCCATATTGCAAGTGAATTCCGGGAGAAGTAATTACTCAGTGGATGATTCGGCTGAGACTATATCCCAATTCCCAGGTAGACACGATCCGCTATGGAGAAATTTGAATCGCCAGACTGATAGAGACTGGACAAATTTCCAAAAAGGGCTAGGGTTGGCCGTCAGGACGTATTTAACTAGTCTGCGCATTACATTCGCCAAATCAAACGTGACTAGCAGGGAAGAGGGCTTCCCTAAACTCATTGACAATATATCATTCTTTGACGAATTTCGGGCAACGGACGAGAGGGACAGAGTATACTCATTGTTGGGCATATCGGCTGAGACACAGGGCAAACTGCCTGTAGAACTTGTCCCTGACTATAAGGCGGACGCGAGCACGGTCTTCATTCGCGCCTCTAAGTTCGTGATCAAATCGAGCAATAGCCTTTCACTTTTAAGCCTTGTTCCAGATCCCGGTATCGAAATCCCTCCATCTAAAGACCACCCGACATGGGTCCCGTATTTTAGCCTGCCTCTAACTTGCGGTCAATTAGATTCCCTAACAAATCCCCGCTTTGCAGCTGCATCTAGCCTCAGCCCTATACATATTGACTTCCCCGAAGGAAATAGACTGGAAGTTAGGGGATTTTGTTTTGGTTCTATTGAATCTAGGGGCTGCCTGAAACAAGGCTGGTTATTATCAGACTTACTGAGTGTTGTCCTTCAGCTCCCTGCTTTTCCTTTGGTAGATAAAGACATAAATGATGAAATGAGACAGCAAGGCCGTTTTGAAGTCTTGTGGCGAACTCTAGTATCAGATTCGGTTGATTCTGAGAGTCCTGCCAAATCCGAGCATGGGGACACAGTCCGGAAAATTTTTCGAGCGGGGATGAAACAGCTCCAGGCTGAAACAAGAGATATAGTTATTGAACAAAACGACGATCTCAAGAAACGCGAGCAGCTCGAAAAATTCTCAACAGAATATAAGGCTTTACAACAGATACTTGGCGACGCTTCAGGCATAGTTACCCAAGACTTCCCGCCAGAGTTTCAACAATTCCTTGAATCTATTAGATTAAACGATTCCCCAAAGGAAACTATCAAACTTGTGCATGACGCTGCGCTTGAGAAGTCTTCGGCAGACTTGGGCCGCCCACTTCAATCCACCGATGATGAGATTAGGGAAACACATAGGGGTAGATCATTGTTTCGTACCAATACAGGATACCTAGGCCACGGCCCTAGGTTTAGTACAAATGGTGATGAAGTATGGGTTCTAGCTAGCGGAAGCGTACCGTTCGTTCTCCGGAACGTGAATGAGAACCAATTTCAGTTAGTCGGGGAGTGTTATGTCCATGGCATCATGCATGGAGAAGCAGTCCGGGAAGGGGCGAAGAATGCTAGGATCATTTCTATCATATAAAGGTTAGTTAATGGGTATTATTCCACTTGTTTAATGTCTAGCTGAAAATAATTTCGCCCTTAGGTTGCCTAGGTAGTATCAGAAGGAAATGGGTCGGGTGAAGGCTCGCCGCGGTAATTTTTGGGGTCTGAAGGTTTGTTTGGAACAAGGAACTGGTGTGCGAAAATATAGGGTACCATTCGTTGATAATTCAAACTATACCGTGATTTTATTCACTTATGGGATCCCGTGAATGAAACTCCTAGTTTTCTTTAGCCATGATGAGGTGCCTTATAGGATTGTGGCCCTTCGTTGTTTGAAATTCAATCGTGGGTGAGAATAACACGTGTTGCGACGAGGTCCTCGATGACGTAGGGGTAGAGTTATGTTGGTACGTGCGCTCGGGATAACATTACACCGAACCAGGAAAGTCTCACTTCAACTTCTCGACGGGACTATATCAGTTGAGGACTATACATACATGATCATGCACGGGAGAATCAAGATAACCGGCAGAAGCCCATTAGAAAAAGACGTTATAATTAATGGACCTGAATGTGCTGTCTGTGTTTATAGACGATGTCCGATTACGACACCCTACGCCATCCAAACCACGCTCCTACCAGGCGTCAGCGACACGACAGACATAGCAGTGCTCCGTACCACACCAACGCGAACCATGCGTCCGGCGTACTGTAAAACGATTAAATCCCCTGATCCGCCGAAAACGCTGACTCGGAGCTGAACAACACCACCGATTGAACCCGACGTCGTTCCCCCGTGCCCTGTACTATGTTCAAGTTCGGTGCTTATGTTGCTAAGCGTCCTCATACAGCAATCCCATATCAATGTCTAATACTCTTTAAGACTCGATGCCCAACCGCGCCGTCCTTTTTAGGTCTTCCTTTTTTGGAGGCACTTAGGAAGAACTCGAGTCGGTATCCGAAGGAGTAAATTCGTGTTGGTGAGTGGTGACGGACTTTAGTAGGCATACAACAGAAGGACATGCTTATTGTCTTTGCTGAATACCTAGCACCATCACCGCCAACGTGTAGGTTTCTCCGTGAGGGACTCGCTTTATAGGTGTCAATGAGGTCGATTTGGGCTTTATGTTAAGAACCGCCGGAGGTCCTTTCGGAGATAAGTACATACCGGATTCGGCCGCCACCGATACGAACCGTTGCTCTCTCTCCCGGCCGCGCGGACTAGGCGTATTAGTATTTGCGGGCCATTTTTAAGAGACTTAATGAAATGTCTGAAGACCAGAATTATGCCATTAAAATATTATGAGCTTATTATATTTATGTTCTTTAGGATGAGGAGAAGAAAGAAAACTGGGTGTTTTGAGAGACGGCACGAATTTATATCGAAGGGTTGATTTCACAGGTACGACGTCCTCCGAGGTACTTTCGTGGAGTTACACATCTTGTCAGTCATGACAATTCCCCCGCTAGGACTGAGTCGGGTTGTTTGGGGACTACACCAAATACCTCCTCTTTCATCCTCTCGATGTCTTCAACTCAAACTTGGTATTTAGACTACGACTAGGGGACAGCGTCACGGTTTCAGAGAGATTATACCCATCTAGGGTTGCAGTGGGTCGGTCTGACATATTGTGTATCTTGGGATTACTAGTCAGGTACGTAACACTGTCACTATCCTCATGCATCCGAATTGTTTGGCCACATTAAATGAAGTTGAAGAATCGTGGTGTTAGGAAAAACTTGTTGACTGGGAGGTGTTCCCGGGTCGTTCCGAGATGGCAACCCACCCCTTCACCTGTAAATTACTTCCTTGTGGCGATATCCTTGACAACATATATTTGACCACACAGATCCGTGACATTGACGAACAATCGAATAGCATCCATCCACTTGCCGTTATTCCCGCCGCCGCCACTCATAAGTTCACTCTCTAGTTGATTTAGGGCGAGGTTAAGACTGCGCCTTTCATACTCTGCGATGTTCATGAGCTGTTCCTTGGCTTCTTTCTCTTCTAAGCCCCCAATCTTCGCAGCACGAGCGAACTCGGGGAAATTGAGTGAATTCAAGTTTAGTTCGTCGGCATCTCGTGCTAGGGAACCATAGTCGTTGTACATGCGACACAGGCTAGCGAGGTGCCGACACGCGTCCTCGACGAGATACGCCGTCTTGGCACTGTGGCCCGCGACGTCGCCGTGGGTGGCGAATAGCAGACAATGGAAAAAGACGAATGAGAAGGGGCATGATGTGTGATCCGCAGACGTGCTGCGCACCCATTTGTAGAATGTTCGGCCTGAATCCCTGTACCTCCTCGGATAGGATGCGGGTGTAGGAGGTTCATGTACTCCATCGGGTTCTCTCTTCCTTTTCTCTCCTTTTTTGTTATGAATGCCGTTGCGGGCCTTGGGCAAGGTTTCATCGTGGAGAGTAGATGAATTCTGCGAGCTCCCATCTAGCTGACGAGCAAACTGGCTATTGTCTTCGGCTTGATCGATGTGAGCCAGGAGGAACGTCTCCAATTCCCTAGCGAGTCGGACCTGCATGTCTTGAGTGCTTTTCAACACCGAAGGGTGCTGAAGAATATGGGCAATGTATCGACTAAGCACCGTCTTCATGCCTAGCCTGCCGTAATTCTTATGGCCATTGGCCTCGCCGTTGCCGTTGCCGTTGAAGTCTAGAGATTTTGGCGTCGACTCCCGTAGGGGAACGCCTCGATTCCTGAGAGTTTCATTCTGACTATCCTTGCTAACACCCGCCTGAACAAACAATTGCCTTACCACATCTCGCGCTGACTGGAAGCCTTCTTCGTATTCCCACCCGCGCTCAAGCACGTCCTCCATATATTCATCGACCTGGTAATTCAGCATTGACAAGACCATCATTTCGGAAAGTACAGCAAGACTAACACAGTCTTCTCGCAGCGACATGCATGCTGTCCAGGTCAGCGGGATAAATATCAGATATTTGTCTTCCCCCATCCCTGTTCGTGGAAAGATGTCTAGGCGACGACGCTTAAGGTCTGATAGAGCGTAGCACGCCTGTAATTGTGCAGCGGAGATAAGCTGGGTATCGGCTTGGTTGAACAGAGGCGTGCAGCTGATTAGATGTCCTGCTTTGCTCATACCTCCTAGGATTTTCTCAGAGACTTGAAATGGTGGGGGTGTGCCTGGAATGGTAGGTGTTGCTGTGCAATTTACAGTCGCCGCAAGGCAGTAAGCCTCCGAAAGAATTTCTGAAGAGTATGTGACTTTCTCGGTCCATAAATACGCACCATCCCTCCACTCGGATCTGTGCGCGGCGAGGAAGACTTTCCCCTGATTAATACTCTCGTATATCCGGTCGCGTAGTCCTGCCGCTATTAAAGGAAGTTGTGCAAATGAGGATAGTGCCAAAACAGCGTAGGCTGTGAGTTCGCACCCTTCTTCCCAATTGCCATGATTCTGCATTTTTAAGATAGTCATCACGATCTGAAGCGAGAGGATAAGGATCTGCTCCTTTAAGTTCGGTGCGGCAATCAGGAGGCGTTCGCGAAACGTCTCATTCTCTTGCATGCGTTTATACAAGAGTACCACAGCTTTGGATAGAAGCATCATCCAGTATAGCCGATGTATATGCTACTCTGAGTGGTCAGATGCATGCAATATCAATCAAGGGGTTGCGAAAAAGCGGGGGGATGCTCACCCACTTCTCCTTGACATCTCCAACGAATACTTTTTTGCATATGAAACTGGCAGCTTTGGCAACCTGAGGTACGTACGGAAGGGGATCATCTATTAGGAGCAGACAGGACAGCACGTTAATGTTAGTACTTAGGCTTGGATTACGCTCAGCCAAGTAAGTTTGGAAGTGGTCGGCAGTCTCGAAGGCGTGAATAAGCGCTTCGATGTAAGGCTTTGGTTCTCGACCAAGATAGAGCAGACTCATTGCACATTTGGCGGTGTCATCTGCATCTGCGAGTGATCCGGGTGCTAAATGCCGAGTGGTCAGCCAAATTTTTGAAAATTCGATGGTTGAAGAATTGAGGATACCAAAACCAACAATGCCTTTCTGCATTCGCAATGATGTCTCGAGAAAGCCCCCTATAGTCGACGCCTCCACCTCGCCAATGGGAATGTTGGACTCGGCTAATGTCGTAATGGTCTACGCGGGTGAGTGTCTTGTCTCATGCTGCTAGATAGTCACCTCGAAGACTTACCCAGGAGACCTCGAAAATTGAGCTTGGCCACGCCGATGGCACACCCCCGCACCCTTGTCCACTACCATTCCTGAGGGCATCTCGAAGATACGTCTCCGCATGGTCATCCCATGTCGAAATATTCATTAGATACGCAGCGGTTGACGATGGGGAACCCATCATTGATCCATTAGGTTCACGCCACTGGGCGATATTATCGAAATCGATGTGCCCGATTAACCCTTCCAGGGAATGATATAAAGCTGAGGGGCCCTTGTATACTAGCGATGCTGGCAACCGAGATAATTTCAATTCACGCAGAGACTCCAGCTGTTCAATTTGCGGTACTTGCAAGGCGACGCCCTCTTGCTTCAGCAAACTCAAATGAGCCGTGACGAGAATCTCGTAACCCACTTGGTCACAGGAGAACACGTCCCACCCGCGGATTAACTCTGTAAGTGAAACTTCCGCTTTGAATGATACCTCTTGAAGACTAGGTGACTTTGGGTCGTGAGATAAATGCTTTCGAACAGCTAGTAATGCCGCTGCAGTATTCAGAACACCATCTAATACCGAAGCATAGCTCGGCCAGCTGCCATCTTCTAGCTGATTTCTGAGGATGTAATCGAAGCACTCGGGAAATAGCCATTGCTTGCTATCTCCCGGCTTCTGAAGCATCGATAGCCAAGCCGTGTCATATACGGATACGGACATGGTACCGAAATTTCCATCAGATGAGTAACATGATGCGAGCCTCTTCACAAGAGACTGGCACGCGTCGGTATCGCTATTTCGGATGGTCATTTCGGGCAATAAATGCACGTATTAAATTAGACTGAATACGATAGTAGAAGGGCCGTTACAAGATAAGACAAGGGACGATGATGACGTACAAGACGCGATATCATAATACAGCTTTATGGATTCTATGTCTACCTAGGTATGTATATACTTGAACTTGCTATCCACCTCCTAGGTACCTAAGTACCTTCCTTGGTAGGGGGCTTCCATCTACTTGAGTACCTTGGTACCTGGGTACTTATTTCGGCAGGCTGGCTGGGTGACATTTTCATATCGGAGTGAAGGAAGCTTGGCATATTCAGCCACTGTCACATTGCTTTTGACCACACAGTCTAGGTAATACTGTGCGTCTGTGCTACCCACCATTATTGGTGTTTGTCTCGGGCTCTAGGCTTAAGAGAGAGTAGCTCACTAAACTCCCATAACCTCCTTTCTCCTAGGCGACATGCCATAGTTCTATGCTCATGGTTTAGTAAAGCTATCTCACACTATGGCCGACTCTAAGATGGACGAAGTAGAGATGGCGCGCATCAATAGCGTCCAAGAAGCTGAGTCCTCCAAACTCGAACCTGATCCTGAGCCTGGAAGCAGCCAGACCCCAGAAGAACACACGATAAACCCCAAAAATGAAGTTAAGGGCGTCAGGCTCATCCCCGTATTTGGTGCAGTTTGCATGTTCACATTTCTTGTTGGATTGGTAGGTTTTGGTTGATGGGCACCTTGGGGGTGGCCAATCCCAATGTCTGTATCTAATGGGGAGCTTACGGAACTAATCGTATACTTAGGACCTAAACATGATAGCTACAGCTATTCCTGTCATCACCAGCCACTTTGATTCTATCACAGATGTAGGGTGGTACGGATCGTCTTTTATGTTGGCCTTGTACGTTCCTCTTACCATCACCTCTCCGTTTTTTTCTTCATTCGTACTCACATTATTACAGATGCTCGACTCAACCTCTCGCAGGGAAGATCTACGTCCTATTTCCCAAGAAGTTAGTCTACCTAGTATACGTCGGCATTTTAGAGATCGGTAGCCTCGTCTGCGCGCTAGCGCCTACGTCAAGAGCGCTCATCGTAGGCCGCGCCATCGCCGGCCTAGGTGCCTCAGGCATTTTCGCAGGAGGCTTCGTCGTGGTAACCACCATAATACCACTCCATAAACGCGCCATATACACCGGATCCATTAGTTCAACTTTTGCCATCGCGAGCGTCGTCGGCCCTGTGATCGGTGGTGCTCTAACCCAACACGCTACTTGGCGATGGTGCTTCTACATTAACCTGCCTATCGGTGGATTTGCTGCCCTACTTTTCGTTCCGTTCTTCCGCATACACTCTGATGCAGGAGAGAAGGCTCCCCTCAAAAATAAGCTGAAGGGTCTTGACGGAATCGGCTTCTTCTTGTTTGCAGGTTCCATGACTATGCTACTACTAGCGCTCCAGTGGGGCGGCGTCACATACGCCTGGAACTCATCTATCATTATCGGACTTTTCGTTGGATGCGGCGTATCTTTCGTGCCTTTTGTTGCGTGGCAGATATACATGAAGGACGACGCTTTGATTCCTCCGCGCTTATTTACCGTTCATCGAAATGCCTGGCTTATCTGTGCAAGTTCCTTTTTTGTGAACGGCCCATTTCAGGTTATAATATATTGGCTACCTATCTGGTTTCAAGCAGTCCTTGGTGTCTCACCTACGCAGAGCGGCATCAATTATTTCCCAACGGTGATTGCTGATGCAGTAGCTGCATTCGTTGGCGCCGGCATGATTGTGCAAGCTGTGGGATGGTGGAATCCATTCCTCCTACTCGCCGAAGCGTTAGTGTGTATAGGGGGAGGGCTTTTGTCTACCATATACCCAGAGGTCTCCAGTGGCCATTGGATTGGCTATCAGATTCTCGCTGGCTTCGGGTTTTCTTTGGCTGGCAATTTAGTAAGTGATGGCATCGAAACCCCCGCTCTCTGTTCTCTTCCCTCTGCCTAACGTCTTGTCGCATTTTCTTTATCTCACTCCTCACCAGACGTACTAACGCACATCATATATCAGGCCCACCTCGGTATGCAGGCGTCTTTGCCGAAGGAACTCGTACCCCTAGGTGCCACCACCCTTCTCGCTGTTATTTCCACTAGCTGTACCATCTTCACAGCCATCGGACAGACAATATTCCAAAAGCGGCTAATGGCAAACTTATCGACTACCGTATCGCCTGAAGTGGTACAAAATATTATATCCGCGGGTGCCACCAACCTTAACTCGGTCGTTGACGCTGCTGTGTTGCCAACAGTGATACGAGAATATGGAAAGTCGGTTACGCAGGTCTTTGTAAGTTGTCTACCCAATTGTGATGAGTGCCGTTTGCACGGAACGACGTACTTACGCTGTGTAATGTAGTACGTACCTGCGGGAGCCCCCGTCCTCTCTTTCATCCTCGTGGCTTTTACGAAGTGGACATCTACTAAGAAGCGACCAACTCCTGCGAAAACCGAAGACCAAACAGTGCAGGAATAGCTTGCTCATTCATTTGAAATATACTTATAAAACTAAGGCTGCCTCTAACAAATGCTTTGTTTGAAGTAGAGTGGTCTGGATGGGCATGGTGTGAGGTAGACAATAGATAGTAATAAATAGTTCATCTTTGAGCGGTAGAATTTATCACAATTTAACGGCACTCTATGCGGCCTCTGTATACTGCGAATAGTGGGGTTGCTGTCGCGCCCTATAATTGATGCGAAAAGATGATGATTTATCAAGCATTCATATTTTATGTGGTGTAGCTCTGGAGCGATTCGTATCTAGGTAATGTGGATGATGAGTAGATTTATCTAAGAGCACTTCTATTTTCCTAACTTCTTGATTGATTGCTCAATTCTTGGGTTAAGCGTCTGTACTCTCTCCTCTGGCAACTGCTTCTTCAAATTCTTGGTGGGTTTTAAACCGGGCTGGTCTTCCCGTCTCTTGGTCCAAGCCCTGTTCCTTCATCAGGGGTTCCCGGACCTCCATACATCGCTTCCACGAGGGGCGTGAATTCATGCGCTCATGCCAGGCCTGCACATGTGGGAATCCTGCAAATTTTTCCTCTGGCTTGCAGAGGATAACAGAATCGATGCGATCATTCCATGGCACGAAAGCTAGGTCAGCGTATGTCATCTTGTCCCCGACGAGCCACTGTCGGGTCGCAAGCCATCCATCCAAGACGCCAAGAACACGCTTTAGCTGGTCGTTGTAGCGTGCTATCGCCGAAGGTACCTTCTCCGGGTGTAGGACGTTGAACCTGAAATCGTAGTATGCAATGTAAGTCTCCAAGGTATTGACGACATACCTGAAGCACTCGGAACATAGGATGGGAGAACTCACCATGCAGATACACCGTAATATGGCCCTTGGCCACTCATTTGAAATTGAAGCCACTGGTTTAATTGATGTCTCTCTTTTAGAGTATCATAAGTAAGCTTATGGTTGGTATCATATTGCTCAATGAGGTATTGAATGATGGCTCCTGACTCCCAAAGAGTTATATCGGTATTCGAATCGTAGATAGCTTAAAGGGTTTAATTTCTCGTTCCGGTAAAGTCTTAGGCGGAAGAGCAGGGATGTACGTACCCGGAACGCGACCGTTTGGATTGATGTTAGTATAGGGCTGCTTTTTGACATCGTCAAATTTGATCGATGTGATCTCGTAAGGTATGCCAAGTTCTTCAAAAATGAGAACCACCTGCAGAATTAGTTAGATCAAGGTGCCTTCGGGTGATATATAATCATTCCGGCTATAGCCTTAATCAAAAACTACCTAGGTAGCTAACCTTCCAGGGATTCGGGCCAGCGGCTTATCACGAAGATTATTAGTGCATATAGAAAATTGATGGAATGGGCTTTCCATGTTTGACTTACGGATAAGCCAGATGCGGATAGGCTTCATGATGGGCGATTTCGGCTTTAGGGATAAGAATAATTACTTTTACGGCGGATGAGGGAAGACTTAGACGGGTAAGACGAAAGATCAATGGTGAAAAGGCGCGGGGGATTAGGAACACCCATTCCCGTACAGTGTCTCACAAAACAACGGACACGGTTCCGAGCACAGACGATCGGCATGGTTACACAGCATCGAAAGCTGAATCTCTTTAGGTCTGCGACACACTGTGTAGCATTCGACGAATGTGAGGCTACACAGCATAGCATCCTCCAAATTGCGCGATTAGCATCATGTACCTAGGTAGGTATTCAAGGCAAATTACGATACGTGTCTTCGTTTCTTCGCTCTATACACTAAGCAATATGTAAGTTTACCATCTAGGAAGGAAGGCGCTCAATGTGGCTGATTTCTCCGAGCCGGGCTTGTGTGAATCTCATAGGACTAGTCCCACGAATCTCCGTAGACATTGTACATAATAAATGATAGCTCCTTAATCTCAAGTAGTTACTTGCCTAGAAGTCAAGTTAGGTACTTACAACAGGAATCAATATCTCTTCGTATCATGGATAACAGCAATTACTGGGCACTTCCGCTCATCATTTTCTTTGTTTATTGTGTGTATGACGGCTTAGCGACAAGAAAGGCGATCGGAAAGCACTCCAATATACCTTTTGTAGGCAGCCCCTTTACGGCAACGCCACGGTTTGTTCTAAACCTCCTGTTCGCCGTTAAGGCCACGGATATTGTTGGATGGGGCTATCGAAAGGTACGTAAAGCCTATCGTAACATAAATGAAAGAAGAACGCAAGCCTTACTAGAAATAGTTCAAAAACGGATGTTTCCAACTTATACGAAGTAATGGATGTGTTTTGTTTCTTCCATTATCGGTCCTTGAGGAGCTTTCAAACCTGCCTGCTACAGTGGCTAGCCCCAATACTGCCTTAGAAAACGACCTACTTGGACATTACACAGGACTGAGCCTCATTCTAGAAAGTAGAGCTCATCACTCTATCGTTCAAAGGAGGGTAACGCCGCGTCTTGGCCTGATGACACCTCGCCTCGAGGCAGAAATACATTCTGCATGTAGCGAATCTTTCCCCAACTCCCAGGAATGGGTCGAGTTCCAGCCTTACAAGACATTAGCTAAAGTGTCGGCGAGAATTTCTGCACAGGCCATTGTAACACCCGAGTTTGCCCATGACCCCAAGTGGTTGGAGATTTCCGTTGAGTATACTGAAAACTGTACGTCTTGTTTATTTATATTACAGTGCTGCTGTATATGAGGTAATTATGAATAGCCGACGCTAACACTGGGTGGCAGTATTCAAAACTATTGTTATCACACGGCTCTTTCCTTCGTGGATGTACTCGTTCATCTGCCGTGTTCTACCATCCTTTTGGGCGGGTCGAACATATTTGCGAGAAGCCAAGAAACTCCTAGGCCCTAGAATCGAGGAGTTGCTCCGGATAAGCGATGAGGGAACCTGGAAACCAGAGTCCAATGAATCTGACTCGAATGTTCTCAACTGGCTTGTAGACACTGTAAAGGGGCGCGACCGCAATGCGGACACTCTGGCCCACGTAGAGGTGCTACTCGCCCTTGCTTCTGTCCACACCACCCTTTTGAGGATGGTTAACGTCTTATACGATATAACAGCATCAGGACTCGCCACAGAGCTTCGATTAGAAATTGAGGAAGTTGCCAATCGTTCTAGAGTCTGGGATAAATCATCTTACGACAGTCTCTATAAGCTTGATAGCGTACTGAGCGAGTCGCAGCGCATGTCCCCCGCCTACTACCTTGGGTATGAAGCGTATGTTCAACGAAGACTACACGTTTCAAAATGGCTTGCATGTTCCTAAGGGTACGTATACGGCGATGCCAATCTACGCTATCGAGAACGATACTGCCCATACCCCCAATCCTGATAAATTTGATGGGCTTCGAAATTATCGTCTCATTATGGAAAATCAGGCCTCTGACAAGGCCGACGACGAGGGAAGAAGATTTTTCTTCTCGACACCCGGCCGGACTGTTCTTAATTTTGGGTACGGACGACACGCGTGCCCGGGGCGTCACTTCGCGAGCCTCGTACTGAAAATCCTATTTACTAAATTCTTGACCGAATATGAATTCAAGTTTTTACCTGGAGCTGGGAGACCTAAGAATTTATTGGCACACGAATTCCTTTTCACGGCTCCATGGCAGCGCATGCTCATTAGGAAGAAGGAGAAAGGAACTTGCCCCTTTTAATTCAGAATCATAGTGCGTATTTTTGACATCGGATTGACTCAATGTATGGCATTCAGAACGCCAAGGCAGTCCCCCTTATTAGTATACCGCAATATAATGTTTGTTTGAACCTCGTTGGCCTAGTTAAAATAAATACTCTGCTATTTAATTACCTGCATGCCTACTTAGTGATACATGAGTAACGAATCCCTCCGAATGTTTTGAACAGGGGACCCCCACACACTACTTGTATGGGGCGAGTACATAATAACAGTCAAATGCCCAGCATCCGTACTAAGCAATATATCGACGCTCAGACGTATGAAACCTCAACACCATTTGTGACCTTGATTGATTCCTTCGTCGGGTTCGCCGGCACAATTCCGTCATCCACCACGGGTCCCGACTCCTCATCCATCCCCGGACCCCCCACAACGTGTACGTCATGGTGTGAATCGGGCCATTGCGATCTACTAGTAAGCTCCACCTGACTTTCATCATGGCTCGTCTGGCTACTCTTCGCTGGGGGGGCATCGGTACTTTTCTGTGTCTTGCTCTTGCTGCCTCGAGACCCACGGGAGCCGCGAGAACCCCAGCTCTGGAGCGATATCATGGACCGTACGCTGCGCACGAGGGACTCGGGCGCGCACCCACCGAACTTAGCAAGAAGGGACCCGTAGCATGGGAGGCAACCGGCGATTATGGAGCAGTGTGGTTCGATGAGGAGGAAGACGAATTGCTTGGATTGAATTGCTGGAGATGTCGCGACGAGTCAGTCTTCGTTATGGCAACAAGAACCCAAGTAGGAATGGGCGATATTTACCAATAGCATCCTTGGCTTGAATAACCGAAGATAGAGATTGTACGAGGAGTACCACTCGTACAATGGATGCGACGCAGCAACTATGAGATTCTTGTTAAGAAAGGAGGTCGGCAATAGGGACAAGGGAAGAAAACCTACAAGATTCCCAGCCAGAAGATAAGCGAGACGGATATCTTCCGCGTGAAGGCCATTTGAAGTCTCGATATGAGGGGGAGTGGGAGACACAACACAAGAAAGTCTAAGGCGATGCTGGAGCCGACTTGGGCATATCCTACAGTTGCGACGTTGTAGCGGAACCTTCCAGTGTCAAGTTTCCACGGAGAGTCGAGCGGGTCGCCCTGCAAAGCCGTCAACTAGAGTTGGGGCGTAGTTAGTCTGCTGCCGCACTTCTCATCGCTATCGGGATTAGGGCTGCTTACGAGGAGGAAAATGATGCACCAACAGGGAAGAATAGATACCAAGGTCCAAACAGCAATTTTGAACCTTGGCGTGTTGAAAACTCGCTTATAGAAAAGTAGAATGGCAATCTTGACTGAGGTCAAAGCCGGCAAGGTAAGAATGGAAGCTACGTATAAGCACTGATATGGTACTTTGATTAGAGCGTGCCCGTCCAAGAATCCCCAGATATGAGCCAACCTGAAGTGACAATGTGGTCCCCCTGAGAGGGTCGATCTTGTAGTAGTCGAGACCAGTGAGTGAGCCGAAAACCCAAATATCGATACTTAAAAAGAAGGCTAAAATCTATATTGGCATTAGTAGTTAAAACATCATTGACTTCGATGCTTAACAATATGGCGATGGTGATTCAGCATTGTGATCACATACCCATGATGCGACCATCCACCAATCATCCGCAAGTAGTTTCGCGCGTTGCATTCCTCTCGCTTTAAAGCGGAGAGCTGTCGCTGCAAGTGATAGAACGGGGAAAATGACAGAGACAATCACCAAAGCTTTAGTGACTAGGCATGGTGTTGGCCCTGCAGCGGTGGCTTGCCGTTTAGTTGAGAACATCGTGACGAGCGCAAGCAGCACAACAATAGCCCGTAGCGCCGATTTCTTAGGAATACATTGGTTTAAGAGCGATGGGTAACAGGAAGACCTGATGGGTAAAAATCCCATTTTCTTCTTGAATTTGGAGACATCCCATCCCCCCCTTGTGCTACCCAAGCTCTCTGGAAAGGATGGCGGCGCCGCCCCCAACATCCCCCCATTTAATGCACATCTATTCCTACTACAAAATTTCATTTTTATTTGAAAGTACCTAGGCTCTATAGGTTACACAATAGCAAGCATATCAATCCCTGTCTAATGCTGTCTCGCACTGTTACACGTCTACATAGGTACTACGTATAGTACATATTACCACAGCCACGTATTTCTTTCGATGGGATGTTGGAGTTGTTATAGATATCACAGCCAGGATTGCTATATAAAACACTTTTAATGCACACGAAGAAGTTATTTCTACTTATGTGTAGGTGAGTTTACCTGAGCACATACTCTTCCGCGCGTTGTCTGAACTACAGGCCTTCTCAAGTATAGGTACCTATTTACTGAGCGCAAGGACCAACATGAGCTACTTCGCACGGGCGGTTACCGCTGCTGGGGCACTAAATAGACAGCATCTATTGGGAGCTGGATTTTTTTGCTTTTTCCTTGCCCTCTTTCTACTCGTCCCAAGGGATCCGAAACACGCCACAGCAAAACAGTTACTCCTCATTAACAAGCCCTTCACCTGGGAGCCTAGGTTATTCGCTCGGCTTCGCTGGGCGATATTCGCTCGCGAAATTCTCGAATTGGGATATAATAAGGTGAGTAGCATTTTTGGATTTGAACACCAGTATTGCAATACCTGAAATGCTGGATACCTAGGTATTAATACTACCATTAGTCTGAGGGCAAACCCTATCAATTAGAGCGCGGAGATGCAAACTACGTGGTGCTACCGACCAGCTCCATCCCCGAGTTGAACCGTCTGGGTGTGGACGTTCTCAACACGAGGAAACACCATAGTTTTAGCCTTCTAGGCCATTTGACCGGCATGGACGTCATACTCAAGACGAGCTACCATACGAGGACACTTTTAAGCCGAGTCAGTCCAGCCATGAACGACGTCACGCCGCCAATGGCCAAGCGCATGACGGCAAGACTGAACCGCTTATTACCCCAGGAACTTGGCCTATGGGCGTCAATCGACCCCGTAGATGTACTGGTACAGTGCATTAGTGAAGGCTTAGCCTTGACATTGTTCGGCCCACCAATTTGCGACAACCCTGAACTTATAAAGGTCTGCCATGAGCATACTAAGAATGGTAAGTAACAATGACGAGAAAGAAATTTATTTAATAATTATTATTCTAACTAATGGCAGTATTTACGCTTGCGTTTTGTATGCGTATAGTACCATACTACCTTCAACCTATCCTCGTCTGGCTGCTTCCCGCCAAGTGGCGTCTCGTCAGTGGCTGGAAAGTCTGGGACCGCATCGTGATCCCTGAAGTACGCCGGCGGCAGCAGGAAAAGGATTCTGATCTCTCTAATAGAGGCGACCTGATCTCGTGGATGCTGCGCGATGCTAAGACCCCTATTGAACGCGATGAGCATAATTTATGTCATCTTTCCGCCGCGGTCATCGCCGGTGCAACCTACAGCACAGCGAATATCGCGTCCGAGGCTCTGGTGAACCTTATGGAAAACCCGACTACTTTGAATGAACTACGCGAAGAGATTAAACAAAAGCATACAGAGATCGACGGACATGTTACAACCCAACAGGAGAAAGGCCAGGGAATAAGGACCTGGTGGGGCCAGGGTGACCAATCAGGAAAGGGTCTCTGTGGAGGTGACAGAGACTGCGTATTATGGCTTATGTAATACTCTTTGGAGGTCTCTGGGTGTGTCATAGAGACAAATAGAGAGGAGGTTTTTGTAGGTCTCTGGGGATGTCATAGAGACGAACAGAGAAGAGGTCTCTGTTTGAGGGATAAAGACCATTTTAATAGGGGATATATAAGAAGGAGGTTTCTTATGTATCTAGTTATTCTTTTAATAGTTCTTTAATTATTAATCTAAGATTATTCTTTTGAGTATAGTGAGAGGATTCCAAGCCTTTCTAACGAATAGAATGTATTTAATCACTTGACCTATTATTAATATTGTTACTTTCAAATCAAGAAACCCCGGATTAGTCAATCCAGCAACGACTATACCTCTCTGAGGCATAGGTTCGTCACAGGACAGTGGAATCTTGCCGCGTTGGACAGCCTCTACAAGCTAGACTCGGTACTCAAGGAAACATCCCGGCTCACACCGGGCGCTGCGCTCGTGTACCAGCGTGCCGTGCAGAAGGATGTTCAGCTAAGCAGCGGCGTCCAGCTGAAACGTGGGCAATTTATTGCTGTAGCCTCGCAAGAGGGTCTCATGGCCTATACTGCCAACCCAGATTCACATATTCCGAACACATTTGACGGTATGCGATTCTACAATGAGGACCTTGAACGGCACAAAGCAACTCCATTTAATGGAATAGCCGGCAAACTACTTACATGGGGCTCCGGGCGCTGGGCGTGCCCGGGCCGGTTAATAGCGAATATGATGATCAAGGTATTGATGGTGGAGCTGCTCGATAAGTATGAGTTTGAGTTCATAAAGGGCAAGAAACCAGGGGTTATTCGCATCCACGAATTCTTGATGCTGAATCCTATGGCAAAGATTAGTGTACGTAGAAGAGAAAAGCCACTCTGTGGGGTTTCGATCGCCCTAAGTAGGTAGGTAGGCAGAAACCATGATGCGAGTCTCAGTTAGGGGTGATAGGGGTAAGGGATTGAATGTGTCACAAATTGCCTACCTACCTACCTAGCCAGGTAGGTAAGTACCTATGAAGGAGTAGTAGTGAGGAATCTTCATACGCAGATAGCTCCTTTGTACTCATCTCTTAGGTACCGGCCCTCCTATAGCAATAATATAATACTAAAGGGATCTCACAATACCTCTTATGATGCAACATTTTCTATTGCTAAACTATTAGCAGAGCGGTGAGTTGTAGTTTTTTGCTTTTTGCGATGTATCATTAGACATACCTCGCATTAAATTTCCCCGTTGGTAATTATTTACTACCGTCTTCGTTGGGCGCAATTTCGTCCTCCCTTTACAATTGAAATCATAATCACACATAGCAACAAACAGCCGCCACAGTGCAATTTGGGACTATTGGAAAGACGTTGCACAACTGTTGGCAGCACGACATTTTAGTTCCCGGGAAGTACTTAATTACAGGTCGCAAATGATAATACCACGTTACCCAATACAACCAACCAGCCAATTCGCACTGTCACACAACATCATGTGCAGAAGTCTGAAAGTGTTACCCGATGGGTGGATGTTGCATACAAATGATGCCTACACGATATAGACGCCTTCAGGACTGGAAGTTTTGGGATCTGAAAATGGCATCCCCTATATCACATACGATCCACAGAATGAGCTGTCCCATGTGACTCTTCACCCCATCAAAATTGGACGCGGTTGTTAAATCTGGATATTTTCAAAGGCATCACTTCTTATTTTTAGAATTAAATAAAGCAGTTCAGTAATATGATATAATGTGATTCTAGAAATACCAATATTACTAAATAACTTTACTTTTCGGTGTTATGAATATAGATTTACAATTAAGAATCCACGGTTAACAGAGGGAATGGCTGTGGCGCTATTGTGGCGTTGAGCTTAGTTACAAAACAGAAGCAAATGGAGAGAAAAGGAGAGAAACGGCTATATTTTAATTTATAATGTGGTAATATGGTTATTTAGTTTGATTTTGCAGGGGTAGATAGATGCCTACCCTACAGGGTATCTCTAATATTTCTATGTGGAGACTTATTATACCTATTTGGACTTAGTTTAGAACCCTAGATAATACGCTCTTGGCCATTTAAGATTACCTATTATGGAAATATTTATTCATTATAAGGCTCTTCATTATCTAGGTGAGTATATATATGATAAATTATAAGGCCCGCTGTCAAGTTGGTTAAATTTCAGGAATCTACTTGGGAGGGTTTAAGTCTTTATAGCATTTTTTCCCCCCTATTAGATGGTTAAATAATAGCTCGAATTACATACATTAAGAAGGTTAATTACAACTTCGTTAATAATAACCCTAGAGTATGATCCTTCAAAGAGACCTTCACATGTTAGACCTATCAGTGATCCTAGATGCTTGAGATCATGAATTAGGCTACAGCCACATATACCATAAATGTTTAATTGGATACGCCAATGTTACAAAGGGGAACCATAAACTTTCGAGGATGGATCTGGCCTACTTCTGTAACTCTATGGAATCTGCCATGTCTGCCTTGTTGATGCCAATCTTTTGGCTGTGGTTGGGAATAGTAACACTTATGGGAAATGATATACCCTGTCCTATCCTCCCTTTTCAGACAAGGCATCCTTAAAATCACAACCACTATCCTTCCCAGCTCCTTATAAAACCCCTAACATGGTATCTTAGCCCATATTCCTAATAGATAAAGAGTTAGACCAGTGGTTACAGGGATTAAGAATAGTTCCTAACACCTTATTGAGCTATACAAGATGGTGTGATTATTTTATTTTTGGACACGAAGTCAGGCGGGTGTATTTGACAAGAAAGGAAGTAGCCAGCTTCCACTTATCTGGCGAAAGGAATCTGATAGCTAATGTATCACATATTACCCCGAGGCTTGTGAAAAAATGCCACGTCTGAGTGTTTTCTGGTCATTTCCCACGGTACTAATCCTCAAAAACATGACTAGATCATATTTACCTTGCATATTGGCAGAGAAACGGGTTCGTCAGGAGTGCCTAGACGCTGATATACAAGGAATAGGTGTGCATGGTTATGCAGTAAGGGTTAACATGGAACAGTAACAAGGAAAGGATGCCAAAATCATTATCGAGGGATTTTCTCTTGGAAATCATTGGCTTTCTCCCTACTCCCAAGTTAGCCTTGCAGTCTGCTTCCGTCATAATAAACACCGAAGTGCAATAGTTGACATAAAACCCAACGGAACCTATGTTATCTTAATAATTAGAAAAACAGAATTTTAGTTAGAAGATCTTATATTCTATTTGCCCTTTTTTTTCTTGGGTTATTTATTCTTCTCTTTCTTATTACATGATTAAATAGTAGCTTGCTTCGAAGACGCCTTTATATGTCTAACCTAGCCGTGAAACTAAACGCTCAAGGTTATAGATTTGGCCATGACCACGTTATAAAAGAGTACTCGGATATGCCGACGGGAAAACTACAGCAATTACCCAATCTAACTAATCTATATAATCTAATTAATCTAGAACCAGATCACTTAGATCAACCAGATTAATTAGATCACAATAATCTTACAACTTAAGAAAGGAGGAAGGAAAGATATCTATATAACTATAGCATATCTCATATATCTAGTCATTCCCTCAACTATCAATCTAAGGCTACAACTTCAACCGCACTGAACTATAGTGAGAGGACTCCACGCCTCTCTTACAAATAAGCAACTGTATTTTACTCCTTAATTCCAGCATAATACTGTTTAACCTTAAAATCAAGAATACCCATTCCAACTATATCTAAGCCATAGATATATATTTGTAATATATGTAAGAGATCCCCATAATGAATATTGGCAAGAAACCAAATGACGGTTAAGTATAGATAGATATTAGCTATATGACCCATATAAAGCTGCTAACCCAAAGAAATCCTTAGTATTTTCCAAATTCAATATCTTCATCACTTTTTAAAATCCATCATCTGATATAAAGAGGGCTGCGTGAAAAACAAACGAGTCCTCATCTAGATCACATATTTGACAACCATGCCGAACGAGAAGCCTCACTGTCAATTCATGAAACTTTTGCGCAACCCATATTAATGGTGTAAGACCATCATAATCCTGTATGTTCTTATCTATCCTTTCATCAACAAGAAGCAACTCTACCACAGCTTCGTAGCCCTTATAGGCTGCCCAAGAAAGTGCCATGCAACCCTTATTATCACCAAAGTATGGCTCCACATTATCATATGATAATAGTAGTTTGACAATATCTCCATGGCCCTTTTTACAAGCCAATATGAGTGGCATCCATCCGTCATTATTGGCAACTGCAAGATCAGCTCCTTTCTCGAGTAGCAGTCGAACCACTTCGAGGTGGCCCTTAGAAGAAGCCCAGTTTAGTGGCGTCCACCCGTTATTATTGGAACTGCAAGATCAGCTCCTTTCTCGAGTAGTAGTCGAACCATTTCGAGGTGGCCTTTAAAAAAAGCCCAGTTCAGTGGCGTCTATCCGTCATTATTTGGAACTGCAAGATCAGCTCCTTTCTCAAGTAGCAGTCGAACCACTTCGAGGTGGCCCTTAAAAGAAGCCGCATGAATTGGCGTCCATCTGTCATTACTTGGAACTGCAAGATCAGCTCCTTTCTCAAGTAGCAGTCGAACCACTTCGAGGTGGCCCTTAAAAGAAGCCCAGTTTAGTGGCGTCCATCCGTTATTATTTGGAACTGCAAGATCAGCTCCTTTCTCAAGTAGCAGTCGAACCACTTCGAGGTGGCCCTTAAAAGAAGCCGAGTTTAGTGGCGTCCATCCGTCATTATTGACAACTGCGAGATCAGCTCCTTTCTCAAGTAGCAGTCGAACCACTTCGAGGTGGCCCGAATCTGAAGCCGAGTTTAGTGGCGTCCATCCGTCATTACTTGGAACTGCAAGATCAGCTCCTTTCTCGAGTAGCAGTTGAACCACTTCGAGGTGACCCTTAAAAGAAGCCGCATGAATTGGCGTCCATCCGTCATTACTTGGAACTGCAAGATCAGCTCCTTTCTCGAGTAGCAGTCGAACCACTTCGAGGTGACCCTTAGAAGAAGCCCAGTTTAGTGGCGTCCATCCGTTATTACTTGGAACTGCAGGATCAGCTCCTTTCTCAAGTAGCAGTCGAACCACTTCGAGGTGACCCTTAGAAGAAGCCGCATAAATTGGCGTCCATCCGTCATTACTTGGAACTGCAAGATCAGCTCCTTTCTCGAGTAGCAGTCGAACCACTTCGAGGTGGCCCTTAAAAGAAGCCGCATAAATTGGCGTCCATCCGTCATTACTTGGAACTGCAAGATCAGCTCCTTTCTCAAGTAGCAGTCGAACCACTTCGAGGTGGCCATTATTTGAAGCCGAGTTCAGTGGCGTCCATCCGTTATTATTTGGAACTGTAAGATCAGCTCTTTTCTCGAGTAGTAGTCGAACCACTTCGAGATGGCCATTTCTTGCAGCAACGTATACAGGCGTTCTCCCTTCGTTGCTTGCAATATCCGGGTTCGCCCCTTGTTCTAGAAGACGTATGATTCCCAAACTCCAACTTTTACTCGCTGCTGCGAGCAACGCTGTGCGATTAGATCCATCAATATGGTCTATGTCTAGCCCAGCATTTTCTATCAGGTATGTCATTGTTTCTAGCATACCAAGCAACGACGCGTAGAATAGTCGACTTCCTGATTGAATATTGCCTTGATATTGCAACATATCGTCCTGTAAGCTAGGATCGCCTAATTTCCTCCACCCTTCCCATTTGGTACAAGACGGGTCGAAGAAAGCATTGGCATGTTCAATCACCCCTTTGAAGTTAAAAGCGCTGCGTTCGGTATGTCGATACCACGAATCTGTCGCATATTGCCGAAATGCTCGGATCATACGACTCTTTTCTCCTTGCCGTGACTCTTCCCATGACTCTTCCCATACTTCATTGTAATTTGTTAAGTAACGCAAGCATATTATAGCCAGAACGTTGCTTTGCACTTTCTCGTTTCCGGCTCGTAACTGCTCGTTTGGGAGTAACTCGTCTCCAGGAGCCGGCATACAGCAAAGGATATATTGTCTGACGGAAAAATGGGTTAGGTGGATGGTTAGCGCCGCGGGATCCGAGCTTGTTCCTCGAGTTTCGATCAGAGATGCGCAAAGATCTAAGATCTCGGTTGCGATATATTCGTTGTCAATTGCATCCGGAAGCTCTTCCAATAGGTCATCGCATTCTGCGTCAACAAGAAGTAGTGCGTTGGTGATCTCGAGAATCGTCATCGGACGCAAGGCGAATGTAGCCCATCTGATAATCGCCATTGCTCGGTCTCTATCGGCATCAGGTAGCTCCGTGATTCTTCTCCAGTTTCGATCGTAAAGACTACCCAAGTTCGTAGGTGCTTGCTCGACTGCTCGCTGTAGCTGTCCCTGCCCTTTCCCACCCCGTAGCTGCCCGTCTAGCATTTTAATCCATAGGAACATCGACTCGGACCGATCGACCATCTTCCGTGCAAGATCTTCCCGTTGGGCCTGGCTTTTGTTCCTTAATTTTTGGTCGACTATGCTTTGCGAGAATAGGGTAGCGTCGGGCCGAACATCGTCGGGGCCTATACAACACTCGACCAAGTCCCAATTGGCACCACTTACTTCTGCACGCAGGCCATCTCTAATATCGGGTTCATTGCGACTAACGACAATCAGTCGCGATTTGACGTTAGAAACGGCCTGCTTAAGAGACGTCAAGAATCCTATGAGAGAACTCCAGTGATCTGCTTTCCCGTCGTGCCCGGCCCCAGCGCACTCATCAAGACCATCGACAATAAAAATGCAGTTTGGCGTGCTTTGAGCGATTAACGTGAACAGCTCCATGATTTCGACCTGCGATGCGGGTCGTCCCTCGGTGGCCTCCCATCGTCCGCGCGCCAATGCGAACGCTTGTTGATCTTGAGAAATCCTCTGGGAAATCCAGGACCGTACAATAACCAAGGGGTCCGCACGGCTGTCGGAGTCAGACGAAAAGAAGTAATAGGCAAGTGGAAAGTGGGCTGCTAGATGTTCAACCACTCTTGCGCACAAGATCGTCTTGCCGTATCCGGCGGGCCCGTGGATCCACAAAACCTTGGCAATTCCCGACGAATCTGTAGCCTCCCAATTACGAAATTCGGAGCGTTCGAAGATCCAGTCGCAGGTATCGTGCAGTCGCCTCTGGATGAAGGTATCGTACATGGTGGTTGTCCAAGTGGTTCCCAACCAAGAAGCTAAGCCTCTTTTGAAATCGTCTAGGTGGATTGATTAGAGCTATCCGAGTTAAAGAGAAGGTAGCTACTTACCGATTCTACGTTTCTCTTCGTTGTCTTCGAGCATCCTTATAGTTTGTTGAAGTCGTGAAGACAAAGTTTCTATTGCATGGGCCTCTATTTTCCGTTAGGTCAAAGTAAGATATAGGACGTGCTATGTGTATGGGAACTGTATTACCTGGACCGATTTGCGTATGACCTGTGTCGCTTGGTTGTTGAGGCGGAACCAATTCACGGAGATACTGGAGCAAGGCGGCGACAAGTTCGGTCTGGTTCGATATCTTTTCCTTGCCACCCAAAGCCCAGGCAAGCTTGGTCCTTCGTGATGCCGATCCTTGGAACTTTTCAAGTTGTACCGGTTTTTTACGGCGACTATGCGGGTCCCGGGACGCCGGATCTGCCGGGCGAGACTGAGACGATATATGTGACGCGTTATTCCCTGCGTCGCCGTCGATCTCGTGAATGCATTGTACGATCTCGCGAACGATAGAGAGCACCGCGGGGCTATCGAGAGCCTTGTGGTGGTTGTCCTTAAGCTCGCCTTGGTCATATCCCACACTCTCACTCCATTGCTGGTAGGAAGCCTTAGCAGCGTCGCGCTGGACGAAATGAGGCCGTGACTCGAGATCAAACTCCTTATAAGAGTTGACCGCCTCGTGGATATCCCGAACGGTGCCGAACAAGCCAGCTAGCCCTACGACACCGATGCCCAATCCAGCGGCTTCCATAGCCGTAGATAACTCGCCGTCCTACGTGCGCAGAATTAGATGGTATCTAGTAACGATGCAAAGAGGTTGTAGGAAGCCTAATCGGCTCATTTACGCTGAGAGACTTGGAATAGTATCCAAGTGCTTTACCTTATTTCAATAGGTTGCAAGATATGAAAGCAAGTCATAAATGTCACCCTAAGCAGGCTGGCAGAGCCTTATCTGACAGGCTTGCCGGAGGGGGTGGTGCGCAGGAACCAGGCGGCGGGCAATGCATAGGTTTTGCCAAGTGGCAGTGTTTTCGCAGTGCTCCATACATATACGTCTACAACCAATAGATTTGCATGCACCACAAGAGAGACTTCAATCGATAGGCTGACATGAAGGCATATTGCTGAGTACAGCATCCATACAGAACATAGCGACGAATGCTTCCAAGGTTAGGATGAGCGATTGGAACAATAATTCTTTTGATATTAAAAGATAAGCTTGAGCTTTTCAAGCACCATTTTAACCGTGTGGACCCACTTTTGTATACCCCACGCGAATAATACCTTCTACATTAACTTGACACTTTCTCAACCAAAATAAATAATAAAAATTAGCAAAAAAGTATCTACCTCTTCTTAAGCCACTTCTTAGGTCGACTACTTACTTTTACAATAATTTCATTAGCGTCTTGTGGCTCAGGCACTTCCAACGCTCGAAGCCTCTTGTCCTGAGCCGCCCTAATCTCTGGCAAGCTAGCAAACACCTTATTAGGATCAGGGATAACTGTCTGACGTACGTCACTGGCATATCTATCGAGTTTGATACGCAAATCCTCGTTTTCTCGGCGGGCCTGTGCAAGCTCACTTGTACTAGTGCCGAGTGTCATACGGGGATTGGTGACAAGTGGCTATTGGGCCACAGAAGGCGGCCACAGCTGGCGGATAAGTCTGGTACTGGGATATTACTGGTGGTCAACAGGTCAGGAGGACAGCGCCTAATATGCAAGCTGCGCCAACGCGAGGTTATTCAGAGAAGCCTAATGTATATTGTACAAATTACAGATTGAGGATAAAAAGGTTGATTGATTCCTCTCATCTTCTGAGAAGATCAAGGACCTTAGGACCCCTGAGATTTATTAGTTGAATTGAGACTATTGCTCAAAGTTATTATCCCTTGTCACAGTAGGATCTATATAGCCAGTTTTCCAGGGACAGCTACATTCTCCTCAAAGCTTCGATTGATGAAGGTTTGAAATTGGTTCTGATTATTATTTGCTTCCTGTCGTAGAAATTCCCCAAGAGAAAAGCAGGCTGTATATTTCTGAGCCAGGTGTTTGCATTGGGTATCTTTGCTTACCTCAGGACTACCTTAACTTTAATTAACGCTTAGCTTATTTATGCCATAGATTATGGTATATTTATTAATTAGAAAAATATATTGGACGTTTGGTAGAGAAAGATTTTATTGTTCTAGGCTTGCCTTGTCAATATTAGCTAAAGTTGGATCTTTGATGTATTTAATATGAGTTTTAAAATCTTCTAGGTCTTGAGTTTCCAGAAATATTTTGCTGTATCGTAGAGTTTGGACCAAGGGTTTAAACTTGTCGGCCTAATAAACAAGTCTTGAGATTGGAGTTTGATGTTCATTATACTCTGCCAGTCGAGCTCGGAGAGTTTCGATAGTAGGGGAAGGAGCCAGGCATTGTAGGAAATCCATGGTAAGGTTTTCTTCGGTCCTTTTGTGCTTTTTGTTGACATGATCTGCCGGGGTGTAGTCACCTATGATGGCCTCAGGAAGGTCATACACGATAGCCATTTCCAATGCCTTGAGTCTGGTTTCCGCAGGCAGCTGTTCGGTAGCCTGTAAGATCAGTAGCAAAACCCCAAAAGTGTAGTCAGCGACCGACTCCCCATCCTTGATATCTCATTGGACCTAGCTAGTATATTAGGTTTCTTTGATTTGTATGTATATTTAAAAAAATTCTAGACTCATGTTATCTATCTTTATGCATATAGTAAATTGATAAAAGCTTTTATTACGTTAGAGGAGACCCCTCTTTACCTTACTTAACCTAATAAGACTTAATTAATATTATTAATTAATCAATCCTGAAATGACTAATGGATTAATTAAACTGAAATATTTAATGAAATTTTTAGGGACCCCTTTATTAAAAAATGTATAATAATAACCTTTTCTAAAAGATAATTAATTATTATTTGTTACGTTCCAAGCTGCGGGGTAACACATATAATATAGAATTGGGGAACAGTGACCAATTGGTCACTGGGAAGCTTTTGCTTTATGGCTCAACTGGTTGTCCCCAAACTAGTTCGTGACAAATTAGTTATCTTTAAAATAGTTTGTAATAAGCTATTTATCAATAAGATATTAATAATCAAATATAGATTAAATTGAATTTATAATAGATTATTTCATTCAGGCCATTGGAATAGTTATTTGTTATATAGATATTAGAGCCAATGCAGAAATCAGATAACATTGGTGAATATAATTAGGTAGCAATATTGAATTACAAATTGATGTTATTTTGTTGTTAGGTGAATGAGGTGGCTAATGAGGCCATCCCTATATGTATAGTTAATAACATAAGAAAACCCTCGTTTATAACAGCAAGGGAGGAACTACGAAAAGCTGCCCCAGGCAGCTCAGAAAAGCATAATAACTAAGTTCAATTCCCTTTTATAAAGGAAAGAAAGAAGCAAGGCACTCGTCAGGACCATAATCAATTATTAGATTGAATCATCAAATTACCTATTCCAAGCTCTAAATCACTAACCCTTGTTACACCATTGAAGAAAGCTTACAATTTGATATAGGATTGATGCGTTTACATGTAAATAAGTGGCTGATATTTCAGTTTGCTAAGAAATATGCAAATCTCACGCCTCCGTATATCGAACCATCTTGCGCGGCGATATCCACGATATCCATCAAGAGAAAAATTCTCAACGGCGGGAACCATCAAGCGATAATTCTATTTTGTGTCTATTGTCGGAAAAGGGAATGAGTACCTAGGTAGTCTGCCTCGAGGGGATACCATTATTACCAAATTCAACGCATCATTGTGGCTTGAACTTGCAGCAATGCACCCCCACGTTTTCATCACCGATGTCTCTTTCGAGCAAATGTCGTCAATGTCGTCCTAATTGCCCGTCGTCTACGGTTAGTTGTTTGGTTTCTCTAGCGAGTAGCTGGTACCAATTTGGACCCTTGCATACCTAGGTACTTTGATCAGCCAAGGCTTTCCTTAAGTCATCGTTGAACTTGATCCCGAACTTGCCAAGATGGAAATATCAAGACATATTCCCAGCTCAACACGTACTAATTCCTCGAGCTAAACGAGATATAGATATGATTTCTCAACTGCATCGTCGATATCAATCACATCAACATCATATTGAGTGGATAAGAGCTGTGATGCAATTGATAGACCACCTCCTTACCGTATTGTGTGGGGGGAGCATCGATCGATAACACCATCGGGTTACCACATGTTAATTGCTCTGCTACTTTTGGGTTCTGGCTTCGCATTAGTTTCATTTGGTCGTTCATCAAAAAGGTTCAATTCACACGTGCTCACGACATAAGGCTGCGTCGCATACTAACCGGAATAGCCTCTATTGGGCGACAGACGAGTTCTAGTTTGCTTCTCGTCGTTCTAGAATGATTCTATTGTAGGAAGGCAAACGGAGACAGAAGTTCTCGGTTGACCCGATGTCTGGTTAGTTTTCTTTAGCTTCAGGGCCTCCCTTGTCTGTAGGTACCCGGGCGTCTGGGCGGACAGGGGATCGCGTACCCCATCACACTCCATAATAAGCCTTTCAGAGCGGGAGATCTATCCACGTGGGGTCAACTATGAGTTTCCATTGGTTGATATTGACATCCAGGGTCTACGGGGGTGTTGTTCCCCGCCAAGAGCCTCAGCCCACAGACGCGCAGCGAACCAGGTGCACTAACTCATCAACCTTCAACTATCATCGTCGGATATTGAAATCCTCTTTGATGCGGCCAAGCTGCGCCAAGTCAATTCATTCTACCAAACCTACCAATTCTGCCTCGACATCCATCCCCTTCACCAGGTCGGTATCCAGCCGGGCAGGCCTAGATGGAATGTAATTGGCATGATGAGTGGATTAAGCGAGGGAGGGGAGGGGGTGAGAAAACGGCCGACACGGGCGCGCTTGATTGAAAGAAGGTGGCTTGCCGAGCTGTTCTGGAGTAGGATATCATGCTTTACGAAAGTACCCAGCGTTATGATAGTAAGTTATTAGTTAACCTGTTAGTCAATATCCTCCAAAGCTAACTAACTAATTGACTAGCTAGCCTGGCTTTGTATGTTTACATCCCCCATGCCCGTGCCACACCCCTCGGTGAGGCCATATGAGGTAGCAAGTTTAGGTAAAAATGCCAATACATGTGCCAATACTCTTGCGAGGAGGGTGTGAAATCCTAAGGGAGAACGAAACCGATCTCTCCAACGTAGGGCATATATAATCTTCCTATCTCTCCCTATCTTTTTCTTCACTTCTATCCCTTGTTTTGCGACAACCAACCTCATCGTTCTCGAGACGACATCTTAATCAACAATAGCACGGACTTAAACAGTCACTTGTTTACTTTCTGCTGCTAGGTCGACGCGTCAAAATGGCTCTCGATGAATACACCTACGTCTTCGTCATAGGCACTCTGTTTGCCATGCTCGATGCTTACAACAACGGTGCCAGTAAGTCATTAACCCTCTCTTGTCTAAGGCACATTATATACACACCTAAACATGATACTAACTGCTTATTTCAACAGACGATGTAGCGAATTCCTGGGCAACTTCGGTCTCATCGAGGTCCATCTCGTACCGACAAGCTATGGTCCTAGGCACGATATTCGAACTTCTAGGCGCGATAACAGTCGGTGCACGAACCGCCGAGACTATCAAAAACGGCATCATCCCCTACCAAGCTTTCAATGGTAACCCTGGTGTTCAGATGCTCGCATTTACATGCGCTTTGGCAGCTGCTTCGTCCTGGGTTATGTGGTGTACCCGACATTCCGCTCACGTATCTTCGACATACTCTCTTATATCCGCCGTCGCTGGTGTCGGTGTCGCGACCGTCGGCGCCTCACAAGTGGAGTGGGGTTGGAATAACGGTAAGGGTCTCGGCGCTATCTTCGCCGGTTTGGGAATGGCCCCTGTCATCGCCGGTGGTTTCGGCGCTGCCATTTTCATGCTCATCAAGCTCGTCGTTCATATCCGCAAGAACCCCGTTCCCTGGGCTGTCTACACATCGCCTTTCTTCTTCCTCATCGCCGCTACCATTTGCACCTTGTCTATTGTCTACAAGGGCTCTCCCAGTCTTAATCTGAATAAGAAGCCCGGTTGGTACGTCGCTGCCGTTACGGTAAGCTGCGGTGCCGGTGTCGCTATCCTATCTGCTATCTTCTTCGTGCCCTTCCTACAGGCCCGCATCATCAAGAAGGACAAATCCGTCAAATGGTGGATGTTCATCTACGGTCCCCTTCTTCTAAACCGTCCGGAACCCGAGTACTCCGAACGCGCCATCGTACCCAACTACGCCGTCATCCAAGAAGACGAAGAAGAACAAACCTCCACCAACTCCGAATCTCTCTCCGACACCATCCGCCCAGCCTCAAACCCCTCAGAAGAAAACGAGAAGAAGGCGGCTACCCTCGAAACCAAGACCTACAAAGAAATCGCCGCCGAAGGCGAGAGCCGTCTCCACGCCAAACTCATCCAAGGTCGCGGACCCATGGGCTGGGCCATGCGCACGCTCCGCGACAACCCGATGGGAGCCGGCGAAATCTACGAACTGCACAATATCCGCATCCTCCTAAAACGCATCCCGGCAATCGTAACATGTGGTCTACTCTACGGCGTCCACTACGACATCCACGCAGCACAAACCGGCATCGCAGGAACCCCCGAAGGGAAACGCATGCAGCGCGTATACGCGCACGCGGAGAAATACCCGAATGAAGTCGAACACACGTATTCCTTCGTACAGATCCTAACCGCGTGCACCGCGTCTTTCGCCCACGGGGCTAATGATATAGGAAACTCGGTTGGGCCTTGGGCTGTGGTGTACTCCGCGTGGAAGACGGAGAGTACGTCGGGATCTTCGCAGCCTGTTGAAGTATGGCAACTTGCGGTTCTGGCGCTTATGATTTCACTCGGCCTTTGCACGTATGGGTATAATATTATGAAGGTTATGGGGAATAAGATTACGTATCATTCGCCGAGCAGGGGGTGCTCGATGGAGATGGGTGCTGCGATTACGGTGCTGGTTTTCTCGCAGTACTCGTTGCCGGTCTCGACGTCCATGTGTATTACCGGTGCTACCGTGGGTGTGGGGTTGTGTAATGGCACGTTGAAGGCGGTTAATTTTCAGAGGGTGGGTTTGTTGTTGTTGTCGTGGATTATGACGATTCCGGTTGCTGGCACGTTGGGTGGTGTATTGATGGGTTTGTTTTTGAATGCGCCACATTTTAATCAATCGTGAGGAGTGGATTGATCTCTTGGGTGGGGTGGATAAATGAAACGAAACGAAACGAAACGAAAAGAAGAAAAGAAAAAAGACTCAGGCACTGACTCGACTTTGCGCACGGTCGCAAAGCGATGCGATGTGGTGTTTTGATATTGTACAGATACGCGATCATGTTGCTGTATGAGGGACGCATATTCTGGTAGATGGGTGTTGCATACCACATAGAACGACACGGGATACTGGATGGATGGACACATGGGTTGTGTCAGTCAATTAACGGTTCGAAAAGCAAAGGGGTGTTGTCGGGGTAGATCCTATTGAGGCATTTTACGATCTCGAATTATCTGATACCTAAGAATATCAATTGGAAACTTCAATATCTCTTGAACTTGACCGTGTGCGATGTTTGACGTTACGTGGAGATAGTTCGAGTTGGGGGTTCCGCAATAGGGGTGAGTTGTCTATTTAATCCAAGAACTTCAACCAATCCAACATGTTAACTGCCTAGGATAAAGATCTCGCGAAGAATTCAATTGAGTAGCGTTAGCTCATGTCAAACTTAGGACAGAAGTAATTTCAATTGAATTGGAATTCCATTCACCTATTCAAATCTTCAACCGCAGAGCAATTCACCAAGAACAGAAACAGTAGGTTCAACATAATTAATATCAACACCTGCAGTGAGGGACATGTGAAAAAAATAGACTATAATTGACACTTCTAATAGAAATCGAACCTAAACCTCTACTAAACTAGAATACAATATCTATATGAATGCCCTCTCATATCAGAAACCACCATCCAACCTCTTAGCCGCAAGACCAAGGCAGTAATAGGAACAAGCCTAACCCTCGGCCTCGGCTTCCTTTGTGGATTTTGACGGCTATCCAGCCTGTCGCCCCCAATGGCACGTCCCAGGACATGCTGGCGCTCCGTGTCGCCGCAGCTTTGCGTGCCGCCACGGCCGATCTGACTGACCCACCGGCAGGCCTCACCAACGGACTTGTGCTCTCGGATGATGTGGTTGCCCGCCTGAACGGACAATTGCGGGTGTGCGTTGCTAGATGGTGTAGTCGACTCTTGAGCTGGCTCTGGTTGGCAGGGTATGTGCGGGTTCCAGGGGACGTGAGCTACCAGTCGAACTCCAGCTTGGTCGGCTTGGTCCTTGACCATGTAATGGCCCTGGAATCGGTCGTCAATAACGATGGAGAGGCACGCCCGATCCCTAGACCAGTTTCGTCAAGGGAGAACCGAAGATTCCGGGAAGAATTAGAGGGCGAAATCCGGGTCACGCCAGAGCCTAGCATCGTTAGCTTCGTTGATGCCGAGTGAACTCGCTGAAACTGCCCTGAGTGACTGAGTCGCTAGAGATTGCAGCGGGTAGTGTATCCTCGACTTGGACTGAGTGCACTCGGGCTTGTGTTGAATCTGTCGACCTGCCTTCTGGATTGTGGTGCTCAACCTGCTTTCGTGCTATTGAAATTGGATATACTTCTAAGCCCGGTATATTTCCAGTACCAGTACCAGTAATGAATAGCTACCATGGGTATTGCGACAGGAGCAGTCCTGGTTGCAGTGAGAAATGCGATCATTGGCGACTTGATTCGTATTGCTGTATAGTTTGCCGGTGAAGAATAAAGATGTTACAAAAGAGAAGGATCTAAAAGAGCATGGGCAAAGTTGGAGCAATACTTGTGGCTTCCCGTAGTTGCTGAGGACCCAGTGTTGGATGACTGATATATGAACAGTAGCGGACGCAGAGCTCCTGTAAGCCCATTTCCACCCCCAAGGGTCCACCTGGTCTTTGTTGTACGACGAGTCGGGTCGATTCTAACTAGGTCGTCGAAGATCAGGCTACTAGGAGGGGCCAAGAGGAGGCGTAGAGGGTGGAGAGGGTGGGGAGGTTCTCCTTCAATCTCATTGCCCCGGGCAAGAGACTCACGCAAGGCTAATAAGGGTTGCTGTGACGTTGCAACACAGATGACAGGGTTGTTGACTATATGCATGTGGGTAGGATTGAGTTGGGTCTGGGTGGGCTACTCTTTCTCTAGGGTCGTCTTGGTGATAAGGTAGGTTGGGTGCAGTTAGAGGTAAGTAAAGAAAGTGGTGACGAGACTTGGAGCTGTTGGGGTTGTTGGCTGGCTGAAGGCGAGTGCTTGGCCTGCTAAGGGTAGGTGCTCGGTTATCAAAGACAGTGAAGCGAGTGAACCCGGCTTGGTGATGGCGCAGTCGACAATGAATAAGCTGGTTCCAATGCGGGAGCAATCGAAAGAGAGAGAGTTCGATTAAGTAAAGGAGTGACCAGGCATGAGCGTGCTCGCTCCATGATCGGGGTGTTAGTGCTCGCCTCCCATGAAGCAGGTACAGAAGATGCGCGGGTCCCGTGATCGATAGATGGAAGTGAAACCTGTCTCATGGGCATCTCAATCGAAGGCGTATAGACAAGAGATGAGAGGATACCTAGGGTGGTAGTGGGAGCTGTCGCTGTTCAGGGCTGGATGAGTGTTCAGAAGACCATGAGTAGTTGGAACAGAGAAGTTATCGTTAGTTTGGATACCAGACATATTGATTCGGAGAAGAATGATGAGAGAAGTTGAGTGAAGATATTAAGAGGAATTAAGAGGGTGATGAGAGGTGAAGATGTTGGGTGGAAAGGTGGGAGAGAAATCTGGGATTTCCGCGGGCTTTTATAGCTACAGGATGGAATAACCGTCGGACCATCCGAGGAAGCATCAATGTCGTAATAGATCGCGCAGCGTCACGCGAAAGTTCTTTCATATTTGGCGAGAAGGTCTCGTGGACCTGATGCTCCTGTTTCAACTATGGGGTGGCTTCCCAAAGGGTTGACAGACGCTGCGTCTTACGGGGTATCTTCAGCATCTGCCTAGATGTATATGTAGGTGAAAAGTTAACTTTATATTCGAAAAACGGCACTTAGGAGTTCGTAATTGCACTTACAGTACCGTGATATCTACAAGGGACGATCTGGTCGACTCTGGACACTTACCTGGACATGTGTTCATTCATGGCTAGTAACAATGAATCCAACAGCTAAAGAGCGCATATCAAAGGGGTAAATAAGCTATAATCTCTGGAGAAGTCACAATATCATAACAGGTACCGTTTAGAGATAATCGATTCAGATACAAAGGTATAAAAAACGTAATATATTCCGTAAAAAACGTCATATACCTCATATTACTCACAAAATAAGCGCAAATCTTAATAGATATCGCGCCATATATGTACGTAAGTTCACTCAGATGTAGAAGTCGCGAATGAGGGCACAATGTGAAGATATATTAACTCGCCAGACACACCCATGGACGCTACTGCTCTGTTTGACGGGATCTGCCATCGTGACTCGATAGTAGCGTGATATAACGTTTGAACTTTGGCGTCTAATTTTCGGTTATTCGGCTCCTGTCTGCCTTGGAAATAGGTGCCGAAATCCGTTGCCTACATGTATGTGGTTGTTGTACTCGCCATACAAGGAAAACTGATATGGAAGCAGCAAAGACCTCTCAAAGAAGTGTGATAGAGGCAGGCATGAGCTAGACGCAAGGCGATAACAGGGCGAAAAATATTAGGACGGTAATGACCTATCACAGACTTGGGTGGTGAAGCTATGTTAACTCAGCATGAATGGTACCTGGATTCTTAAGTGGACAAAAAATTCAGGTACCCACTGATGGGGCCATAGCTGTGCCTACCTTAGCGTAATTGTAGTATTTTCAGCTGAGATCCCATAATTTCGTGCTATACCCAATATTCTCGTCCTAGGAGTGGGTGGTTGGTGCTGAGCCACTCCCTCGACACCTTCACTTCTCACAACAACAACAGCGCCCCCACACTTCTTAAACAATTTTTAAATGGTATATATGCATTGTATTGATCATCGAGAACATTTGCGCAATTCTCAATATTTTTTTTTAATTTAATTCACCATGCGTCTCTTGAACGCGCATACCCTAAAGCTGGTTGAATTTGCTGGTCGTGATGTTCCTGAATACGCCATATTATCCCATACTTGGGGGCAAGAAGAGGTGACCTTCGAGGATTTATCTACGGGCGCGGGAGGAATAGATATCCGTAATAAGCTTGGATATGCCAAAATCGAAGGATGTCGGAGACAGACGTTGGAAGGCCGATACGAATGGTTCTGGGTCGATACATGCTGCATTAATAAATCTAGTAGCGCCGAGCTGTCGGAAGCACTCAATTCGATGTATACTTGGTATCATAGGGCTGCTGTCTGTTATGCGTATATTTCCGATGTTGCTGGTTCCCCAGAAGACGATGAGGTTCTTGGATCGAGAGACTTAGCTTTTCGACAAAGCCGTTGGTTCACGAGAGGATGGACGTTGCAAGAGCTTTTAGCTCCAAGGCTGATATTCTTTTACGATGCTTCGTGGACCTTTATTGATGATCGACTAGGCTTGTCCAATATTATTAGCGACATAACTGGTATTGGCATTGATTGCATTCGGGACCCTCACATCCATACACCGAGCGCAAGTACAGCTTTGAAGTTATCTTGGGCGTCGCGATGGGAAACACTACGGGAAGAAGATATGGCATATTGTTTAATGGGTTTGCTGGGGGTGAACATGCCGCTTTTGTATGGCGAAGGCGGTGTTAGAGCTTTCCAAAGGCTCCAGAGTGAAATTATGAAGGATCATTACGACCACACCATTTTAGCTTGGGGATTGAAGACGAGAAGGACCCCTCTGCGATACTGGTTCGGACACATGCCACTGTTAGCTTCGTCGCCAGCATTTTTTAGTGGTTGGGATGCGCTCGTTGAGCCCATACCACCCGAAAGTACGCACTACGTCGCGACAAATCTGGGATTGCTGATCCAACTCCCAATAACATTCCTCGACACCCAAGAAGAAATCGCGTTAGGACTCCTCGAATGTTGCGGTAAATCGGGTGGAAAGCGTGTCGCCTTGCCGCTGACCGTTAAAAGCCGACCCAATGCTGCACCACTTGGAACAAGATGCCGTGGCATCTCCCCCTTCATGGTTCCCCAAGAACTTACTGCGTGCTCGACGACAAGACTTACCACCCTTTACCTCCGCAATGCTGAAATTAACGAGACATCCAACTCAAATTTCCACGATACCATTGATTGGCGTCGTCTCGACGAGAAAGGTTACAAGCTTGCCGATTACTTCCCACCCAACAAATTCCACCCGGCATACCCCTACTGTGGATTCTTTTCCAGTGGCGATAACGTCGACCTCCTCCTACGATTCCGACATAATTCCCTCGCCGATTTGCTCCTCCTATACTGCCGCGACGCGATCGGTCTTCCTAAAGATAGCTCGGTGCGAATATTTAGAGGCTACGCCGTCCTAGCTACCACCTCTTCCAATCCTAGTCATCCAGTTACGTCCTGGGAACTTCTCTTGCGACCAGACTTCCATAACATCGATTTTGAGCAGCTCAAGACGTCTTTCCAATGGAATTCCACCATTAGCGTTGCTCTAAACAATACCGACAAGATCCACGACTCTTCCAACCATATTCTTTCCCCTCCATCATCAAAGAACAATCTCCAATTCGTCTTAAAAAGAGTTCCCGGCGAAGAAGGCGCAAGCATTCTGTTGGTAGACTCCGTTGTACCCTAAGCGAGCGAGTTACGAGTAAAACCGGATTCCTGTACGACATGAGGGGTTGGCAGGTGCGACGATATTCACCCTTTATGCACAATAGCATCGTGAATCTACCTTTGATTGGTTATTGAGTGTCTATTTACACTTAAGCATTAAGGACCATTAGTGGCTGCGTTGTTAGTAATTGACGAACAGCAAGAGCTCAGAACACATAACGCTTTGCTTCATCGCACCTCCCATCACGGGTTATGTTACACAGGTGTTGTATCCTTGAAGACTTACCTAGGTCTCTTAACTCCTCCGCATCGCACTTGCGTCCTATTTCGCCTTTGGTCAAACTCCTCGTCATTGGCTATATGCGCCTTTAGCTAGGAGTCCGATCAATTACGCGAATGGTAGGGATGGGATAATTGTCTCTCTCCGCATCGACGCACAACTCACGGTGCAAAATGACAACTCGAAGCCTGGCGACTGAACTTATCAATACCCAAATAAGCAACCCGCCTATATACACCATATCCAACACCGCTCAAACCACTGCGACTACGCAGCATCACATCAAACCCCCAGTACCTGGAAGCTATTAATCAAAGGCGTAGCATTCGCCTGTGTGATACGCAAACGTATCTGACTCGTCTCAACCGGCTCATCCAACGTATCAATCCTTTTATACCCCAACGATGTACCCCTGACAAGCGTCTTATAATCACCATCCACAAGCCCATCGATCACATACCCACCGATTCGCTGGCCTAAGGCGATATGCTCCTGCGTAATAAACGCATCAACAGTATGATTACCCCCAAGGTCAATCTCAATCGAACCAGTAGTTTCCTCGTCGGTAATTGCCCAGTACGTAGTGAAATTGCCATCGAGTACGTTACCCGGTCCAAAAAATGTGGAGTTATCATCGCGAATGCTGCTTGCGTTTACCTCGAGACCTGGAGTGAGGAGTGTGCGGTTGAGGAATGCGTCCCGTTGGGCTTTGAATTGGAGAAGAATATCTACGTCGCTTTTGACGATTTGACCCGTGGTATCGGGTGGGACGTCAAGGAGTAGATTTACGCTTCGCCCTACAGATTGTAGGTACATGTCCATCAATGTGCTGGCGGACTTGGGTCTCTCGGTAGCGTGGTAGAACCACCCATTCCGTATCCGCGCGTCTGCTTCCGCTGGTGTCCAGTATGTGCCATCCCGCACACCAGTCTGCAACTCGTCACCGGAGTAATGCTCCTGATCTTGGGTTCGGGAAATGGAGTGCCAGTTCGTGGCTACCGTCACCCCATCCTCGTTTCCTACCCATCGTGCATCCACACCTTGGTGGCCCCACATAATGGCACTTGGTTGGTGTTCACGGATGATGTTGCGGAAGTTGGTCCAATTGAAGGTCTGCACGGTATTAGACCCGCTATTTCCGTCAAGCCATAACTCAGATAGCTCAATGGGTGTGCTATCTTCGTATTTCATGGTGACTAGCTCCGTCAATTGTTTGGCGTAGAATTCGTTGTAATCTCCGGGGCTGTTATCTCCGAAGATTTGTGGCTCATCATATAATGTGTCGGCCAATTTCGCCTTGGGCATGGCAGGGTCGCGGTGTATGTCCCATGGAGATAAGTAGATGCCGAATTTGATACCATATTTCTTCGCGGAAGCAGCTGCTAGTTTCACCACGTCGGCACTGAGGCCTTGGGCGGTGCGGTTTTTCGCCCAAGCTCCATTGCCAATTTTGTATGTGGTAGTGTTGGTGTCCCACAACGCCATTCCATCATGGTGTTTCGCAGTCAGAATCATAGCCGCCATACCGGCATCAGCGAAAGATTTGGCCCATTGGTCGGTGTCCAGCGCCGCTGGCTTGAACACATCAGGAGTGCTCTGACTACGTCCCCATTCTTCACCCGTAAATGTATTGGGACCAAAATGAACGAATGCATAGTATTCTAGGCGATGCCATTCAAGCTGCTCAGCAGACGGAGTCTGTAGATAAGCAGCAGGCGGATCTTGCCCACAAACCGTCGTCGCGAACCAATACACAGCAGCGATAAGCAGCACCGCCCATCTTTGACCTGACGAAGATCTCATCCTTGTCGAGATCGCCATTACAATCTATAGAGTACGGTGAAAGTACGTTGCGTATGTATGTTGCGGCTGTAGTGTATGCTTGGCGAAAAGAAAGCCTCAACATTATTTTAGGACCATGTTTTAACTAACAGAAAAAACGCTATCAGTTGTGCTATTTCGGTTATGTAGCATTCTGATATATTTTCCCGGCTTTTCTTTCCCGTATCGGGCGGGGACTCTGGCTTCGATGTTGCTGCTGTGCACCATGACTGGCGGAAGTTCGCCTGATATCCGCCGTATTCCATTTTGGGAAACTGCCTAGAATGTGAATGTTACTAGAAGACGCTTAAACAGTTCTCGGAGTATTAAAGCTTTAGGAGTTAAAGATAAAATATTAGTATTATTGGATATTAGTAACTGAAGAAGCTAGTCTTTTGCTTATAAGTTACAAGATCGAATCCCGCCACCGGAAGGGTGACTGAGGGATAATAATTGCAATGACAAAACAATAAGTTCACCTCGTCAATTGTCGCAACCTGATAGAAAGGATGGAATATTATAACCATAACTACCTAGGTAGCCACAAGGCATTGTCGAATATCTCGATAGCATATAGGGGAATATACTATGAAATATCTAAGTCTCGCACTAAAAATGAAGGCATTCGATTTGATTCAGTAATAAATAGTACGAAGGTTATTAACAATTGTTAGAGGGAGACCAATTTGTAAGCAGCACTAATACAAACGAAAATTCGGTGGCGGGGCATCGCAATTCGCATGCCGAAATCTTACACCATATCACGTGATGACGTCATCCTCTAGGATCGTGCCATCGGCGTTTGGAGCTCGTCCGACCTGAACCGACCTGAACGAACCTTCGTTGACTAAACAACGGCAAATCACATTTTATCTCAATCTTCGAAAGAAAATATCCGGGATCTTGAGTCTTTTCTTTCTCTACCACTCAATTGATTCTCTATACACATCCATTTCTTCCACCCAATCCTCTTATTCCTCTTTACCACATGAAAATGTTTGCCAGATCTGCATTCCGCGCGGCCCAGCCGTTGAAGCGGGTAAGTTACATCACGCAATCTCTTCCCGGAGCTCCGAGCTCTGCCTTGAGCTCTCGGAGCTTCATCCCATCATAGCTTCTACTCAATTGAATTCAATTGGATGCTAACAAGTGCACTCTACGCTCTAGAACCTTATCTCCCGTAGCTACGCTACCGAACCCGCCAAGGGCGGATCCTCCAACACCCTCCTCTACACCCTCGGCGCTGTAGGCGTAGCGGGCGCCGGTTACTACTTCTTCGCATCGCCCTCGGCGAAGGATTCGGTCGCAGCTAAGGCTAAGGAGGCAGCCAGCGGCCCACCAAAGAAGGCTTTCACGGGCGGCGACCAAGGCTTCATTTCTCTGTTGTTGAAGGATGTCCAAATTATCAACCACAACACTAAGAAGTTCATCTTCCATCTACCCGAGGATGACCAGGTGTCGGGTATGGCAGTCGCCAGCGCGCTCCTAACTAAATACCAATACGAGGGACAAAAGCCCGTTGTGCGACCGTACACTCCTACAAGTGACGAGGGTAAGCTCTTTCCATATAGGCGGGGTGAAGGCACGGTGGACTCTAGCTAATATGCGACCTATATAGATACCAAGGGCTTCATTGAGCTCGTAGTCAAGAAATACCCCAATGGCCCCATGTCGACACATCTCCACGACATGGTTCCGGGCCAGCGCCTCGACTTCAAGGGCCCTCTCCCGAAATACCCGTGGACAGCCAACAAGCACGACCACATTGCGCTAATCGCCGGTGGTACGGGTATCACGCCCATGTACCAGCTTGCCCGCGCCATCTTCAAGAACCCAGATGACAAGACTAAGGTTACGCTAGTCTTTGGTAACGTCTCTGAAGAGGACATCCTGTTGAAGCGCGAGTTCGAGGACCTCGAGAATACGTACCCCAACCGCTTCCGAGCTTTCTACGTCCTCGATTCCCCGCCCAAGGAGTGGACTGGCGCCAAGGGCTACATCACCAAGGACCTTCTCAAGACAGTCCTCCCCGAGCCCAAAAACGAAAACATCAAGGTCTTCGTCTGCGGTCCCCCGGGTCTGTACAAGGCCATCTCTGGCACCAAAGTCAGCCCGACGGACCAGGGAGAGCTCTCCGGTATCCTTAAGGAGTTGGGATACTCCAAGGACCAGGTTTACAAGTTCTAAGTTTTGCCTTGCCTAAAGCACACGAAAGAGCAAGATTGGGCGAGAGCGCGGTTATAGACTAACTGGTGTCGGCGCGAGAGGCGTCGGCTTTGCTTTTTCGTTCTCGCTTGTATCCGCTGCAGCGAGTTGATCTGGTTGATTAGGTATCTAGACTCTTGCGTGGAATAGATGGGGAATTGCCCCTTAGCAACTCGCATTACCTGTACTTTGTAGCTTGATCCTGTGTAGCTTAACACTACACGGGTTTGATTACCGAAAGACTCTTCACGACATCTGTTTCTCCATTGGCGCCATTGATGATGTTTGCTCGTTCTTGTGTTCTCCGCGGAGGTTCATCGTGTCAAGACACGCCCCCGTTTACGATGATGTTATTTGCTAATCTGATCTATTGACTAATGCTCATCAAATACAGGATATCGTCAGCCTCGCTCTCCCCGATGAGGTGATTCAGGATAATTCGGCATCGTCATCCCCTCTTTAACGTGCTCGCCAAGATTCCGCATTTAAATTGACACCGGCCAGGCCATAACCGCCCGCCCCCTTTCTCTCCACGTGAAATCGCCAACCTCGCTTTCGGTCTGAATCTCCCAAGACAGTAACTAGCTCGCCAGCAATATCGCGGGAGCAAAACCCGGTCGGTGAGCCTCTCAACGATTGCGCAATCTGATAGATGACGAGTCTCGCGACGAGAATAGCAACATCAAGGCTGACCGACCGGGTAACTATATCGCTCGCCTCTTCATATCGATGTGTAAGACTACGACATGACGCTAGAGCACAGCATATCGAACAAACCTTCTAGACCTGACTCTAGAAGCCTTTCCATCTAGAATGACAGCAATTCCATTAGTAACAGAATTGCTAGCACGCGTCAGCCCAATATAGTTCCTGGCCCCCGGATATATCCTTGCATTGAAGAATCACACCAGAAGGATGCTGGAAACGACGTTAAGCTTGCCTGTCAATTTAACTTGCTTTCCTACTCCTGAATTCTAAGCACAGGAATGCTCACGATGTATTTACTCTTACGTACAGGATGGAACTAAGCACGGGATCGAGACCGACCCAAACCTGACCGGACCGAACGAACGAAACGTCTCGGCTGCAGAAACTGTATCGCGACCGTTGACACACACATATACTAAGACGGGAGCACCCGCCGTCGGACTAACTCAAAGTAACAAATGAATAGGAATGCCCCTTAATACGCGGTACATGTAAGGTTTAAGCCCACGCACGCAATGGCAGACAGCGCGCCATTGACAATTTTCCGGGATATGAAAGATGGGGGATGTGAGATAGAGTCGTAGTCGTAGGTACGTCTATATGCCAGTATGCCTGTAAACACTACACTGCACTTGAATGCTCCCCTGAGGCAACACCTTCTTCATCGCGAAATACCGGAACGTGTTAAGCTAGGTAGGTAGGTAGGCGCGTCGAGCGTCTATTTCCCAGACCGAGCCAAGTACATAGGAAGACATTGGGGAGTGAAAAGCGAATAACGCGCACTCAATATATGCCGTGAAACCAGCAGCCGCGCTCTGCACACACCTTGACTTTAATATATTTACATACTCGCTCGCTCTCGCTTCTGCTTCCCTAATAACAGGGGCTTTCTGAGTCAGATAGCGCAAATGAAGCAAGAAAAGTCCCCTTTCCCACCGAAACATGGACATATAGATTGACACATGTTTGCGGCAGGTAATCAAGTAGGCACATCCACGGTACAGGTATGAAGGCAGCAAGTTAGTAGGCAAGTAATTGGACTGCCAGATCGAAAAACACAACCCACCAACCGGCTAAACTCACACTCCCCAGAACTCGCTCGCGCGGCGCCGACATGTGGCCGACAGAAAAAAAAACTTATACAGACAGACGAGCGTACATATTAATTAACAATACCTACATTGCAGGAGTTGGTGCTGGGCCGCGATTCCATATATACATGTTGGCCTTCGGTAGCTTACTACGTACTTACATGAGCGAGATACATTTCTTGGCATCGGGCGATTCACTGCAGTATCCACGTGCGACGATGCGGAAAGGGAAGAAAGGAGAGTGGAGGAAAAGGGGCAGCTGGGCGATGTCGGTACGCTTATTGGTGGAAGTGGGATGTTACACAATGATTGGCGACATCAGCCTGCCGATTGACGAAATGACTGGTTCTCTTTTGTTTTCTTTTCATTTTCCACGGATACCTACCAATATACGTACCCAAAAAAGAGAAGAAAAAAAAATGATAAGTCGAACGTGAGCGTGTAGATCCGGGGAATTTCTATCCCCTCTTCTGCCCCCACCCCTTTTCCTGTCTAGGTACCAGGCTAGGCTCAGACAACCCGCAACCAATCCTTCGACCCAGGTGGATCTGGGATCTGGGAAACGGGACTGGGGAAAGAAATGGACTGCGGGAGCGAACGAATGAACGCATGAGAGGGTGAGTGAGATAGGGTCGTATTGGGGAGCATTTATCCAGCCGCGGAATCGGTTCGGATGGTTAAGCGAGAGGCGCCATGACCACTAGAAGGGAATTCTTTTTCTTCTTTTTGTCCTTTTTTTTTTCTTTTAGTACCGAGGTATTTTTTTGCTTTTTATTCTCGCTTTTTCGCGGGTATACAGAAGTGCTGAGTCAAGGCCGGAGTATCAAATCCGCTCTTCAGGTCGGAGTTCGGAAGCCCTTGGTCTGTTTTCTTAGAGGAACAAAAAGAACACATAAATGCCCAGCCTTCCATCATTCAAACAGGGCAAATAATGCGATTGGAAGAAGATGGCGATGCGAACTCGGTTTTGAGGTCGTCTTGCATTATGATAGATACGGTAGCAATCCGGCGTCCAACGGTAACCTCCGAATGTTGTAGACAGTCGCAGTTGGGTTAATTGGATACTATCGCTGACTCAGTTTTGTTAGTTGCGCCACGGACTCGGGATTCGGAGCGCTACGTGATAAGCTTAAAAGATACACGAATAAAAGTCCGGCACGGTATAGCGCTATGATTAGTGACTTGCCCAGGTACTAAAGTTACTTGCCTACAGAAGTAAACGAACGAACGCAGGAACCAACACACTATACCTTATCTTTTGCTCGGGATATTCCAACCACCACATGCCCAAAGCCATGCAATGCAAAAGCGTATCGTAGAAGAAGTTCGAACACTAAAGGCATTGTTAAGGACCAATGACGTTGTCGCAAGCATAATTCTAAGAAAGCCCAAGCACCTAGAATCTGGAGACGTCACCAGCCCAATGCTAAAAAGAACTTACCTATCAAGGCAAGAAAACGATCAAACTAACCAATTACGATCCCCTTCCAGATCCCTCGAATCCGGGGTCACGAGACAAAATACCGCTTCTTTTCTTTTTCCCGCGATTTTATTGGTGCTTCTTTGAAGTCTTGAGCTGGCATGACGTCAGCATTTCCTAGGTACGCGGAGCTAAGTATCCGCCCACAACAGTGTACATCGTCATCGTATAAAGTCATCGAGGCATTAACGTGACTTTAATGGGGTTGTTTCGTTATACCTGATGTTGTTTTTTTCTAAATTTTATAATAAGACTACCATAATATAATAAACTAAAATCCCGAGTTTCTATCTAATAATTTCTACAATTCTGTGATGAGCTCATCACCGCCAAGAACCCAATCCTTAAAATTAACACACACACAAAAATGGAGGGTGAAAAGCACCAACCCAATCCCCAACGGCAACGCCAACCAGGCGCCAGTCCACCACGCACACTCAAAGAGCGACTCTTCCACACGCTACCAAACTACACCGGGCCATACAGCGTAGGAATGCTAGAAATCGAAGTCCCCGTCCGCGAACCGCGGCCCTTCTCACGCATAAAGCGTAACCACATCCACGCATTACGTATGGATACGGTGTTATTCGCTATATACTACCCCTGCGATGCATCCTCAACAACCCTCCAGGGACAGAAGCCGTCGAAAGCCACGTGGTTACCTCGGCCGCGCGCGTTAACTAGCAAGGGGTACGCCAAATTCTTTAATGTCCCGCATTTGCCTGTAACGGCGTATATTGCCGCTACCACCATGTTCACCAAGCTTCCGGCCTTCCGGAACGCCAGACTCACCGAGTCCCGCGTCCACACGGGTCCTTCGCCTCATCCAGCGCAAAGCCAAGACACTGTCACAAATAACGAAGAAGAAAAACCCAAGTTCCCTGTTATCATCTTCAGCCATGGATTAGGCGGCTCGCGGACTTGTTATAGCGCGGTGTGCGGGGAATTAGCCAGCAACGGGTTCATCGTGGTGGCCATGGAACACCGCGATGGTAGTGGTGCTAGGTCGTATGTAAATATACCGCCTGGTGTATCGCCAACGGTTGAACAGGGGATCGATGAGTCGGGTGGGAATCGGCATTACAAGGTTGATTACATATTCCCTTTAGACAACGCGCAGGATACTTCACCGCATAACGCGCGTGGCGTAGATACTGAACTCAGACATGGGCAGATTGAGATGCGCATGGCTGAGATCGAGGAGGCGTATTATGTGTTACAGTTGCTTAATAATGGGCAAGGTGATTTGATATATAAGAATAACCAGAGGAAGAAAGGAAACGCTGGGTCGAGTTCTAAGGGGTTGGAAGGCATCGATTGGTCTGATTGGGAGGATAGACTTTTATTACGAAATGTCACAGTAATGGGGCATTCTTTTGGCGGAGCAACGACGGTTGAGGTTGTTCGTCAAAACGATCGGTTCCCCTACATTGGCCAAGGTATCTTACTCGATGCGTGGGGGCAAGCGACACCGAAAGCAGGCGAGGTAACTCACCAATCATTAAGCAAGCCTCTCTTGGCCATCAACTCTGAAGCATTTATGCATTGGCCTGAGAATTTCCAGAGATTAAGTGACATCGCTAGGGAGGCTAGAGACGGAGGTGCCCTCTGTTGGATGATGACTATCAAAGGGTCCACCCATTTATCTCAAACTGACTTCGCAATATTGTATCCTCATTGGATGTCACTGTTGATGAAAACAATGGTTAATCCGAGACGAGCAGTTTACCTAACTGTGAATTCTTCCTTGGAGTTCTTGAATAGAGCACTACCCCCTGAGTATACGACTGGAAATTGCTGGGTTGATGAAGGGATCCTGCAGACGAAATTGCTTCTTGCGAAAGAGTTGCCTCATATGCATCGACCTGATGATAAGTGGATGGCTTCTCGTCTCAGGATACCTAACGAGCTATGGCTCCGAATTACCAGATGGTTCCGGCGAACACCTAAAACAGCGATGGTGGCGACTGATATAAATGGGAAACCATTGGTGGGGTTGATGAGCTTCGAGCTTGGAAGTGAAGTTTGGATGCATCTCAGTCCACACCAAGATGAGTTGATAACATCCGATATGGCTGAGTCAGAAGCCACTTAGAAAAGAAAGGAGGAGGCAAATGGTCTTTTATTTTTGCATGTTTTAGCGAATGGTTGCTCTTTGGCGTTCACGGAATGGGAAAATCATGTCGGATGATTCGGAGATACCCTTCAACGAGAATCTACTGTACATACATAAGTGATCAATACCAAGAAATAGTCTGCATATTGGTTAAAATCTGCGACTAATATTAGTGACAACACCCAGTAAAGGGCCCGAATTCAAGTGCTAAGGTACGCTGTGTCAAGTAGCGGCCGAAGTAGAACCAATACATCTGTCGTGGTCGTTACACAATGTGCCCACGACTGCAGATGGAGTACGATACATACTACATAAGCGTGCAGATTTGGCGTCAAATAGCCGCTCTCGCCTTGAGAATGGACAGGGATAATGCCGACTGCAGCTTGGGAAGCCAAGACACCAGGAGCAGAAATACGAGCTGAGGCTCCCAGCAATAAAGGGAACTAACGATACAACTAAGTACTTCGGTAGCGCCTCAAAAAATGCAGCTCGAATCCAGTGCAGGAATGCAGGATTTATTGAAAATTTCTCCTGTCATCCGGCGAGGCGTACTAGCTATCGAAAAAACTCGACGGGCTTTGAGAATTAGGCTCTGAAATTGCCCCTTCGTAGCCGACTATACAAGCTCGAAATCCTTCGGAATGGCGTCAGATCTCGCTTAGATGTTAGTTAACGCGATGTAATGGATCTCGGAGGAAGTAATGTCTTCGCGAGGTACAAATCATTTGCCGTTCTAGAACGAGATCTTCTAATGTTTGCATCGCAATTAAAAGCATCAGGGGCATTTGAGACCCTGTAAATAAATAGAGTAGCAACTCATGTGGACTGCTTGCGCGTCGTCAACTGGGGGAGAGAGAGCTGATGGTTCACGCATCTTGCTGTCGGCTTCTAGGCGTGCCCAGATTCAGAGTCCCGGGACTGTTGCCATCTCGTGGTTGCATTGCGTGAAAGGGCATATGTAGGGCAAAATTGACAAGCGTGGCGAAATGCGGAGTTGGAGGGCAGCTGGATGGTCAGAGGAATAGTCGGATGCTAAGTATCCTAGGTAGCGAATGTAGCGAATCGAGCGAATCGAACTGGCATAGGGGCGCTAAACGGCTATACCGGCTAAAGATGATATAACGCTGTTCCGATGAGATGGATTCGTAGTGCAGCATCGTAAAGAATGATTTTTTTTTTTCTTCGACGACGCGTTCGAATTAGGGGAGTTCTCTTGGCACTTCCGGCTGAATATAATTATTTCGTCCATTATTACTAATAGTAGAAAAGCCTCGTCGATCATGGCCTGAAATGTGAATAGCGAGTAAATGGCCCCTCTTTCAATGTCCAGGCTGAACGTGGAGGCTCAACGGCAGTGTGCTTCGTTGCAAGATGAGGATGAGTAAGAGGATCAAGTAAGGAATCCGATTTCCGAGGAGCTAGAGAGATACTTAGATAATTAACGAAAAGATCTAACAAGATTGCTGAAGTAAGGAGTCTACGGAAAAGCGGTGTTGAATACGAGTTATCATATTTCATTATTGCCCTTCCCACAAAAAGATCGTATTGAGAAAAAAGATGGTGGGCAGATGTATTTTGTTGCATTTGAAATAGGTAGGAGATAAGTGACTTTTTACAGGCGGGATGCGCTAACTGCCCTATAGCTAATTGACTTCCACGCTAACGTTTACATCTGAGCGCTGATGCCACTATGGGCAGTTTCTACCTTCAATGTTGTAGCACAACCTACCACTATCCGATACTATGTACTTCCAAGTACTTAATCTCTTCATACTCCATACAAGTGTCGTATGAAAGTATCTAGCCGGTACTTATTTTAACTGCAGCTGCTTACATCATGACCTACATATTTAGTGGTGGCAGTGGAGATTATTAAGATGCAACTTGCCGTGAAGGACAGATGCATTATGTACATTTCAACGGTATACCCGGTTCTACCTAATTGATATATTCCACTTATGTCTACCTAGGTATTTATTGGTAAATATCTAGTTTCCTAGAACATGGGTCTCTCCTTTTTTACGTCGTAAGTGCCTCGTCATCGGTAAAACGCAGTGCAGATTTCCCTCCGATGCAGCATGTAAGTAAATAGCGACATGATATTTTAAGATCTGCATACAGCAAGGTACGGAGGAAGATGTATGTGTATACTTCACTCGACGCTAAGAGAATTAAAGTAGTGGATGTTTAGATCTGGCGGATTGTGTTGGCAACCTTAGTAAATGGGGGGCAGGGCAGGCTATGCTATCCCTGTCATTCCGGCCCGTACCTGTACCTAAACCGACTTTATTTCTGTTTTTGGCATCAATTGCAGTCCACTTACGATTTTAAGTTCCCTACCGGTGGTGTATCTAGCTGTCCAATTGACTGAACTGACTAGGAGGTATTGATTAACAAGTAGAAAACTAAGATTAATCGAATGGTTTAAGCTCCGACAGGCCGTCAGCTAGTCCCTATTCCCCCATCTCGTGTCGATCGTAGGGCCACGATGCTCCCTGTTTCTTTTTTGTATTCGGTTGGTAACCCGCATACAATGTCTCTCTACGGGGCGTGCGTGAATGGAAAAAAGGCACCTAATGTAGGTAGAAAACAAACGCCTCTTCATTCTCGTCACATTTTGCCAATTATTTGTTCCTCTCTTGTTTTTTTTTTCTTCCTTCCTTTCCTCTTTACCTAGTTCATACATACACCTCAACAGCCAAGTCGATTAGTTTCTTGTTTCTGTCGTTCGTTTTCCAGGGAGTTTGCTCCACGTACTATTCGTTGAATGTTTAATACATGACAATATTGTCGTATCTATCAAACTACATACATACATCTCTAATTTGATCCCGATCTGACCCATCAACTCTGAACCCCCCCCACGACGCTTGCAAGAAAAAGGAACAGTGCATCATCCCTCTCGTTAAAGCCAAAACCACCAAGCTTTATGTTCGTGATACTCAAGACCACCTACCTAATGTCTACCTTTACCATCTTCGTCCCAACGACTTGCCTACTGCACGTCTAGCCCTACTACCTGGTAAGCAAGATCAGGATCAGACAAATCAAATAAGGCGGACAAATTCGCCCCTTGCTAATTTAGTTACTACCAGTCAAGCAAGTCCCGGACCCCAGACAGAAACCCGGCTATACGGACATACGCATCTGGAAAAGCCAAGACAAGCGGGATATATTCAACTATTTTCTTCCCACCCTACCTACCACGCCGATTTCTTTGCCGCTTCCGGGCCTTCTATCAATTAAGAGAGGGCCCGACCAGAAATAGAACCATCCAGTTGGCTTATTCTCTTACCAAACGTGCTGCATCGAGACCCACGGCGACCCGGGCCTTTTTCCCAGTGCCCGCACATTCCCCAATTCCCTCTCAATCTATACCTGGGAGCCGAATTACTAGCCCAAAAATAATTATCGAGATTACCTCGCTACGGGCCAGTTTGACGCGTAATCCTCAATATGACAAAAGTACAGAGTTCAGAGCCAGGCCTGCCATCCAGATCGGATAGCTTCCTGCGCATGCTGGAGCTGGAGAAAAGGTACAAGGTATGTGCAATTCTCGGCATGCAACCCTCCTTTTGATCCATTTTCAGACACACTATTTCCCCTTTTTCCCTTCTGCCCCTCCGCATTCCGACGCACCATTAATACGCCGCCTACTCACGTCTTATAGATGCAACGCATCCATGGTCATGACCCCGCGACGATCACCTCGCCAAGTACAAGTTCACCCTCCGCCCAGCCAAATAGACCGTTTAAGGCTCGGCGTGCGAGCGGACATCCTCCGCTTTCACACCAAACCCAGATAATGAAAGCCGTGCGGCGGAGCTCTGCCCTACCTTCGCTCTCAATATCTATACCGCCTTCACCAACCGAGGGCCCTGTCGCCGGAGCGAATGGACTTCCCGGGGACGTACCATCGAAAAAGGAGGAACGCACCAAGACGGTGACATTTTCGGACCCCGAGGAGGAAGACGACGGCGATTCTTCCGATCAATCCTCCATATGTCAATCGCCTAGTTGGGAGCAGTACGGTCGCAAGAAAAAGAAGAAGCCTAAGAAGCGGGACTCCGAGCAGGGTTCAAAAAGTAAGGAGGACAAACCCACGAACACCCTAAAGAAAAAAGGGAACAGATTGAGCAAGGTTCCGCCACCGGGCGTAGAGTCATTAGTGACGGCGGACCGAGCGCAATCAGCCCCTGAGTTAGATCTCTATCTTAAATCTAACGCTGCGCACCTAGACCACTCAGATCCGAATTTACCGGGCGCGATGGCCAATCCGAAGCTTGATTCTAAGCCGAAGGGCAGAGGCTTCCTATCAGGTTTTAGATTACAGCACGGAAATGTCGCGGCCGTACAGAAAATTATCGAAAGCCAGCGAGTGAGCAACGATGGCAACCCACCTCATCCTTCTATTGCTGGGGTAGAACCCAGTTTCGTTAACCCCCGGAAGCCTCCTTCAATTCGGTCAGGTGCATCGAATTCAACTCGATCTATTTCTTCGCTAGATCAGCTACCACCAAGTGCCCGGCATTCGTCTAGTTCAAGCCATGGACGCTCTCAATCACTCCTCACGTCTACCTTGAATAAGCTAAAGGGACCGTCTTACTTGTATTACCGACCCGGCGAGGGTCCCGAAGGTATCCAATTTCAGCGTCCCAGCAGCTCTCACGACCAGGATATGACATCTGGCTGGCTGAGCGATCAACCAGCACAACAGGCAAGACGACCTGCAGAAAAACGTCCGGAACGTGTCAAGGAGCCTCCCGCACCGCCCCACGAATCTACTCAACCACTTCCCGATTTTACGTTCCCGTCGAAACCTAAACGAGTCACTAGCCACCCCGCGCCCGACGTTGCTACTCGTCACGCTCGAGACCACACCCACCGGGAAGAAGCAAGAGACATAAATAGTGGGTATGAATCCGCGGAGCCCACTTCGTTCCGCAATCGTCGCACTCAGATGTCACCCCCACGTGCGCCAAGCCGTGAGCCGGTCATTGAAAAGGAGAGACAACCCCGACCGGAACGTGTGCACCGAGCTCCGAGGCAACCTATTGAATATTCAGAGGTCGACGAAAACCGCCCACAAAAGGCTAGGCAGCCTGAACGGGAGGTTCAGCAGATTCAACACCAGCAACGTGTTCCTCGCCAAGTCAATGGTTACGTGCAACCACACGTAGAATCCTGGGCGGAATCCAACCATGAACCCGAACACATCCCTTCTAACCACTACCACATTTCGGACTTTGATGGCGAGAGGCCCGACCAATCCGATGCTAGCCTTAGCCGGGATGAAGACGATAAGGTCTCAATCGGCACCCATGCGTCAACCATTCGACCAGGGTCCCGAAGACAAGGCCATGGATCGCCTCTGACTGATGGAAGGAAACACGTGACATTCCCATCCGGTGCAGACAATATAGGGAGAGCCGTTACATCTGATGAGGAAGCAGAGCCAAGACCTCCAAAACCGTTGAAGTCATCGAAGCCGCAAAATCCGGAGCAATTTGACGAGGTAGAGGAGATTATACCAATTCGAAAACCTGCGCGGTCGGAGAGATCAGGCGATTACTTTTCATTCATTAGTCAAGCATACGCACCTCCTACTCTTGAATTGCGGTCGCCCATGGTAGAAGGCAAATTCCCGTCTCCACGAATTGATGAAGAACCGGAGGAAGATGATGATTTGGATCACATACTAAGACATATTCCGGTTAGAAGCCAAGTTCATGAGATAGCCACTCCATCCGAAAGCTCAAATCACACTGTGGCATCGAACTCTAGCGCTGCAAGCAGAATCGCAAGACAAAAGCCGGCTAAGAACTCGCCCTCTCTATCATCTCATTATTCCGATAGCGATGTGCCCGCTCTTGAACGCCTAGGAATATCGCCGAAAGCCGCGAGGATTCTTGCAGGGGTCGAGACATCAAGTACCTCCACGTCGCAATCAAATACAAATCCAAGCCGAACCAATTCCGAGAGATCCTTATCTTCCACAGGCGACGATACCCCTCCATCTCCAGCCTCAGCGCCAACACCGGATAGTTCTCGGCCACAGTCGCACAAGGAACTTGCACTTCGTGCAGATACGGGTAACAACGTAGTAAGATCGAATATTGATGACGAAGAGAAGACTCCACGAGGAAACTATCGAGCCCCGATCGTGGAGGCGCCCGTAAAACACGTCTCGCGATCTGCTAGTAGGGACCAGAAAATTCAGGATGATAATTGGAGTCGAACCGCACTACCGATCGACCTTGACGCTCATTCCATCGCCGCACCCAAGACCAATGGCTTACCCTCAAGCCCTCCATTGGTTGCATCCCCCACCTCAGTCAACTTTACGGAAGACATTAAGGGAAGTCTTAGTGAGGAGGAACTTGCGAACAGGACCCCGTACCCACATTCCATCCCACCTAGGGCTCAATCTGCTCTCGATATCCATTCGACGAGCTTTTTACCCGATCTAAAGCAACAAAATCCGTACCCGAAAAAGACCAAGGGCGGTGCGTCATCGATCAGCTTGCCTAGTTCACCCCCAGTTGAATTAGTTGATGGAGCTCCACGAAAGTCTGCATTAAGGACATCACGCAAGAACAGTTCCAACAGCGAAGAATCATCGGCCTTGGTCACTGGGGCCGCTTACCTCCAAGAGGCCAGGAAAGCTGTGCCAATTCCGCCTGTTTCTTCATCCCGAGCGCTGCGACCACACTACGCGCACAAGAACTCGTCGAACAGTATTAAGAGCGTCGTTGGGCCCGAAGGTCGTGCGGATCCACTAGCTAAGATGCTAGTGGAGTGCTGTAACTGCAAGTTCTTCCACGACATGCCTTCTAGAGTATATGAATGCATGGCGAAGCCCGATTCCCTTGTCGAGGATAAACTTCTCGGTGTTTCGGCTACGATCACTACAATGGTCAAGTGCCCATGGTGTGCTCACGGCATGACGACACAGTGTTGCTCAGGCTTTGCCGCCGTTGTCTATCTGAAGGAAAAGCTACACGGAAAGTGAAAGTGAAAACTAAAAAGGAGGTAGGATGTTGGGTAAGGATCCAAAGAAACGTTTTTGGTTGAGTAGTTGTTACGGAAGAGAACGAGACCCAAGCCGCTCCTTCACCTTTACATCTGGGGAAGACGACCAATCGTCTGCTTATTTTATCTCTTTTGTTGCCGAGTGAGCAGTTTTGGTATGCATAATCTGCATTGCATATTTTTTGAGCTTGAGGCATCCGTCATATGTTGCGTTATGTTTGGATTAATTGAAATTGAAACCAAACCTCGATGTGAGGTAGTTGAGAGATTAAAAATATTGGTGGTCTAATTTTTTCTAGCGCTAGAAAACGAATGATATCCTCCTCCCTTGACTTGATTATTACTTAGGCATAAGACTTGATAGGAGTACGAGCGTGAGGTATGAGGTAATTATTTGATGGGAGGAGATGAGAGGAGGATGAGCGTGTATACTAGATGAAGTTGAAGTTGAAATTAAAAGGAAAAGTACATGGGTCTATGAGAATATGAATATGAGCATCAATGGGATATTTTTAATGTCAGCTGAGTCCGTTCGTTTTGTGGTGTGACACTATTCCGGGGTAGTGGGTCGGTGCTATGTGGGATTGTTGGTGTAACTGTGTTAGATGGATGTTACGCTAGTTAACTCATCGTAGCATTTCGATGTTATATCAAAAGTTCTTTAAGCTCCAACAGCTAAGAGTCACAATATTAGGTACTTATAGAGACTTTTTCAACTATCACCTATGATCATAGCTACTATCTTCAGTACGTATACCCGTGAACCCCTATCATCAATTCAGCTCTACCATTTCACTACATACCTCCTCATCCGCATACCTAAGTACCCAGTATCCTTAATCCCAAGCCGTCTTATTCTCCTCAAGGAACTCCTTAAAAGGTCTAGGTTCGTTGCCGGTAAGAGTACGCACAACGTCGCTCGTACGGTCCTCAGATCCGCCCTTGATCTCCGTCTCCAGCGCGGATAGCATCTGCGCGTAGGTGGGTGGGATCCCGATCTCAACCCAGTGTGCCGATAGGTCGGCTTCGCTGAGTTCCTTGTAGATAATGGGGCGCGAGAGCACGGATGTGAAGATCTTGGCGAGCTGTGGGGGTGTTAGTCTTACGGAAGAAGAAAGGGGGGGAGGAATAGAGGTTAGAGGTAGATGGGGAAGGGGGGTATATCTCACATCATCATATGTCAATAACTCCGGACCGAGGATTAGGAGATCGGTGTTAGGTGCCTTGGGTGTGGTTAGGGCGTGGAAGGCAACTGCGGCGATATCCCTTGTCGAGACCCAGGGGATTCTGCCCGCGCCGGTTGCGGAGTACATTTTGCTTTCTTTCTTGAGGACATTGACACGAGGGTCGTGAAGGAAGTTCTCTACATTCCAAATGATTTAGTAACGAATCCTGAGTAAAACAGTGACAAAGGGTAAATAGGGGTAGAGTAGTAGGCCACCACTCTTGAGCGCATAGACACGTTGACTGCATTTCGCTCGGATGTATGTTTCCGCACACTGCTGTCTCTGAATTAAATCAATCCGCAACTCACCTTGGAACCAAGTCGGTCTCAACACCGCCCACTCAATCTTTCCCTCATCGCCCAATTGGTGCAGATACTTATGCGTCTGACCCAAAAACGGGCCTCCCTCCTCAAAGCAACTCGCACTTAACAACACGAACCGCTTCACGCCCTTCTCACGCGCGAGATCGATGAATTTGTGCGCTACTTCAATGGCGTTTGGTGAGGTTGAGACTACGAGGTAGACGGTTTGGATGGCGGGGGAGTGGGTTAGAGCGGATGTCCAGGTTGCTTCGTCGTCCCAGTCGAATTTCACGCCTGTCGGAGCTTTCGGCGATCGCGATGCGATGAGGGTTGGTACGCCGGCGGCTTGCAGGAGTGGCGCTATGCGGCTTCCCACCTTTCCGGTGCCGCCTAGGAGGAGGACTGTGTTAGTTGAAGACATGGCGTTTTTTAAAAAGAGAATATTTCTTGGCGTCGTCTTAATACATCTTAAGAGTAAATGAGAATATGATTGATACGATTGCAATTGATGCCACCAACGTCATCCCTACGATGCCTTTTATACATATAAACTCTCCCTTTGTACCTTCGCGCTCGTGAGCCGAATAACGCCTAGGAAGCGACCCTTACATAGCTCGGTATCTCATTTGTCATCGGCGCCGATGAGATTGGTCCACCACGGTACAAGCCAGCCAATTAAACCCTGGTCCATGTCTCAACTCCGTAATACTGCCCAATAATTACTCCGTATACCGTCCCCGTTATAAATAAACGGATTTTAGACCGGACTTTAGCACCACTCAAGAATATTGCGTAAAGTCTGGGTATAGCTTCATAAAACGCCAAGTCTGACGGTTGAACCATTTCGCCGGTCATCCGGTGTTAACGTTTAAATACGGGAACTTCCTAGTGAATACCCGTCTCCACGATGTGTTTTTTCCCAGCTTTGGGGGGCTGCGGAGGGTGGTTACACAGGTTGTAAAAATTATATAAAGCGTCATGTGGTTGTCAATGTAAGGCGCAGTAAGCACATTGATTAGAAATTCGGACAGATCATTGAAACCATGGCTGAGTACGATATTCAGACCTACCTACTCGACAGAGCCAATGTGCACGATACCGTCACACGGCTTGTAAGTAACATCGCAACGCCTGACAATAGTAACGCTAGGAACTAATAAACTATTTCTGGAAAAGTGTCTGAATCTCGACCTACGATCCAACGAAGGCCTTGTCAACGATGTCTATGCTTCACAGGTAGTCATTGACTACACCTCCATGTTCGGTGGCAAGCCGTTGGAGACGACGAGCGAGGAATGGGCCACGAGCCTCAAGCCTAGCATGAACCGATTCGATGGGCAGCAGCACATTGTCACGTAAGCCTTTCTTCCCTATTAACCCCCTATTCCTACCATTGTGTGCGGATTGGCAGCTAACAGACATGACGAAAGTGGCTTATTGATTAAGCTCCCGCAGCCTGCGAAAGGAGTCGCCAGACCTGACAAATGCTCCGTCGTCGCGAACGTGACCGGACACTTAGTCCGCAAAGCTGCACGAGGTGGTCCTATCATGCATAATGGAGTAAGCCTCTAGACATATTTTACTGTCCAACACCACAGTGGCTGATGACTTTAAAAACAGGGCCGATATGTCCTCGATCTCGTGCGGCTACCGGAGCTAGAACAGAAAGGGGTGAACCCTTGGAGAATCAGCAAACAGGTCACCGTCTTGTCGTGGGAGGATGGTAGCTCCGATGTCATGGCCGCCGTTGCGAGTATCGGGAATTGAGCCGCAACCCGCGATTACGGCGACAAGGATTGGCTTGAAACATGATGCTCTTACTTGGTCGCAAGTGACTAGATACATCCAAGAGAGCCTCTTATGCGACGACTTGATTATGCCATCAATAAAATATTGATTATATGTCCTCACCATAGCCTTTTCCATCTGACCTTCATCTCTCTGTCTGGTGGAACAGATCCAGCACCAGCATACCTAGGGTCGTTCTGAGCGGGGCGCTGAGATGGGGATCCGTCTAATTTCGTCCACTCAATGAACTCGACATCAAACCTGGTGACAATCATGGCTATCGCTAGCAGGATCTCTTGCTTTGCGAAGTTCCGTCCTGGGCACGTATATCCCCCGCCCCCTATTCCACATCATTCGTAAGCGGTGACATAAGAATTGAGTAAGTGGCTTGCAACAGAACTCACCATATGGGAAGAATGATCCCGCACGGCCAGAGATCGAATATTCTAATGTATGGCCGGATTTCGTCCCCGCATCCCTAGCCTTCGACGACTTCACGTGTCTATAAGCCCAGAACTCAGAGGCCCGATGGTCTGGTGTCCCCCAGACTGCCTCTTCATAGTGAGAGATCTGACTTGGAGCTTGGATGGTGCACCCTTTTGGCAATGTGTAACCTGCGATAGCGATATCCTTCAGAGCGGTTCGGGTAAGGTTGAGACTCAAGTGGAGGCGTAGGGACTCTGTATAAATAGATTGGATTAAAGGGAGCGACGCTAGCTTCTGAATGTCAAACTTCCGCTCTCCAGATGTGGGATGCGTAACGAGTGCTTGAGAGACTTCTGCCCGCGTAGCTCGGAATAGATCTGGATCGCTAATGATTTCCATCAATGCCCAAGTGCAGACCGGAATGGTGTTGGTATTCAAGCTAATTTGTTGAGCCTCGCTAGAAATAGGCAGCGTTAGACATCGGAAAGGTAAGCTTACCCGAGAAAGAGGAACATGTAGACGCTTGCTATGCTTTCTTTCGAGAAATCAAACGACTTTGCCCACTCTCCAAGCTCTTTCGAGAGTTGTGATCCGAATGGGTTGTCAGCTTCGCTATTTATCTTGATCTTGTCATTTTTTGACAATGTTTGCTCTACTTCTTCATACCATCCAAGGCACATGGCACGTAAGTCTTCTCGTACCTTGATGCCCTTTTTGTTAAGCCAACTTGGCAGACCAAATGCCAAGCTTTCAGCATAGCCATCGTACCCCCACAGCATATCTATGAAATCTGGATTGCGATTCAAGATATGCTTTCCCACTACCGAGCAAACCGACGCCGAAGCCATCTCACGACGGACGAAGTCAAATAAAGACACTTTGAGTCCACTCGCGAATTTTGAAGGCACTAAGTGTCTCATCGAAAAAATGCTGGAAGGATGTAGCAAGTGTTTCTGTGTATCGAGGCATCGCCAGAAAGTCATTATGGACTTTATGCTTAAGATACCAGATACGCTTTTCTGCTAGGATAGACTCTTTACCCGGGATCGGTACCTTTCCGATACCTGATTCATCCACTGCCAATTTGGCCAGGTCTCCGTCAGTATAGCCTGCTACATTCTTGAGTATGAGTAGCATCCATTGTTCAGATATAAGGTTGATAGAGGATTCCCGGAGCACAGTCGAAACGCTGGCCTCCCCAGTGACGAAGTATACTTTCACTGGCCCGAGTTGGCATCCTACAACAGGGCTATCCAAAAGAGCCTTTCTAAATGCATTGTGAGTAAATACTCAGGTATTTATGAGTTACCACTCAGGGAATAATTCTTACTCTATTTTCTCAAGAAAGCGCTTCTTACTTGTCATGTATATCCAGATATTAGACACATACGGGATGGGATTGCCTCCCTAAGCTGCGGCGGCTGTCGAGTATCGTTGCACCTCAACAACGAAGCCACCACGATCACCAAAGATGCGGCTAGACATGCAGCGGGAAGACACACCCCAGTGATGTGATATGCGTACGCGGCAAGGCTATGGGTCGCATCCATATTCCTAAGTTGGTAAGTATACGTACCTAATACTTCACGTCAGTCCGCTATTATGATGCTCCTCGTGCGATAGGGATTCGGTCAAAGAAGTACGGTAGTTCGCGGGTGAAATAAAGAGATACTCCGCAGAACCTCACGGTACGTGACTGAGGACTTCGGGACTCAATCGGCATCATGAGGCTCAAGAATAGGAGCGAGTGTAACGGATACGGTTCAGGGACGGTAACACTAGGCGCTCGTGTAATATATCCGACACCTTTACTGGACGATAATGATAATGAGGCGCGAATTATTTTATCGCACCTGCCAAATAAGGATAATTCGACCGACCCAATACTCCGAAAGTTTTGGGTGAGGCTACATGTCTTCCTATGCTAGAATGGCGGGCCATTGTAAACGTCCTCCCATTCCTATTCTTATCGGCGTAATGCATCCTACTCAGTTAGGAATTGAGACATGATTCGTAATCGATATCCTAGGAAATAACTTGATTTTGAGACTCTTCCTTCGAAGTGGCTTCGACGCCACCAAGGGTGGAATGGACGCGGCCTGATTGACACTGTATTTTCTACCCTCCTATCCGCACAGTTCATCGCAAAATGGACAAGAACCTCAAAATGCGTGTCAAATCACCACGTGCTTGCTCGAAGTGCGAAATGGAAAATATTTAAAAAGAAAAATCAAGGCCTTTGAATCCTCTTTCTTGCCAAGTCAAGCCGAGCCGCTGGAACGGCGTGGCAGTCTATTCTAGACTGTGAAAACTCGACGCCATTTACGCTTCATCCGAAGCTAACGTGCATTTCCAAATTAGTCCCACATTAGACTTTTAGACTGTAAGTTTATCGAAACTCAATATTTGAGGGAAAATCAAGCTAGGTTCGACGGGAAGATTAGCTAAGTTTGACAGAACTTAAGTTGAGTTGATCTATTCTCATTCTATCTTGCTTCGACTCTGGCAGGGAATGACAGGACAGTGATAACCTAATTACCGTAAAGCTTGTTCCCGACCGTAACTAATTCTACGGGGCGCGCACACTCCCCTGGTCACCGTTAATGTCAACCGTTCACTCAGAATTGAAATAGCTAGAACGATCTTTGCCGCATCATACGCCAACATCGAGACTCAATTCTGTTATTATTCACCCATATATATTATTCCCGACCAGTTGATTGCAAGTAGCTTTCTTCAGTTTTGCGGGAGGCGCTCTTCATTCAGATAATTTACAAGCTACGCCTATCTCTGCGCCGTATCCTCATTGGCACCTTACCAGCCGGATGCGAAACACCACCGCCAAAACCCTTGAGTGTGAAGTCCTCCTGCACGTTTCGACCCCCCTCTAGTATTTCGCAGTCAAAGAGACTCACCATTAAAGCAAGTGTTAGCAAAATCTGGCGTTTCGCAAAGTGTCGACCAGGACATTGTCGCGGCCCGCCACCGTACGGAATCCACGACCCTTCGATTTTTTTCGTTGAGAATGCCGGAGACGAAGCAGAATCTTGCGGTTGCGTATCGTCTTGGGCTCCCTTTGAAGGATACTTGAGAAATCTTCCAATCCAGAATTGATCAACGGGATGCTCATTATTCGGACCAGTACGCCATGCCTTAGGATCCATGTGTGCGACCGTCGTTGGCGTGACGATAACCTTCTGTCGCGGTATTATCCAGTCTCGTATATTCATGTCGACTCTATCCGGCATCCTGATAATGTAAAAATGCATTCTAAGTCGCAAGGTCTCGGCATATACGGCTTGCAGAATGGGTAGGCGAAGCAATTGTTCGACATCGAACCGGATGCGACCATCTGCGTCCTTCAGCGCACAACCGTCAACCTCAGCCTTTACGGCAGCGAGCAATTCGGGATCTCGGTATATCTCGAATATCGCCCAGGATGAAGAAACAATGGAATTTCTTGCTCTGTGCAAGAAGTTAGCCGGAAGTAATTCTAACCTCAGTTGATGCATCTATTCTTGCTTACGCCCAAACTGCTCCAAAATCCTGCGATGCGATGGCAGCATAGTCGAAACCGTCCATTTTGAGAAACATTTCCTGCCGCTCTCGGAAGAAGCTACTACCCCAGAACGGGTCGTCGCCATCAGTCCCGACGGCCGAGTCATCGAAATGATCTCTTGCATGTTGCTGCCAGATTTTCACGGCATCTATTACCCTCTTCCGAACTGCATAGGCTTTTGGCGCGAGAAACCAAGGCATTCCTAGACTATGTTAGCTTAATGCCCAAATATGCTTTCTAATGTCATACCTTGAAGGTAAGTCTGCAAGTTACGGTCAAAATCCCAGTAGTCTTGTAAGAAGTTTGGGTTCAGACTTAAGAGGTATGGGCCACAGAGGGCATTGATGATTGAGATGGTGGCCTCGTCTCCAACTACCTTCATCAGGTCGTCATGATAGCCCCAATCAGACCCGACACGACCGTAGAGGCCATACAACTGCTGGGTGATATTATCCGCGAACCTAGTCCAGAAGGGCAAAAGCCCCTTTCCTTCTAAAAACCGGTTCAGGGACTGATGCACATGGTAGTCAATTCTATTGCGGGCATCAACCGTACTGCCAGGATGAGGTACATGGTTACCACCAGAGTCGTCCTTGTCGTACAACCTCAATGCCTTGGCTGGCAAGCCGAAAGCATATCCAAGAGCGAACTTGACGAAGGGGATTGACGTGCACAGCCCTGAATTCTTGAAGAGAGCTTTGACATTCTCCGGCCCGCGTACGACATAAAACTCCTGAGTAAGGATCTTCACGAGGACTGGAGGCACACTTTGGAAGAAGTTGCTTCGACAAATTAACGAATAGTTCGTCGGAAACTTCAATACACTCACTTCGGATTCAGTACAAAGCCTCTGGGATCCCAGAGATACGCGATGGGCAGGCTTCCTAATATCGGAAAGATATGTGGAAATACAAAAGGCGCTTCTTTACTGTTAGCGCGCTTCTCATACGCTAAGAAGTGGTCGCGTTTGAAAGTATATCGCAGCCATAACGAGGAGGTTAAAAGAAAAGATAAGGCCACCAGGTTTCCTACGCCTAGCGGAAGGAAGTTCCAAAACATTTCTTGGAAGAATACATCAATTGCAGGTGTGATGTTTGTCTTCGGCAAAGAAGGGCGACTCGTGGATGAAGTTGGATATATCTTCGTGAAAAGAGCTAAGCTCTAGGGTCTCGGCTCGGTCGGTACCTATCTAATCTTATGCCAATGGCCCGTGCCGTGCTTGTGTTACAGAAAACATGGAGGGATAGGGTAGGTTGAAGTTCTTTTAAGTACTTTGACAGTCTCCGATACACTGTGTGGTGCTTTGTACCTACCATCTGGTACCATCTTAGGTGGGTTACTTTGACCGAATGCTGCTGAGCCGCAAGCCAAACCAACATATCATTTCACTCGTCGATCGCATGCATAGTCACATATGTTGGTCTTATTCTATGCCTATTCTTGGGTTGGGATGGTACAGTTGGTCAGATTTACGACCCCAAAATGGTATTATTGTCAACTTTTTAATTGCTGATATATCTGCCAGAGAACGCTGCTTTTAATATCCTATTTTTACAGTGCATTGTACTACTAACACTGCCCCTATCTCCTCATTCAAGACATATGTTCTTGTCTTGGCCCCTATCTAAGCTGAAGGTAGATAGATGCGTTTCATATACGGGCTGCGATACCCCCAATTGCAGTCTATACTAGCTTCATCGGAGACTGATGTGGGTGTCATTGAAACCGGTTGTCTACCCTACTAATAGTTACCGCCATGTATTGTGCTGAGGCATCCAGATATGGTGTCTTGTCATACTCAAAAATGGTTATATAAATTCTTCTCGTCTTCAATTTAACCAAATATCTATCCAGGCTCCTTAATCATCAAAGGCTATTAAAAATGGACATGGAAAACATGGAAACTCTTATAAGTCCCCAAGAGGCCGAAAGCCTCATCGAGACTGCTGCTCAGATCCCCATGCACGCCTTCCAGGTATGGTGGCTTCCAAGGCTCAAATCCTTCCTTTGCATATCTAAGCTAACTCTCTTGTAGGTGGCTGTTGGTGTCTTAACGGGCCTAGCGCTTTGCTGCTTCATTGCGCGGATGGCCATACGACTCACATATCAGAAGCAGCTACGCCTAGACGACGCATTTTTACTGCTGGCTGCTGCTTGTCTATGCGCTGCGACCGGAATTTTGTACCATATCTGTTACTTTCTTTACCTACACTCGGCTGCTCTATATGTCCCGCAGGTCCTACCATACATCCTTCGAGATTACGAAGAACTTCTCGGCTTGCAGAAGAAAGTGTACCCGTTTCTAGCCCTGTCATGGACGACGACGTACTCTGTCAAGGGGTGCTTTCTAGCGTTCATGCGTCCGCTCGTCTGGCATATCTCGCGGGCTGTCAATCAGTATTGCTGGTTTATAGTGATCTTTTGCGTGATATCTTGGGCGTTTGCTGTCTCGGATCCATTCATAATCTGCCCCTATTTTGGATTGGAAGGGGGTAAGTACTCTCCGTCTCATAACAAGTCCGTACCTCGGCTAATCTGTATGTAGTGCAATGCTTCAGCTCGACAGTTGATCAAAAAAAGACACTCGGACTCACTGCGGCCGTCACAGCTCTAGACATACTCTCCGATATAATGGGTAGGCCTTATTCTGACCCTTGTCATATCCAACTCCTTAGTTCTAGAAACTCATGTTATATCAGTCATCAGTATCCCCATTATCATCCTCAGGGGCTCGTTCCTAAGCCGGTCTACCAAATTCGGTCTAGGGGTCTTCCTTTGTCTCTCCATTTTCATGGCAATTTGTGCCATTATCAGGATATCTGGATTCTTCTACAAGGGATTCGAGGATGATGTCTGGGAGTTCTTCTGGCAGCAGACCGAAGGCGCCGTGGCGGTTATGATGGCTTCAATAACAGCATTCCGTACGCTATTCGTCAGACGCGCGGAGAATCCCGAAGAGAGTACGCCTCACAGCCCAGCCGAGAGTTTTTTCCGCAGGTTGTTCAATCACTTCCAATTTCTAGCCCGAGCACAACCTGAGGAGAAACCAGCCTCAGCTCCAGGAAACTCGAATTTCAGGCTTCCTAAGATTCCGTCTCCTGTGTTTACTGGTGTGCGAACGTTTATTCGTAAGAATAATCGGACTAATGCGAGCGCTGCTACGTTTGCTACTTTGGATTCCGGAATTGATGAGTCTGAAACGGATTATCACGGCGCTCTTAAAACACAAGCGCAGGTCGCTGGCAGCAATAACTCTTCTCATGGCTGATATTGAAACGTAGAGAGCGCAAGTCTTCGGGCCTCTTAAACCAGCAGACTACCAAGGTTTTATTTGAACGCTAGATTTTTTTCTCACCCCACCCTCGGCAATTTAATCAATCAACGCTAATCGAGCTGTTGTCGGAAGAAGAGCCAAGGCAGAGGTACACCAACTATATGTTAGTCATTACGAACTTGACGTCTTAAACAACGACCATGAACTTACAATTCGTTTAAATAATTCCTATGACACGTTTGGGCTGGTAATGTATCATAATATTATCACAAATACTCCATACCCCAATTGAAGTACCTACCGTGTGTCAAAATGGGGTTAAGGCAATATATTGAGTAGCTATAATCTTTTTACGATCTGCGTGCCGTATCTTTCTTCCCTCAATCTCTCAAGGAGAAGCTGCTCTTCTTTATGCCGTTTGATAGTAGTACATGATGTTCAGTACAGCTTCCTTTCTTGGATACGAGATAGCCAAGAGCTGTGTTGGTGCCTTATGTATATTACAGCGCCTACAGCGCTTCCTTTTGAGCCTATCATCTCTCACCCATACATGTGTTGGTGATGGCTTCCTATCAGGATGATACAGGTGTCATAACACCGTGTGGTAGATGGAACAATAATATATCTGATAAGATGCCGAAATGCTCTAATCCGCAACTCGGGTAATCTTTTGTTAATGGGCTGATTTCCGTTCTCCTCGCCATAGTGATCAAATCCTACAAATTCACGAGACTCATCAACTAAGAAGATCACTTAAAGCCAACGCCAGCGGGCCTTCCCACCTATTGGAGCGTTATTATCTACAGATAAAGTGCAAGTAGATTTTATGGAAATTGCCTAATTACGGGCATGTTCCGTCATATAGAGGGAGCTTACGAGTAAAATTGGCACAGGATATTGTATAATACATGATAAAGTTTAGAGATGACAATTCGAGGTGCTCATTTCCACGGTCTCGGTAACTTTGAACTGGGATAGATGGAGAAAGAATGACTATTCTTGATACTTTGGGTACATATGAAACCGCCATGGATAATATCTTCACTACTCATTTCCTGATATCTTCGATGGGCCTATAATGTTCAATGGGATGTTTTTAGTTTGCCACGAATCCTCGGTGCTAACTTGGTTGACCAGTCTTGCAGGGCGTGTGTCCCTCCCTAAATCGGTCGTTCTTGAAGAGTGACTCAAAGGGGTGTCAAACCTAGCTAAGGTATCCGGCAGCATCGCTTCGGACTTATTGGCGATTTGACTTGGAGCTCTATCCATCTGTAGTTGCTCATCAATATTATCAGTTACTAATGATTGAACGGAGAATGGCCTGGTAGTGACAAATGCTTTAAGTGTCTCAACCACATTTGGATTAGAACACTCATTCGGAAAACCAACAACGATATCAAAGTCGCAATACATTTTCCAGTCGACTTCCTCAAAATCTTTGTTCTTTGGGAAAATCTTGCTAATACCCCATATTGAGTCGAAGTATAGGACAGAGAGAAAGAGTGGAACCACACTTTCGTTCTTGAATCCTAATGTTATCTGAGTTCCATAGGGAACTTCGATGCTCTCATTGGAAATCTGGCGAGTTTCTAGCGCAACATTAGTACAACACAATAATACGGTGGGTCAGACCTACCTCTAGAATATCGACCAAATTCAAATGGATATCGAGGTGCTACGGCGTTTTTCAAACCTAGGTAGAAATTATATCTACCCAAGTGCGCCGCAGCTATAAGCGATGATTGGAGTGCGTCATATAGGGGCACCATAGGGATCTCAGATTGTGTCGAATCGAGTAGCCTATACTGGGTTTCACCGTTCGTGGCGATATACAATAGGGTTCCTCCCTTAGGAGCGCTCGTATCAGTATTAAGGAAGGCTAGCCCATCGACGCTTTTCGATCGTTCCATTACCATGTTACCGAGGTGTTCCGGAGTTTGCGGTAGGAGCTTTATATACACGCGGGGGCATGGAATATCTCTTTTGACGAGGACAGCTCGACAGCCGGAGATATCTTCGATTTCGTTCTCCCCAGATTCAAATATGACATCCGAGTCCATCGCGCGAACATCAGTTACGCGAACTTTCGCTGTCGGTAGAGGATTATAAGTGCTATAATCCTCGTTCCCCCAAGGATAAATCGCATAGATATCCCCTAGGCAGACCCCGTGTACATTACCTGCCCGAAGCACTATGTTAGGGTGGTTTCTATACTCAAGGGAAATAGTATAGGTCACATTAACCATTTCCGTGAGGAAGAGTAACCTCCCCGGATTACCTATTAGTATAGGCTCTTGGAAACGATTCAATTTAAGTAACGCATATTCCCGAACTAGTGGGCTGACTCTTTGAATTAGCGCTTGAGGTGACAATGGGCCAGGTGCGGAACGAAGAGTCCGTATCAAGTAGTAGGAGAGTAATCCGTTGATAATGCCCGTATTAGTCCCCTCAATTCGATCTTTATTACAATCTTCTTGTGCGTATTGGCGAGAAAGGCATGCGGCGATCAATGTATAACCATGTCGTACGAGTCAAGGGTCACTTACTGAACTCTGTGCCCAGATTTCAGGTGTCAGTGCAGACTTGATAATATCCATACCAATGTCAGACTCCGTATCGCCCGGCAATTGCCGCCAATCTATACCTTCTGCATCGGTGCCCCCAATTTTTCGAACACCAGCTTCATTTCCTGGGTCTCTATCGTCACCACCCGAGTGGCAGCAATCTAAAACCATGGTCACATATAACTGTTTCTCAACCATTGCCTTTAATAGAACTGCTATCTCGATATCTCGGACATATCGGCCACCGAGATTGAAATCGTAAGGTACTAGTGTTTCATCGACGCCAGGACGGTTTGGACGGTCAGGATTGGGCTTTTTGATATGCGGGATTAAAGTAATGGCTCGGGCACCGTGCCCGGCGTAGTGGATAAAGACGATATCACCACACTCAGCCTGTTCCAAAATATGAGTCAACGCGCCGATGATGTTCTTATAAGATGGCCGTTTCCGCCTCTCTTCTATAGGCTCAGGTGAGGTTTTTTTGGTCCCTTCGTCCACGGTTGGTGGGTGAGTGGACGTCAATCTTTCAATCCGATTCTCTTCGAAGCCCTGTTGCTGCACAAAATAGTCATAGACGATACCAACATCGTTGACACAGCCAAATAGACTTCTAGCATGAACAGGATGCCTGGCGTCACCTGGGACATAGAAGTTAACACCAATCAACAAAGCCCACTTCTTGGGGCGTTTTCCTTTATCGCTCATGTGTGCCTATATTTTATAACCCAGTTAGACCCATACTAACATCGAAGGTCATGTTTATACGCGCGTGTGGTTGAGTACTTACGTTTACCGCCTCCAAGTGCTTCTCCAAGTCTTTTTCCGAGGAGCAAGCGAGTGATGCACAATACCTATTCTGGGTATTGCAGTGTGGTATGATTGATAAGATTCGATGTCTACACTGAGCTAAACGATAGATAGTAGAAATTCGGACGAAAAGTGATAATAGGAATGAAAACGAAGAGCCAAGACGAGGACGAGTTGTTATATTTATACAACTAAAGACACTAGAATTGTGCATTTTGTTCTGAGGCTTCTTCGGATCACTGATGCCGCCGATAGGTCAGTGCAGGTAGTAAAACTTCTTGGAGAGATCTGCGTTCCTCGGGAGAGAGCCTACATAGGCGCCTGGAGTGCTGCTTTGCCCAACGTCATATTGCATGCTTAGCAAGAATATGGATCGATTCAGAAGTTTTTGCCGAGGTGGCGCCCAATTAAGTAATAATAAAAGCAAGGACACCAGCTGAAAAGAACAACGAGGACTTCTCACATACATAGATGTTAGGCCGGAGCATGATTCTGTTGCAGGTATATGCATGTACTATATCATAATAAGTTGCCTCTATCTTGTTTTCAAAGTGTGCTTCTCCTCAGATGGCAAAATGTGTATGCAGGCCGTCATTATGCCAGTAGATGCGATGAGTGGCGATAGCAAACTCGGCCGCAGTCACCCAAATAACCCAGTCAACTTTAAACATCTAGAAAGTTTTCTAATAGCTACTAGAAACCACCGTTAGAATTCCAGCCTCGAAGATATTACATCATAGGAAGTATCAGCAGGCACCCATTTCGTCGAAGGAGAGATACTTATATAAGGATCCAGGCTTCCGTAGTAGCTACCGACGTTCTCACCATGCAATAGGGCTGCTACCAGTCAACCTCGTGACAGGCGAAATGGACAGCAACTGGCGGGCGTCAATAGGTATGCAGCGTAGGCGGCTGGCAGCCCTAGTTCTATTTTGGGTATTGTTAAGGATAATGCCGCTGATTTCCGTCTACGATTTAGACGTACGAAAAAAAAAAATTAGCACATATATAATTGAAAAAGTTTATAATTCTTTAGAGGTTTTGTGTGATATGGTAGAATAATAAGCATGTGTAATCAAGAAATGCCCGCCACCACTCGAAATGAAATGCTTCGATACCTAGATACCATGATATATATGAAAGACCGATATTGACAATACCTAAATGCAGTGTACATGTCAAATCATATATATATAAACCAGGAGTCCTGTAAATATTCAGGGCGGTCTAGTGATTTGAAGGGCCTTAAATCTCGCTAACCGTAACATCCTCGTGGAGAAAAGGATGCATTCCTGTTTGTTGGATCAGTCAACTTTTTAAACACATACACGGAGACTAGTTCTCTCTAGGATGAGTGAGCCGGGTCTAACTCTACATGTTAGCTGTCAAATCATATATGAAGGGACATCCTATGATGACTTACAAGCTCGCGCATCGAAAAGGTAGAGGAAGACCCAAAGCGCTCGAACGGCTGTTCCGACAGCGATTACTAAGGCAGTGACCTGTCCAACATTGTATATATGGGATGACTTCCGAACGCCATTGACATTCATTGTGACTTCGGCCGAGATCATACTTAGTAGCGCTAAAACGCTACTCTCCAAGAAATTGGCGCTAATCGTTACCGGCATTGATGAGAACCGCTCGCCATCCAACAAGACTGAGTTGCTGATATCAAGGTCGCTATGCCCGCACTGCCTGCACCGATAGCAGGTTTGGCAGACATTATCATTATGCAAAACTAAGTGATTGTTATGTGTGTTTGGGGCTCGAAATATAGGCGAGTGTCGGTCGCAGCGAGCCTTTCTTTTGCATACTTTGCAATACGAACACCTAACGCAGGGGTGACATCTGCAGAGGTCGTGTGGCTCCCTTTCCGGTGATATCTCGTCGTCGCAGCAATAGTCACATGGGTCACACGGATTTGCCTTGTCCCATTTCTCTGCGTTGCTGAAAATCCTAGTACGGGAGATGGCGTAGTAGGACCCATGGGCGATGTTGACAAGTCGATAGCCGAAATAAACCCAGTAGGCCGCAACATCGTTAGGGAACACGGATTGGCAATTGCTGAACCAAGTCCACCAGAATACAGAGAAGCAGTTGCAGCTTTTCGGGGGAAGTAGATTGGTTGTGAAATTACCCACAAGGATGCCTTCGATAACTAGTCCAAGCAACTGGGCTGTAACAGCAATCGCTACTTGCCATCGAGCAGCTAATGTTTCTTTCGTAACTAGTTGAATGGAAAGAGAATTTCCTTGGGCATCGAGAATTAAAGACCCAAGTATTGCGTCGATGGGAGATAATTCGTGACGGGCCAACGGGACGAGGAGCGCAATAGCCAGCGATAAGTGCGTTACAATCAAACCTCCACCAATCTCCTTCACGGCCGTTTTACAGCAATGGACAATCCCCGTCAGAGTTATGAAAAATAATATTCCAACTTGCGTCCAGGCTGCTGCACGAACTCCGTCTCCCACGATGTCAGCATCTGCATTTTCGCATTGATCCGGCTGTCCTACCCCTTTCGCCCGCAGTCCCGCGAACGATACGCAGCCGAGAACAAGGGCCAAGAACGCAGACGCACAACCGAAAAAGATTAGGAAGATATGTTTCGGCCCCCCAGGAGACTTCGACCTGCTGAAAAGTATCTCGAGTAAAATTAGTGCAATTTTACACGCCACCAAGGTGGTGACAGTGATAAAGCCTACCTGAGAAGGCACCATTTTCCCGGAATTGTTGAGTAAGGAGGCATATTACGGAACGCCTCCGGGCAGGACAGACAAGATAATCTTTTGAAACCATTGACGCCATTGACGCCATTGCGATACTTTGTAACCTACACACCTCCGAAAACTCCGTCTTGCAGAGCCTCAGAGTCGGTATATGGACGCCTCTTGATATGCCTTGCATCTATTTTGCATCTCCATACCGCTCCGTACGGTACAAGCAGGCTAGGAACCGGCAGGCTCGCATCAAATTCCAGATTGCTTCCTCATTCCGATTCACTCCGCTCTTTTGTCTTGCATGTAATGCGACGTACGGGCCGCACTCACATATGCGAGACTTTATTATTCTCAGAGCACAAAGCCAACGCGGCACCTGACAATTGGTTCATGGGCAGATTTGGGGGCGGTAAGCTCTGGGCTTCTACTGTGGCGTATCTCGCAATCTGCCCGTGCACCAATCATATATAGTCTTCAATACTCGCTGCTCCCTCACTACTGTTCGATTATGTATGCGACCATTTGGGGCGCATCGTCGAATTACCATCAATCTCTCGAATGAAAATTAGCACACTAGATGGCGCGCTATGCATCCAATGCCACACCATGAGCCAATCGGTCACCATTTACATCATCGTCAAATCACCGATAAACCATTATATAATACATCCACACTTTCCTCTAATAGAAAAAATAGGGATCCCCAAGCATTCCCTTCGTTGAATCTCATAATCGATCGATTTAGCAAAAGCAAAATGTTTTAGATCACAATCGTCCCCTATGACCTGCTTCTATGACCAAGAACCATTCGTCGATCGTTACCCAGAAAAAACCAACAAAAAGCAAAACCCATATAGAAGGATCATGCCTGGTTCCCAGACATCAGGATCTTCAGATTCATCAACACGAACTTCAAGATTCAAATGGCCATTTTCCATACATCATACTACCAAATTGGACCGATACAAACTACACAACTTCAACGAGAATTCTCGACGCTCAGCTTCTCGCCCGTATACTACGCAAGCCCCCACCGGGCAAGAATACCGGCGCAATTAGGAAGTTGCATCTAATTGCTGACGGGCTGCTTACAGACATATATATTTACAGGTACACAGCATATTTCCTTTGGCATACGAACCACTCACGAAGATGGAAAAATCTGACCTAGAACTTCGCAGGCTCAGCAAGTGGGATTTCGTAGAGATTTTCTCGGTATTTGAAATTGGGCGTTTATTAGTCATATGCGAGCTTCATCGGCTACGGAGTTTTTCTGTATAGGGGTTTCCTTGATCAAAATAGCTAGTGAAATGTACATATCAAATCAAAAGTGAGCGGCGTGAGACATGTGGCTGGATGGAGAGGGGTTGGTGGCTTTCATCTATCTTGGCACTGGTAACCTGTTTTCCTAGGAAAAACTGAATAGAAAGGTTTTGTCATGCTTCTTTGCTTATGGCGCCTGAGTCTTATGATCGTGTGGCCTATTGGCGCGTGATGATGATGATATTAGCTCCTTATAGGCGCATCCGTAGCTCTTCTCAGCTGGTTAGACTGAGGCAGTGATGAGATTGTATATCTGTTTGGGATCAAGGGGCGCGAAGGCCAGCCCCCTAAAAGAGAAATTCGTCCGAGTTAAGTCTACAATGCATTGGTTAGGATGTAGTGAGAATAAAGGGCATTGGTCGTGAGGGATGGGGAGCAGAGCACACCGAATCTCACCAATTCTTGTGCGGATGACGAGACTGGTTGAAAATTCATTTCTCTAGTTCTTACGAGGGCTGGATCAATGTGATATCGATTACATTCAAGCAAAGTTCCGGGCCATGATCGTCGTTTAAGAGGCCGTATCCGTGATTACTCATCATCGTTGACCCTTATACCTAGATATCATTCGTCAATCGGAGACTTCGATTACATTTATCGCCGATCCAACGCGGTTTCTCTCAGCCAATAAAAACTCATAAAGCTGCCTTTTTCGGGTATCGTAAATCTCCGCTTTTCCCCCTTCCCCTCTCGTCCAATTTTTTTTTTTCAACCTCGCCAATGTTATTCAGGCTACCTAGGTACGGTAGAATTTAGGAGTCACTTACATCTCTAGAGGGAGTCGAGTTACCTATGTAGAACTACGAAAGGCGCGTCTGAAGTCAAAGTAAATTTAGCATGGTTTAACTTGTCTCCTATCCCTAACTACTGTAATATCTCGATCATAAGAATCTACGTCCTAAAAAGGTGTGGTTGTACGACATAACTACCGAGAGTAAGAGTCGATTACTTGACGTTAGTGCAATGATGAGTTGGGTATATGGTATATACATGGCTGGAGGGGAAATTATCATAAATCGTACATAAAAATACACGAGATTCCGTCTAGTCATAACGCCTCAATCGCCTCTCGCCTCTCGCCTCCCTACCCATCCAACACAGCCTTCACCCCCCTAACCACCAACCAACTCGCCATTAGCGTATGCATCCACCTACCCAGCCGTCCCTCTAACAAAGTCGGTTTCTTCTCATCCTTTCTCCTCCACATAATCGTCTCATTCACAAGCCTCACATCCTCCCCTACTCTCTCAAACCCAGTATCGATCACCCCAGACACAACCGGTCCCTTCCATCCCACAGGTGGTGATAAATCCAAAACCACTCTCCCTGCCTCCCTCGCGCGTACGACATAAACGCCACACACGCGGTCTCCAACCATAAATCTGCAGGTATTGAGATAATCCCTCGCGAACGATCTCTTATACCCAGCTGGGTCTTGAACCGAAGACCCCATCCCAGCCATGATAAGCGCCTGTGGCGTCCACGAGAACGCGCGCATAGTTGCAGCGAGGTATGCTTCAAGGAGGCCTTCCAGCCTGCTCCCACTTTCCTCTTCCTCCTCCTCTTCGCTTTCACTTCCACTACCATCCTCGTTTCCCGTCTTCTTTTCGCTTTCCTTCCGACCCCTAACTGGTCGTTTCACCACAAACTCCGGCTTCAACGCACTAATCGCAATCCAATGCGAAGTTACACGTTCCCTCGCAACAACATAACCCCCCGGATTCTTCGTAACGTCCGGCGCTACCGAATCCCCAATTCCATTTACCTTCCTATCCCCCTCTCCCTCTTCTTCCACCTCCCCGTCCTCATCTTCATCTTCATCCTCCTCTCTTTTCGTAGATAAAGTCGGCAACGGTAAAAACGCATCCGGCGGCGAAACCCTAGCCTCCACAACAGTCCGTAGCGCAAGCTGGTATTTAAGCAGTAACAAATACGCCGTCGGCAGCGCCACCGGAGCTACCGCCAGCAGTACACGTATCGTCGTATTCGCATTCCCTCCTGTAAAAACCGAGAGTGGGAAAAACCCCAATGTGCCCCGCCCCGGGGTGGGTTGGATGAAATGTAACAATATCATACCCAATCTGTGAAATCTGGGTATTGGAATGAATCTGGGTATTCACAGTAATTTATTTAATTTAGATATGAATCCTTGAATGTAAAGTGATGCGAAGCAGAGTCAAAGTGCAGTCCAAAATGCGGCTGACAGACCCATCTCCGCTCCGGCAATCTCAACCCAATCTACGCCTAAAAAAGCTCCGTTATATTCCGTCTGCAGCTGCAGACCCTCACCCTCCTCACCTTCACCGCTACTAAATCTTTCTTTCTAGAACCCAAAAACCCTAGTATCTAACGGGTTTAGCGAGCTGCATGAGTCAGACACCTCACATCTTCACTAATTTATTTTATTTACTTTAACCTATGATATAAACAAGGGGAATATACGACAAGACGACGGTACAATAATCTACCTATTGTACAACAGTAACGACACCATACAGACACATCAATCAATCAATCAAGTAGATATGAATTCTACGACTCCCTAACGCGATGCATCCCTTTTAATAAAAAAAAAGGTTAAAAAAAACGCCTTGCAATCCAGAATTTCATTGCACAAACAGCATCATCGACTGACTAGGTCCCTACACCTCCGGGCGATCCAAAGTATCTAGTGGGACGTAACCCTCGTCTTTCCTAGTCCTTCTACCGACCAGTGCGCTTGCGATATCCTGGGCGCGGGTAACGATACCGTCTAGACCCCAACCGCGGCCGCGCTTCTTAAGCCCGCCCTTGTCCGCGAGTAGCGCCTCTTCCATCCACTGCGGACGTTTCCAGAATCGGAGCAATAGGGAACTGACAACCACGCTAACGCTGCTGCACGCCATAGCCGCACCGGCGGCCATGGGGTGAAGATGCCAGCCAAGAGGGAGGAATAGTCCCATAGCAAACGGTAAGCCAACGAGGTTGTATAAGCACGCCCAAGTAAGGTTAAGCTTGATGCGCGTAAAGATGGTACGAGCGAGGTGAAGAGCCGCGGGAATATCCATGAGATCGTTGGGTCGCATGAGAACAACGTCGGCAGCTTCCATAGCGACATCGGTACCACTAGACATAGCAATACCGACATCCGCTGTAGCTAAAGCGGGAGAATCATTGATACCATCACCTACCATAGCAACGCACTCACCCCGTTCTTGAATTTGCCGGATGATATTTTGTTTCTGGTCTGGAGATACACCAGCATAAACATTGTCATGTGCAATACCAACCGATGAGGCGACAGCTAATGCGGTAGAAAGCTGATCGCCTGTAACAATGGCAGTCTTGATGCCCATTTGATGTAGCACTGAAATCGTAGCTGCTGCCCCTTCCTTGATAGTGTCTGCCAAGCAAAGGTGGCCGGCATATTTGCCATCGATAGCAATGAAGACGTTTGTGGTACCGGCGGAGGATGTAGACTTTGACTTGTTTGCTTTGGCGTTGATCTCTTCTGAAGCCTCTACAGCGTCCTCTGGTACTTCGACTTTGTTCTCCCGTAAGAAGCGTACGCTGCCAACAAGCACCTCGTATCGAGTTCGTTCAGCACTACTAGTAGGCTCAACACGTGCACTGATACCTCGGCCTACAACGGCATTGAATTCGCCAACACTTCCGTCAATAGCCGCCTCGGCATCTAAACCGAGATCGTTACGTGCTGCTGTCAGGATGGCCTTGCCAACTGGGTGTTCACTACCCATCTCAGCCAGTCCTACAATTGTCCACCAAAGTCGTCTCCGCCATTCGTTGTCTTGCCAGACAGATGGCGTCTTAATGCTAGCGACACTCATTTTACCATATGTAAGTGTACCCGTCTTGTCTAGAACAACTTGAGTGATTTTCGTTGTAGTCTCTAGAGCTGCGCCACCCTTGACTAGAATACCATTCTCAGCACCAATTCCCGTACCAACCATCACCGCGGTGGGGGTAGCTAGACCAAGCGCACATGGGCAGGCAAATACAATCACGGCGATACAAAGTTTGACACACACCATCAGCTTACCACCACTTTCAGCTTGTAAGAAGATTTGTGGCGGGTTAGTAAGAGCATGGCTGAGGACCATCCAGGTGACGAAAGTTAGGAAGCCGAGAACGAGGATGGTGGGTACGAAGTAACCAGCAAGTGTATCAGCCAACCGCTGGATAGGGGCTCTGGTGGTTTGTGCGTCCTGCACGAGTTTTACGATTTGACTGAGTTGAGTATCCCGACCGGCTCTGGTCACACGGAAATCAACCCGACCGTGGCCATTGACGGTACCACCAATCACATTGCTTCCCTTTCGCTTTTGGACTGGAATTGCCTCACCAGTGACCATACTCTCGTCGACATAGGTTTCGCCTCGTACAATAGTACCATCAGCCGGAATCTTATCTCCAGGACGAATAATGACGATATCGCCGACAGAAATGAGCTCAGTGGGAATAACTTTGGCTTCCGCTGCATTGCCATCGCGGGCTGGTGTTTCTGGCTTTCCCGAGGCGGTAATAGTATCCCAACCTTCGGCGGCCTTCTCTGCAGCAATTGGATCCGCGTATATAGTAGTCATGGAAGGGGCTAAAGACATAAGTCGCGAAAGAGCCTTCGAAGTCTGACCCTTGGCGCGGTTTTCTAAGAAGCGGCCAAGTGTGATAAAGGTAATCAACATAGTGCTTGTATCGAAGATGGTCTTTGGTCGCGAGTGTGGCGGGAATAGGAAGGAGACGACCATAGCAAAAACGCTGAAGAAGAAAGCAGCGGAAGTTCCGAGCACGACAAGTACATCCATCGTCGGAGACTTGTGTTTAATAGACTTATAAGCGGAGACGTAGAAACGCTTTCCTATGCCAAACTGAATGGGTATTGTAAGAACCAAGCAAATGATATCGCCAAGGAAGAGACCAGGAAGAAGTTCCAAGCCACCGAAATCCAAGATAGGAATAGCCATAGGGAAAACCATGCCGATGAAGAATACTGGGATGGCGAAGGATAATGAAACTTGGAATGCCCTTCTCCATTCTTGAATCTCTCTCGTTTTGGCTAGAGATTCCAATTGCGCATTGTTGTCATCGTTATCGGCAACCAAAGCATTGAATCCTAACTTCTCAATCTCTTCAACAATTGTCCGGAGGCCCGTTACTGTAGGTTGATGAGATACAGTAAGCCTAGACGTAGACATGCTCAACCTGGCAGAGCTGACACCGGGCAAAGCGAGTAGAGTGTCCTCTATCGTTTTGGCGGCGGCAGCATCTGGGTTTCCGTAAATCTTAAACTGCGCCGTTGAAGACGCTCCCGAATGTTCCAAGGTGTCGGACTGTGTTGATAAGATTTCGGCGCCGAACCCTCTATCTTCGATGATCTCCGCTATTTGTTCGGGTGTAATTTTCGTCTGATCGTGTGTGATGACAGCCCGTTCTGCTAGCAAGCTGATATTAAACCGTAATATCCCATCTAGACCAGCAAACCCGCTTTCAATAGCCGAAGTACAAGCGCCACACGTCATACCTTCAATCGCAACTGTGGTCGTCATGTTCATATTTCTTGTTTCGGAAATCGGTTGTCCCGTCTTCTTTGCTGCTTTCGATTCCTCACTAGATACCAGCGTCGCGCCAAATCCCCGATCTTCTATGATCTCTATTATCTTGTCTGTCGGAAGTAGGGCGGCATCATGTTCTACCACGGCTCTCTCTGAAAGCAAGGATATGCTGAAGTGCTTAACTCCCGTGACATCCGCGAAACCGCCTTCAATAGCCGACGTACAAGCGCCGCAAGTCATACCTTCAACGGCGATCGTGGTGACGGTAGATGCCGATTCGCTGCTATCGTCCGAGGATCCGAGTCTCGGAGTTTGTAATGGAGTCGGTAAATCGGTTGCCAGAACTTCCGCATCGAATCCGCGATCTTCGATTATCTCTTGTATTTGCTCGGCGGGTACTCGTTGAGGGTCGTGCATTACCACCGCGCGCTCCATTACTAAACTAACCGACACACTACCAACGCCATCGACGCCTTTGAAGCCCGCTTCAACGGCTGAAGTGCAAGCACCGCATCTATTATAAATCCATGTTAGTTCGGGAAGATCATTTAAGCAAGGGATTTGGGAATCTTACGTCATGCCACCAACTTTCAAAGTGGTAGTAGCCCACCGAGCAGGCGACGGACTTCTCGGTGGGACTGTGATACGTTCAGGAGCCATAACTGAGGAACTGGAAATTGCGCAAAGTTCCGGCTGAGAGTATTGTGGCGAGCGCGGCTGACGTCGGCTTGGACCGATTATTATATTACTTTACTGGCGTCTTACACAATAGGCGACATTATCTTATTAGTATTGTTTGTCGTCGTTCGGAAGGACAAAGAACAATGTCGGGACGCCGGTAAAGGAGAAGAAAGTCGCGAAACGACTAGAAAAACCCCAGCGCCAGGCGGGTGGTGGGCAGGATTATATTAAAAAAGGGCCGGGTTGGATGTAGTTGTAGAGGGAGTGCGTTGCGTGTACTACGGCAACCCGGAAAATAGACAAATAACGAAGGAAGAATTGAAGGTAAAAGGTCGAACGATGCGATTTCCTTTTGGGAATTTGGGAGACTTGGGGGTGGGTTTTGTAAGCTTGCCGGAGATACTTACGATACATTGTACTGTACATTGTGACACTAGTATGTATTGGTACTTATCCAGGTAGCGGTACTAAAATATGAAGCATTCTAGGACGAATAGGGTCTTTTATTCCTTAAATGGAACCGTGTGAAAAACGATGAATTAGCGGACTAGCAAATAGTTTAACGTCTGACCAACGCTAGTATCCACAATGTAGCCGCGTTCACGAGTACGGTGATTAAATCCTTGGCATGAACTGGTACAATACGAAGCGTGGTTTCCTAGCTGTCGCAACCTTCTAATCCCGGCAATTGAAGCGATCTACGGCTTTCTATGTACCTCATGTAGATCCTGACTGGGTTATATCTTGTATGTACTTGTATTTTGTGACGAGTACCTTGCTTACACTTACGTACGCTTGGAGGCTTTAGCATATCTTTGTTATGATTACAATAGCCTGTCTTCTTTTTCACAAAGAAGAATAAATGCTCGGGCAGCTTAGAAATCGAGAAAGGCAAACCAACAGAATCAAGACTGAAACATATGCCGATTGTACTTCCGGTAAATTCGGACCATACGGAATATACAAACTTATTAGACATCGTTACCAAATTTGGTGCGGTATTTCTATTGGTTCGTAGACTACACGTAAGGTGTAAGTGGTATTATCCGGTGAATCCCATATACATATCAATATCCCCTAGCTTGAACAATTAGTAGTGAAAGGCGGAGGGTAATGTATAGTACTCATAGTGTTAGTATTTCGGCGCAAATTGGATTGCGAATGGGGGTAGGATGACGCTGTGTTACCAGCTAGTAAGATTTTTTTTTTCTTTCCTGCTATCTTCGAAAGAGGTTGTTGCCAGATTGAGCAAGATACTTGATTGTACAATGAAAACATCAAGAGTCTCGTTACTCTTTCAGGCATCGGGTGGGTTTAATTGGCGTTGCTAAGTCGAAGTTTCCTAAGATGTATATAACTGGCACTTCCGAAGAATGGAATACGGTCGATAAGATAAGGGAAAAGGTACCTACCTAATCGCGTGTCCTAAAAAAATACCCCACATCGATACTAGTAACTGGATTGAATGTTTAGGGGATAGAGTGGCTTTAGCGTACTAGGCCAGGGAACCTTGGAGGAGCTCAAACAATGATGATACAGGCGCCACTTCAAAGTCAACCTCAACATCACACAGCAACAAACCCTCTTTCAGAAAAACCTCCTTTCTAACCGACTGATTCCTTGTTCGATACCTGAGCGAACCCTGGATGTTTCGGTTTTCTTTTCCACATTCTACGATATTGAAACGGCATTAAAGAAGTGACTCCACAATCTATACATCATCACATCGTTAACGTCCCGCCGTTTCATCATCTCCCACATCTCAGGACAGGGCTAGCCGATCAAAAAAGCTTAGCTTAGCTTAACCGCTTTACCCAGGTGTTTGGTCCTGGTCCTACCTTATATCCCTTCTGTCAGCCTTGTACAAGCTTGACGCCGTGAATACCACCATTCGCTACGACGAGGCTGTATTCATCATGGAGCAGACTAAGACGTTAAACGCTCTCGAGGTAGGTCCTTCATACCCATCATAGCATATATCCAGACTTCTCTTAAGCCCATACTTATACTAGAATTCGAACTTGATCTAACTAATTCATAGCCCTACCTCGCTCTCACCAAATCCGCCACCTCCCCTCGCGCTGCCGCCGACCTAGTCACACAAGCAACATCGAACCCGAACGCCTTCGTCTTCGCAGAGCTTCTCCAGACGCCTCAAATCCAAGCTCTTAGCCAGTCCGCCGAATATGCAGCCTACCTCTCGCTTCTCCAAATCTTCTCCTACGGCACCTACGCCGACTACGTACAAACCGCCAGTAGCGGGACCTCCCTCCCCTCTCTCAACGAAGCCCAAACCCTAAAGCTGCGACAACTATCCATGCTCACCCTCGCAGCCCGTGGACAAAGCAATCTCTCCTACGACGTCCTCCAGCGCGAACTAGATCTCCCCGACTCCCGCGCCGTCGAGCAACTCGCGATTAGCGTCATATACGCACACCTCCTATCCGCCCAACTCGACCCACGCAACCGCACAATCCACGTATCCAGCCTATCCCCGCTCCGCGATCTAGCACCAGACTCCGTACCCGCACTAAAAGCCGGACTCGACGAATGGAGCGGACGCATCGCAGCATCCCTCGGTGATCTACAAGCCCAAATCACAGCGTACCAATCCGAAGCCATCCGCCGCGCCAAAGACCGCGCCGCCACCGAAGCAACACGCACCAAACTCATCGAAGAAACTCGCAAAAGCGAGCTTGCCCTAAACACTGGCGTACACACCCGGGGCCAGAAAAATATTATCGGTTCCGCCGTTGCCCATCTCCGCGCTTCTGGACTTAGGAGTGGGAAGCGTGGAAGTGGGAGTTTAGATGGTGGATTGGATTCCGATGAGGCTATGGATGTAGATGAGGAGGAGCCGGAGGACGCTGATTCGGGGAGTGGTGGGGGTGTTGGTGGAAGTGGGGGCTTGGGAAAAAAGCCGAAGTCTAGTCGCCGGAAGCTACAATCCTAACGGTGATGGTGATGCGTGGGAGTATTGCTTATGAATTTGTTATGAGGTTACGAAATACGGAGGCAGAAGTTGCCTATCAGGGTGGGGGCTAGTGCTATGACATTGGCGGCAGAAGTATTCAGGTCGGTCGATACTTCTTGCTAGTGTATTTCGACGTAGAGAAATATTCACCAAGTCAAGAAATGTAGAGCTGGACTATTCGTGAATCATGATGTTTGGTATTAGCAGTCCACCCAAAATGTCACTGGGAGTATTAGATGAAGCACACAATCAATAAAGCAAACCTATGGATCACGGATAATGTATTGAACATCCGAGATGGTTATCATGTAGAAGGCATTCATAGGATTCGACTCCCACCCATTAGATCAGGGGCACATTGACATTGACGTTGATGCTGATCTTGAAGACTTAGACTGCTAAACTAGCTACCTTTCTTCCCCTTATATTGCTATCGTTACAGAAGGCAGACACATAGATCAATCAACTAGCGAGTAGGTAAAACTATCTTTCTTCGCCATCAGCGAAGCAAATTTTCCAGCTCAAATTCCTGCCTGACCGAGCAAATGAGGGCTATCGATTAGGTAGGAGGGATGAAGGGGAAACGACTTCTCAGACAAACACCTAAGTATTCGTATCGAAATCAGTAGTTGGCTTTTCAAAGATCGCGGTCCATCCATCCATACGCCAACATTACCCTTCCTATCTTCCCTCTTTAATTTTCCCTCACTTGCACACGTACGACAGACAGACAGACCAGACGAACGGTTGACCATATCTCTTTCAGTTCTTTCAGTAATAGCAAAAACAAAATAAATAACACCGAATAGAAAAAAAATGTAAAATAAAAAACAATCAATCGGGAAAATTGCTTGCTCGTGCGTTGGTGGTATCACAGTATCCTCCTCCTCCATCCTTCATCTCCTCCTACTTTTAAAATTCGTGGCGGAGTTATTATTCAAGACTTTGTGGATAGGTAAAGTCTTTCAGACCCGAGATCTCGCAACTCCGGGGAAATTGAAAATGGTCATGACGTCGTAAATTGGAAAACCGCAGTGCAGATGAAAAATCATGGTGAAAAATACAAGTGGTGTTTTGCTTTTTTGCTTATAGTCTGTGGCCGGGTACTAGGATGAACAACACACAGAGTGCTGCATCAACTATTGCCGTCACAGCTAGTACCATGAGTGATCGTCTGATGAGCAGCTTGCGGACGTACGGCTCCCGGATACGAGTGAACTCGAAGGGTGTCAATTCGGTATAGCCGACAAGTGCCATGATAGGGTCTAGAGAGTACTGATACGAGGCGAGGAAGTATACACCGATAGTAAAGGGTAAAATTTCCTGTAGGTTGTTAGATGATGATTCATATAATATGGAGTATAATGGGGAGTACATACCCAGCATCGATCTAGGCGAGAACGGTCAAGGAAGATTAAGTTGAAGCCAGTCCAGAAAGCACCGAATAGAGCGACGAGACCGATGATTAATCGCGCAACAAGGGTGGGAGGAATCAAGTTTCCGAAGGCGCGGGCGCGTAGGAAGCCAGGAAAAGCATCTCGTTCCATTGCTTGGAATACGTAGTCCTTCGCGACATCGAATAGTTCGGGGTCATCACGGTTGTTCTCCTCGATTTCTCTAGTGATATCCGCCGCAATAGAGCCATCGAGAGTAATCTCACGTTCGGAACCAGGGAGTAAGAAAGTGTAAAGGATCTTCTCTGCGGATGCCCGAATATCCTGTCTGGCTACGGCATGCTCCGGGGAGTTCGAGTCGGTAATCTGATGCGGCGTGCTAGAGCTAAGCTGAGTGCTGGCGCGAGCTCTTCGTTCTTGGCTGCTAGCCGGAGAATCTTGGTTCGGTTGCTCTCGTAGGAAGTTAGACACCTGTGCATCCCGATCCTTCTCTCCTTGAACTCCAAATCGCGCCGGTCCAGAGTGAGAATAAGACATGTCGCCCATTGCGTCCAAAACTCGAGATGATCGCTTAGATTCCTCTGTCTCTAGGTCAGGTGTTCCTACTAGAACAGATCGTCGAAGTTCTCGGACGTAGTGTCGGCAAAGTGACATGTGTTGCGCAACGTCGAGCCTGTATCGTATGAGTAAAGTTACTTTAAATCATTTATTACTAACACCATACCAGAAGTCAAGATAATCAACAGATCGTTGTTGATCTCGCATGTAAATATAGAACGAGAATAAATCGACCGGAGGATGCGTAAGGCGACATAGTACTTCGAAAAGCGTAGGAAGTCTGTTTCGTACTATGGTGTTGGGGATCGCCGGAGCATTACCCGCCTCCTCTAAGTTGCTACTAGCGTACGCCATCTTTAAGAATGTTGATGTATGAGTCGTGTAGGATTGAGGGAATTCGGAGAAATCAACTGGAGCAGAGAAAATCGAAGTGCCAATATTCCGACGAAACAATTACAAAGTGAGCTCTCCCATGGGGGGAGGCCACTATTTTGTCTGTTGATAGGTGTCGCGTAGGTAATGGGTATAGTAAGGAGGTGTCGGTAATAGGAACAGGAACAACTGCGAATCGATTGCGTTGGCTTAAGGTCGCGTGAAATTCATCAATTGCGTGGACCGAATCAATTGATGGGGATCGGAGTGCAGTATACAATCGAAGCGAATGAAATTGCGCTCGGCGCAGGGTTGGTGATTGTAGATACCTAATTGTTAAAAAGAGAGGTCAGTCAGTCGGTAGGTCGACGACGTTGGGCGAGAATTAAAAAAAAAACTGGGCAAAAGACTTGCAGCGGACTAAGAAGACTGGGCAGTGATATGATGGTGAGGCGGTTGCTGGTTGGGGTGCCTGAACCAGCAGCCTAGCAGGCCACCTGTAATGCCGTACCTGTACCCGCAATTCCAGTACGTAATTTACGGGCTGTCAGGTACCTATCCTATCAAATTAAAGGGATGCGGGTACGAGAAACTGTGGCACGGTAACAGGTACCGAAGCATAGCCACATCAAATCCGTTAAATTACATACGAGAGGATTCAGAATTGAAATGAAAATGAATGAAGAAAGATACAATATGAATTTAATTGATTTATTTACTTACAGATGTTGCGTCGCAGTAAGCTATGCCGTAGTTCATAGCTAGAATGAGCTCGCTATTAAAAATTAGGTGTTGTTTTCTAGAGTCTTATCGGTTGATTTAGGTAGCACGAAAAGCGGGATCTAAATCTAGCTTACGTCGACGGATGCACGTTCCACATGTGGTAAAGCTTGGACCACCTTCGTCATTTTGGCCATCCAAAAATCAAGCCCCAAATACACAAGCCACATGATCAAATGCACATCCCCCACAACACAAAATTTTATTGGTTCGCCTAGTCAAAATTGGTCCTGCCCTCAGTTTCCCACATCGACTTGTACAATTTTCAATTTCGCAAGAACTAAACAACAACCACGACCTCCGAACTTTTTTTCGACAAACATCTAGACATTAATCTAGTAAGACATCCGCACCCGAAATAATTCCCACCGGTCAAATCGACATCTCTAATCTCAATTCTCTATTCAGAAATGTCGTCCAAGGGAAAGAAGCCAGCGACCAAGTCGGCCATTGAACAGGTCGTGTCCCGCGAGTACACCATCCACCTCCACAAGAGAGTACGTCCACCTATGCAATAATATTCAGCGTCCCGCTGGCGCAAATTATCGGTCATATTAAAAAGAAATAAAAAGGAAATTTGCTGATGGATTAAATAGCTACATGGTGTCACCTTCAAGAAGCGTGCTCCCCGAGCCATCAAGGAGATTAAGGCTTTCGCGCAAAAGGCTATGGTACGATAACCCGACCTCCCATAAATCCGCATCCACTTCCTCGATCCATTGCCTCACATGTCTCAACCCGCAACCCGAAAAGAGGGAATAAGATCCGTCGACTAACTCTATTATTTTATAGCAAACCTCCGATGTCCGCCTCGACCCGCAACTAAACAAGAAGGTCTGGGAGCAAGGTGTCAAGGGTGTCCCGTACCGACTACGCGTGCGCATCAGCCGACGACGAAACGACGAAGAAGATGCCAAAGAGAAGCTTTATAGCTACGTCCAGGCCGTTAACGTTAAGAACCCTAAGGGTCTAGTGACGGTCGTTGTGGAAGAGTAAATTTTCGGGCGGGGGCAATGGTTTAAGCAATTCGGCACCAAAAAATTAACAAAGGCAAATGTTTCGTTGAGATACCGGCTGGGTTCGAGAAGGGCATGGTTTCGGAGTTCCTTCTGGCTTCATGACACTTTATTTAGATTCACTACTTCGATGAATCAAGAACCGTGAACGACATTTTCCCCATTTCTCAGGACCATTGTGCTTTCTATGCTAAGGGCATTGCAACGGGATATACTCACGAGCAGCTTATTTATCATCTAGATTCAGGGCACCCAATCAACGCCACGGAAGTAGGTGGTAGTAATGTTATTGATAGGATAGCCGCTATCGTTCCTTTGAGAAGTTCAAGGCATCCTCATTACCCATCCGAAAACAACCTGTAAATGCAGTGCGCGTAGGAAGCTGGGACAATAGTGGCCCAATTCGACCAACTATGCAAGTGCTGACTCCAGTGCTCCATGCTAGGCGATCCCCAATCGCCCGGCTATATGATAATCAACCTATGCTGGGTATAATACAGATCAACCTAGTCGTCGTCTACGTCCCGGTGACGACCTAGGACCTTCCGCTTGAATTCGTCCGCATCCTTATCCCATAGCTCTGCGGCCTCTCCGTTCAGTGGGGAAGCACTATGATTGTATTAGTAATGGAGAGGATGCATTTGGCATAGTATGAAAAACTAACTTGTTTGGCTCTCCAAGCAAACTTTGCAGACTTAGAAGGACAGTCTGGATGTTGTATGCAGCGGTCCACTTATCCTTTAGAATATCGAGACAAATACGGCCGGAAAAGTCGACGTTGGGGTGGTAGATTGGTGTCTTGAAGAGAACCGTCGGCGGGGCGTAGGGGTAGTTCGACGGAAACGAGAAAGAAAGCTTGAATGTGAGACCTGCGTACGGAGTGTCCTCCGGCCCCTCAATTGTAGCAGACCAGGACATCAAATTTCCGTCTGCTGAGGGAAAAGCAGAAACTCCAGGTGCGGGAGAGGTCATTAATTGCATCAATTCTGTCTGTAATCTACTCAATTTGTTAGTATCGTGAGTTTTGGTTGTAGGTAGCGGTTTTTACGCCCTGCATACCTCTTCGTTACACTCTGCGAATCGGGCCCCTTTCGTGTTCCACCGAGCTTAGCAGCTTGAACACTGCCAGGTGCTGCGTTCTGGCTATCCTCGGCGGTGTAATCCATATTGGCTAGCAATTGAACTCCGTCGGTATTTCGGCAACGTGAATTCTATTGTAGATGCTAAAGAGCAAAGTAATTATTATGAAGACTCGAGTCTACAATTACTGCAGTTGGATTCGTACTCTCGAAGGCAACGGAAGAGCACAGGGGGAAGAAAGATGACGAAGCACGTATCGGTCTGGAATGCAGTGGAGGTCAGTGATGAAAGATCTAAATCAAATGCACCACACCCGATTGATAAAAGTTCCAATCCAGGGCAGAAAGAAAACCTAAGGTTCAGGAATGTTTGTACGAACCTCTTTCTAAAAGAAAATATTGTAAATGGTAATTCTTAGGGAAAAGAAAAGTGAGGAATAGAAGAAATTGGAGAAGAGAAGATTGCGAAAAGAAGAAGGGCAGGCTCTACGTAGTATGTAAACATTACTGCTGGTTGCACCCACATTGAACTCCTATGGCAACCGCGATGATGGGTGATTGGGGAACCCCCATACGGTTTAGCGCCATCTCGTCCCATCTAATGACCCTGTGGCTTCCCAGGCTTCCTACGTTAGTGGACGAAACAGCCACCAGAGCCACCTACAGGCACCGGTGACAGGGGTGTAAAAGGCCATTGCGGCCACTGCGGGGAGCCCCTAGAACCCCTAAAAGGAACTAGAAAGAGCAGCCCATGGCCAATAAACTTGACTCATCACGATCCTGTCTCAAACAAAAACATTTACACGATCCCAACTCACTTCTTAATTGATATCACAACGCGACGGGACGCGTTTACGGGCCAATATGGTATGTATTTCATATTTCGTGTCTGCCAATGACTACATACCACCCAATGACTTACCTATTTCCATCTATAATACCAACTTGAAAATACATATTGGTGTCGAACCTCTACTCCGTCTATCCCTGTTCAAATTGTATATGCACTAGGTTGGGTTCACGACGAATCATTTCATCAGAATACCACCAAAGAGAAATCGAGTTTGCTAAAGAAAATGATGCAGTCACAATTAGATCCCCTACCAAGCGATTTACCCTTCCGAATAATATCTAAGACTATAGGAAGAGGAGCTTATGCATCGTGAGTCTCGTGCCCATTGGATGCTGCTTACATAATCGGTACCACATTCTAACCCCTATTATAGAATCAAGAAGGCCATACCCCTAGATTCAGGGTCACCAATATTTGCTGTCAAGTTAATCCATAAGGGCTACGCAGTTAAACATGGCCGTATCTCAGCAAAACAGATTGCTATGGAAGTATCCTTGCACTCTCACATTGGTCAACACCCAAACATTATCGAGTGGTTTGCAACAGGCGAAGACCACGTCTGGAGATGGATAGCCATGGAGTTCGCCGAAGGAGGCGACCTGTTCGACAAGATTGAAGCTGATGTTGGTGTGACCGAGGATATTGCCCAGCTCTACTTCTATCAGCTCATCAGTGGGGTCAGCTTCATGCATTCCAAGGGTGTGGCGCATCGAGATCTTAAACCGGAAAACATATTAATGTCGGATAGCGGCAATTTGAAATTGGCAGATTTCGGAATGGCGACAATGTTTGAATACAAGGGCCAAAGGAAGCAGAGCTCGACAATGTGCGGTAGCCCTCCATACGTTGCCCCTGAGGTATTAGCTTGCGGTAGAGTCGACAAGCGATCTAATGAAATCGTCAAGTACTCGCCCGAGCTAGTCGACGTGTGGTCGTGTGGTGTTATCCTATTCGTCTTGCTCGTTGGTAACACCCCATGGGACCAACCAACGGGAGACAGCTGGGAGTATCAAGAGTATAAACGGACAAAAGGACGAAGTTCAGATCCGTTATGGGAAAGGATCCCAGCGGAGGCTCTATCCTTACTCAGGGGTATGATGAGCGTCGAACCTAAGAAACGATTTTCTTTCGCACAAATACGTCAACATCCCTGGTATACTCGTCATAACAAATTCATGGCTGCAGATGGTCAAATCATAGACCCTCTCAATCTAGCAACCAAGATGCTGGAGAACCTTCACATCAACTTTAGCCAGCAGCCCCCTCCCTCTCAAAGACAGTCCGCAGATGCCATGGATATAGACAGTGGCCCTTCAAGGATATCGTCTACTCAACCCGAGACACCAATTAACGATGTACTATTTGATTGGGAACGACCCACCCTAACTTCTCTCCGCACCCTAGCCGTATCTTCTACACAACCTATCTCTCGCGCCGACGCAAGCCTACCGCCCGCCACACAATCCAGCAACTTCTACGAAGCCCTCGCCGAAGAGCCATCCATGAGCCAATTTTCCCATACCCCGGGCGTACCCTTAACCCTCACCCAACGCGCGCAGCGCTTCAAAGACATCGTGCCCGCGCACTCCTTCACGCGCTTCTTTTCGCATATGCCCCCACAACTACTTGTCCAAATGCTCCGTGACGCCCTACACAACTTGAATGTGCCACTGCCGTCTGCACCGCCCTACATCGGCCAAGGCGACCACGTGTCTACGCTCAAAGTCAAGACTACGGACGAGCGCAAGCAGGGCTTACATGGTGAGATCCTGATCGATAGGTACCATCTCCCAGAGCAACAAGAGTTGCTAGAGGTGCGCTTTGTGAAGCTCAAGGGTGATCCGTTGGAGTGGAGAAGGTTCTTCAAGAAGGTTGTGCTGTTGTGCAAGGATGGTGTTTTCAAGCCGGATGATTAGAAAGGCTGGCTCAAAAGACACTTGCATGATGACCCCCTACGTGAAGTAATCGTTGGCGCAGGCAGGGAGAGGCGGGTTATATCGTCGTCTGAAATGAAGGGTGAGGAAGAGGAGGGTTAGCGTTGTGCTACTAAGGAGGTGATTTGTTGCGCATGGGTTATGGGATAGGGAAAATTGCATTATATATGGGCTATCGCGTTACGGAATTTGCTTCATTGACTACTTATAGATTTACCACCTAGCTAAGTACCTAGCTTGGGGTGTATTGTTTTACTTGCTGCCGTTGAGCGTGGCGTAATACGATGTTTTTCTGCGTTCTCTTCTGATATGATCTCAATGGTTAAGTGGCATGACTATTGTGAGGGAAATATTCGTCGACACGTGGGGTACACAATAGATGAAGTGATAGCTTTGGTAAATGCAATTCAAATTCCGATTTTTGTCGCCGCAATACGTTCGACGATGGCTTCATCCGCTCACTGCGGTATTGATTACGTAATCGATATAGGAGAAAAGGGGTTACCTACTACTCGACACATATTCAACAACTTCTCCGTACTTCATTTCTGTCGTTCGATTGCGTTGGATCGTATGTTTTACCCTCGTTGTATGGCCTTACTATGATGTCTTGATGATCTTAACGGCGATATTTTATCAAGTAGACCGCCAACCGCCCACCAATCTACGAGCACGAGATTCCGCGGACGAAGCTCAGTCGTCGATCCGAGGCCTATCTTATGTTCCTTATTTCATTTTCAAAGCACGAGACGATTCAGTTAAACAGATTTATTATTTTCGTATGACGAATAATCCATAAATCAAACGCGAATACCACCCGAATGCCGGCGAGGCAATGATCAACTCCTATCAGGCGCAGCGCCTAGGACTCCATATCCCCGAACTCCACTAGTCATCCTATGAAATAACTATTTCTAAGGAAAACAAAGACCAGCACCAGAGAGCAAGGCATCGTTTAACGATTCTGCTCACTTCTTCCCTCACCCTGGCGACGAGTCTGGGTCTCAGTCGCAGGGTTGGTGGGTTCAGTAGCAGTTCCAATAGGAGGAAAAAAGTGGTCCTGGGTTACCCAGAACGGGCCGTTGAATTCGTTGACCCATACGTTCAACGCGTCTTGCATGCCTTCGGCGGATTCATCACCGCCCACTAGGAAGACAGAAGTTAGCTATTTGTTTTGTCCACGATAGGCGAGTGGGAATTCGAATAAATGAGCACTTACTAGGACGACGAGGGTGGAATATTCCAGAGAAGCCCTCGGGGTAGCAGTAGTGCCAGTAGTCGTTATCATGGAAGCGCAAGATCCCAGCGAACAAACCATCGGTGTCGAAAACCACGCGGTCGACCATTCCGGCTCGAGTAAGCGCTCTGTCATGATTGACTAGGTCATCGTAGTATACCCTGAAGTTCATCGGGTACTCAAAGAGACGACCAGTTGCCTCGCCGACTTCAGCGGGGCGGATAGCAGGACGGCGAAAGCCTAAAGCACGCGGCCAGCCCGGGAACTGAGGGTTCGCAGGTGAAGCAAGGTCGTGGAGACCTAGGCGGATGGCTTGGTAGATCTCACTGCGGGTGTACATATGAGGACGACCGCGGGAGGAAACACAGATTACGAAGTGAGGGATGTGGTTTTGAGGGTGCTCGCGGTTGTACTGTAGCACTTGTCTGGTTACATCTCCCGGATCATCGGCGAGGAAAGCTCGAGTCGGGCCATAGTCAACGTTCGTGAGATGAATAAACGCGGTGACATTGCCAAGACCCTGAACAGGCGCCATGTGAGGATTAAGCTCCGGTGTAGTGCTATCGAAAGCGCCGAAGATGTCACCGAAATCAGCGAGCTTGAAGTCCTCACCCTAGATGGGGTTTGGGTCAGTATATTTAATTTCTTAATGAGTGTTTGGGTTATCGCAGAGACTTACAGCCTTAATCGCAGCGTAGTCAGTAGGGATACCGGCGTCGATGAGAGCGACCGGGGTAACAGGTGTCTCAATAGCAGTGGTAGGAGTAGGGGTGACCTTCTCCAAGTAGATGGTGACAGTTACAGGAGATGCGGGAGCACCCACAACGCCAACTACTGCTGCTAAGAGCAGGAAGAGGGGTTGAAAAGCGAACATTTTCGAAATGGGCTTTGGGAGGATCGAAAAATTACGAAATTCGAGTAAAGTAAATTGTGAGTGAAACCCAATCCCTCAAAGTATTGAAGTTGCTAATGCGAACTTGTAGGAGCCACAGAAGAAGGGAACAGAGGTGTGCAAAGGGTTGGAATGGGTTTGAGGAGAGGGAAAGAAAAGAAGAAATGAATTTCGAGAGAGGAGCACAAGAAATACCACTGAGGGGACAGCTACTCGTCCCGGTTATGCGGATCCGCTTAGCACTCGCCTTAGTGCGCTTCACCTTGTGAGATGGCAACTACATACGATAGGCTACAGCCCTGTTCGATCTGAACTTTAGGGCGCCGATGACCCCTACGATATTAAAACGAGGTACCTAATGGGACGAGGAAGTTAGGCACCAGGAGCCCCACCGAGAGTCCCCTAACACCACTATAACCTTCAATCACCATAGGTACTGTCGCTTTGTCATCCTACCTTTTGGTTTCTGCACTATACCCTGAATAGGCGATGATGATGTCGTCTTTGCTAATTCGGACGAGCAAGCCAAGGACCAGCAATTTACAAGTTCGTAGACTTAGGTACATAGTTTGAGGTTACAGTTTGAAGCCACATACGCAGATTCATGACCAAATATTCTTATGCGTGAGATCCTATGAATTGTTGATCATGTTGTGAATATCCTTGGAGTCCGCATTCAACCTCCAGAGGGTGGACGATTTATAGGCCTTCTTTTTTCACCTATAAAGAAACAATATGTCTTGATATTCAATTCAAAGTTTCACTTTCTAATTAATACATCAGCGTGCTCAATCTTCATATTATATTGGGGGTATTTGAGTGACGCCTCTTGCCGCATATCTCGCCGGGACAACGAAAAATGCGCTTTCGTTAGCTCAGAAACTTAACAAAAGGAGGTATTTGTTAGCAACTAGAGTACCCAAGTAGAGATTTACTAGCCAATACAAAAATCCTCGATTCCAAGGAAAATTCACATCGTTAAACATGTCATCCCTTTCAGACGTGCTGTTCAGGGATTGGCGGATAGGTGCGTATCCGAGTTTATATGGCGTCTATGAAGATAACTATTTATGTACGTGAATGTTATTATCCTAACGGCAATATGGATTTAGACAGATAATTAACCTTACGTAATTAAATCAGGGAAGAAAAGGACATGCTTATCTAATAGAGACTCTGACCCCTTTTTGCTGATTCACATATGAGTCATCATTCACCCGATTTTGTTGTGAAGCTTCGAAACATTAGAACAGAATATCGTTCAGAATAGGGTAATCGAAAATTTGAGCCATTTTCATGCCTAGGTACGCTTACTTGTCTTATAGTGAGGTTAGTTAGGAATTTAGTTAACATGTTCAACTACGGCGAAGACTTTTTGAGTCGCCTATTGGTGAAGGAAGCAGCATTACGTAATTCAACTATTATGTAGCGGATGCTTAATCATTTGTGACTAAGCCATTCTATTGGTCTCTTTCCTCTCTCATTCTTATCATCAGTCCAAACCTAAAAAAGGACCTTCTGATATATATACTATCGAATTAGAAGATATTATACACCTAACTATAATTTCAATCGAAGGATTTATTTCGACGCTGATGATGTTAGTCCTGAGCCGGCCATAATTTGGATGCTTCTGATTAGTCATAATATCTTATCGATAATTGGATATGCCAAGCCGCCCTAGCTGCCGAGAACTTTCCAAATCTTCCGCCCAACCGGATACGTCATGTAAATAATTCCATTTCCAACTCTTCTATCCCATCTCATCCCATCCCATAATATTTTCTTTGTTTGCGTTATCGAACCTACGAAATAGGATTGAATTCCCCGGAGTTTGCACCAAAATCATCCCGATTTTAATATCTATTAGTCATATTAATTAAACCCAAAGATAAGAAAGCGACGCTGCCTTTCACTTGAACCCTTGCCTCGTTCACGTTTGCGCTAGCATAATCTTTCAGCAACATCCCAACCGCTAAACGAGACCGACTTACCGCATGTTCTACCCAAATGAAGGGGAATAACTGGAAATAATAGCACGAATTTGAGAACTGCCTACGAAAACTCCTTGTAGACATTGAGCCTACTGGGAATAGCTCATACCGTAGCAGGGATCTGTCCCCTTTGATCCATACACATCGAATCGATTTTCCCTTCAAACATGGCGACCAAGGGGGATGCCTCTCGCGCGGCTTCAAACCGCTCCTCCCCGATGCGCTTTATCTCTGTCGACAATGTCCTACAATATGCCTCCGAAATCCCATCAGGCCAGCCACGCGTCCCTCCCCAACGCGGCCCTCGCAGTATATCAGGGGTGCGACGAGTAAGTGGTGGAGGGCTTCCTAACCTTGCATCACGTACAGGACAGCAGAACATGCCGTCTCGAACCACGCGTATTAGTGAGAAGCTGGTCTTGTTACCTGAGACGATTGATGAGACGGACGTAGCCGATGAGGAAGCCGAGTCCCTCCTTCGCGAGGATGAAACAAGACCATTGAAAGACGAGGAGCTAGATGTACTGAGGAAAAGGGGCGGCCTACGCGGGAAGAGCTATGCGGAGCGACTTCCCAAGTTCGAAAGGACTGAGAAGTTGTCGAGGCTAACGGCATACTGTACTGCACAGTCGTACAAGATGAAGTCGACCTCGGAATTCCTCCGCAAGAAACACGATGCCAAGACCAAGTTATATGACGATTGCCTATACGCCGTATACCATATCCCCCTATTATCTGGTGTAGACGGTTACCGCGTGAGAAGCCGACCGATACTTAAGACTCCCGGTACCGGCAAGACAGTTCTTGATCTCGAAATCGAACGAAGCGAACGGAGAGATGAACATATGGGATACTACGATGAATACTATGGGGAACGAGCTGGAAGTCCCAACCAGGAAAATGGTGGTTATCGTCCCGGGTCCGAGGATAGGGGTCGGGATTCCGAAAGTCACCGTTCGGAAGATGATCACCATCATTCCCTTAGTCCTATTAACCGACTAGCACCTGATGCTAAACAATTCGCCGAGATGTTTGTCTTCTCTTACGGTGTTGTTGTCTTTTGGAACTTTACCGAGGCGCAAGAGAAGGCTATTTTGGCCGACATCACGTTTGCGGATAACGAAACGGGAGCGCCACTTGTCACACGTCCACTTGATCAGAGTGATGTCGAGACGGAGGAGTTCCACTTCGAGTACAATGCGGACGTGAAGAGACCCCGAATTTTCAATGATATGATCACGCTTCTTCCGCGGTCAGATCACATGGTCAAACTCACAATTAGCCATGCTATAGCGCAAAGCACGAAGCTCTGCTTTTTTGAAGAACGAATGTCCGAAACGATGCTGGATGCGCAGCACGTACCTAAGCGGCTGGCTCTTACGGGAGAGCTAAACATGACGAGAACAGAGATTGTGATGATACTAGGTCGTCTGTTCAAGAGCCGCGTGGAAATTAATCTCTGTAAGTGATATGTGCCAACACATGGCTTCCGAAGAGTACTAATGAATCGTAACAGCATCAAATATCCTTGACGTCCCGAATTTCTTCTGGGACTCCGAGCCTACGTTACACCCCCTTTATGTCGCCATTCGCGAATATTTAGAAATCGATCTACGTACTAAAGTACTTAACGAACGATGTCGTGTTTTCCTAGACCTGGCCGAGATACTATCCGACTCCGTCGCGGACTCGAAGATGAGCGCGATAACATGGATCATCATCATTCTTATCGTCGTTAGTATTCTCGTCACTGTGACCGAGGTGGCGTTGCGATTCGGTATTCTCTCCAAAGAGAGGAATAGCGGGAATAGTGTTACCACTCCGGATGGTATACTTGAGCCGGGATGGGTTGCTGTGAGGTCGAATGCGACACTAGAAGAATTAAAACGGTGGGGTGTGACTCTGAGTGAAGAGGAGAAGACGGCGGTTTGCGGCGCGAAATACGTTAGTACTACCTTTGCGGGTATCTGATTTCTGTTCCGTTTCCTTACACAGCACACGCATTTTCGGAGCATGGACGGCGCAATGGATAGAAAACTTTGATACCCTTACATAAAATCGTTTAGAGCGCGTATCTTCGTCTAGGATTCGAGGTACGTCTGTGACGCGTTATATTACTCTAGATAATAATAACTTGTTTATCTGTCAGGGCCTCGGTGCTCACGAATCCTTGATATTGAGTGATTTCTGCTCATATCCCTCAGGTTATCAATCTTTGAATTATCTATATCATAATATGTTTATGAGAATTGAAATATGGAGCAACCGGAATTATTCTATCATGGTATTCTCAGTACATCGTCAACGTTGACCACTTTTCCCGTGGCAATGGACCTATTTGCGGCAATTCCCGTCAAGATAGATAGGGCACCATCAACGTGGCTAGCCGCACGCATGTACTCGTCTGTCGTGGGTTCGCCGAATAGGTCATTCAATAGTACGGTATCACCACCACCATGGGCACCGACACCATCGTCGATCTCGATTTCCTGTGGCTTTTCAAACAATTTCCGAAGGGTGATTGTCCGCCTTTCTAGCGATCCTTCGGCTGCTTGATCGCCACCGGAGTTAACATAACTGTTTTCAACCACTTCCATCTCTAATCGACCGCCCGTACCGTTGAAGCTTACTCGGAATCCCTCCCACGGCGCGTACGCCGTCAAGGAGTACGTCAACACGGCACCATTCCGATATCGCACTAGCAGGTTCATCGTATCTTCGATACTGATACCATCCCCAAACACGCTCTGATCCCGGTAATAAGCATCCTCATGCTCAGCATCCAGGTACATAGCCTTCAACTGCGGATGATCCTCAAGGTGCAACGCAAAGGGATCTTTCCTCGCCGCCTCACTCCCATTCGCACGCGTATAAAACGCCGACGGCGGCACACCCCTCAACTCCGCGTTCTCCTTCCCGTAAAACTTGAGATCACCCTGTGCATACACAGTAGCAGGTCGAGTCCTTAACCAGAAATTCACTAAATCAAAGTGATGCGTGCTCTTATGCACGAGCAGACCCCCGCTATTCCGCTTATCCCGATGCCAGCGACGGAAGTAATCCGCGCCGTGCGATGTGTTCAACATCCACTCGAAATGCACGCTTGTTACTTTGCCAATTGCGCCGGAGTGCAGGAGTTCGTATACTTTGGTGTTGTGCGGGGCGTACCGGTAGTTGAAGGTTACGCGGACTCGTTGCTTTGGGTTCCGGGACACGGCGTCGAAGATGGATTGGCAGCGGGGCGCGTCGATTGTCATTGGTTTCTCGGTTACCACGTTGCAGCCTAGATCTAGAGCGCGTGTTATGTAGATATTGTGCGTTCGGTCTATGGTTGTTACGATTACTTCGTCGGGTTTGGTCTCTGCGATCATACGGTCGAAATCGGTGGCTAGGTATGTGGGTACGGAGCTGTGGCCTAGGGACTCGAGTTTGGAGTTGGCGTAGTTGAGACGGGTTTGGTTTACGTCGCAGAGCCCGACTATGACGGAGGTTGAGGAGTAGTCTCGTGCGATTGCTGTGTAGAAGAATATGGAGCGCCCGCCGGTCCCGACGATGGCGTATTTTTTGCGGGTGTCGCCGCGGAGGGGGGCTGTGAAGTCGGCCATCTTGAATGATGGTTTTCTGAGATGTGAATTGGAACGCTGGAAATGATGTCTGCATACAATGAGCCTACTCTCGGACGAACTTATACGACACTCAAATTCCTATCGAGATATTCTTGCGATCACTACCCTCACTTATGGCCGCTATCGGGTAAATACCCTGCGAAGCACGAGTTGGAGAACGTTGGAGAACGTCTCCGCTGCCCCCCAAGGCCAAGTCTATAGTTCTGTTTAAGGCTTGGCGTCTTCTCTAGTTGGGCTAGCTGAAGAAGGGAAGCCGTATCGTGAGTGAGGTTCTCTCTCACATGGATGTTTAAACGTGGGAAGTGAGCTAAAGAGTTCCTAAGCTGTTCTTGGGTATGATACTATAGATTTTTACGGGTCGTCCAAACCTCTAAGATATCTGCCGAGGCCGAATAATGGAGTCCCAGAAACGGCGGGGGTAATCCATCTATTGGATAGTCAATTTAGCCGGATCTGGGGGGCGTCTCCGCCTCCACTATCCATCCTGCGGGGATTCTGGGGTTGGACTGGACGAAGTCGTCACCACCAGACCAATCGCGTCTTTTCATCTTCCTCTTCAGTCAACCTCAGTGGATCACTCCCAAGTCAATCGCAACCCTGAACTATTTCACTAAGAGGTACAATAGTACGATGCCGGTTAAATATATTAACGTTCGCTATGACCCGGATTCGTAACTCGGCCTCGGCTAACAAATGACGAGGTTTAGTCTTCGAGAAGGCCAGAGCTATGACTTCTATTGTTTCTTCTAACGGAATTTAATATTTCCACCAATCAGAGGCTATGATTCCCCTATCAACCACGCTTCCCACATGTTCAGTTCAGTAAACTTCACGTGGCTGTTTTATTAAGGATTCAACTGCGAAATAATGCAGTCGCACTATCGTATACGATCTCATGAGCTGTGTAACTGTCCGTCAAGGTACGGGTAGGGTCGGTATGGCTCAGGAGTACGCGTCAACCGTCGGCCTCACCCCGAATGATACTGAATCTTGTTGCTACCCCCGAAATGTTACCACGCCCAGCCACCAACGTTCCCTCGACAAGGATCTCCGCATCCCCAGCTTGTCACCATCCCAGGTGTTCGGAACCACTCTTCATATAAGGAGTTAAATTTGACCTCTACCCGATTTCGGAAAGTGATCGTCGGTATCTATAACTACCTATAAGCCCTGCCTTTCCTTCAGCTACCCTCCACATCGTCTTGTGTTACCTACTTGTTCCTCGATAGGCAACTCAGACATAGACAAGATGGCGGACAATACAGCGAAGCCGGTGTCGACGGCGGTTGACACCGATGCCATAACACCTGTTCAAGAGCCCACTGAACGACTTCACGCCGTTAACTCGAAAGCGGATAAAGCCGCTCAGTTCATCGCCGAACATGGCGAAGTCGCTTTCACATACGAAGAGGAGCGTAAGGTCGTACGGCGCATCGACATACGAATTCTTCCTCTGATCCTCGGCGCCTACTTCTTCCAGCAACTCGACAAGTCCTCCCTATCATATGTGTCAATCTTCGGAATCATGGAGGATGCCCACCTCAAGTCTCTGGAATACTCATGGCTCGGATCTATCCTATACCTCGCACAACTCATTTTCCAACCTCTTGCTGCCTTCCTCCTCGTCAAACTTCCCACTGGTAAGGTCATTGGGACGGCTGTTGTCTGTTGGGTACGTAATTCAACTTTCCGTTGGCTTTTCGGATGTGTCCGGTGGACTGACATTCAACTATAGGGCGCTTGTGCAGCAATTATGGCTTCATGCACCACATTCGGCTCACTTCTAGCCATGCGATTCCTACTCGGCTCTTTCGAAGCTATGATCGCCCCGTCGTGTCTGGCAGTGACACAAATGTGGTGGCGACGGTCCGAACAGACTCTTCGGGCATCGTACTGGAACGCGATGAACGGCGTGACTTTCATCGTCGGTAGTCTGGTAACATACGGACTTGGCCACATCGTTAGCGATAAGATCTACCGGTACCAGACTATCTTCATCTTCTGCGGTGTTCTCACCGTCATCTTCGGCATTTCGTTCTTGATTTTCATGCCCGACTCACCTATGGAGGCCAAGTACCTCAGCGAGCATGAACGTATGATTGCCGTTGAACGTCTACGTGCGAATCAGATGGGTGTTGCTAGCCGCCAGTGGAAGTGGGACCACGTAAAGGAGACGTTCACGGATTTCAAGACGCTGTTGTGGTTCATCCTCATCGTCGCGATTTCAATTGCTAGTGGTGGAATCAGCACATTCGGAAATCTTATTCTGAAGGACTTCGGCTTCACTAATTTCAATGCGATTCTATTCAGCATGCCGACGGGAGCAATCCAGGTTGTCATCATTATTGGATCTGCATGGCTAGCTACTCGATTGTCCCGCAAGGGCATTGTCATTACGGGACTCAGCTGTCTGCCTACCATTGGTACCGTCCTTATGTTGACGGTGCCTCGCAATGAGAAGAACAAAGGGGTTCTTCTGCTAGGCTACTATTTGGTTCAATGCTTAGGCGCGATTACTCCGATGGTCTATGCCTGGTCCGCGCAGAACACAGGCGGCGACACAAAGAAGAAAACGAGCTCGGCGATGATGTTCATGGGGATGTGTACAGGTTAGTAATGACCTATGCTCCACGCGGAATTTTTGTGTTCTTTGTGTTTCTTTGTTCGCCTATTGTCTCATGTTTAGAATCAATTTGGTGCTAACTTCAAGCAGGAAACATTATTGGTCCTCTTCTGTATAATACAAAGGACGCGCCATTGTACCGTCCTGGTCTTATTGCCAATCTAGTCATGTTTGTCACTGTTGGCGCGCTTGGTTTGTAAGTAATTCTCTTTATATCATTCCTAAATCCCCAACCGTATACTAATTAGCGATATAGACTTATCCCGATGTATCTCATGGTATTGAACAAGTGGCATGCGAAGAAGCGAGAAGAGCTTGGAAAACAAGCTAATATTGTTGACGAATCCATGGTGAGAAGGAAGGATATGCAGGAGAGCAAGGCCGTCGAACTTGAGCAAAACGAGCAGACCACAAGCAACATCGAGGACGATAATGGTCTAAATGATCTCCCGGATTTGCAAAATGAAGACTTCATTTACGTGTATTAGATACAATAAGGGGAGTATGAAGCTCTCACGCCAGAGAAGATAATGCTACAAAACCCCATTTTACAAAATTTAGAACAAGTTCATTTAGAGACCAGTCTGAACATTGTTTATGGGTATAAACTATAACAATAATTATTGCTCACCTTTGTCTAGGGATGTATTCTTATACGTCTAAGCCTCCCTTTAGAACAAGTAGCCAACTCATGTCATGACAAAGGCTGACTGACTGGTCACTTGCCCAGAATAATTTCATTGTGTCATTTTGGTAACCCTTTTCAGAAATCGGAGTAAGCTTAAACAAAAAACAAAGCTACGGTTGACGGACCAAAAGTCATTTTATACTCATACCATCGCAAACACCCTTGTCACCAGCCTAGGTCCCGCGCAAACGGCATTCGTTAAGGTAAATCATCTATCCTACTTGAGAGTATCGGCATATACTCTTATGGAACTAATTTAACCTATTTAGGTATCCTACACAGTAATAATTAAAAGCCTCAACGACAAGTCGCTTATTCAAACACGCTCAGGCAAACCAGAGGAAGCAAATAACGCAAATATAATAAGGGGATTAAGAAACAGCAAATACATCATGTGTTACTTCTGGATCGTAACACAATTCGTATGCGGGCACCAGACGACCCACGAGGACAGATTATACCAGTTCTGTCTATTCGGCAGACAGACAAGTATATGCGAGCGGGAGCTCGGGCGCTTCCGGCTCATAAACGTAGCAAGCGGCGAGTGGTGTCCGAAGTGCCAGGAGTCGTATAGACGATGGGAACATAAAAAATCCCGACTAGGGGGTATGCAGTTGCCTTTTGCTACCCCGAAACCCACCGTTTTGGAACAATCGATGCAGAATGATGAGAAGATAGAGTTGGAGAGCAGAGTTATGGACCGCGAACCGATGTTGCGACGGAAGAATGAACTTGATAATATCGTGTATATGAATTTGCTGGAGAAGTGTAAGTTATACCTGGGTATTCCATTCGAAACCACACCCTTCCCCTTTTCCATGTCAAGACATGTCTAACACCCTGAATGTCTTTCTACCCCACCAACCCAAGAGGGTATCACTGGCTAACCCCTTGTTTTAGTAAGAGACCAAGATGTATACAATCCACGGATGTACTTATGGATTCTACGATACATATCTGGGTTACCGAAATGGATTGACCGCTTGAAATTGGTAAACGAGATGGAACCGTGGTTTGGGAGGATGTTTCAAGAGGATTGGCATTGCATGTTTCGGCCAGCTCTTAAGGTGTTGGAGTGTGAGTATATGTTAGAGGGTATGATGGTTTGGACGTTTAGTGAACCCGCCGTTTTGTGATGTAAAAGTTAGTTTTTTCTATTCGTTATACGCATTATAGGATACCCAGGTAGATAGATAAGTACATTTCAAGAGATATACGTATATATGTAAATCATGTACTTGCTACTGAGTGTGATGGAATAGGAGTAAGATACGTGAGTCATGAAATATTGCACCTGGGCCGATATAATAGGTATTCTAGACTGAAGAAACACAATAAATTAAAGTATCTTCGATATATTCATGCTGAAATTTCTTAGGAATGCATAGTGTCCCTGTTTCTAAGGCTATTCTGGTTTATTAGTAGAATACGCTAGTAGGCTACTCAGCTAACAATAACATAGATGATATCCGAAAGCATCTTGATTATTTGGCGGAGAAGCACAAAGAACCATGTATCGACAACCCTGGAATATCCCAATTCTGTTGTATTCCGCATGCGGGATAAGAACCTTAGTGTCGCAAACTGTGGAACAAAGGACATATTGAATTTAAGTATCATAGTAAACATTACCGAAAGCTGCAAAAGCTGCAAAAGCTGCGATTATACCTAGCGTAGGACAAAATATCCGCCGGAGAAAGTCCTTTTACATTTCTACTTTAGCACTATTTATCACTTTGCGAATTCTTTGGATCGAGTCAACATGTCAGGTCCAGGTGGAATGGGTCCGGGTACCGGGATGAGCGGCGGAATGGGTACCGGTATGGGTACAGGTATGGGTACAGGTATGGGCACGGGTATGGGAACTGGCATGGGAGCTGGCATGGGTACGGGGATGGGCGTGGTCAAGAAGAAGAAGAAGAAGAACATAATGCCGAAGCAAGGGACGAACCAACAAGGCCCGCAGCTAGGGGATCCTGTAGTAGGGAATACTAGTACCGCCCTAGCGCTCATTCGCACATGCGTCGTGACGACGGAGCCCGAGAAAAGGAGCGGGAGAGTATGGTACCCAACTCGTTGGTTACGCAGAACTTTTGACGGCAAACTTCCCCCTAATTGGAGATCGGATATGAATCTTTTGAGAGAGTACGATGCTCTCCAGTTACTTCGTAGGTATATTCCTTCCCCCCTTTACGCGGTACATTGCTGATACAGAACCCTGTAGAGTCCGCCAACGACAGCCACGTTAGCGCCTCTGCCTTCGCAGTGTGCGAGCACCATTTATGGAGGGCTTTGCACATAAATGTGAGGTTCGACATCAATACGCTTCCAGCGGGCGCGCCAAATCTCTTTGGCGTAAACGACGCTGTCTTCTTAGCAGAATTAGACAGGTACTTCCCCCAAGGCCAGCCAAGAGACAAAGACCATACCCCTCGTGAGTTTCACACCTTTTTCGGGAGACAATACTGTTTCTGGGCGATAGACACCGCCGAATCTGGAATCCCCGCCTGGATGCTCATCATCATGCATCTTAAGAAGAGCCAGAGACCAAACCCAGATTATACACCCGAGGAAAACAACCCCTTCCTTGTCAACGAATACTACGATAGGGTCGAGTCAATCGCCATCGTGGATCCAGATCGGATGCAAGGAGAGGTAAAGAAAGCGCAAGTTTATAGGAGGATTATGATGATCCTCACGCGTTGCGGCATTCTCGGTTCCGGGGATTTCGCTGGAAGGAGAGAGTTGTGGAGCCCACTCGAGAATCCCGATCAATATAAAACACTATATAAACCGAATCAATGGGGTCTTGGCTTCCGAATTTTCGATATACTCCGGACGCTTTTCGATCGTATCAGTCAGCAGTGGTGTATAACTCCCCACGTACATAATGACCATTCTTTCTGGAAGCCCATCCCAGGAACTTTCAGCGCAGACCGAGTGCGTTCGGAGATGATAGGATTTGCTTCTATAGGGTGTCTCTATACTCTAGATTGGAATGCAAGGATAGCCATTGAGCCTATTCAGGCTATAAACTATGGCAAAGCACAGTTACCGGTTGATGGTTTGAGGCATCGCCAGGTCCCCCACGACTTATGGGTAACGGGCGCCTCTGATAAGAACAAAAACCCTCTTGTGTGGGTTGATTCGAAAAAGCAGGATGAGCCCGACGACGCTCCAGAAGTTCAGGTAGACCCCGACCATGCGTATGGACCCCTTATTGGGGAAGATTATTACGATATAGACCACGACCGAGATGGCAATTATGTAAGCGGTGCTGCTCCAAGCTCAGGAGCTGTTGATCCAACAACCTCAGGAGGTCTTGCCCCACCAACAAGCGACGCCGGCGGTGACGCAAGTGACGGTGGCAGCTCAAGCATTGGTGGCGGCGCAGGAACTAGTAGTAGTCCCCCAGGTGGTGGGGGTGGTACTATTCCACAAAGTAGCAGTCCGGCGGGCGGCGGCGGCAGTACTGTTGGCGGTAGCAGTACAGCTGGTGGTAGTCGTGGTCGAGGTTCGCGAGGCCGTGGCGCCCGCGGTGCTCGTGGCAGTCGTGGCAGTCGTGGCAGTCGTGGCAGTCGTGGCAGTCGTGGCAGTCGTGGTAGTCGCGGTGGTCGCGGTGGTCGTGGCGGACGTGGTGGTATAACCATGGACCCTAGTACTCCAGCGGTGAAGCCGAAGGTGCTGGCCGCGATTGCCGCACGACAACCTAGCCCTTACGTTGGCACTCCGCCTCCAGCACCTCAAGACGCTAGAGCTAGTAGGGACGAGAGAGCAGCAAGGAGAGCACAAGCCAGAGAAGATAGAATGAAAAGACAAGAGGGAAGTGCAAGCTTGAAGAGAGCAGCTTCGACTTATTTGAGCTCTCCAAAACCCCCGAAGACACCCAAGACTCCCAAGAATCCCACTCCCAAGACATCAGATAACCCATAAAAAAATAATAGACGCTCAAAGGTTCTTAGTCATGATGTCTTTTTTTAGTCATGTATATACCTACTTAGGCAGACAGTTATGGAGAGATCTACTGGGACGGGTACCCGGGCTCACCAATTATAGCGTTACATGTATAATGCATCTACATAGACGATGGATCCATTAATGTTTATTTCCTCTTATGGGATGTCATATCTGAGAATTGACTGAATAAGTAACGAATTACTCGCGAAGTGCTTGTGTATATGTATGGGTAGATCCTATGATGTTGTGTCTAATACATGTTACTTAGATACTTTAATTGATTATGGTTGGTTGGTATATTTAACGCCAAGGCAGTGATTAATTACGGTTTGCTATCGTAAGGATCTACTTTTAATGTTGGCAATAGCATGGGGTAGTATTAATCTTAAATGGTACGATGTGAGTGAATATTCACACATGAAGGAGGAAGTCACGCTGTACCTAACTTGCTCATACCTTATTGATTTGGAAAGTACTATCCTATAATACTAGGCCTATCATCTAAGTTTGAGTTATCTTACCACTTTACAATTTCTATCACCATCGCCCTTCTCCTTTCTTCCATCTAACTCTACCAATCTACCCACCGGAGAACCTGATACCTCAACCACAAATCCTGATCTCGGTATATCATCCGAATTTGTCACAATGAAGGTCATTATCTCTATGTTTACCGGCGTGGCTGCCTTTGCAAGTATGAGAGCTATTGTAGGATGCTTCCATTCATCCAAGCAGTCACCAAGGCTGACTAGATCTTAATAGAATACGCTTACCCCATTCAACACTCCCGTTTCGCCAATTGAAGGGTACACCGTCGTTCCTCTTTCCATGGAAGGAGCTATCGAGCCAGGTGGTGAGGTGATGAAGTTTAACGGTAACTTCAGGGTATGTGAGATCAAACTCTAACGCATTCTAAAAGAGTTCTAACACATGGTAGAGCATCTTTGCCCAGATTCGAAGAATCAAGCCCGATTTCGAATGGGATGACTTCCAATCTGCTGCTCCGCCGACCAGCCTAACCGGTAGAAGCAGTACAGAGAAATCTATTGTATGTTCCCGTTAGTTACTTCCTCTGGTATTTGATATTGACATCTTCGAATAGACTCACTCTCTTTGCACTCCTAATTGCAAACCCGGGTTTAGATCACTAGCTCTAATGGGCTACGATTACTTGCAGCAACTTCACAAGAACTGCGGTGTAGACGCAGGCCCCCGCAAATGTTCCGTGGTCTATTGTTTTCAATATACTAAGATCTGGTTTTGCAACGACAATGACAAGAGCATTTCCTTTCCCTGCGAAAACCTAAACCCTTACATCTTGCAGCTCATTGGAATGACGAATTGCACCCAGTTTCCAAGAGAAAAGGGTATGGAGACTCTAAAGGCGCAAATATTCGATAGCGGTGGATGGAATATTATTGTTGGTGGGGATGGGGATCATTGCTGCGAACAAGATGATCCAGATTGTTGATTGCTGCGATGGAACCCATATCGCTCGGCCTTATTCTCCTGCAATTCGATGCGTTCTCATCAAGGGAGCCTCCTATATCTTAGTACAACCTACATGGTGTAGCTCTTTCGCTATGGGATCTTCAAATGACGCTGAGTTAAAAAGACAAATGGAAGATTTACAATTATATCATGCTATCGCTTGTCTTTGATTCATTCTAGCACTCATTAGGTACCTAATATACGAGCAGTAACATATCTTACATGATTGGAATCATACATTGACTGTCCCTTTTCGTCATGTTCGACCAGCAAAACGAGTTGAACATATAGCATAGCCAAACTATTTAGTATTTCAAGCGCTAATGAATTTGGGCGCCGTAATAGAAATTCCCGCTGGAACTAGACATGCCATCTAATAGTGACCGGAGTTGTTACCTCATTGAGGGTGTAGGATGCTCCACCGAGGTGGTAGATTTGTATGAGGCACTGGGAACCTTGACTAGCTCTAGGGATAAAAACTACTTTCGTCGTGGCGGTGTGCCTTGATACATCCAAAGTAAGGAGCTCGAGCCACGAAAACGTGACCTTGCGTACATCATCTTCGAAAAGGCCAGTATAATTCTTTTCGAATGTGTACATGTATGACGAAAGCCTCTCATCTCCGACCTAAGAGCCTCATTTCAAAAGACGGCTATGCGTCATCGGCTCTACGGGTAGTGACGTAAAGCTCTCGCTATCTATCGGCAAGCAAAGTGCCGTGACTGGATGGATATGCGTGTCCTCACGTCGCACAGGGGCGATGGCAGAGGTAGATAGAAAAAGGACACAAGATCGGCGTGAGTAGGCGTGACCGACCGACGTAGGAGACGGGCTTTAAGCTAAACCCCGACAGCGATGAGAGACTGACTAGTCCCATGTGGAGAGCGCCCCGTTTCGCGGACGCTAAGGTGGTGGGAGGAGTGCAGGTAGCCTTTGCGGACGGGTGACGGCTGCTGAGATGCGGCTCCTTGCGCCGTAACGGTGCGACGTAGATGGGGTAGACGACGCGTGAAGCCGTTGCGCAGCGTTCCAGAAGGCTTCTATGCTTTCGTCGGTGTGTAATCTACTTTTTTCTTTTGCTACGGTTGTAGTCGGTCCGCTGGGTACGGACAGCTTGGATGTAACGCGTTTGCCGACGTCTGGTCCCATCTACGCGCGTAAAGATGATGCTTCAAGGAGGTACTTGGTTACCTGGGATTATGGGCTCGGTGTGGGGGAGGCCGGAAGGACTGTACCTTTGTTGTTGGTTGGACTTGGCTTGGCGTCGCGACTTGGAGGAAGGTGGACGAGGTGATAATGGACGGCGTTGGTTCACATATTTTCTCTGATATCTTACATACTTAGCTCACGATGTTGAATTAGATAAACTTGAGTTCATGATCATCGTCGGCAAGGCGAGACTTGTTAGGTGGCCGATATCTCAATACTGGTAGATCTATTGCCTCGGCTTTCAAACTCGCCCAGATTGTTGCTCCAGCCAGCGGTGGAATTTTGTCGCGGCGGTCAAGCATAATGGATGCTTCTGGATTACGGCACCGTCTCCATATTTGGAGATACGTAATAAACGATCCCTAAAGATTTAGCAAGCGGGCGCTGTATTTCCAAAACAACATTCTCGTTTCATGGACTGAATTGGCAGGGCTTGATGTGGGGGTAATCGTCCGCGTTACCTCCGTGTCTACTAGAGAATAGGTTTTAAGAGAACAAAGCACATTCTAAATTCATTTCTAAGTGGAATGTAGTACATGACTTAACTATACGCGGCTTCGGCTTCATTTCGAGGGTGAGGTGATGGTATCGTGAGAAAGGAGGGAAAAAAGAGGTGGGGCGGGGAGTGTTACTAAGCATCGTGAAATTGAGCCTCAGATTACCTAAGTAGGCGGTGTGATTGAGGCGCAGCGATATATGCTCACGTGACACCGTGCGATCGCTAGGCTGCAATGGAAGGCACTGTACGCCGCCGACGATGTGGCTGCCTCATCATCGCCAACTCAATCTTCAACTTTTCATCATCTTGCCTCTTTTTCGCATCCACACATTTCGCGATTTTATGTAAACCTTACTTTGATTTACCGTCTCCGATGATTTGTGCACGATTTCGAAATACATAATGGAAATGGCGTCGGGTTCAAAATGGCATCCTCTGCCGGCATTTCCCGACCTTCCGGCTCTCATGATCTCACCACGTTTCGGTACTTCGTCGTACACATTTCATGTCACCGATCTTGCCAACGTGTGGGTTGAGGCTCTTGATCGGAAGGGTATCCTATTACGAAGTTTACAAGAGAACACAAGTATTGACTTGAGCGACGGCGATCCCAATCAATGGATCGTCTTCCTCTCCAAGCTTAACGCGGCCTTCGATCCCGCGTCACCGGACCACCCCACAACTAGCCTTAGTATATCCGCTTCGTCGGCAGATAGGACAGTGGAAGGCGGTCTGGTCCTTCACGTCACATGCGTGTTACCCGAGCCCCTCAAGCCGCTCAAGTGGCCCATCTATTTGACAAAATGCCCACCGGTTGGACTAGCCTCAGAACTCGTCCTACCTCTCATCCAAGCACATCATCTACGTACGTTGGAGATAGAAGACCTTGTAACGAGGCTCAAAGAAAAGGATGCTGTGATCACGAAGCTCGTCGACAAGCTGGAGGCCAATCAGACTGGATTGGAATACGTATTCAGCTCGTTGTCCGGGAAGCGCAAGCTCTCCCGAACCCGGGCTGAGCAACATGTTAAAGGTCTTGCTGCCTTTAACGAAGACGAATGGAGGACAGGAGCTACTAGTAACCAACAGTTTCCTCCGGACGTATCGTCCCTGATGCATAAATTCTTCGCCGAAACGGGGTTACAGTGTAACATGAACCCAGAGGTCGCCCCCTCTGCCCAACTTAATGACTGGTGGACCAAGCTTAGCTCCCATCCAACTGCCGCCATCATACCCCAGAAAGAGACGCCAGAGAAGCCGCAGGATACGCCTCCGTCGGATAGTAACACAACCAAGGATGGAGATGACGACTTTCAGGTACAGGCCATTCCGTCCGACTTGCAATCTCGTAGGCGGAGATATGCCGGTGCAGGGGCCGCCGATGAAAACACGGATGACGACGAAGACGGGCCGGTAAAGGTTTCTGGAAGCCCTCCGGCTCCGGCTCAGCAGAAACCTCGTTCCCGAATCGGCGCCGTTGGGGGCAAGAATAAGGCTAGTCGAGACATTTCTGCAAGTCAATCTTCCCAAACTGTACCTGCAGATGATGAGGATACACCATCGGAATCTGAAACAGAGCCAGCAAAGCGAGAACCCCAAAACAGAACAAACAATCGAATAGGGACTATTGGCAAATCTAAGGAATCCTCGCCGCCAGCAAACGCTTCATCTCCAATACCCTTACCAAGCAAGGATGATGACGAAACAGCATCTGGATCTGACTCTGAGGGCCATAATGAAGGACCATCTGATGCTCAGACCCGCTCGTCGCCACCACATACTGCCAATCAACCAAAGAGGGCTGGGCTAGGGAGGATAGGCGGCAAATCTAAAGCTAGAGCTACGCCAGAGCCACGTGAAGAACTGAAAGTGGCAAGTCCCAAGGTGGGAAGCCCCCTGACTACGACAAGTCCGGCGAAGCCCGTGGCACGAAAGATTGGGGCTATCGGCAAGAAGCCGGATATCGATGGAAAACGACCACGATCTGAATCGCCCTTGGTGGCGGCAGAGCCCGAAACAGAAGAGCAGAGGACCGAGCGCAGGCGGGCCGAGCTAGCCAAGGAACTCGAACGCAAGGCGGCTGCCCCGACGAAGAAAAAGAGAAGGTTCTAATGCATCGTCTAGCATCTGAGTTATTATCGTTCGAAGTAGATACCCTTGATTTCATTGCGATCAAGATTGAATTATATCCCGTACATTCCTGCTTCATTCTAATCTGGCTTCCTGGATAACCATTTCGGGCTGCTCTATGGTCTATTCAACTAGCGTGAAACTACACCCTTAGGAATCGTGATGAAGTTTGCCTACAACTCGGCCTCGCCTACTACCAAAACCATGGCAGGTCTGCAATGAATCCTTACTAGTCGAAGAATTTTCGAGATCATCGCCGTCGTATTCCCTCGATTAGCGTCAACTGCTGCCTGTCCTCATCCTTTAAGGTCATGCGACTGCAACAGGGTTTCAACGTCACGAAAGAAGAGAAGCGCGCCATCGCCCTTGCCAATTAGCACAGACCTAAGAATATCACACGCGAGCTGAAGTCACATAGAGACGAGATCTTCCGTTACACACCTGCGAACGGGGCGGTTTGATTCGATTTCGCGCTTAGGTAAGGGCACTCATGACAGCTTCCTTCACGAGAATGCCAAGACAACGTGGCATTTTATGCTAAACAGTCCGGCGGGATTCGATGATAAGCCGGTCGACAGCAAGCCTTTCATTTCCTGGTAATCCTCTAGTAGCCTCATGTCTTGGATGCCAAGACGACTAAACCGCGGATTTACGCCTTCAATATACCACTCAAGTTCACGATCCGATGAGATTGCACGTCTGAGTGTCGGTTGACTATGTACGTGTCGGATAGGGCGATTCATCTCGTCTAACTTCGATCCTACGGAAAAGACGGACGCAACTACCATGGATGTCATGTTGACAAGCGAATGAACGAAGCGAAGGATTCTATTTCCTGTCGATCCACCTGTCACGCTACCCGGTCATCGCCTCCCACGATCTCGAAAAGCCCCGACGTCAGTGCTGCCACCCGACTACCTACCATCCATATTGGTACCCATGACATAGCATAAATTGATTGTCGCATGGGGGATTCACTTCCTAGTGCTGCTTCTCGTCAAACCCCTTGACGCCGTGTAACTATTCCAGACCTCCTCTGGAGGCAACGCTAATGCACGATATGTACCCAGGTCGTTGCCCTGTAAGTCATGCTGTCTAGTTTAAGTGATGATGGGCTTGATGCAGATTCTGATCCTTGCTGGTGGCGGCTTGTTGTCTCTTGAGAATGTTCATCACGCTATTGTTTCACGTCCGCTTTTGACTCTTTCTGGTAGGTGTAAATTGATATACATAGCGTACCGAGAGGTTGGTGGACGAATGAATGGGAATAGGTAATGAGGCACGTTTGGAGGTATGCGCCAGTGACCCATTACAGTACCCCAGCTTAGTTACACGAAATATAGTTCTTCTAGGACAATTATGTCCTGTATGTATGTACCTACCTAGTAACCCAGTAATCATTGGAGGCATATGTCGATCATAGCATATTACCTACATGCAGCAAGTAACGTATGAATGGATGTATGTATGCACGTCGCACAATGGACTGTCCCTGGCCGTCAACATTTCGCTCCGTTCCCGTCCAAAACACGTCAATCATCCACCTACGTCCGTCTCTCATTACTCCCTTCTTATTACTCGCGCTCTTTTATCACCCCGAAATATTCTAGGCTAGGTATCTAGGGTATCGTTAATTCTGCCTTATCCAAGAAAGTGGATATGCGCACAGATCTACCTATGGCAGGACGGCTCTGTGCTAGGGCGCAGGGGTCCTGTTGTCTCGGAACTTTTCGGTAGAGATGGACAGCTAGCTATGTACTAGCTTCATAGGAGGTCGTTGTTCGTTCGACGTTTTCGTGTTACCTGTATCTACCTATGTGGATGGGGGTGTCTAGGTGGTACATGGATGTCTGTCCCTACGCGTCTTGGAGGCAGGTAGCTGTGGATGTATAGTAAGATGGGATGTAGGGTGAATATTATGCCTGTGTAACGATAGAAAGATGGACATCCACCCCCTCCCGCTGCGCTGTGCTGTGCTCCGCCTATGTCGCGCCGGGACCAGGTGCTCTATTTACTTACATACATGCCTAACGATAGAAATCGCGCACGGGCTATGTATAGGTATTCAGGTGCGAATGTATGGATGACTTATGGAGGTAAACAGAGCCGCCCACCGGGTCGCTGTGGTTGGAGGAAAAGAGTCCGCAAAACCTTGTCAGGTACATACATCCCAGGGACGAAATTAAGGCGTTTTGAAAGCCGAGCGCTAAGTACCCAGCCTCCAGTGTCGTCTCTACCCGCCGTTGGACCCCTTCTTGTTCCCTTTTCTTTTCCCCTACTGCCGGCTTATTACCGTTCGTTCGTTCGTGCGTGGCGTTATTCGGTAGATAGACTTGTAACGTTGGGCACTAATGATCATCGTGACAATTAGTCTATGCTTTGAAGATGACATAAAATGGAGGCTTAGTTTAGGCAGATCATTCGGGGTCGGTAGGCTAACTGTCGATGTAAATCTTTCTCGTAGGGTTTAGTTACACGCCGGTATGGGTACCTACGTAGGTATCTAGCTTGAGTGTCAACCGTAAGACGCCCTGAACGCCCTCCATATCGTTCTGTTCAGCGCCCTGTACCTTAGTGGGTCGGTATTCTTTGCCGACGGTGCACAGGGATGTATGGGGTGTCCCTGATGCAATGCAATATTACCTAAATCATAATTAACGGCTCAGGCCAGTCTATACTGTTGGAAAGAAAGACTTTGTTCTTCTCTCTTTTCTCCCCTTTTTTTACCACTACTGCGAGTGCCTTACTCAGGTACGTGGAACCTTGGCGGGGACTAGGGTGAGATACGTGCGTAGGCTGTAGGTAGAACAAGCATGGATGATGTCGCTTCCCGATGGGAGACCTCTTTTTCGAGCTACTTGAGATAGTTAGTAAACGTCCTATGACACCGCTAGGAAAGTGTGACGAGGCCGTCGCCACGTGGTCTTATGACACCAGCGTGGGTAGTAAATAGCAGGCACAAAGCTTTTGTCTCAGAAATCGGCTGTTCTTGCTCACTGAAAATTACGTAGCCACGGCCCCGGTGTGCCTTTTTCAGGGCCGTTAGGTAGTTGGTTAGGCGCTAATGGTCTCCAGCGGAAAGGTGCCTAGGTATGTTCTCAGGCCGCTAGAAAGCAGCTAGCTGTAGATCAGTCTCTCGAGCTTCAACTGTGTTAGGTTCTGATCAGATGACGCTAGGTACATGTACATCACCCACCTGCGACTACTAGCTTCCCTATCTCAGGTGCCTACGGGCTAGGAATGCCATGTATGAGTCTCTTAGTTAGCTCCATCTCTATAATACTCACCCCACGCGGATCCTTGAGTGGTTTCTCCTCTTCCGGGTCTTCTCTAATGGTTAATTACAATCGAAATAGAAGTAGAGGGTACAGAGGACTACGGACTTAGGGAGCCAATAGACGTTCTGGGAGCCCTACGTGGTAGGCGATCTTTCGACGTGTGTACTACGTAGCCAGGGCGAAACAGGATATACCCTGGGTAACATAACTGACCCACGGCTGTTATTTTATTTCCCTCGTTACACAACCGCTTTCGTAGGAGGTTAGACCCGCCAAGTAGAAGCAGGTAGGTGCGCTAAAGTCGTTCATCTCTTCATATAGCCAAGGATATGAAAAGGGGTACATGAGCTAAGAGAGTGGGAAATAACAGATGACCCTGTTCGTCAACGGTAGTAGCGCATCAACCACCTATAGCACTGTGGCAACGAACTGAGTCCCACAAGATCGCGAAGCTTGTGATTTTGGAGTACTCAGCTGTCCATATTAAAGCAATAGTAGCCAGTCTCATATATACAGTCAACCAGTGGGGGTGGAGATTTTTTAATCTGCAGAGGACTAGTTTGGTTCTTTTCACTCTATTTCACTTGATTATCCCCTATCTGCCGACGCCTAGGTCTTCAAGTAGGTAAGTCCTAGCGATAGCTACGAAATTGAGTAACCACTATGACGGATGTGGAGGAGTTAGGTCAAGCATTATCTAGTGTATTTCCATAGTGCTAAATATTGGGCTACAAATACTAACCACAATGAGATACGAAGCATAGTACTAACACGCTAGAACCGTGATCACCCCGTAGCGTCGATTCATGGGGTCCACCCCCTGAGAATTTTAGGTAGGAAGAAATAGTCCGTTTCTTGATAGATCTAGTCCCCATAGAGAATATTCGATGGCAAATTTTAGCGTTCAGTCATTTAGTTTTGCCAAGTTAGCTAGACCGTTATTCAAATACCGATGTGGGTAAGTCGGTGGGTGCCAGATATGTCGCTTCTAGAATCGCTGGTGATCTCGGGGTATTCTGAACGCAGAATAATGATTATTTTTACTTAACTGACACAATTAAGCCGATATAATAGATCTAGCGTATAATATAATACCGTAATTTCGGTCTTACACTTATCGGGGCTTCAGTATCTCCTATCATAATCTGTATGTGACTTCATTCCGATATGTGATACTCCTAGCTTACGGACGTATTGACTGAACTAAAAGTCCTTTATCAATTCATGATAATTTTGTAGGTGTCATTAATTAATGTGTGTGTATAAGCGCTTCACGCATTATATACTACCGCGCGGCGAAGCAAACATTCCAAGCACCTTCTAATACGCGCTGTCCAGCGCCTCTAATATCCCTAGCCATGGTATCTCATATCTCACCTACATCAAGGAAGGGCCTATCCGCCGCAGAACACGAGGGGCTAAGGGGTAACAAGATAGTGCAGTATTGTGTGTGTTACTAGGCCCGATGAATCAACATAGTACATTTAGTCTGGGTACATATATCCCACATTACAGGTACAATTTTAGGCCTCTTGGGTCCCTGACTCGCGGGCAAACAGCGCTAGCTATGTGTCGGATAGAGCCCTAAAATTTCAGGTCTACTGACTAAAGCGCATTATGATGGGATGGAAGCCTATGATGATTTGTACGACTCGAAATGAGCGACTGTAAGATAAGAATGTAGAATTTGTAACATCGGATGGCAAAATTTCTTTGATCGATATTCGGCAATTATTTTTAATTTCCTAAGGATCTGCGAGAAACCGTGTAAGGGGAATATTGCCCTGTTTTACTCGCTAATAGCGACCCTGACATACCAAAAAATCGTATTACAAACGGCGTCGTATCAAAGCCTCTGCAAAAAGCCACGAAATGAAGATGACAGCGAATCAAAGGCGAAAGGGAGAAAATGGTTCGCATGTGTGATACATCAGACGGGTCACAACAGATGTCATCGAGAAGCGA